CCTGCCACTCCGGCTTGTAGAGAAACCCGTCGCTCATAGTCCGTCCGTAGGCCGCCCTACCCTAAGCCGTCGCGGAAGACGACGAGGCCAAAAACAGAGGTCAGCGACCGGCGCTGGGCAGCACATATTATGGTGAACTTATCATGGTGGACTGGTCCGTGCATCCCCCCCTGATCCAGGGTCATTTCGCTTCGGGAGCCGCATAGTTCGCCATAATAAGTCGAATTTCTAGGGGTAGAGTAAAATTAAGAGAAAAATTCGAACGAGCGTTAAAAATCGAGGAAAAAAAGTCGAAACGAGCCTAGTCTCTTTTTGGCCTTAAACGCGTTTTCGAGGCCAAAACGAGCCTCCTTTTTTAGGCCAAAAATGGGGTCTCAAGGGCCCCGAGCGCGCCGATCTCTCTTTTTTGACTATAAAATCTTAGGGTGATTAGCCCGCAGCGGCTTTTTAGGCCAAAAAAGGGGGTCTCAGGGGCCCCGAGACGCGCGCCCGCCGATCGATCTCTCTCCCTTTTTGACCCCAAATGCGAGGGTGATTGACCCGGGGCGCCTTTTGCGCGCAGACAGCGGGTCGACTCTTTACGATGATTTTTTTTAGGGAAACAGATTAAGCGAGTTCCTAGAATGCGGGGGCGGGGTAAAGAATGAAGAGAAAATGCACTCACGTCGCGATGATATCCACGAACAAATTCTGGAAAAGGTTTCTTCCTACCAACAGATTCTAACACTGCCTCTCATAGTAAACCATTCTTAGCCAACATTCAACGAAGAGAAGCTCAGAAAGACCTCCATGAAAATACGAAACTCTCTTCACTTATCGAATTGTTCTACCGGTATTCAGTGTTGGCATGGCCACCTAGACAGAAAAGTTCTATTGCATTCCGACTTCACACAGATTGTTCGCCTCTCGATCTAGCTCTCATAGTCTCATTCACGCCTTTCGCAACCCGGTCTTTCCAGACCGAATATCTCTCAGTACCTCCTCCCAGTCTCTCCCTTTGAGCCACTGCTCAAACGACTTCGTCTGCACTTTACTTTTCAGCTGCGACGGTTCAATGAAGTTGAGTTCACCCATATATCCGAATTCTTTCATGGCTTCGAGAGCGTTCAACATCTCTTCCGAAACACCTTGGGCGCGGAACATCTCCACTGTAGCTTGCATATACCCTGCGTCTTCTCCACTGGCCTTGGACCAGAGATCTTGGACTTCTCCAAAACTCAAGTAGCTATCATAAGCTAGCAAGTTTGTGCCGACATCCTCATCAAGCAATGCACACACGAAGGGCCCAGTCGAATGCTCAGGATCGATGATTGGAAACGTATCGCTTTTGCTGAAAGGTAGGACGAAGGCATAATTCTCCCCGATGAATCTCGGGGCAAGTAGAGCGTTGGTAGTGTAAGCCCCAAGATAAATGAACGACGCTTTTTTCGCCAGGTTCGAATCGTCTAGGATATACTCGACAATTGTCCCCTTCGAGTCTGCATGATGAACGGAATACTTTCCTCCAGAACCCTTCGTCACACCCGGGATGGCAGAGTAGATGATGCGATCCAGCGAGGGCACTGCAGATGCGGCTTGCACGGCGTTCTTCCCGTACAGTATTTCTTTCTGAAAGGCGGCTTTGTCGCTGGAGATGCCCTGTTGCGGAGCCTTTCCAGCTGCGACAAAATTCTCCCAGAAGTCAGTGTTCAAGAAGATAGTGTTCGCATTGGAGAATGCTTGGGACAAAGAAGAGACATCCGAGAGATCTCCTTGCACGACCTCAGCACCGAGCGCACTGAGAGCTTGGGAGGCGGAGGAAGAGGGATTTCGAGTCAAGCAGCGAACATGCCATTCAGGCAGTTTGAGGAATGTGTGGGCGACAGATGAGCCCTGCTTTCCGGTAGCGCCAACAACGACAATGATTTTCTTGGATGCCATATTGAGAAGAAGCTTGAGGTAGCAGTGCTGGATATGAAGCTGGTGGAATTGATAAAGCAGAAGCTACTGTTCTAATCAGATCCTGAAAGCCTCCCTTTGGGGGTTCTATTATATTCTCGGGAGACATGGTGCGCGAACGCATACTGACACCACTTAGTGGAAAATGGGATTGATCGAACTCTCATTGGGAATGGCTTACGTGCGCTTTGAAAACACCACTTAATGAGAGACGGAGTGAATGGTTGGTCGAGATCTCATTGGCGATGGCTTATGCGCGGGTTAAGGTTGAGCCGATCCCCCAATTTAGTCGATTGGCTAGTGAGGCATAAGCCAGAGCTTCTCTCCGTCTAACGTGAACAACTGACAATCACGATTTTCAGCCGAGCACATATCCGTCTCATCATAATGGCTTATCCATTCATTTTTGTTGTTTGATGCTGTCCACATACACACATGCTTTCAAGTACCATGAAATCCGCTCATGGATCACGGGCCAGCGGTCCTACTCGTCGAAAGAGGATCATCACGGCTGCTCGGAAGGAACAGAACCGCATTGCTCAGCAGCTGTATCGTGAGTTGCTTCGAAACCGACTACTGCAGTGGTTAATCCAAATCGTGTAGGTCAGAGGCAAAAAGAAGGTTCCCGGCTTCGGGAAACCCAGAGTGCACACCGGCCAGCAAGACATCATCTGCTCCGGCCTCGCCCCCTTCTCAAATCTTCAAAATCACGAGGCAAAGCCATCGATACCACCGAAGTAACGACAAGAGACACTCTGGAGTCAAATAACAATCTGGTACGAGATAAAACTCCAACTTCCAGATACGAATTGGACCCATGCCTCTCTGATCCTCTCGGTGTTGGTGATGCTACCTCCAATGGACTGGCCCTGTCGTTGACGACCTCCTCGTGTCTTCCTTTCACAGATTGGAACTCGCTTGCTGGCCCCACAGACTACAATCAACCATCTACTCAAGGTTCATTCTTCGCCGATGAGGCAGGATCACAAGAGCTCACTGCATCAAACTTGTTTGACTTTGTTCTCACAGACGAGGATTTGCCTCAGATCTATAACCCTTCATCCTGGCCGGTACTTGAGGACGGATTTCTCAGCACTGCATCGTCTTCAAACCCTCGTACGACTGTTCGAGATACTTGCTGGTATCTTAGCGGCTGGGCGAATACTTCCGGGTATACAGACACAAGAATGGACTTGATTGCTCATTTGAGAAATGTTCCAGGATTTCAAGACTTACTGTCTGCAACCATAACTTTCATATACCAACGTTCGATCTCGAGCATACACTGCTCGGTATCTATGCCTGATGCGTACAAGAATTTCCTTCAATGTTCTCAGACGGCGACATTGCTGGCATACTTCCACAACGCACGCTGTATTGGTATGGAAGTCCAGGATCTCTTGAGGCACAGATCGCTGTTCTATTGTCCAAATGCAAGCATCACAGATGATCCTCAAATGCTTCTTGATGTGGCTCGCAAAACTTGGATGCCAATCCATCTCCAACCAACACTAGAACAAATTCTCATACCTCACCACCCATATCTTGATCTGCTTCCTTTCCCAGCATTGCGTGCTCGCGCCATCACGCTATCGAATACGATGCCCAAACTCTTCGACCCTATGGAGCTCAAACGAGATATTTTCAAGGAAGGACTTGTGTGCCTTCCTCGCGGAAACGGTACTGGACAGCCCTCTGAGATGCGGAATTGGCAGGCTGCCCCTTGGTTCCTAACCAAATGGAGATTATTGATGGCGTGAGAGAAGAAAAGTGGGACTGAGCTATTCTTGTCGGCGAGGGCTGACGCGCACGGCCTCCCCTATCCGCCCTGCATTCGCCTGAAGACTTCCTGCTCTTTTATAGATCATTGATTTGTGGGCGAGTCACCTTACCCAGGCTATTGATCGAGCACCCGTATTATTAGATTCGAGGGTCTCCTATCCATTTCCTGTTAGACAGTTTTACGACTTTCACCATGTCACGACAAGGACGCTCCCGGCAAGAGTATCTTGATGCGGGTTTTACGTCGACTCAAATCACCAAAGCCAAGGCTTACCGTCGAACAATTGAGAGCGCAAACGCGAGACAATCACTGGAAGACAAAGCGTTGGAAGATGCCGAAACTCGACCGTTCAACAGAAACGATCTGCGAGGCCTCTACTTTATTCTCTTGAATTTGTTTCCCAAGGCGGGTAAAGATGCCATTGCCGATGCTATCGATCCCTCATGGCAATTGACTCCTCACTCAGACGAGCTGCAAGACGATTCTAGTTTCGACGAGATTGTGGGTCACTTGAGTCTGTTGAGATTCAGTTACGAATGCTGGAACAAAGTTTTCTCTGTTGATAGGCAAACAGAATCCCAGTTCTGGTTGTTCTCGGAACCGTTTGCCCATAATACGGCTGATGAGAAGAACGTTTGGGGTGAGGAGGATGACATGAGGAGCTTTGAGACCCTTAGTACCTTTACAGATAAACCCGCAGAGAACGACAACGGGCCGTCCACAGATCGGCTTGGACTCTTCGTCACCAAGACCAAAGGATCTGTGAAGGACAAGAATTGGCACAGAACCCCATTTCACGGTTGGGTTGCCTGGCTCTCTGAGAGAGGACAAGGCCTTTCAACTCGTCATTTTCGATCTGGAATTCGATGATGAACCAGGCACTGTTGTCCATAAATCGAAGCTCTCGCACATGCAGAAGAATCTGATTCAGCAATGTCGAGAGAAGTGGAAGGGTCTGGACGGCAATTTGTTTCTGTGGTCCAACCCGAAAGCGAGTCCAAAAGGCAAAAGCTTGGCGTACTCTTCCTCCTGGTTGGAATAATATATGCTGAAGGAAGAAGGATGGAAGACTTGGCCTCGTACTAATGAAGAGATCCTGAACATGGCATCTCGGATTCAGTTGTCAGATGGCGGAAATGAGTTGAAAGTCGAGGTGGCGATTGCTTCTCGACGAAGCTCGCCTTCCCGTACTCCATCCATGTCCCGCTCTCGTGTTAAATCTCGACAAAGATCTCCCTCTCCTGGTATCAGCCCCTCGGATCAGTCGAACAAAAGGCAGAGAAAGGGGTTTCCGGGAGGCTATAATTTCCAACTTCCTACATGATAGGCAGGATCAAAAATCAGCTGTCTTTTCTTCGAGCCTCTTGACACTTCTCCTTGAACTTCTTATCTTGCTATTCCTGTCAAACACATCCAACTGTAGCTACAGGGAGGAAAGTCTTAAATTTTAAGTCTTGCTCGTCAGATCGACTTTTCGGGTGCGAGTGTTTAATAACATTATCAATGCCCTCAAAAGCTGTTGCTCTCTCTGCCACAGCCTGGTCGATCGAAGTACCAATAATCCCGTGAATTATCATCAAATGTTATCCCGGGTAGTCCCTGTCCTTTTTTCTACATCATCCCTAGCCCTATTCCATCGGATGGACGCCCGAATAGATGCAAATTGTTGCGCCGTCGACTCCTTCATTCCAAACTCCGTGCCATGAAACTTCTTTCTCTTCGTTCAATCCCAAGCGAGTTCAGCTATCCATGATAACTTCATTACATGCACCGATATCGCCACCAAATGCATCCAAGTCCAATACTTCAATCCTTCTCATCCACGTCTCCGGCCACAGCAGAAACACCCCATGCACATCCTTCATATGTGCTTGCCATTCCTCGTCAAAAATAGTTTCTCGATTGTAGCATGGAATTCTTTCTTCTCCCCTGGTTCCTTCTCGTGCCACACTCATTGACTTGCACAAGTCCAAGATGCGGAAACCTTCAGCAGCCGGAATCACTGTCCAAGCGGACTTCGTAGAAATGTTGTGTTCGCGGAGGGCTTTGAAAGGATCTCCATGGTTCTGTGGCGGCGCATACGGAGCCAGGGAATGCTGATGTGGCGAATGAGACATGGAATGTGTGAAGGCTGTCACTGGACTGGGAGTACTGGGCGAAGAGTATGTGTATGATGGGTATGAAGAAGAATTGGCTGAGTACGCGGGGTATGATGAGCGTTGCGACATGGACATGAGAACGGATGATGCTGAGAATGAATCATTAGACGGGCCTATAGGACGTCTATATGAGAGAGCATCGCTGTGATCATCGTCTCGATCTTGCGAAAACCGAGATGAAGAAGAGAGTCCACGTTCTAACTGTGCCGAGGGCATTTCTCTGATGGTATGTTAGTCCTGGACCAACGAGGAATATAACGACTTACAGACGACCTCTTCCACTTGAACCTTCCGCGATTGTAAGGCTTAAGCCCTCATTCTTTATATGTATTGCGACATGCTTCTATCTTTAGCTGAAGTGCACTCTGATCTGATGGGATGTGAAACCTTTCTGAGATTTGCTGCGGTTTTTGTTTCCTTCTGGCAGAACCCGCACACCGATTCGCACTTTGCGATTCGCAAGACACCTGTCGTGTTCCACGGCGGGTGGACGTGACCTTTGCTGCACGTTGTATTACCCAATGTAGGCTCCAGGGACATCATTCGCGATTTTATCTCCTGGGAGGAAAGGTTGCAGAGGAGAGGGCGTGCCGTATAAGTCATGGAGTCGTTAGGAGTCTTTAAGAATTCATGAAATTTGATCACTCCCGGGAACTCGAAGCACAAAAGGAATCCGTGAAAGCGTCAAGCTCGAGAAGAACATGCATGGAGTGAGGACCGACGGAAAATTAGGTATATCATGAAACGGCGCGGTCAATTGAAACATCGCGTTGGCTGTGAGGGAACCATCCGTTCTTATAGATCGCATTCTTCCAGAACCCTTCTGGAGGCAGCGGTGTATGCTGGGGCCCACCAGCCAGATGCAGCAGCAGCAGCAGCAGCAGCCAGACAGAAGTGTGCGAGCAAAGTGAGCAAAGGCGTCGTTTGGGACTTCTTTGGGAGCACCAGGAGCTTTGGAATACTGAGTTGGGAAATGCTCGCGAGTGAAGAATGACGGGGGGCCAAGCGAGGTTGCAGCTGAAGATGCGATTGGCTCCCTGGTGCAGTTAGTCGCGGGGTGCCGAACCACGACTTTCTGGCACCCTTGAACTTCGACCTCGTCCGAGCCGCAATGCGCAACTGTTCAATGTTGGTCCTGGCCCCCGGTTGGGATGAACCTGATCGACGGGATCGTGCTGCGAAAAAGGAGAGAAGAATATCTTCAAGGGACGTGGTGTCCAGGGAAGATGGCAGGGGGAAATATTGGAAGGCAGGAAGTAATCTTACAGTAAAAGAACAGCGTTGCAATGAGAATGCTACGTACAAATAAAATAGAGAGATATAGGTGGAGGTGGACAGTATTGGAGACAAGTCCGGTCAGTTGAAGAGCAATGCTTCGACGTCCACTGTTTCTGGTCCTCCGATCTGCATGCACGCTTTGGACATGAGGATATAAATGATCTTTGCCTTAAGTTGAAGCCTTCCACCATCCACAGTACATGAACCTTTTCCTCCCCGTAGTCTCGTGCGCGGAGGGATCTGGGCTTGAGTTCATCGGGATTGGAGCAGGGAAGATGGTGTAAGACAGAAGATCTTTTATGGGTACGTAACCCTTGACCGACTCGGCAGATTCTCCTTCTGCGGGAAGACTTGCTTTTGGCAAAGCTTCCGGAACTGTTGGCGTGCGCCACAAATGCGCATCAAGAGTGCTTTCTGCTGAGGCTGCAGATGTCTGTCGGACACTATTCATGCACTGACTGAGGTGAGATGAGAATATCTACTACTTGCGATTGAACGCCGCTCCTTGTGCTGGAACCGCTTGTCTTCACCAAGAGCGGTCCGTTACATACAATTTCATGCTTCATCCGCACCGGAGTTCAGACGTTCGTCTCATTGTCAATTTTGGGAAAGTTCATACGAGTGCTCGACTATTGTATGTAAAGAGTAAGCGAAGCATGGCAGGCACCCTCTTGGAATGTGAAGATGTTGGTTGATTGATTGCCTTTGCCTCCATCACGCAGCGTCGGCGGCAGGCGTCGGAAACGCTCATTTCGCTACTGTAACCACAAGGTTGTAGGATTAGTTCAAGCAGCTATGTTCCAAGCGGATGAAAGTATGTGCACAATAGTTTGTGCCTCTACAACTGTTAACAGAATACTGAGATGGCAGCATCAGTCTGGTAGTAGCGGAAAAAACCCACCGAGGTTTTCGGCACAGAAATAGATCTTAATGTTCCGTCCAGTGATGTTTTGCCGCGCGATTGGCGGCACAAGAAAATGTACAGAAACATCGAGAGTTCTAATCTCAATGGGAATCAAGGTTCTTCCCAGTGTCACAAAGATTTGTGTATCGTCGCCTTGCATCAAGTATCTGCATGCTTCGGACACGCAAGCACTTTGCACGAAACGTAGGAGATAAACTTTCCCAGCAAATCGCAACGGGGATGAGGATCGACTCTCCAGTCCCCACCGTCCGTGCGAATGGTTCGCTCATCGTGTTTTCTTTTCCCGTGTACTTCGTCCCAAGGGACGAAGTAATTTGTCCTCAATTGGGGCATCCAGAACAGAATTCTTGAGTGGAGACGGGAAGGATTCTCACATTTGCGGAACGGAATGCGATAGGCTGGTTCTTGCATGTCGACATGCATATCAGCCGCCTCATATAACAAGGGCCTTGTCCATGTTCTCGCGATATTATATGGCACCTGGGTTTCCTAGACGTACGTATTCATCGAGAAAGATGAAGGAATACTTGCGGAAAAGGAAACTGCTCGTCTGTCAAACCGTAATCCGCAATGTGGGCCTCTTCGGGTCTGATGAGCGAAGATGGTCTCACGGCCTAGACAGCTAGGCTTTTCACTTCTGCTTCCCCTTTTCGCAGACTGCGACTCGTCGATTTCATCAGGAGCACCGAGGTCAGAACCGTATTCGTCGTCTGGAGCCATGGACGGACACAATCTACACATATCTATCCTTGTTTGAGGGGCAATTCAGATCTCCTGCAGTTCCATCCCGCTGGTGTCCACAGAATAGCCTCGACTCGATCCAGTTTCTGCAAAACTCAGTACTGTGGTTGCTCAACACCTGACTTGGTTAGTTGATGCTCATCCGCCATGAAAGTTGTTGAAGTAATGTCCGAAAAGCCTTTCTTCCGAACTGTGCGGGGCTTTACCTCCTTTCTCGCCGGACCGTGGCTCCTCGTCACGACGAACGAGACAAAGAGAGCTGATAACGGTCTTCATTTGGACTGACATTTATTGCAGTAGAATACTGCATCAAGGGTAGACAAACTATCTAAGATGTTGCTCCGCATCTTGATGGCCCTAACTCAAGGCTACAAGATGGAGACATCACACGACCTATATACGAATGGACCAAGAAAGCAGAAGCAAGGGCTCAAAGTCGAGGTCTTACACAGAGAATCTAAAGTCGTCGTCGAGATCTCTTCGAACAGTATTGGAATTCGCAACCACTTTTGTCCATGACAGTTCGATTAGATTCGGAACACCCCACCAACGATCGATGTCTCAAATTCATATTTCAGACGTCCCGCCCTTCAAGCATTGTCTTGAATACTGTCGAAATGCAGTTGTGATATCGGCGAGCAAGTCTCAATTTGGATGGAGAATAGAGAAAGATTGGGGACATTCTTTGCTGTGTCGGTGGGTAATGAATGTATACGAGAACATCAGGAACGAAGCTGCCACACTATACAGGACTTCATCGAGGCAGAGACTCTCTCCGTCCCCACGGCACGGAATGTATGCCCCAACGCAGACTACTCATCTCAACTTTGAAGAATTTGCGACAATGTCTCGGACTGAGGTCAACTCGTTTGTTGAGAACGGGATGCGGCAGCGGCAACAATAGTACAGAGTATAGGCTGCGAAGCAAGAAGATTGGAAAGAGGTAGACTTTCAGGGAAGATGAGACAGGTGTAGGTTTGAGCATCATGATCTTCCTGCTTTTCGATGGTATCGAAGATGGTATGACATGATGCACTGTTAGGGGGAGCTGAACAGAGGAAAGAATAGGGAAACATCTATGATGGAGCCAGTTGTAGCTCTGCAGCTCCCAAGACCAGAGCAAACTTCAGCCGGATGTAGGTCGGAGAGCAATATTTATCAGGTTCCCTTGAGAACTACGACACCCGTTCTACTAGATGATGTCCATGTTGGGTCGCAGTCGACATCTCAGATTGAACTTGCATCTAGAGAATATGCGAGTCATGCTTTCCCATTGTTGGGAGGTGGAACAGTGGCTTCTCTTCAGCCTCCGAAGATTCCGGAATGCCCTCATCACAGCACGACCAGACAACTTTCATGGTCTACCAACATGTACCGACTGTCTTTTCCCTAAATGTACTAAAGTAGTTGTGTACTGTACTGCACCTGTCATTTGTCATCGTAGACGTAAAGATGTCGCGTGCCCTTATTCCGGATCGATCGGAAGGTTAGAGAGACAACTCGCTGCAGGCAAGGCTTCCGCAGCATCCGTCGACCGAAAAGACTCCAATTGGATATTCACAGGGTTATCTGCTCGTGTGCGGATGCTGTATGCTGGCTTACTGATCTGATTATGAGAGGATCTTATCCATCAGCACTTCAGATGACAGCATTTGCAGGAGCCAGAGACTTCAAATGGTTGAGGATACGGTTCTGAGATAATGTACTGTACTGATGCCACCTGAGCTCGGTATCTCAGTCACTAACGCCGAGGGCGGGAGGGGCTGAAGCACTAAAACGAGAGCGATAACAGCGATAAGCCCTAACAACGAAGCCTGTCCATCGGCACTTCCCTGTATTCTTGGCAGGAGAGCCCACTTTTTGAGCGCCGTCAGCCACTGACCGCATCGCTTCCTCACCGCAGCCGGTCAGCGATGATTCCCGTCCAGCCGTCGCATCTACAGTATCTCCAGTTCCATTCCCCTTCAGCCATCGTCCATCCGCACAGTCTTCACTGATCATCTGAACACAGCTACTCAGGATAAACACGATTCAGCATGCCCAAGTTCCTGGATTCTGAATGTGCTGCAGCAGGGATCCCTTTTGGCTTTTTGTACTGTACATTTATATCCCCGACCACTTCTAAGCGGAAACTGTTCCACGTTTCTGACGACGCCCAATACAGTACATCATGGCGCCTGGGTTCGGCACTGGCGGAACCCTGTCCTATCAAGTCGATGATGCGAGGTTCATTGGCTGGAGATGCCCATCCGCGTGTCTCACTGGCTGTTGTTGGGCTTCTTCGGGCTCGGATCATCATCGCTGGGACCCTGAAAAGGCACAAGTGTGCTGTCTCCACTAGTGCCCACTATGCCGTTTGGGGTCCGCGGCCTAGAACCTAGAGCGCTGGTCGCTTTCTGACGCTGCACTGGGCTGCGCTGCTCACTCCTACACCGGATCCTTCGGTCTCGCTCGAGGGCCGTGAATCTAGAGACCGACTCGCATTTATCAGCACTGTGCCTTTCTTTCATTCACCACGACATGACTGATACCCATCCTTATTATTATACTCATCCCTATTCCTATTACTATTAGTATCCGAGTTGACCCTCGTTTGCGCTGTGATTGTTTCATTCCATTCCACTGCCGGTTCGACTGTGTCGAATCACACATTCGCTGCGCGAGATCCATGTCAAATTCCTCGAGTATACGAATACATATCTAGCTCCGCCGACCGTCGAGCATGCACTCGTGTCTTATAAAGCGGTGATAGGAACGAACTTGACGGCTCAGAGTCGGTTTGGCACACGCATACGCATCGTTGCCAGTCATGTACAACCTGCGGCGGATTGGTATTGCCGTTGTTCTCATCGTCCTGACTTGGTTCGGCCTCACGGCTCTGCATCAACATTTGGATCCGAATACTTCCAAGTCGGAGGAGGAGTATGAGGATGCGCAATGGATTGCGACTTCGACGTATTGGCTTGACCGTCAAGCGTGTCGGTGGATGGGACTCTGTGGGCTTGCCCATTGGCAACCCGACCCAGCAGTGAAGCCATGGAACAAGAGGGTCTTAAGTCGTGGCCAGCAGAAGCTACTAGATGGAGACGAGGACGATCAGGCCGATGCAGATTTCCCAGATTGGGATCACATACCAGGAGATGGAGAACGTCTGCAACCAGGAGATTGGGACGGTGATCCACGAGTTCTGAAGGATGTTCCCCAATATGTCCTCGACCATGCCCCTCTGATACACCTCTATTCCGGCGAACGGTTTTGGCCTTCAGATATCCGCGATCACCTCACACATGTGACGGCATATGCGAATCATACCTCCCTCAACGTCAGCCATGTTGGTCTCGATAATCTGCATACCCTCAATGAAGGTTATCGTGGTCGCGACCTTTTCATGCACAGCAAAGAAGATGTGGAAGAGCGTCCAGATTGGCTGAGCAGTGCATACAATAAACCAATTCCCTACGACGATCCCGAGCCAGAGGAGGATCCTGATATGGGTGAACTTGAATATGGAGAAGATACTGGCGACGAGCCCTCGGAGGAAGAACTCGAGACTTGGTTCGACCCCTTGGGTGATGGCAAGAAGAGAAAGGTCGCTCAACCCTTACCCAACAATTATCGATCACCTCGTCAAGATCTGCGCAAGCGTCTCTTGCCTGAGATGCCCAAACCGGGCGGTTATTCACCCGCTCCAGCCGTCTTGGTAATTGTTGACAAAGGAAATGGCATCGTTGATGCCTTTTGGTTCTACTTCTACAGCTACAATCTTGGTACCACCGTGTTGGGAATCCGGTTCGGAAACCACGTTGGAGATTGGGAACATTCCCTGATCCGATTCCAAAATGGCGAGCCAAAAGCGGTTTTCTTCTCGGCTCATTCTGGCGGCTTGGCATATGCTCACAAAGCCGTAGAGAAGGGCAAAGGCAAGGGACGAGAGGGGAGGCCTGTCCTTTACAGTGCTGTCGGAAGCCACGCCATGTATGCTCAGCCAGGCAAGCATCCGTACGTTCTTCCATTTGGAATGCTAGCCGACGTTACGGACAAGGGGCCGCTCTGGGATCCAGCGCTCAATTATCTTGCCTACCATTTCAACACATCGATCACCCACGGTGCCGATGCCAAGGCAATTACGAATCCGTCCATAGCGACAATGCAAGAGACTCTGCAGCCCGCAGCGAGTAATCCCAACGCTCCTTTGGGCTGGTGGTGGTTTAAGGGTCACTGGGGAGACAAATTTTACGAGTTGTCAGACCTCAGACAGTGGCGATTTGTCGGACAGTATCACTATGTGAATGGCCCACTTGGTCCACGGTACAAAAACTTGGGCCGTAGTAGGGTGTGCCAGAGTAGAGGGGTGTGCAGGATTGTGAATAGCTTGCAGGAAGGCAAGAAGAGGAGTTGGATCGGATAAGTGTTTCTTTTTGTTTCTCTTTTCCTCAGTCAACGAACTAGAATGAGAAGAGCGGAGATGGCTAGAGCAGCATAATGACATTGGCGTCAAGATTTTGGTTGGGCGTAACGATGGTAGATAGGGAATGGCGTTTAGATATAAGGGGAAGAGAGAGATACCATGTACGTCTAATGCATTTAGACTTTGAATGATACCTAAGCATTAGAATATCACAACTTGCAAATGCCCAACCTTCACCATTTGTGAAGAGACAAGGTCTTCCGTCCGATTTCGGCCTGATCCTACTTCTTGTCCACCTATTATGCCTACTTCACGCCCTCGTGGAAGGATAACACGACATCACGACTAGAGCCAGGCTGGAATAAGAGTCTGCATGCCAAAATCAGGGGGTGAGTATATCACGGAGACACACAAGCCTGCTGTTCCAGTTCAAGATTCCAATACCCTCTAATCTTCAGCCTTGTCCGCACGCCTTCAGCTCATTTGATCAGAGCTAGAACCAATGTTTATCATCTGCCAGTTCTCATCATAATGTGTCAGGTGGTAACTTTTGTTCTTGTTCACGGTCAAGTACCGACCTTACCCGAGTCCAAAACTGAGGGTTATTCTTTCCACGTTGGTCCAAAATTATGCAGTAGGTGAAGATAAGGTTAACCTTGATCTATCAAGAAGCTTGTGATATGCAGGGCTCAGTGGGGTGTTCAGGGGTCGTGCTTGTCGAATCTGGTTGGCGATGATTGACATGTGGGTGGTGATTGGTTGTGGGTGACGGCAGTTGCTATCATTCTTCGGCGTTGAAATCAACTCATTCTGGAGCATAATATCGAAGTCAACTCGGCAGATGTCGGTGTGGATTTGAGGGTTGAAAAGAGAAGACTCGAATCACTCTCACCCACTGGCTTCAAGTGAAGACTTGAGCAGACGGGGCGAGAAGTTCTGGTTGTTTGACGCATGGACTGCTGGACATTCCGCAGGTATATGACTCTCGTTGATACTATGATGATTATGAATCAGACAAACGGTCAAAGCTCCATTCCAGCTTTTCCTGTTTCTATTGAGTAGATCTGTCTCACTGAACGTGGATGTTGTGTTTTACCCCACTACCGAAACAAGCTTAGTGCACTTGGTCTTGGTCATCGAGTCTTCATTCAAGTCTAAATGGTTCCCGTTTAAAAACAGCAGTTCGATGACCATGATCTGTGGTATCATGGACCGCGCAGTCGCTTTGATAGTGCAAATGTAAGTCTTGCCCAAGCTGATATTCATAGACCACCAACCCCCACCTCCAGCCACGAGCATCATTTCTGTACCACAAATCACCACTACGCACCGTCTGCATCTCTACGAGCCATGTACAATCCCTTTCCACGAACATACTACTCTGCCAAGCCATGGCTCAACTAGAGAACTACTTTAGTGGACCATTAGGAATTCGAAAACATTCGATGTCTGATATGGCATAGTCCTGGCAGCAAGCAAGACATTTCTCGCAGATGCATTCAGGAAGTTTCGAAATAACATCGAATTCGAGTCTACCATCGAGATACGCGAGACATTGTATAATTGGGTCTCGAATGGATTTGGAGTCTCGTCGGTCTTCCAGCTCAAGAATGAATGAATGAATGTGGATGCTGTTCAGTCATGAGTAACCAGAACTTTATATCTCGTGGCGGCAGACCTTAATACTTGGACTCTTGTCTAATGGATGGTAGCCATTTCGTCTCAGGACGCTGTCATTTGTACGGGCGAGACTGCAGCAGGGAAATATGCCAAAACATATGAATGAGAACGAGTCTCATAATGTCCAGAAGACGAGCATCAGATTCTCCATCTCAGAAGTTGTGCCAATTTTATTCATACTTTTGGAAAAATTGTCCCAAGCTAGTCAATCAGTCCTATAGTTCCAACTCCCTCGGCGACGACTGGTTGAAAGGATAGCTACCTCTCAAGCTTGATCCGTTGACCGTACCTCTTCTGCTCCTTTCCATCACTCTGGGTCTCTGGTCGCCATCACCAGCTGGTCTCCTTGCCCTTGCTAGCACACTCAATGAATCTTGAGCGCTCATCCTCCTGATCCTCGCTTGCAGCTGCCTTTCCTTGTCTAGTCTAGATTCAATTTCTTCCTCCAGTTCCTTTCGCGCCTCTCTCTCAGCTGTCCATGCACTCCTCAGTCTCTGCACCTGATCTTTCAGGTTGTCCTTTTCCTTGGTCGTCTTCTCAGCATCCAGAATAGCTTCTTCATATCTCTCCATCATCTGATCGAGGCGAGTCCTGATGCCCTTGATTTCTAAATCCTGTACTTCGAGCTTCTCCTGCAACGACTTGAGCTCGTCTCTCACTGCTGCAAGCTGAGTTCGAACATCATCAATTGATGCACGACTATTGCCCAAGCCGAACCCCATCGACTGGAACGTAAAGTCCATTGGTGTTTGAGGCCGGTGTCTCTGCTGCCTCGTTTGTGCCGCAAGTTGCTCGCTTCGTCCGCTCGAGAAGGAGGATTGGGGAGAGGCTGGAGGAGTGTCCGGAGCATTTTGTTTATGCATCATTTCTCCATGTTCGCCTGCTGTGTTCTCTGTCGGACTGGTGGGCACTGGGCTTGATTCAATGATCGATGCGGCTTTGCTTGCTTCTTGTAGACCACCTGAGCTTGACGAGTCTTCTTTCTTCTTGTCGAACACGGCTGCAATCGAGAATGTCCGCCGACGAGCGGGTCGGAAGCCATTATTCGTGTCAAGTGCAGTCCGCATGGTTTGAGTGTTTAACCGTGAAAGAGAGATTGTTTACCACCACTCTTCAGGGGGGGCTTTCAGCAGAAAATGAAGAAAAAGTCCTGGTGTAAGAACCGCTATCTAAAAAACAGCAATATCAGATGTTCCTAATCAATATGTGAAGTTGGTCGAAGTCCGTATTCTCCACACTTCTCGTGGCACCCCACACATGTTCATTGGCATGTGTGGCGCATTCTGATTCGGTTGAGGAAAATGCTACCCAACAAGTGGTCGTGAAGTCGTTTGTCACGCAGGAGCATAGGTCCAATAGAGCTTTGAGGATTTAAATTTCGGCTCTGATTGGATTGTAAAGACTTCATTTACCGGTTGCATCTCGTTGTGGACGGTTCCATCGAGGTGCATGGCAGGATTATCTCGCCGCGTGCATCATCCTGCCTCAATTTACACCTAGCAAGCTAGAAAGTTTGTAGCACATCTCATTTTCGATAACATTATCCCAATGCTTTTGCCAATAGAGCATGTTGCAGTAACTCCTTTGCAAAGAGGTGGACGAAGATGATACTTGTCGACTACACAAGCCCCTGTCCTCCTTTAGAGCCATTACTTGAACTTTAAGCTCCAGGCTTTCTCTCCTTTTTTCTTGACTCGTTTGTGTATTTGTAGGTCTGCGAGATGACTCTGGCTTCTGCACTTTGCACGTATTCTGGCATGATACCGGTTTTGGCCGACTCAACCAACTCAAGTTTCTGTGAACGTGACTGCTTGCTGCCTTGGACTAATCTCCACTAATCGGCAGACCGCTTGCCAATATCTGACAGACAGATCACCGTTATCTACAGGTGTAGCGATTGAAAGCATAACTATTCGTCGGTATCTACTCAATGCAAAAGAGTGAGAGACTCTGAGTCTTGGAATGAGTATCAAGCAAAAACAGGCAAACATAGACAGCGTCTTGACCTCGTGTCCAATCCTTTGTATCACACTTGTTAAAATCACGAGCCGCAAAGGGTTTTTTTTGGGTCTATTGTGAATTGTCCTCTCCTGAGATGGCAGGAGAAATCTCGACTTCAGACCAACTATACATTTCCTTGAATTAATCGTCCAAGTGTAGTAGGTTAGACAGTGAGACTTCACATATCAGAAATGAGTGGATCGAAGGAAATAATGGAAATATATAACAATAAAATAGAATAAAAAGTGAAGCTATTCAGACAATTCTCCATCACGGCATTGAAGAGGAAGCCAGAGGACTAGCGCGGAGCTAGTTGAGATAGCGGGGATAGATAAGGTTAGTGATGAATTTTAGTTTGTTGACAACCCTGAAAGCGATTCCTCCAACTCCAGACTCTTCTTGTGACCAATATCCACGAGGACAAAGCAAACTCCCAACGCTTCTTGCAGGAGACCTTGCTCACATAAATACCTTCTGCCTGCGACCTTGTTCAACACTCTCGTTCATCATCCAAAGTCAAGATCACACAGGTACAAGAATTGCGGGGTTCACAATGGCTGCAAACGGAGAAACGAAGATCAACGGTGAAGCTGGTGAGTTGCACAACATGTTCTGCTGTGGCCATACATAGAGCTTTCACTGTTACAAATACATGTATCTGACTAGAGATAGCACCTGGAATACTCACAGCCCGTTCTGCAGAAGCACCATGGTCTGTCGAATCTGTTCTCGCCAGCATCCCGGGAGGAGCTCCAGAAGAGAACTCCTCTTCTCCTGTCCCATTCTTTCACATGTTGGAGCGTCTGAAGACTACTAAACGTGAAGGATGGCGTCGATTTGGGATCCAACAGTTCGTGGTCTCCCCTCACCCCTATGACTACTCTTGCTGACCTGATGCAGCGGCGAGTCCATTGCAGACCACATGTATCGCATGTCTCTCATTACTATGTTTGCCCCTCCTTCACTTGCCTCGAGAATCGACATTCAACGATGTACGAAGATGGCTCTGATCCATGACATGGCCGAAGCTCTGGTTGGAGATATTACACCGGTTGATGGGGTTGCGAAGCACGAGAAGAACCGCCGCGAAAGCACAACGATGGATTACTTCGAGAAGGGTCTACTGGGACGAGTCAATGGAGGTATGACTGGAAAGGACATCAAAGCTATCTGGCAAGAGTACGAGGACTCTGAAACTCTGGAGAGCAAGTTCGTTCACGACGTGGACAAAATCGAATTGATCCTCCAAATGGTTGAGTACGAGAAGGCTGAAGGCTGCAAGCTGGACTTGGGAGAGTTCTCTTGGGTTGCTAGTCGTATCTCGCTGGATGAGGTGAAGGAATGGAGCCGCACTATCCTCAAGGAGAGAGAGGACTTGTGGGCAGGACGGGAACACAGCACGTATAGTGAGGAGTCGCCTCCAGATCCGGTTGCTTTGGCCCAGAAGAAGGAGTACTATGATCACAGAACTCCAAATCCACCCCTTAATGGCCATGATTGAGAGATGAGATAGAGCCATAGATCTTGGGTGTTTTGGGTGTGGTGCACTGGATTATAATGCTCACGACTTATTCTCGATAGATACCTTTGGCGTCTTGGATTGGTGATAGATAGACACGGGGATACACGGTTCTGCAATGGAAGATGCGATGATTCTGAATGACGTTGCCAATGTTCGTTGTAGCTTGGGTTGTCTTCTTACGCGCGTGAGTTCGCGGCTCAATTGTGTTTGGTGACTGGCCGGGCAACCACCAAACTAGCAGACCAAACAAGACGCTATTGAGCTTCATCGGTATCCAAATTCTTATCATCAGGTTCGCACACGTATCGTATGTGTGATAGCTGTCGCTGCAGCGTCATACCTTGCTGGTAATTGCGATCGAATCGTTGCTGGCGCTCGTTCCACCAGTTCGCGCAGCTGAGCCTCAGGTCTTGTCAGCCTCGGATCCCTCTGTGTTTGCTTCCTTTGCACCGCTCGCTGCTCTCGACCTGTCTCTGATCTCGCGCAAAATCGTTCCTTATCGATGTATCAAACGACATATACCCCTTCGGAGCGTTCCTGAAAAGTCTGCGACAATGACGAACTCGCCAAATGCAATGCCGGGCGCATTCAATTTTCATAATACCTCGCGCGACAACACCACAGCTCCTCCACGACTCTCCGGCGCGAAGTCGCACATCTTCCAACCTCCGCGCACACCTGGCACTTCTGCCAGCAGCAGCCTGATCTTGACACGGAGTACACCAAGTGTGATCTCCTTATCTTCTGCTGGCGATAGAACTCCAGCTTCCAGCAAGCTTGCGGCGAGGAAGCGGAATCTGGAGGAATACAATTCGGGAACGACGACTCCGAGGGATGACGGATATCGAGGCGATGATTATTCTGGAATGGAAGCCACAATAGAAGGATGGATGCCAGGATCGCCACAGCCATTCGTGAATACCAGATATCAGCTTGCTGGTGGCATGGACACACCGAGTCTGGCAGCTGCGCATGCTGTTGAGGCGAATGAATATGGAGATATTGGGTACAGAAAGAGCCTGGGTGATACTCAGCGACCTACGATGATCACTGCCGAGGGGGCGAGCTACTTTCCTGATGAGCCCGCATGGCGTGAAAGCAATGGCAGAGGCAGATTGAGTCAAGGATACAATGGCAGCCCGCGAGGGGAAGGCTGGAGCAAAGCCGCACTTCAAGTTGCGAATGTTGTGGTGGAGAAAGTCTGGGAATTCTGCAAGAGCAGCAGTGCGGTATTCAAGGGATTTCAAGCCGGTGGTGGGACGCGTTACCAGATCAATCCCCTCGAAGCAGATGCTCAATTCGAAGCCGTGGAGCAGCGCAATCTTTGGGAAGAGAAGAATGGCGACAGAGAATCGACACCGCTGCCAGGACAGTATCCCCACGAAGAACTCGAATATATCCCGGATTATATGGATCGAGCAACGCCGGATCATACCCCACCACGTCCCACCAAGCGACGACAGATCAGTGCGAACTCTACACTCTCCGAGAATAAGGATGAGATAACAAAGAACTGGGTTGTAGTTCCTCCAGCGGCACCTGCGCCTGCCATCTCAACTCCCACAAGACCACACCTTAAAGGTCCATCCAGATACAGTATGCCGACTGCTTCATCGGCTTCTCGCCGTGCCATCGCGAATAGCTCCGTTCACAGACCTGCTTCTCGTGCTGGTTTTGCAGGATCTGCTCCCAGACGAGCTGCTCTGACGAGTCAAGCTTCTCGTGTATCGCATGCTGGATCGCCTGCTTTGACAGGTGCTCGTGGAGCTTCGTATGCCTCGCCTCGATCACCGCAGAATTCTGGATCGAAGATACCTCGTCGGACTGGCAGTCCTCTCGGACATACTCGTAACGGAGGTGGCAGTATGGGGGCCAATACAGAAAGTCCGGCTGCAAAAGAGGCGAAGAGGTGGGCTGCACTGAAGCGGAAGGAGGAGAGAGAAGCAGACGAAAGCATTCGACGCTTAGATGCGCAATTAAAAGCTATGATTCGGGAAGGGAAGGAAGCGCTGGGAACAAAAATCGAAGTGGAGCTTGATGAGGAAGAGAGTGTGATGGGCAGCAGTAGAAAATGGGCAGTTTGAAGTCATGAAACTTGAATCATTCTTACCTCTTTTTCTTGCGCATATTTGTGGATGGATATTTGGCGCTTTGCATTGCATTTCGGCGTTGCTTGGAGTTTGGGCCTCCTGGATGCAGAATATTTGCGGGGAGGATGAGCTGGAGTCTTGTTTATGATACCTTTCACTGCTTCTAGCAGACGATCTTGTACCGCGGTCCTTTATTGCGAGCCACTATAAAGTGTCACGTTTCATCGAATTGAAGCATTTCAACATCTCAGTTACACCTTGCTTGATTTTACCACTTCTTTGCGTTTTCATCTGCTAATATCGTCTACAGTCCTTAGATCAGGCGCCATCCATCTTTCCCTGCGAAGTATGCCTCTATCAACTCGTGAGGTTGTGCTACCTAAGAGACTGGGTATCGTCAACATTCCCGATGCGTCAAGCCACCCTGGATTTTGCTTCCTGGATCATCTCCTCGACCTGGATCGCTTCATTCCGAACGATGCCCCGCTGATGTCCAACACCCAATGCGGATGTCCGCCAGCATGGTAATATCCCAAGTTGAGCCGGGACGCCATTTACCCCAGGAAATGAGTGAAGTAACTGCCGACCTAGACCTGTCATTACCCCACACGACCCATCAGGACTGCGAGTAACCTTATTTTCATACCAACCATCATACCCAGTGGGTTACGAAACAATCATAACTGGAAAATTTCCCTATTGGCTGTTCTGGTGGCTATTCTCCACTAGAATAGCCGAGTAATATAGGGGACAGAGTCTTCACTATTCGAGCCCGAGACTCATCAATACCTTCGACCTATGGTATCCCACGAAGATACAATCTCGATTGAAGTATTGGCTAGTCGCCCTAAGTACTGAAGTCATCCAAGACTTTTCATCTATATCATGGGATGCTCGGCAGATATCTGAATTTATACAGATTAAGGCTCGGCTGCAATATGTCTTCCGTTTGTTCATCATCTCCGTGTGGCGATTTCTCCGCTCATAAAACTCATGTCACTGTCTTACTTATTTCGATGATAGATTCTGAATTCTTGTCACAAAGTTGCATCATTGGCCCATTATGCGTTCTGTTCAATTGCTGAGTTGTGCTGTAGCACTGGCTAGTCATGGTGAGAAACTTCTCCATTCGCAAAATTCTCATTAAACATACCTAGTTTCTGGGCAAGCGGTCTCGAAAGCGTCGTGTGATTCAGTGACAAAGATCTGCTTCTCCTCCTATACAGCGCCTGAGAATAACATGACCTTTGGAATCGCACTTCCCATGAATGTAACTGATCTTTACGATGCCATTATCTCCATCACAGCCCCTCTCTCCGTCACTTGGGCTGGCTTTGCCTGGGGAGGAACGATGGTTTTCAACCCTCTTACGGCTGCGTGGGCAAACGGAAAGACTTCAGTAGCATCTTCGCGATTCGCTTTGTATGAATCATCCAACAGCTCATATCTTTACCAATGCGCTAACCTCTGACAGTGGACTGGGTCTTCCTCAAGGTTATGATGGAGCGACTTATACTTTGTTGAAAGGCACGACCGCGAACAGCACACACTGGACGATGGTTGCGAAATGTGATGGATGCACTTCATGGCAAGGTAGTGATGGCAACTTAGCTGTCCTCAACGCTACTGGTACGACACAATTTGCCTGGGCTCAAGGCGACACAGCAGTTCAGGACCCATCAAACAACGCTTCTGCTTTCAACGTCCACAAAGCATATGGGAAATGGATTCACGACTTGAATGCCGCTCGAAGCCCAAACTTCAATACGTGGGTTTCAAGCAATGTATTGGCCCCAGTCGCCACCAGCAGTGTCACTGCCCCATCTACGACCAGCAAAGCTGCCACCACTTTGTCCACAAGCCTCGTCCCAACCACGAAACCATCAACCCCTGCTCAGAATGGTGCAATTCCAGCTTCCTGTTCCGGGGCTGGAGCTGCTGTCTTCCAATCCGTTCTCGCGAGTGGCTGGAAGGCTACCAAGGTTCTTGGAGGTCTGACGAGTCCTCGAAGTCTGGTTTGGGATTCTGCTGGCAACATGTTGATGGTTCAATCTGGGAAGGGTATCTCGATCCACACTATGGGGACAGATGGCTGCGTTGCATCAACTAAGATGCTGGTCTCCTTGAACAGTCTGAATCATGGGCTCACCTTGAGTGCTGATGGCAAGACCCTATATGCGAGCTCCATGACTACAGTCTTCGCCTGGCCATATACTGCTTCCTCCGGCACAGTTGGTACTAGGACAACTGTCGTCAATGGAATGTACAATGGTGGTGCCCATACCACTCGAACCTTGCTTATTGGTGCCCACGCGCCTAATTTGCTGGTTGTTTCTCATGGGTCAAATGACAACTGGGATTACGCAGCTGGTAATCCAAAGACAGGTCGTGCAATCGTCAAAGTCTTTGACCTCAGTGCCGTTCCTTCTTCAGGATACAACTACGTCTCCGGCGGATACGTGATGGGATACGGTATGCGAAACGAGGTCGGAATTACTTTTGATGGAAACAACATGTTGGTAACCTTTGTATAATTACAGACTCCGTCACTAACGATTGTGCAGGCTTTGGGGTGTAGAAAACAGTGGCGATAACTTCGCTCGTGGAGGAAAAGACATCCACCAGAATAATCCCGCCGAGAAGCTGAACTTCATCGGCGACATCACAAAACCCAACAATAACTGGTACGGATACCCGACCTGCTTTGCAGTCTGGCAAGCAAGCGACTTCTCAGGCACTAGTCTCCAAGTCGGAGATCATTTCGTGATTGCACCCAACAGCACATTCAAGGACGACAGTTGCAAATCAGTGACCACCACACCGTCGCTTGTCTTCATGGCACACTCGGCACCAATTGATAGCAAATTCGACAGCACCTACAGCAACCTATATGTTACTTTCCACGGATCATGGAACCGCAACCCAACTACGGGCTTCAAGTTGGTCGAAGTTCCGTTCCAGAAGGGAACCGATGGGCAGTACAAGCCTGTTGCTCCTCCGACAAGCAACACCGGATACACGGACGTGATGACAAATCCGGACGTGACGAAGTGTGCTGGTAACGGCCCTAGTTTCAGCTCGGGATGCTTCAGACCTGCTGGTCTCCTGTTTGACTCTGCAGGAAGGCTGTACATGACAAGTGACACCACTTCTCAAGCTGAGTTGTGGGTGCTGGGCAAGCAATGAGGGAACAGTGAGTTAAAACTGTATATAAGATGAGATTGGAGAAATTGGTGAATGATTGTGGATTGAAGATGTTTATAGGTTCCTTTCTAGTCGCGAATACGACTCAAGCCATTCGTTCTAAATGACTGCATTTGCTGTTTGGGTGAAGAAATTGTTGTGTCTGGAGATGTGGCAAGGCCAAAAAAGATCGTGATGGGACCACACGTGAGTGGGGACACTCAGACGAGGCATTGAGAGAAGACTTCTCCTCACTATCTTATCTAATCATGAACTTCTCATCTCGAAATTTCCGTTGCTATCCTCAAGCACCGAGGTCTCTTTGGAGTCCAGGTCCAGATCACATTGTCCTGGCCGATGGTCGAGGTGAGCATTCTCGATCCTCGACACAAGCTCGACACAAGCTCCTAAGATTCGCTCTTGATGTCCCACTGCCAGAACTTAAGATACACTTCACGGCGGTGCCCTTGTTCCATAATTGGTGTAGGGACAGAGGTTGGGTTGGACTACCATACAATTGCCATTTTGATGTCGGTCCAGCCACAAAGTTTCCGTGCCTAGGTTGTACATCAGTACCTAGTCATACTGCTTTCAGGTTTCCATAAAGCAGGTTTCCATATTGAGGGGTGGTCGTTCGTAGGAAGAGGGAACCGTATACTGATTCAGTTCACATCTAGATGGCATTGGATAGAAAGACATCGACTTGGACCTCTCAAGAAAGCCTCTTGAGCTCTTTTCACATATTCCTGGAAAGTGTGTAGTTTACACGCTGATGCTTCTGCTAGTTTTACCGATTTAAGTCATCTCGTGGGTGACAGTTCTATTTTGCTGTAAAGTCAAGTCTCTTCTGAAATAGAACAACACGATTCTTCCTTTCGAAGCGGCAGTAGAATCCTCCACTGCTCAAAGTTGTCAATCCAGCAGTTGCCACTTAGCTGCAACATCGATGTTGACTACCACGAAGGATGTCAACAGGCGAAATGATTGCCGAAGATTCGAGGAATTTGTTCTGAATGACATTTCTTTCAAGAGCTAGCTATTACAATTATATACGCCTGTCTTCTCTCTCTTTTTCCCACACCATCTCCTCCACAATCTACTTCAGTATATCCAAACTAGCAAGCCAGATTATAAACCGGATTGAAGTTGGAATCAACAACGCCGAATGGAAGGTCACCGCCATCTTGGAGCACATATACAAATGTGTGACCATGAGCAAAGGAAGAACATATGGTTTGAGACCAATATGCTTGAGCATTCTCAATGCTAGGAACAGCATTGTTGACGGAAGCTCCTGCGGTAGGCCATCCAGTCTCTGTCACCCACACCCATGCTCCAGGATGTGCGGCGTTGACGACATCTCGAACCTGGTACACCGAGTCCCAGAACAAATTGTACGCATTGTCGATGCCGTTGTCGTATGTCCCTTGGTAATACGGATATCCGTCTGTCCCAACCCAATCGCAGGCTTGGATCACAACCTCGTTGTTGGGATCGACCCAGGCAGTCCAAGTATCGACATGTCCGACCTGGACATTGCTGCTGTATCCTGTTTGAATTGAAAGCATTCCTCGAACATCATATATCTGTTGAGCGATCCTCCACGCAGGTGCATCTCCTCTGTATAGATCCTCACTTCCAACGCTGACTGCCACCATCCAATCGAATCCATATGTTTGAACAACAGACAGCAGAGCTTGCTTTTCTGCTGCATAATGATCGTCGTCCTCAGTCCAGATACCGACCAAGATTTGACCGCCAGTTGCGAGGGCGGCAGGGACGGCGTTGGCAAGCTGATTACAATCGGAGGAGGCATAGAGACGCATGCTGGTGAAGTACCCAGGGAGGCTTTTCATGGTGTTGAAGTCGTTCTCGTACTCGGCTTGGCTTTTGCAGGAGCCATCGACGTTGTTGGCTTGATTATTGAAGCCTTTCCAGTACGCATCTGCTCCAGTGAACGCGGCAGCGAGAGCCAAAGCAAGAGTAGGGAACTTCATAACGAGTGTAATGTGCAGAAATGCAGAACGAATGAATATGGTAGGCAAACTTGAGGAATGTCGCTGGACGAATTGCGGAATGCAAGGAGAAGTGAAGAAAAGACGACGAAGGACTCAGCAAGGAACTTACTTTTTCTATGCTTACCATTTATGCACGACTTTTGTTCCTCTAAGTGGCAGAGGCGTTGTCTAGCTTGTGAATGTCTTGAGGTTATTTCTTGTTGATGAAGGTTTCGTGGGGAACGACAGCTCATAGGGGAAAAGCTAGGAGAACCTTGGGCTTAGGCGGCTATTTTTAGGGACGCGAGTGCCCGCCACTTAGGGGCGGAAGGGATCCGGAAAGAAAATCTTCAGCTACCCATGCAATCATTGTCATAGAAATTCTTCAACCGAAACTCTCCCAGAGTTTGGTGAGATACTCTTTCGACACATTCCATACACTCGATGACCGTCTCCTACTAACTTCAGACTCGGTCAACACTGCCTTCACCTTCTTGATCTCCTCGTCTGTCAAGCCACACACCCCTTTGATGTAACCTTCAGCACCTCCCCACTTCCTATCAACCATCTCAAGCATCGCCAGCATACTCTCTGGTCTCGCGCCCACCATCCGTTCCGCACGAGCTCTGCCACCTCCACCTGCACTGGCAAAGACAGGACTTTTCATCAGTCGAGTGACCACGGCATCTCTTGTGGGCCTCAAGCCGATGTCTGACAGAGCGTATTCTTTTGCGATATTCTCTGGTGACACACCCAACAGCCTGAGAATAACACCAATGAAGACTCCAGATCTATTATTTCCCGTCGTGCAATGTATGAAGCAGGCGGTGGGAGAAGTTGGTGACAGAGAGGCTATGTGTAACAGCATGGTTCGGCAGGCTGGTGCTCCATGAGAGAGGACGTCTGTGAAGGCTTGGACGATACCCTGCAAAGGCTTTGAGTGAGCATCTGAATTCATATCGAGCACACGCGTAGGCAGGTATAAGAGAGACTTTGGGGAATGGGAGTATCACTTACCGCTGTTCCATCACTGGCATATTGCACGTACCTCGCAGCAGCTTTCTCTGGCGAGTACTCTCCATCTGGAAAGGCTGGACAGCTTATTCTCTCAATTCCATCAAGCTGTGTGAATCCTCCAGCCTTCTCTATCTGCCCCTTCGAACGTAGGTCGAAGTCGGTCGTGATGTTGAGAGATCTCAGCTTCGCCATTCCTTCGTCAGTAATTGTCGCTGTATCTGGTCCACGATAGAAGACGCCATTGCGGACTCTTCCTATAACTCTGCCATTGTTGCCTTCAATGGGCCACCCTCCAATGTCGCGAAAGTTGGCAAGACCTGGGATATCCACGAAAGGAGGCTGAACTTCAGCCTGGTCCGTCATCTGCAATGCTGCAGGCTGCCGAGCGATGTCGTACCTCATTGGACGAAAGCCTCCTATCCTTGCAGTACGAGAATCAGCGATGCGACATGCACCTTGATTGAGGAGTAGGAGGTGAGTCGTGTATCGTCGTCATGGCAGATGGTGATCGCGTTGTGCTGCACTTCACTCTGCGAGAGTGGGCTTGACCTTATCGTGGGGAAGCGGTGTTCCTCTTCCTCGGACGAGGCTTGGTGGGGGCTGCCTTTTTGGTTCTAGCCTGCATGCGAGACTTCCCATCGTTCTGCTGCCCTCTAGAACTATGAATGCTTCCTAGATTCTGGGATGGAGCCTGCCGGGCTTCAAACCCTCTGCTTCACATGGAACTCGACAGAGCCATAATCTTGAAGCGCTGAATTGGCTTCAAAAGGCAAGCGCGGGGTACCTAAAGAGTGACACGTGATAGCGTGTGCTAGCGCGAAATCCACAAAAGTGACTTCCTCGAGAACTCCTTCCAGGTTCTTCACCAACTCACCAGCACCTCACTCACTCACCACTGCTGGTGCGGACGAGAGCCTATCTTCATTAGACGATTGGTGCGCATCTCTATGTATCTTCAAAGTTATTTTGCTAATTGGTGACAGAAGCAGGGAAACCTCCCCTCTACCGTTCCGAAGCCAACTTCGAAGCGTTCACGGTCCAGTATTCCTCCAACCCAATCCAAACCGGACATACCCTTCCTGCCATGGCGGACATCGAAGATCGCGGTGGCTCAACCCATTTTGAACACTCTGTGCCTGCCGCTACACCAAACACAGATAATCGGTGCGAAGATAGTTCTGGAGCCACGAACAAGTTCGAGCGCTTCAACGATCTACCCATTGAATTGAGGTTGAGGATCTGGACAATTGCCTCATTCTTCCCACGGAATGTGTGTGTGGAGGTCGACAGGTGGTTCCAGTGCGGTATTGAGCAGGAGGATTGGGGTCATCTTGGGGCCTTTCGCGTTCCTGTAACTTACACGAGCAATTGTCCTGTTCCCACGGTACTCCACGTATGCAAGGAATCGCGAAAAGAAGCATTGAAGTACTATAGCTTGGAATTCGGAGGGCATCAAGAGAACGAAGTTGATGATTATGAACGGAGTTACACAATCTCAATTCCGCCGGTCGTTTACTTTAATTGGAAGGCTGACACGCTGTTTACCCCGCGCACGTTTAGCATAACAGGTGGCATCGAAGACTACGGGCTCGATCTCGCTCGGATGGTATATGGGAAAGGCTTGAAGTCGTTGGCTCTGAATATATGTGATGGAGCAGAAATATGGAAGGCTTTCTGGATTTGCCAGGACAAGACCGCGGCGCTGGTGTCAAAAATGATTTCGAGGAGTTGATTCTCTTTTCGCACGACCCTAAGTTTGCTGACGGACTCATGAAGGTCAACTTTGTCGACATCGAGCCTGGGACACATGGAGCAAGATGGGATTCAGTCCTCAGAGAGGCCGACTCCGACGGACTCAGATCCGTTATGAAGTCGTTGCTAGGTGGCAACGCCGAACCTTTCCTGAAGTTCTGGCATTGGTTTTCTGGCTTGACGAACCCTCCTAGGATCCGGATTTGTGAACTCGCGAATATTGAGCTTTGTCCCGAGAACCCCGAGTTTTGATTAAACACATCGGGAGCTAGCAAGCTGGCATTGGAGTCCCAGATGGGAATGTAGGACGGTCGTTCGGTGGTAGAGACCACGGCGTCTGGGTATGATTATATGAAAGTAGCTTTGCTGCAGTGGCGTCTGAGGAGTTGCTCGAAGTGGATCGATGGCCGCGGAGTTAGCATATATTAGCTAGCATGGAGCATTAGGAGAGGACCAACTTGCTCGATGGTGTTTTGGTAGCGACCTACATATGCTAGAAACGAAGTGTAATTAGCAGCATTATCTCACGATGGCTTCTCAAATACATGCCAATAAACATCTTCTTTCGTTCCTCCGCTTGTTCCTGGTGCCATCCAAATTTGGAATACCGACGCGTCGTTTCCGCGACGTGGGGTACGAGTAACCTTATTTCCTCGAGAAATTCGAGAAACTTTTTCTTCTCCTCACCACTACTCCACTTCACCCTGTTCATGAGAACGAAGACCTCCCTGCCATACAATTGGTGCGCATCTCCAATGCTCTGTATTACTGCTGGAACAATGCTAATTGATGACAGAGGCAGCAAATCTTCCCTCCACCGCTGCGAAGCCCGCCTTGACTTTCGCAACCAAACATACACTTCCTGCCACCAACGATCAACACAATCTAGGCACCCTTTCCTGCCACCATGTCCGACTCAAGTGAATACTGCGGAGACACGTTCGAGCGGTTCAACGACCTCTCTATAGAATTACACTCGAGGGTCTGGAAGATGGCATCTTTCATTCCTAGAACCGTGAGCATCGAGTCGGACATGCGCTTCTCGAACCGCCACAACATTGATATGCCCCACGACATGCCTACTGCCTACACAACCTCAAGTGGTGTGCCGGCAATACTCCACGTCTGCCAAGAATCACGAAACGAGGCACTGAAGCACTACAGCTTGGAACTAGGATCTCACTTGGAATTGAGTACTAGAGGTAGTATAGGACGCAGATACACTTTTTTCATCCCGCCCACCATATACATCAACTGGACGGTAGATACACTTTACGTGCCGCGTGTTATTGAACTTATCTATGAGGACAGCCCAAACTTCGTCGAGCTATTTGAATCCAGAGGCCTGACTTCGCTTGCTCTGTATGCCGATGCAGAGATGGTTGATTTTGCGTTCAGCATTCTCCCAGTGCGAGGAGCTTTGAAGGAAATCATCCTGTTGTCGTGCTCAGCAGACCTGGCTGAGAAGCTTGGGATTATTGACTTCGTCGACATCAAAGAGATACCTCAAGATCCAGACTGGCGCAAGATTGGGGGACTTATCGAGAATCCCGAAGGCCAGGGCGCGTGGAACTCGATGCTGGAGGGTGACCATAGAGATCTGCTTGCTTATCTAGGATATCCATCGAGTGAGCGTACTACTTCTCTGCCCAAACTTCGCCTCTGCGAGGTCAAGCGCTGACTATCTTCTGATGGTGGTGGAGACATGTATCGAAGTCCTTGTAGGCTGGCAAGTTCTCAGCTTTGGGGTCTCAAGCGTAAGCACAATGGGTGGCAGAGAGTACTACACCACAGCGTCTAGCTGTAAGGATACCAGTGTGACTTTGCTGACAAGGCGTCTTAAAAGTTGCTCAAATTGTAGATTGTTAGCTGGCATGGAGGCATAAGGAACAAAGTTGCTCGATTAGTTTTGGTAGCAATATATGCTGGAGCCGACGATGAGTAGCAACCTCTTGGTGATGACTTCTCATAAATGCCAGTCAACATCTGTCATTATTCCTCCGCCTATCTCTGCTTCTCCCAGTGAAGAAGTGAAGAACCACATTCATCATCCCTCTGCTTCCTTTGCCTTCTCTCAGAGCTCTGAAGTCTAGTAGACATCTTAGCTTCTCCTTTAGATGACCATCCCTAATCGCCGGTCTACACTCCAAACCTTCTCAATGTCTGCCAGAGCTTTTGTTGCCTTCGTTCTTGCAAGTCGTTCGTATTGTCATCCGGCCGTTGTCTACACAACTAAAATGCTCAGAGTATTGCTCCTGAGCAGAGCTTATGAGCCTGAACCCCACTTTACTCTTGTTGGAGGGGCATTCGGAGCATCTCATTGTCGGGATAATATTACAGCGAAAGGCGCTGTAGATTTAGGCTCAGCGTGCCGAAACCCCCGGTGTACCCACAGTGGCATAAGGCTAAAGTCGAAGGCATCTCGAAGGCATCTCGAGCTTCGAGTCGTTCATCACGATAAATTTATGATGAACATTCTGCGATTTAATTTTTTTATGTACCAGTTGATAACATGGCCTGATACTTCTGTACCCTTGACAGCGGCACAATATCAAGAGGAACCGTAGTTCTGGTGTTCTGGTGTTCAACTGCATGACCAGGACTTTCGTATCCCCCTAAATTCTCCAGGGTCTTTCATGCAGGTACCCCGCATCATGCCACCTTCTCCGTCGTACGAGGGTATTCCCACTCTGGTCTTCTATTTAGCCAGAAGTCAAGCTGTTCCCTAGCTGCAGCAATTCATCGTCATACTAACTTTGTGGATCACGATAAGCTTCAAAATTCTTTCCGCGAGTGTGGGGTGTTGCTGTAAGCTTGACTTATTATCTGCCTGCTTTCCTCGTCCTGCGATATTCTCTCTCAACACCCTTAAGCTTTCCCCAAGAACTCCAGCATTAATCAGACATCATGAAGTTTCGCGATGGAATGTGGATGGTCGCCGAAGGGAAACGCCCAGAGTATGCGGAAGAAGTTTACTCGATTGCAGAACATCCTGCAGGGAACTCTTTGAGTCTGCTTTGTCCCACGAAGAGAATACTGCAGAGATCGGATTCTCTGAATCTGCCAACTCTGACAATTGTATGCCTCACTTCATCTTGCCCTTCTAGATCCTCATGCTAACTCTAGCAGGACATCAGAGCACCTTTCGACGGCGTGATCTCCGTCGAAACAACGCATTGGCTTGGGGCTCTGAATCCAGGACCCCACTACGATCTCTACCCCGCAGGAAAGCCAGAAAAGTGCAATCCTGGCATCTCGAAGACAGACACGTCTACAACCCTCAGGTCAGGCTCGATATCTGCGACAGTCAAGACTGGCAATCATGATTTCGACATCCGCTTTCATGCCACCGATGGCTCGAAGGAACTCACATCGCTGCTTAATCGAAGCGTGGGGTTCGCATATAGCCCTGCGCCAAGCAATCAGCTCGTGACGGGAGACATGTCGAAATTCCAGCATTATATCTTCACGCAGACTACATTATCGGTTGGAGAGTCCGTTCATGGTCTTGGAGAGAGATTTGGAGCTTTCAATAAGGTTGGGCAGGCAGTCACACTTTGGAATGCAGATGGTGGGACATCGAGTGATCAAGCATATAAGAACATTCCGTTCTGGATCAGCTCAAGGGGATATGGTATCTTTATTGATACTCCAGATAAGGTAGAGTTGGAGGTTGGTAGTGAGCGGTGTTGCAGAGTCCAGACGAGTGTTGAAGCACAGCGATTGAAATGGTAAGTTCTACTTTCCTCGGCTTTTCAAGTCAAATATAGTCATGTCTGACGTCTCGCAGGTACATCATCTACGGCCCAACTCCAAAGGAAGTCTTGCAGAAGTACTCAATATTAACAGGAAAGCCTGGAAAGGTACCAAGCTGGAGTTTTGGACTCTGGCTGAGCACCAGCTTCACAACCAATTACGACGAGAAGACTGTCAACTCCTTCCTCGAGGGCATGAAAGCACGAGATATCCCTGTGGAAGTCTTCCACTTTGACTGTTTCTGGCTTCGAGCATTTCATTGGTGCGACTTCGTCTTCGATTCTGAGATGTTCCCTGATCCAAAAGCTCAAATCGCACGTCTGAAAGCCTCAGGTCAGATCCCCTCTTCACTCCTCTTTTCACACTAACATCTCCAGGACTGGTAAAGAAAGTCTGTGTCTGGATCAACCCCTACCTAGGCCAGGCCTCTCCCGTCTTCAAGTTCGCCGCCAGCAAAGGCTACCTCCTCAAACGTAAAAACGGTGACATCTTCCAATGGGATCTTTGGCAAACGGGAATGGGAATCATCGATTTCACGAACCCGGAAGCGTGCGAGTGGTACGTCAGCTGCCTGGAAGGTCTGTTTGACAAAGGAGTCGATGCTATCAAGACTGATTTCGGAGAGCGGATCCCGTCGATTGATGTCGAGTGGTTTGATTCATCTCTTGATCCGAGGAAGATGCATAATTACTATGCTTTTCTTTACAACAAGGTAGTTTATGAGGCGATTCAAGACCGCTTTGGAGAGAATGAAGCAGTGCTGTTTGCTCGTACTGCTACTGCTGGGACGCAAAGATTCCCTCTTCAATGGGGAGGTGACTGCGAGTCTACACCTGAGGCTATGGCAGAATCCGTTCGTGGAGGACTTTCTCTTGGTCTGGGTGGATTTGCTTTTTGGTCCGTGGATATTGGTGGATTTGAAGGGTACCCTCCTCCGTGGATTTACAAGCGTTGGGTTGCGTTCGGGCTACTGTGCTCACACAGCCGTCTGCATGGAAGCAATTCTTTCCGCGTTCCATGGACAGTGGACGATGATGATACAAGCGAGCAAGGATGCTCGAAGACTTTGGCAAAATGGACTTCGCTGAAGGCACGTTTGATGCCGTATATCTTCGCCCAAGCACAAATCGCGGTGGAGCAGGGCATCCCGCTTTCGTTGAGAGCAATGTGCTTGGAATTCCCTGAGGATCCCACGTCCTGGTTTCTCGATCGTCAATTCATGTTCGGTGATAGCTTGCTTGTGGCTCCTATTTTTGAGGAATCTGGCGATGTGGAGTTCTACCTGCCCAAAGGTCGATGGACGAGTTTCTTCACGAACAAGACTAGAGTTGGACCGGGATGGTTCAAAGAACATCATCAATTCGATACGCTGCCGTTGTATGTCCGCGAGAATACCATTTTGGTTCTTGGGAAATGGCACGAGATGAGGACGGTTTATGATTATGCTCAAGGTGTGGAAGTCTGTCTTTATCAGACGAAGCCAGGTGCGAAGACTACTGTTGTTGACTCTGAGGGTGAGGAAGTTGGCGTGTTGGAGATTGGAGAGGAGGGACATTTGATTGATCAAGACTTTTTGACGGGAGCTTGGCATGTAACGAGGAATGGAAGGAGTACGATCAAGAGCAAGGCGACAGAGAATTGAGATGAGGGAGAGGTAGAGGATCGAAGAAGGAAGACTGGGAGTTGTTATACCATGTTTTTTTTACAGAGGAGAGACACTGGAATTGTTTGGAAATATTTGCTCTTCCCAGCGATCTTCCATCGCCTTATCAAGAAACGCTTACTTGATGTTTGAATATGGGAGCAGAAACAGAGACAAGGCTTGGATCCTTAAAAGAATAGTGATCTCCGACGCATGCACTCGCTGGGTTTTAGCATATGCCCATTCAGAGGACGAGTCTGTCCTGAAAAGTCCGACATCCCACCAACCGCCCCCACGACGTACCCAGCCACAATTGATCTAACTCAAGAACAATATACATTCAAATTCCCTCGAGAAACGTCCATCCAAGCTGATGCCACGACGCGAGCGAACAAAATGGACATATCACACCTTCTTACACATTCTCCAATGGATAATATGCATATAGACATCAACGAGGCTGAAGATCAGGCGCCAACTATCTACAGACCTTTGGACGGAGAAAGAAGAGAGATCAGGCTCGTGACACTCAGCCCTAGAAACTTTGCAGACGACATTCACTGCACTCTATCAAGGTCCTGGCTGGATGGCCAACCTGCAAGTTATGAAGCCCTCTCATACGTTTGGGGTGATGATGGCTCTCGTAGGCAAATATTCATCGAGAACATTCCGAGCCTCGTCACAGTGAACTTAGAGGTTGCACTCCGACATCTTCGACGACACCAACAGCCGAGGATCCTATGGATTGATGCAATATGTATCAACCAGAACGACATTGATGAGAGGAATGTTCAAGTAAGGCACATGGGGGACGTCTACAAATACGCATCTCGTGTTATAGCTTGGCTTGGCGAGGAGTCCGACGATAGCAATCTGGCTTTTGATGCTTTAGAGCATTTTCCGAGAGACCTTGAAATGCATTGGGATCCGAGTATGAACGCCTCATTGCAAGCAGAAGTGTTCGAGCCAAAGTACCTTGATGCCTTTCAAAATCTCTTTCGACGACCGTGGTGGCATCGTGTCTGGACCGCCCAGGAGAGTATCCTAGGACCAGTTCTGGACATTATCTGTGGGAAGAGGCAGGTGTCGGCCGATCTTTTGCGTGATGTGTACTTGGGCCTCCAAAAGCATGATGGCTCTTGTTGTCGTGACTTTTTCTGGAACGAGCGGCTTGATCTACGATTCGACGAAGCTGGACGTCTCTTAGAGGTCTTATATATCTAGCGCCTAACGGATTATAGGCAGAAGCTCCTTGAGCACCTTCTCTCTAATTTCAGGTCTCGGCATTGCTCTGATCCTCGCGACAAAGTTTATGGAATGTTGGGGCTTTGCCATGCCGACCTGAGAAAGACAATTATTCCGTCATACTCGTTGCCTGTCTCGTTGGTATATGAAGAAGCTACCTTAAGGATTATAGAGAGTCAGGGTTCCCTCCATGTGCTAAGTCAGATTAGTCCTGGATCATGGGATAAGGTTGCACGTACAACCGAAAATCTGCCTTCTTGGGTCCCGGACTGGGCATTGGATATGAGTCAAAAGGAGATTCAGATCCTTGCAGTGCGTACATCGCTCCTCGACCATTATTATGCCTCTTCTGGAGCAGTTGCTTGGATACGTCATAGCGATAGAAGCAGCATTGTCCTTGGAGGAATCATTGTAGGTCGAATTGGCGCGGTTAGTAAAAGCACAGGGTCAAATTGGAACGAATACCGAAGTACCTTCCTCGAATGGCGGCAGATGGCAGGTATTGATGAGGCTCCAAATCGACCGTATACTAGTAGACCCCCAACGACTTATTATAACGCATATAGGCAAACAATTTCGGGTGCCATGATGCAAGACCGTTCAAGCCTTCAAGACCCCACTAAGAAGACAAGGGTTTCAGACAATGCCGCATTCCGTTGCTGGCACGATGCTTGGTGGAATTGGATACAGGTGCACGATGGAGACTTTCGAAAGATACATTTGGCCAGCTCCGAGTACACTGGAACCGAAATCTCACTTTTTGGAGCTGGGGTTTATGCTTCTACGGGCATGCGAAGACTGTTGATCACCGAAGAGGAAGGATGGCTTGGACTGGCACCAGCGAATGCACGTATCGGAGACGTGATTGCACTCCTCCAGGGTGGCTCAGTGCCATACATCCTCCGACCAAAGCGGCATGCAGAGACTGGAACTTATAAATTCATTGGAGATGCATACGTGCATGGCATCATGGATGGGGAAGCATGGGATATTGACGCTTTACAAGATATAACTCTGGTCTAGTAGGAGGTTGAGACGTTTTGGCCAAAGAGGGTCCAATATGGTACCACATTACGATTGCGAGCAAGTGAAAGAAGACGGTAAAAAGGCTACCACACAACACTGAAGAGTGTTCAATATATCTGACAATTATCCCAAGAACTTCGTGACAATTTCAGAAAACTCCCTTGGCTTCTCAACCATTGGCAAATGTCCCGCTCCCTGAACAACCTCATATCCAGCACCACTGGATCCATAGGCACTAGCCATCTCTTGCATCGTACCTGGCAAGACGCCATCTCCACTGCCAACAACAAACAATCCCTTGACTTGACACGTCTTCATCTTCTCTTTCAGGTCATAGTCAAACAGTGCATTTACGCTCTTCTTGAACCCTTCCTGACTATTGGTCTTGACCATCTCCTTGACTTCGAGGCAGGTTTTCTCCAACACACCTCCATCATAGCTCTCCTTGACAAACCATCTTCGAGTAGTCATTTCAGCAAGCTCCTCTCCCACAATCTTCTCGCCGCTTGCAGCTAAAGCGCCTTCTTTCTCTGAGACAGCAATTCGATCACCCCAGGCTTTCGAATTTCCTGCTGGAGATTTGCTGCTCGTGTCGCAGCTTACGAATGCACTTACACGGTCTGGGTATGTCAGAGCTGTGTTGAGAACCGTTGCCCCACCAAGACTGACACCAATCACTGCAGCTGCTTTCTTGACTCTGAGCGCGGTCAAAATAGTGATGATATCCGCTGCTAGAATATCCACCGTCACCTCTCTTGAGCCAGTTTCTGAAGATCTACCTCTGGTCAGGTACCGTAGAATGCGATATTTCTTGTTGGACGGCTTTGAGAAGAAGTTAGAGAGAAATCCATCCCAGATCTTGTAATCCACGAGAATGGAGTTGCTGAGGACGATGAATGGTGCATCTGGATCTGCAGATCCTTCCAGTCGGAAAGGAAGTTCGACCCCGTCTTTGGTTGTGATATATGACTCTATGGCTCCAGCCCCACCAGGAGAGTCAGGAATAGTTGTTGTCAGAGATACCTTCTCGTCTGAAGAATGCCACGAAGCCATATTCGAGGAGAGGTATCGTGGAGCTGGACCAAAAGTATAGTATAAATCATACACTCTCCTCCGCTTGTCTTTCACCACCTTTGTCATGATCTCCTGGTTCCAAGGCGTCGTCGTTGCAGTTTTGAATTCTGGTCCTCCAAGTCCATTTTTCGGTGCGTATTCGTGTAGTGCAAGCAATTCGTAAGGGGCTTTCGGATCGATCGAACTGGTTACAAATCTCCTCGTCCTCAACCAACCCGGCACCTTTGACAACAACTCGATATGCTCCTCTCTATACCACTTATCCACCTGTTCCTGCATACCTTCCCTATTGTGTAGATCCAGAAACACGGCAACCATCACATTTCCCCTCCCCTCATTCTCCACCTTCTCCATCTCCACAAACTCATCACTATGTCTCTCCTCCACGAAATCGTATAGTTTTCGATCAACCTTAATCTTCGCCATCGTCTCAACCTCCCTCTGACTCTTCACAGGCGGATCTCGCAGCCGCAGATACACATCTTTCGTCAATTCCGCCATATCATCGATATCGTACACTGCCATCCATTCTGGCTGACTTTCCGACCCGGCAGCGCCCTCGAGATCGCTGGCGCGGTACCGGAAGCCATTTTGACAGAAGTCGAGACGCAGACGTGTAGGGCCGTGTTCGTTGTTGTACCAATCGTGGAAGGCAGATTCTTGGAGCCCGGGTTTGGGCTGCATTGTCACGTAGAGGATGCCGGGTGTTGGTGCCATGATGTCGATGTTTGGGTATGAGTGAGGAGAGTTCTCTCAATGAATGTCGAAGACAGAATTCGAATATGTAATTAAGGAGTTCGTAACACATATAGAAACATCAAAGGAGGTATGCTTCCCAAGGGGTTGCCCCCGTCATCGGATTGCATCCCCACCATTGTAGCTGCGGGGAGGAAGAGGGAAGCTCGGCAGCGATGGCGGGAAAGGAAAGAGCCCTGGAACTTCGCCGGTGCAAATTGCCTGGCTCGCCTAAAATTTTCAGGGGCATGGCGTGCTGAAGCGAGACCATGAAGAGTTTCTCTTTGAAGATTTCTTTATTGCTAGCGGAGTAGTGATAAAAAGATTAGACGCAGCAAGTTTAGTATCTCGATATGTTTTCAACAGAAAAAATAAATTGATCTTAAACCCTCATATTGAAGTTACTGTTGAAATTGCCCAGTACCCTTAAAGATGCTATCGCCAATGCCATGCCTTGTACCATTCATCTAATCATACCAAATGGCATTCATGCCGAATCCAGGCTCCTTAACATCACAATGAGCAACTCTTGCCAAGAACTCGTCCTTCCACCGGTAAATTTCTAACCACCCATCTTGATCATCCGTCAAAGCAATCCATTCATCACTCCAATCACATGGACTGACAGCATTCGAGTGACCACCACTATTCGGCGTTGGATTCATACATATTTGTCTCTCGATGTTGCCAGCTGGGCCAAGCTTGAAAGCGGATATGTAGCCAGTCAGGTTATGCTTGTTGGCTCGTGAAGTTGCGAACAGGTATTTCTTGCTATGAGTAAGCGTCACAACATCTGCCCGATACATTGTCTTTGGGTTTGGGATTCCTGCTTGTCTCAGTAAAGCTCAAAAAGCGTGGATGAAGACATACCTGGAGGTATCAGAGGGTATGTGATATGTGTAAAAACAGGACAATGTGTCTGAGGATCAATCACATAAACACCAATCCTATTCCCAGCCTCCATCAGAACATAAAGATAACTTTGATTCAACGCCACCCATCTTGGATGATCTCCTGGATCTGGGGCTTCAACTGAGCCAACAAGAGTCAGCTGACCCTGCTCGTCTTTCTTATGAGTCCAGATCTTGTTGGCTCGCAAGTCAGCCGAATAGAGGTAAGTCTCGGTAGGGTCGAAAACCATGCCATGAATACCGGTCTTTGGTTCATACTGGTAATTCTGGACGCACTTCTCCAAGCCACCCTCCTGGTTGACGGAGAAAACATTGCCAAAACCAGCATGGTCGTAAAATGGATTACCGTACACATTGAAGGGAGGCTTCTTTGCTGCTAATACAAATATGGCTCTTGTATTGGTATCAGATTTCGATGCTTCGGCTATGAGATCGTGAGAAGATGGTCTGAACACTAATAAGATTACATACGAAGATGCTCCATTGGATGTGAAGCATCATGAACGATTTCAATTGGACTTTTGACAGCAAAACTCGACCATTTCTTCATGGCTGCTCCATAGATATTCTCCTTTGCGTGCTGCAATCCAATTAGTATGCAGTCACATGCTTCGATAGATTTGGCTTACATCAAACGTCATCCACGATATTGGTTCATCTTTTGGAATCTCCGTCCTCTTGATCATATTCAGTTCCAGAGTCTCATCGTCAAATTCGAATGTGAAGATTGCTCCTGGAGGGGTCCATGTCCCCACCATCAAATGATGCTTCATCCCGCGGATTTGGAGGCAACAATTGTATCTCAGTCTTGAACGTGTAGTAATAGTTGGACGATTGGAGTACAGAGCAGAAGTCCAACGATTTGTGTCGATATACTTCGATAGTCGTGCGTTCATGTATCTTGTATGGTCATGCTTCAAAAATCATCGACCAGATTGTAAGTGCAGCGAGAAGTTTGAGTGAGAGCGAAAAGTGCTGCCGCTTGAACAGCCGGGTAAGGCCTAGACAATCGGGGAGGTCCACTTTAATGCTGCAATTGGTCTGATCCTTGGATTTGACCCCACTAGAACCCACTAAGCGAGAAGGTGGGGTAAAAAGCGAGGGGTTCACTTCAGCCATCGGCAAAAGTCTTTTCCACGCGGAAACACATGACGGCTGCTATAAAACGGACCTCTGCTGTCCCACACGCAGCCAATCCAACTAATAAATCTACCCTCATTCGCATTCGCTATCTCTCCCATCCTGCCACAGTCTATTGCACGCCGTTGTCTGTATGTCTGTATGTCTGTATGTATGTCCAGGGTTGGCCGTTTCGACCTCAGGTCGATACTCTCGTGGTTATGCTCCCGTCCACAAGCCGATTGACCTGCCGCGAAATAGATTCTGGCCCTCAATATCTTCCTCTCCGAATTGTGGGGAGATTGTGGGGATGGGTAAGTACGTACAGTGTGTTGCGCTGACATTTGTGTGAGTGAGAGATGCTATTATTAAGGCCCGAGAGCTTCAGATAAGACACAAACTCTCTTTCCTCTCCTCTCTCTCTATTTTCTGTGTCCAATCTTTGCCCAGAATCTTCTTGTATTCTGCAATTGAGTCCATTTGCCCCTCCATATTCAATACTCCCCCAATTACACACTCCCTACGCAGCACAATGGCAGACAGATTCGACCCCAAATTCACAGGCCATGTTCTCGAGACCATTGGCCCCAATTGCACGCCTCGCAATCGTCTTGTTCTCGGTGCTCTTATGAGACATGTCCACGAATTCGCTCGAGAAGTCGAACTCACAGTCGACGAGTGGATGATGGGGGTTACTTTCATCAACTCAATCGGTCAAGCCAGCACGCCCATTCGAAACGAAGGCCACAGAATCTCCGATGTCATTGGTCTCGAGTCGTGAGATATTCTCCAAATTTACGCTTCAACTTTTCATTCTAATGTTCTCAGACTCGTCGATGAAGTTGCCCACAAACTCGTCACCGATGGTGCTGACCCAACTTCCTCCTCCATCCTCGGACCCTTCTGGTCACCCAATGCCCCTTTCCGTGAGAATGGCGGCTCAATCATTATTGATCCCGCTCCAGGCGGAAAGCCAACCTTGATGCACGGAAAAATGACTGATCTCTTGACCGGAAAAGGAATCCCGGGCGCCGTGGTAGACATCTGGCAAGCATCTGCGAACGGCAAATACGATTTCCAGGACCCTGACAACCAATCTCCAAACAACTTGAGAGGGAAGTTCAAGTGTGATGAAAATGGAAACTATCATTTCTATTGCTTGAAACCAACTGCGTATTCGCTGCCGACGGATAGTCCTGCTGGTGTGCTATTGAGGTTGTTGGATAGACATCCTATGCGTCCTGCTCATATTCATCTGATGGTACGTTCTACCTCCATTCTTTGAGTATTTAATCTAGTATTGACGAGCTTGCACAGATCACTGCAGACGAGTACAGAGGTTGCACGACTCAAATCTATCCGAATGACGACCCGTACCTCTCCACCGATACCGTATTCGCCGTCAAGGATGATTTGGTCGTCGACTTCAAGCCCATAGAAGGTGACCCAAAAGCCATCTTGGATCTCGAGTACAACGTTATCTTGGCGCCGAAGTCATACAAAGGGGTTACGCCTCATACACAATCCTCCATCGGTCTTGAGTCGAAGCTTTGAGGTCGTTGTTGGTGCGAGCGTACGGGTTGAAAGGAGATGGAAACATCATGAAAGGCGTTGGTGTTCCTGAAGTGGTTGACATGACTAGTCACACTGTCAATATACATCATTTCGAGCACTCTGGTTTTTCATGCCTCAGAACTGATGTGTCAAATCTCTCCGTGATTTCCAATCCCAACTCTTAGACCGGATTCCGAAAACTGATAGGTGACCAGTCTCTGAAGACAAAGCAAACCAGCGGACCATGCACGCAATTCCAGAGGATGAACTCCTCAACTGAAGGAACGTCTTCTTTCATAATTATATTTTCGTTACATCGGGGTTCTACAACAAGACCGACAGCACCAGTTCTGACCCGAAAAATGTCATCAAAAACTTTCAAGAAGTATGCTGGTCTCAGCGAAAGACAGCACCTGGAGATATCCCCAATTAAACCCATGCTTCCGAATATCGAGGATCTCAATGGCAAATCTCTTGTCAAAGACATTCACACGCATCTGTATCTTCTCCGACGGTCCTACGAATATTTCATCGACACGGACGAAGAAGAAGAGGTCCTGTCTCCGCACAGCTCGTACTTGGAATCACCATGGTTATTGGTCTGCGAACCTATTAGTCATGCAGAGCAGACAATCAAAGGAGGCTGGACCAAAGTCCGCGACTACAAGGATTTCAAGTCCTTTCCGCATTTTTGGAACGAGGAGTTGGCTCGTCAGGTCAACCGTACTGGGGATCCGAACAATTTGGTGCCTGCAAAGCCCAATAATGCGGCTAGGATTGGTCTCTTCTGTTCAAAAACAGAAAATTGGACTGGTAGAGGTCGGGCTTGGTTGGATGCAGATTGGCATGTGTGAATCGCGATACTCGCAAAGGTTGCTGACGGTACTGAACTTTGGATCTTCGACTGCGAGTCGGCTTCTGATAATCTCAACGTAGAGGTTGATAGTCGAAACTTGCGAAACGATATGCAACGGAGATTCATTGACTACTGCAAACGAGAGCAGAACTTGAACATTGTGCGAGCATGGATAGGGGGCAATCCTCATGGAGATGATGCAGACGGCAGCACTTGTCTCCGGCGAACATTAGTCTGGTTGGAGGGTATGCTCGCCTCTCGGAACTGGACATCCTGGCCTTGGTCTGAAGCAAAATCTCGAGAGTTCGGATTCATCCCTTTGAAAACCTCGGCCTCAGAAGGAAACAGTGCTCCAGGACGGAGGTCCCAAGCTCCAACTCGGTCGAGGTCAGCATCACCGGCAGTTGGTCCTTCAAAGCGCCCCAGGGCGAACAGGGCTAGGAATGTACCACGCAATGTCGTCGTTCCCAAGAAGGAGGAATCTTCCCCCTGAAGCACCGCCACTGTTTTTCTTCAACGGGACCATACTGAGCTTTTCCATACGGCGTTTTACTGTGACCCACGCTACTGCGTTGATCTTTTTGGAAAGCATGGGGCCCGTGTTGTTGAGGAGCTACTTCACACGATCATGTTGAACAAGATATGAGACAATTGGAGAAGGAGGAGGACGAGGAAGAGGGAGATAAGAAGATTCCGGTACCTGAAATTCGGTCTTTCTTTCATGCCAGAATTTCATTCCAATGCCCACGTTTGACTAATGTTTTCCTTTCACAAATTTGGCATTTTGAGTTTAAAGTCTAGATCAGGTCTTTAGACACTATTAGACTTCAATATATGGTACACTGTTTTCTGCTTTGGCCGATTTCTTTTCTCGCCACAAACTGGATATCGAGATATTGTTCTCCAGACTTCATGAGATTCCTTTGTAATAGGTCTAGTATCTGTTATTATTACAAACACCAGATTCCGTGGAAACAGTTGCTTTATCTGAATCCTAAGAGTTCCGCACATTTTCGGTCAATAGAAAACTGTGAGAGTGCCAAACGATGAATCAGGGGTATCATGTGACTGGGTAGCTTCCACCGGGATAGGCAGTCTCTACCTCTTAGCTTTCTTTCTTTCTTTCTCGAACGTTGATGCCTCATCCTATGTACAATTTTCCAACACCATCACGTCAGAGGACAGCCTCGAGTGGCATGTTCCCCCTCCACTTAAACACAGTATGTTCATTCGCCCAAGCCAACACCTCATCATAGTCTTTGCACACATGTTCGTGACCGAAACCTGGACCAGCTTCCGTCTTACCTTCGAGAGTGGTATCTGCGGCGCACATGATTGCTTGTCGAATATAATCGAAGCAATGTGCGGTGTGATGCGCAACTTCCTGCGTCAACTCTGTTTGATAATGCTCTGCGAGGTATGACTTTCAAAACGTCAGTTCAAAATCACAATTGCTTTGAATGGCACCATGAGCTTGGAGAGAGAACATACGACGCAATGAAGCTGGTGGAAAACCGACATCATGTATACCGGTTCTTTTTTATCTGTATGCGTTCCATGCATGGTGTAAGGTTCCCCCAATTTGAACGACGTCGAATTGTCGACTTGAACGTATCCTCTCCCATCTGCGAGGCTTTTGTCAGATAGGATCATATTTCCATAGGAGAACTACTACCTGAACTTAGTTCGATCCAGTTGTGGAGTGTATGGAGCGTCTCCTTCCTACTGGAGAACATATCTTCGTGTAAGTACCTCGGATTCTGGAGAAATGTATAGGACTTCGTTGAAACTTGAAAAGCATGGTGTCACTAAAAGTTGTTTCGATAAACCTTTCGGTTTGCAAATGTGAACATACAGGCAGGTACCGGAGTTGGTTTCTTCGTTGATTTGGAAAATGGGTCCAGATACAGCATCACCATCACCAACGCCATCAAAACCTCCAGAATGAGTCTCAAATGGAATCTTGAAGCTAAATTAGGTTTCTTTGACCTCGGATCTGGTAGATGGTTGTTGTCCTCGGGATCTTTAGGGAGAAATAATTGCTGGTCTTCATCTTGTTCGCTTTTGTCAATAGCCATCGCCAAAAAGGCAGCTACATTGACCGAACCTCAAAGCTGTGAGGTTGATCGATTTTGAGGAAATGACGGCAAATTCAGGCACGTAGGGGAACTTGGAATGCCTTTGAGTATTAATGTACGGAGTACAGTGCCATGTGATCCTAAACTTTAGGCTGAATTCTGCGGGTTCTGAAACGACTTCCCGGCTGAAATTGCAGACTTGACTAGTGTATTGTATATTTCTTTGCACGCAATAGTCGGCTTCGCTTCCCGAATCCCAGACCTTCGGGTGGGATCTAGGGCAAAAAGTACAAGCCATACCAGAAGAATTAGACTTCCGGTATCAAACTACTTGACCTCACCGGCACGCGGCCTATTGCTTAGCATGGCACCTTCAATTCGTTTTGGGGATCAGTATCTTCGAAGCTTAGTGATATTGTAAGTTCTAGGTCAAGATCAGATATCATTGTTCGACCTTTCGGTATACGTTGTGCAGTCAAAACCCCTTTGATGGTTCATCGGATCCGATCTGTACAATCTCATTCCCGAAGGCAAGAACGAAGACTCCCGCAATTTTTACTATTCGTTAATCGATGAACACTGAGTACTGTAGCCGGAGAAACAGTAAGTATCTATTATTGATACACACCTTAAGCTTTAATTCCGCAAAACAGAAACACCAGAAACACATGGACATGACAGGGCTGGTCACGTGATTATGTGTTATATTTATTTCCAAGATTCTTGAGCAGACTGCGCCGCAGACCCCTCACTTCTTCTCAGCAAGCATACATCTCTAGTGACACTCTGCTACCTCCTATTTCAACTCATCAGTGGATGTTGATGGCATAAGATACCTTGCGCAATCGGGTCTCTAGGCAGCCATCGCTCGAAGGGAAAACGCAGGGTCGAAGAGGAAAGTCCTTCAATGCTTGAAATGAACGAGGGAACAGACGTTGGAGCCTACACATATCGTTTTCTCGTTATCGAGATTCTCACCCAAGCTTCGAATAACCGCAAAGGGTAGCCATCTCGAGTGCTCATTCGGCAGCATGGACAAACACGAGGCCGACGAGCAGGAATTCGTGATGGTGCAGAAGGACGACTACGATAATGATCATATCGACGAGCACACAGAAGACATTCATGTCAATGCCATGCAGGAATGGCTACAACCTACCGCATATTTCGCCGACTCCAGCGACTATCAGAAACATCTGCAGGCTCACGTCCAGGGAACCGGCAACTGGCTTGAGAATTCTGAGACATACCGGTCATGGCTCCAGTCAACTTCTCACGGATCGCTGTGGATTGAAGCCCCGGCTGGGATGGGAAAGAGTGTTTTGGCGGCCACGACCGTATCCAAACTCATCGAGACAGGTGTTCCAGTAATGTTCTTCTTCTTCAGACAGATTCTTGCTACGAACCGCAGCCCGCATAACCTTGTGCGCGACTTCATCTCTCAAATCTTGTCAATTAGCCCGATTCTTTGTCAACAAATGGAAACTTACCTCGATGGTGGCCGTTCCGTTGATGGTGTTTCAACTGATGAACTGTGGGCACATCTACTTCGCGCCTTGGAGTCGTTTCCAAGGTCCTACTGCATCATAGATGGTCTTGACGAAATGGACATGGAACAGGGAAAGTTCTTGAACACTTTGGTCAAACTTGGAATACACAAACCGGACTCAATCAAGCTTTTAGTGACGAGTCGACCGCTCCCCCGAATCGAAACACACCTTAAGCACCCATCTGTTCTTCGACTCAAACTCGAGCGAGAGATTATCAACGAAGACATCGCTTCCTATGTCGAGTACAGACTCGATGGTGTGGAACAGCTGAGTGCTAGCTTGCGGACCGAATTCTATCAGCGTTTGCAAGACAAGACCCAAGGCTCCTTTCTCTACGCACGCCTGGTCGTGGATGAATTCACCAACCACATTCGGCGATCAGATTCCCCAGTATCCTTGGACACATTCAAATGGCTTCCTCACAGCGTGGAAGATATGTACAATGGTATGCTATCAGACCACTCCGTTCGCTCTGGTATTCCAGAAGACCTCCAATTGATGATTCTTGGCTATGTCACACACTCTATTCGCCCTCTTCGACTTCTTGAACTTGCAGCTTTGCTTCACCACTCCAGACCTTCCACTTTGATCAGCATTACTGGACATAATGACTTCCAGACTCCCTCCGTCAAAGATCTTGGGGACACGAAAGCACTCGTTCGTAGTGCATGCGGGCCATTGCTCGAGATCCTTCCAGACGAGACTATTTCTGTCATACACCATTCATTCACAGAATTTCTGCTTGATGGCGACAGGAAAAGGAGATCAGATGATATCAACCATCAATTCCCCGTCATAGACTTCAAAGAAACTCACTCTGCTTTGGCAATTGCGTGCTTGAAGTACATGAACTGTTTAGCGCTATGGGACATCAAGCCACGCAATTCAATGAGTGGAGAGCCGGATGCTGAACATTGGGGCAGGGTACAACAATTAAGAATGGGTTATCCTTTTATTGACTACGCCATGACACATTGGCACGCCCATATACGCAGATTAGAGACTTTGAATGACGAGCCTTCATTCAGTATGCAATCCGGTATAGAGCAGGAACTTCTCTTACACGCGCTGAACGACTTCATGCAGCAGAAGGTTTATGCTTGGCTCGATTTGAATTGGTCCTCAGCTGATCATTTCAAGAAGTTAGGCCCGACGAAAGATGTTCTACCCCTTCATGTTGCAGCTTGGTCAGGACTCACAAGTTATGCCAAACATTTGATCAAGAATGGGGCAGAGGTACATTGCAAGGATTGGCAAAGAATGACCCCCTTAGCTTGGGCAGCGGTGAGAGATCATAACGACATCGTCGCGTTATTGATACCGCACGACCCTCATGAGAACTATGAGTCGCGTCCCTATCATGGTCGAGAACCCTTGTACTTCGCCGCACGTGGAAATAACCATGTCATCGTTCAGCAGCTCTTGGAAGCTGGAGCTGATCCACTTTCAAGAAAGTTAAGGGTAACGCAACGCCGCGATGATAGAGAGTCTTGTTTCTATTACGCTTGTCGAGCTGGAGCTGTTGAATCGGTTCGTCACATGATTCCGTACTTACCTGATGAATACTTGAACAAAGCTCTTTGCGACGCAGTTCGATGTGGAAAGAAAGAAGTTGTTGAAGTCATCCTTGCTTCTCCCGGAGTCTCTCTGTATGACAGCCATTTAGAACGTTCGCCATTAATAATAGCTGCTCGGCAGGGTTATCATTCCATCATTGAAGTCCTGCTGGCAGCGGGTGCAGATCCGAACAAAACCGGCTCGAATGATATCACCGCTATTCATACATTATTTCGCGAAAATTGGAGGGAGCAGGAAGAACGTTCAGATGCGAAGGCGCGTTGCCTTCTGGTGCTGCTAGAGGCTGGGGCCAAAGTCAATGTAGTGGATAAGTCCGGCGTAACCCCATTGCATCGATCAGTATCATCGGAAGTATTTGCAAGCGATCCTGTTCTCACAAGACTACTTCTCGAATACGGTGCAAGCGTTACTGCACAAGACAAAAGTGGAAATACTCCAGTTCATAATCTACATGTTCGGTCCAACTCTGCACCTATCATCGACTTGCTGATCAGTCATGGCGCAGACTTGCAGTCAGCACGTCAAAGTGATTCCAGAACATTGTTACATTTAGCGGTTGGTGATATGCGAACTCAAGAGATAAAACCTCTCCTGAAACATATCACCAATTGCAACGTTGTTGATTCCCAGGGTAATACACCGTTACATCTAGCGGTGGAAGCACTTTCCAATGATTGTGTGAATGAAAGGATTCGCTGTAAAGCAGAGATGATCTCTGACCTTGTATCATCAGGAGCTGATACCAATATGAGGAACAACCAAGGTCTCACGCCACTTCATTTCTTGACAGGGAAGCTCCATCCCGACCATAACCTGGCTGACCCTACACGCGAGGTTTATCACGATCTCCTGCGAGTCCACGTCCTGCCGGTTCTTCTAGCTGGTGGTGCAGATTTGGATTGTGCAGATCACGATGGGCGTTCTCTCTTGCTTCGAACCATCGCGGCCCAGGGAAACAAAGCTGAGAAGCTTGTAGCAATCTTGTTGGATTTGAGAGCTGACATCAACACTCGTGATTATCAGGGCGACAATGCTCTCCACTTGCTTTGTAAAAATGGTGCCAACGTCAGCTTAGTGGAATACTTCATCGAGAGGGGCGCAAACGTGTTCGCCACCAATAACAACGGCAATACGCCTCTGCACGAAATTGCGAGAGCGTTCAATGCTGTCAAGCTTGCAGAACTACTCCTCAGGAGGGGACTGTCGCCTATCGCTCAGAACAACACTGGTCAAACTCCTCTTCATATGATATGTGGTACCCTTCCTGAGTGGCAGCGGGTGGATAAACTACAGGACATCTTGAAGAGCGAACTTGCAAAGGGTCTCAATATGACAGATAAAAATGGCGCTCAACCGATTCATCTTGCGGCATCAATTTCTGAAGACTACGTAGGTCAACTTGTTGCGGCAGGAGTAGATCCTACAGCCATTACCAAGCAAGGGCGAACTGTACTTCACATTGCCTCACTATGTCGTCAAAGTAATACTATTGGGTATATTCTGGACATCTACTCATCTCTTGGGCAACTTGATCTTATCAATCGCCAGGACGACTCCGGGCTCACAGCGCTCCATGAAGCATGCAGATCAGGACGACCAGAGACCGTCAAGTTATTACTCGATGCAGGCGCAAAGATTGATCTAAAGGCGAAATTGGGAGACATTCATGGCAATAGCCCTCTTCATGCTTGTGCTACATTCGAACAAGAGAGAATATTTTGGTCTCCAGCTGGAAAACAAATTTCTCCAAAGCGGCCTCTGGATGCTGCTGGCATTTTGACAGGAGATACATCTCGCCCATCACTTATGCTGGACTTCAGACAGCTCTCGATCACAGGTCATAGGATGTTCGATCCGATAGCAGAGACCACCATAAATACGCATACAGCGAGAGTTCGCGATATTGTGGAGATGCTCATTGAGTATGGTGCAGACATTATAGCTCTGAATAATCACAGTCTTTACCCCATAGATATGGCGACTGACTTGGGGTGCGAGGAAATGGTCGACGTTCTAATGCCTCACATGGATAAAGTATACGCCGAGGAGAAGGACAACCAAACTGGTCTCTCGAGATTTCGGCGGGCTCGGAACAAATTCGCTGAAAATTATCTTAATCTCCGAGGAAAACATGCGTCAGGCATTGTGGATAGAGAAATGATTGAAGGGCCAGAAATCACCACTTTGTGTGGGCAGCTTTTGAAATTGGGCAAAATTGAAGCACTAAGAGAATTACCACAGAGAGGCGTTGACTTTACTCCAAGGCAGGGCGAAACCAACTTCCTGCAGAAATTGACGTCTTGCGGTTATCCTTCTCTGTTGCGGGATCTGGGAAGGACTATTACAGAGCCCTGGGTCGAGGGCCAGATGTCTCCGGACAATAAAAGGAACATCGATCCATTCCTTCTGACCGCTTGCCGAAGGACACTTCCGAACCTGGATGTTATCAAAGTATTGATTGAAACATTTGGAGCTGATGTAAATTGTCAGCCTTCCTCGGCAACGTCTCAGGCGCGTGTACTTCCAGTCTCAACAGCCCTGCATGCGCTGGCAAGAGAAGGTCACTGGTGGCAACTGAAGGCTATGGAGTATCTCTTGCAATGTGGAGCAGACCCAGAGCTTGAAGACGGAGTTGGATGCAATGTTCTCCATGTTGCATTGAGATTTGGTCGGAAATATACTCGAATGCAGGCGGTGAGGTTGCTCCTCAAACATGGCGCAAACCCAAACGCAATAGCTAAGAATGGCTTGTCTTGCTTAAACAGAGCTACCAGAGACAATGGATTGATATCAATTCTTATACAGCATGGTGTGGATGTTAACCTGGGCATCAAACCCGCAATTTTCTCTGCCATCGAAGACCAAGAAACAGATGCACTAGCTTTGCTTTTGGAAGCTGGAGCCAATCCAAATGTTCACACAAGCTACAACATCGAGAACGACGTCAAAGTGGGGTTAGAGCATGACCTCTATCCTTTACTTGCCGCCGCATCGGAATTCTTCGACCTCGCAAATTTTCGAGAACGATCTACTACCCTCATACTCTTGTTGCTGAGTAAAGGCGCCGATCCGTATCTAGTATTCGACAATGGCAAAGTACAAACCACCATTGTCCATCATCTTTTGGAGCACGGTGGGGTCCTTCAACCCTTCCTTGAGATGCCGGATCTTCGCCTCGAGCAGCGTGACCCGCAGGGCAACACACTTCTCCTCGCCGCATGCAGGTCTAGATTTGGGACCACTGACCCCGCAACTTTGAACTCTAGAGAAAACCAACTGTTTGTCAAACGAGAGAACTTGGCAGCGAGACAAGCTGAGGAAAAAACCACTTTCGCCACGCAGCTTATACCAGCTCATAAACTCTATGATCTGGGTTCGAATCTCATTGTTCAGGACAACGACGGCAACAGTGCCCTACATCTGCTTCTCTCTAAGATCCCGTCTGAGAACTCGAATTTCGACAAGGCAGTGGACATATTCATCAAGAAGGCACCATCATTGATTCACCAGAAGAATAAAGGGGGCTTCAAGCCTATCCATATAGCATCCAAAACAACGTGCATGTGGCCTATCAAAGTTCTCCTGTCTGCTGGAGGCGATATCCATGAAGCAGATCCAGACGGTAACACAATCCTTCATTTCCTTGCAGAGTCCATGCGTTTCTCAAGACATGACGAGGAAGTGATCTCTAACTTCAAATACTTCCTTTCCCTCGAAGTCTCAATCGACTCTTTGAACTCGTTGGGTGAGACGCCGATATTTTGGTTCTTCCGCTGTAATGCGAATCTCAAAACTTCCAACACTGAGATGTCTCTTCAAACAATCACCGATACATTCCTAGAAGCAGGGACGGATCTCTTCCACAAGAACAACGCAGGAGAAACACTTCTCCATATAGTAGCTGGGCGGTTCTGCGGGAATCCAGTTCCAAAACGCCGGTCAGTAAATGATATGAATGCCGAGACCGATGAGTATCAAAAGAAGACGAAGATTATGGTGGATGATTTCAAGTGGCTATTAGGAAAGGGGTTAGATCCGATGTCCGAGGATCTGAATCATAGGACGGCTTTGGATGTTGCTGCCGCGAGTGGCAATGAGGGTATCTTGGAGTTGTTCAAAAGTAGTTCGGTATCGTAATGTCCCGAGCGTATTGGTCTCGGATCGAAACTTTGAGAGTTCGTGGTTAGAGCGAGGATATGACTTGAAAAGAGATGTAGGGGGATTTTTCGAAAAGTGAAGATTGTCGTTGAAAAGAGGGTCCACTGGGATACGGAGTATTATACCCTAGTCTGCAGTGAAATTAAGCTTTGAAGGATGCCGTTGGGCCTGTCGATTCAGATTCTCAGCTTTTGCTAAGTCTGCCCGAGCTGTAACCGCAAATTCGTAGATGATTTCAAAGAACCCGACATTGAATGTGACGAATGAAGTCGAGTAAATAGAAGGGGATGTTTGACAGAACATTCAGTCATATATACAACTCATTCCTGCATCCAATTCTTCCTTCTCACCAAAATTTTGCAAAGCCAACGCCAAAAGCATCAAATATCAAGGGTATAGGCAAAGCACTATCCGCAATCAAAAGTCAAAGATACCATCCAAAACATCATTCGTAGCGATGACTGTGTGCCCGCAATCCCGACAGGATTATCCAGCGTTATTTCTGGATTTTGCTGCTTCGACTGAATCCTCCCAGTTGGCACGATAGATGAATAAGGCTTCGAGTGCGGCGACCCTGGTTTGCATGTTAGCATTGTCCGGATTGAATCGAGGTATTGTGGGGATAAAAATGTTCGAGATGTTGAAATTGAGTGAGGTGTTATTATGTTCTAGGACCAGCTGGATCATTCAAGTGATGATCATGTTTCAAAAGTATTTCAAGACTTGAAGTGACAAGTGTTCAAGTCGATCAGAAGATTAATCTCTGTTCAAAGTCCGTTGCTGTTGCCCAACATCCAGAGAGTGAAAATGTCATGCAACTATGAGCTTTCATGGATTGCGACGCTTCAGAGACCAATCACAGAAGAGGAGGAGGAGGAGGAGGAGGAGGAAGAACTTACAATCCCAAAGCAAGAGCAACACCGCTCCACAAACCATACAATCCCCAATTCAACCCAAACGCAGTCCCGAACGAGATTGGCATAGCAATCACATAGTAACAGAACAAATTCACCCATCCACCAATCTCTTGTCTGCCTAGACCTCTAAGAAGTCCTCCCAAATTCGCTGCCAAGGCATCGAAAAGTTGGAACGCAGCACAGAGAGGTAGGACAGAAGCCACGAGATCAATGACATCTTGATCGTTTGTGAAGAGTTGCGGGATGTAGTTTCGAAGGGAGGAGAGGAGGATGACGTTGAACAGACCGACGATGGTTGCTACAATCATTGCCTAGAATACGTTGTCAATTGTAGTTCTCGGTGGAAAAGGCTGAATCTTGCTTACCACTTTGGCACTTGTCTTCGCTGCATCTGCGAGGGTTGCTCCGATTAAATTCGCAACTCGTGTGGATGCTGCAATAGAGATCGGGAATGGAATTTGGAAAGTGATTGCTGTCAGAGTAGCCAAAATGCTCTGGGCAGCCAGATGAGTTGTCGAGAAGTAGCTTGCTGCAAGAGTGAGGATCTCGAATGCGAGGAATTCTGCTTCCACCATTAAAAGTCCCGGGAGTGCGAGTTTGACCATTGGACCCCAATTATGGAATGCCTTCTTTGTGAACCCGTTCCAGCACTGTCGCCCGTCCACGAAGCGTACGTAAAGGAAGAGCAAGAGTGGGAGCAGATTGTCCGTGACTGCTACAGCAATCGGAGCTCCAACGAAGCCCCATTCGAACTGCCACACAAAAAGCCAGTTCATGAATGCATTCAGGGGTGCAGCAATCAGCAGCACATAAGTTGTGGCAGAGAAAAGCCCTTGAGCTTGCACGAATCGCTTGCCACTCTCGAATGCGGCATACCCAGGAGCTCCCAGTAGCAAGACACGAAGGTACAGGCCTGCCAACCTCGCAGATTCTTTCTCCGGAACAATAAGATTAAGGATTTGCTCGGAGCAGATCCATACGACACCAATAGGTATGGTCAACGCCCAGAGGAAATATACCATCCGCTGCAGCTGCAGCCCCACGAGATGTTTCTTCCCGCTACCATATGCTTGCGCGCACAATGTATCCAGGCTAGTCGCAAGACCTTGATAGATGGCATATCCAAAGATATTCGCAGTCATACTCGCCAGACTAACTGCGCCAAGCTCGACCTTGCCCAAATGTCCAACCGTGAACACGCTCGCGACAGTCAGAGAGTATTGCAGCAAGAAGGTAATGACCAACGGACTCGAATATCTCCAAAGAGTCTTTGCTTCCCTCTGCCACGTCGTCTTGATCTTGCCTGCCGCAACAGCAGCCTCCCATTGAGCATTCAACCTCTCATGATGTGATCTCGCAGATTCTCCGTTCAACAGGGCCGTCGTCTCTGACGGTTCTGGTGGGAAGGGACCTTGAGCTTCCTCATCAATTTCTTTCTTTGGTCTTCGACTACTGAACATCCATCTATATGCTCTCGTGAAGGGATCTCGTTTCGGAGGCTCAGGATGTTTGGGTGGGGCGAGATGATTATCGCGAAGAAGACTCCGTTCCTCGTTTCTGGATTGCTTCTTCTCTTTCTTGGTGAGGTATGTAGACTCCGGTAGATGGGGTGTGATAGCTGGTCTGGTGCCTCCAAATGCGACAAAACTGGGTCTTCGATACGAATTGACCATCGAGTGTTGGAGAGCATCTGGTCGAACGGTATCTGTCTCTGACTCCTCTTCAGAGCTCGTCTCCTCGCTATCTGGGGCTTCGATATCGTCATCGTCGCACTCTGCAAGATCTCTTGCTATGGATTCCTGTGCTATAGGAGAAGCCGAGAGATATGAGGTGCTAAAGGGAGATCGAGCAATTGAGCCAGATCTAATCTGATTGGTTTTGATGGGCTGAGATGGGGTAGACATGTTGGGATGCGAGGCTGTGAAACCTGGATGTGAAAACTAAAAATTACCCCTCCATGCAATATTTTCCTCTTCAATGCCTCGACAATGAGATGAAATGTTGAAAGCAAAGCGAGCAAGTTATATGAGGAGAGAGAGAAATATCAATTGAAGATATAAAGAAATCACAGCAGAGGGCAAACGTTGAATAACAAGGAAGAGGGGCGCAAGCTCCCAATTCCGCATCTTTTCACACCTCCATGTCCAGTAGCTCCAGCCGGCCCGCATTCTATGATAAAGTGCCCCACTACTGCTGTACTGACCAATAGATAAATTCAGATAAGAGAAAAAGGATACAACTTCCTATCACAGTCAAGACCACTCGAAGCTAATCCCTGCGTTAAATAGCCGGGTATCTCTTCCGTCACTACCCGAGCCCAGCATGCGGCCGCGAGCTCCGATCCTCGGCAGCAAGCAAATCTGCAGGTTTATTGCATCACAAGGTATTTTGGGTGGCACGGAGGAGACACCAAACGACGACTTCTTTTGAAGCCATTGACAATTCCAGAACATGATGCTATAAGATGGCTACCTGTACGCAAGCCGACGAAGAAGAAGCAGAGCGGCAGACTCGTTACTCAGAATGTGGAATTCCCATTGGGGCAGCGCCGGTGTATGTTGAGGAGTATGTACCCCCAGAAGAAAAAGCTGGACGAAGGAACTGACGATAGCAATTGCAGACACCAAGGCGAGAATGTCTTCTGTCTACCTCCTCTCCTTGGACCTCTACTCTTCGTGAACAAAGACAGTGATGCTCGAGATCATTGTGCCAATGAACGAAGTATGTCTGAACATCTCCCCTTTACTGGTAGACCACGACTAACTTTTTCGCTCTGCCAGCTTTCCTCTCGTATCTCCGTCTTTCTCTCTACATGGCAGTCGTAGCTATTGCTATTGTGATATCCTTCCATCTCAAGACCACACCCTCCCAGCTCGAACTGCGAATGGCACAACCGCTGGGGGCAATCTTCTGGTTTCTATCCTTTTGCTGCTTGGCGTTGGGGTTTGGCAATTATCTGAAGACAGTCAATAAGTATAGTAGGAGAGTTGCGATTGTGCAGACGGGATGGAAGACCCAGACGGTATGCATATATCTTACATATATTACCCCGCACGTTCGGCCCCCAAATGGATGGATTGATGTTGCAAAGGAAGAAGAGAAGAAGATGGAAAAGGACGAGGTTTAATACGAGGAGCTTCCCCATCATCCCACGATCATGCTGATTTTTGTTTCAATATGCTAATTGTTGTTTCAGATCTTCTCAATAGTGGCTATTTCCATCGTGGGGGTATGCGTGCTTTTCCTAGCCACAAATTCAAAGCGCTCCTAATCATTTCTCATGATACCTGATCACGACATTTTGTGGCGTTTCTTATCATCCTCCACATAACGATTAATATTTCTCTCCACCCAACCATTTACATCTCATCTCTCACAGCCTCCTCTTCGCTTTCGATCATCTTGCTCAAAGGTCCTTTCTTGACCATCAAGCTCATCACCTCGTATAGAGCGTCTGCGGCGGCCATGGTGGTGTGTTCGGCGTTGGTGTCGTATGCTGGAGCGACTTCGACGATGTCTGCTGCGATGAGGTTGATACCTTCGAGTCCGCGCAAGATTGTGCGAAGCTCACGAGTGGACCATCCACCTGTCTCGGGAGTGCCAGTGGCAGGCGCAACTAAATTTGTCAATTGATGAACAATCAGGAGAGTAAAATGACTCACAGGCAGGGTCGAGAGTATCGATGTCAATGGACAAATACACAGGCTTGGTAGTACCAACACGATCTTTGATCTTTTTGATGATGCCGTCCATTCCAATGGTATCAATCTCCCTAGCTTCTACAATTTCAAAGCCACAGTATCCGTCATTCTCATAATCACTTGGGCCGCTCAAGGTGGTTCTGATTCCAGCATGGATATTGGTATCATTGGCGAGCAATCCTTCTTGAGCTGCGTGGTAGAAGTATGTTCCATGGTTGATGCTAGCCACTTTGCTCGGTGATCCTCCAAAGACCTTTGGCTTCCATGTGTCGAGATGAGAGTCGAAATGGATGACAGAGATGGGACCGTAAGCACGGTTCACGGAACGCAGAAGAGGAAGGGTGATGGTATGGTCTCCTCCAAGCGTGATGACACGAGGAAGAGTCTTGCCGGCCTTGGATGGGCCCTTCTTCTTGGCATCGGTTGCTGGAGCACGAGTGAGGATGGAGTTGTGTCCTTCTTCGATTTGGTGGAGAGCCCAAGTGTTATCATATCTGCAGAAGTCAGTGACAATGCAAAGCGATGCTGCAGAAGATCTCACGAGGTGACAGGAATGTCTCCACAGTCTAGGACTGTAGCCCAGCTGTTGAATGGATTGGTCTCCAGAGGAACATTGTATCCACCACTGAATCCGAGTCTACGTGAGCCTGTATTCGAAACAAGGGTATCAGCCAATGCTGTTTGGAATACTGACTAAAGATTGAGACGGCGAGAACCTTGACGGATTCCTGATGGACCAAAGCGAGCACCGGGTCGATACGAAGTTCCCGTATCGAATGGAGCACCTGCACGCTATTAGCCTTAGCACCTTGATGGTTATACATGCAGTATATATGGCTGGGACCTACCGATGAAGGCAATGTCATATTTCACGTCATCAGATGCCAAACATGGGAAGTATGGCAGACGACCAAATGTCGAGATACCAGAGAAAACAGAATCGGCCTTTCGAAATCAGCAAGCAACCCACGAATTCCGATCCAATTGACCTACTTGAGTTCCGCCATCGCCAGGAAGAGTGTTGTACCATAATGCCTTGTGAGGGCCTTGAATTGGGATCTGGTCGTGAGCATGATCACCATGTGCAATGGCACTGGCAGCCAAGAAGGCGACAGTGAGAACGTGAGTGAGCATGATGGAAGCTACAAAGCAATTGAGGAATGGGAGCAAGAGCACGGCACATCAGGGAGAAGGACTTTATAAGGGTTGCTGTGTTGGCACTGCTTCAATGCACCAGTGCTGGCGTCATGTTGACCGTGCAATATGACAGGCAGAGCTCTCCCAGCAAGATCCTGTCTGCATGATGGATGCCGAGGCCAGAGCTATCTTGGCCGCCGATTTGCATTCGATTCCATGACTACGGAAGAAAGTCTGAAGTCATTGGACATATTATGGCTGTTGTTCTTATGTAAGTATCTGCTAAGAGACAGGAACGTTGTGGCGGGGCAGAGATAAAGAATCAATGGCGGGGTCATCATCTCAAACGGTATGGTAAGACGAACGCAAGGACGGTACTTGTACATAGGATGATTTAGGACGATATAATGAACCAGTCGGAGTATATTTGAACACATTCGTAACAATAACGAGAATTTATTGCAACGATAAATTGAGTAACGAAGAGGTAATCCAGCGTGTCATGGACAGGGGTAGCTATTATCGGTGAGGTAATTGCGTCGATAAGAATTGAGGGAAGCTTTACCTAAGGCGGCGATGAGGGGCAGCAAAAGCAGCGTGTTGAGACATCTTCTGATTTCGCACACGAAGAAATCTCTGGCCATTCTTCCAACATCCTCTCTGCGGACTACCACACTCTGCGGATTACACATATTAATTCAATTACAATCTACTGACTTAACAGTGGCGGCTTGACACGGTAGGTGACAGCAGAAGAGCAGAGGAAATGTCAATCAGCGACCAGTGTGTGTAACTTGAATGTCCGAGTCGACAATAGCTCATATCAGATCCAACAAGTCGATGAGCCCTTTCACACATCGACCATCCCATTTCTCGACATCCAACCGACGAACAACTATGGCCTACATTCCGATAAATCCTCTCTAACGCTACCGCGATCGAAGACCGAGAAGCAAACCCGAAACTACCTCCTATAACTACAAAGCAATTTTTGGCAGAGTCTCATCATGGATGAGCATGCTTTGGAGATCAGCAACCGCCATGGTTGAGTGATAGAAGACAACTGGCCGATCACACATTGCGGAGTTGCTCAATATCCCTCTGGCAAAAAGACATTTTGAAACAAAACAAGAAGCTTTCATACTCCGCACATCATTCTCAATACGTTCTACCGCCCGCCACCAGACATATCATTTGGGTCTTTGTGCTTCAGGTTCTCAATCTTCTTCCGTCTTTCGTCTCCAATAGACTAGAATCAGTTGCTCGTGCAAGTCCGGGTCATCTTTCTTGCTTGGAGTCTTTTCAGAGTTGTGAGATCGCTTCTTCAAGTTCAGAGTACCTGGTACTCTGACCTGGTTAGCATGGTCATTAAGCTATTGCGGGTAGTCCTGTGGAATGGCGGATATTGGATACTTCAGCAACCTCCTCGGAGTCTCCAACGCTATGAGGGAGACGATCTCTCGATCTATCACCTAAAACATCGGCTCCAATCGTGGCTAGCAACCCCCCCTCGAAGCAGATGTCTGACAAGAATGTGGTACAAATTCGGCCTCGGGAATGTTTTTCCACCGCAACAACTCTTCAGAAGGACTTGGCCATTTTTCTTCTCTGTCTGAACTTTGACAGCGTCATGATAGCGTCATGATAGCATGGTCTCCTAATAGCAAGTTTATAGTGGATGGAGATTATCTTAGCCTGGGGCATTGCTCGAAGTACCGACATTCTGCTGCTGATATATAATCTTGTCAAGAACAGACTTTAGGGAACTAACAGCGAGACTGAGCGAGACTGAGATTCATATTCCATATGAGCACGACCATACTGCGCACGGCACTTCCGAAGACAACGATGTGTTACGCCCGTACAGCGTAACGTGCCTTGCCTGGGCGCTATACCCGACTAAGTATAGCGCTAGGGAATATTAGCGTTCCCGGGCTCTTACTGCACGTGACAGAGCCATAAGCGAAGACGCTAAGTTGGAGTAGGAGAAGGACTTGTATTTAAACTCGACCGCGCTCTTCGAGCTGCGCTCTCTTTCTTTCCTTCTTTAACTTAGAATTCCAGTCTTATGACATCCCCTCAAGGCCATCTTATCCGTGCCATTTGAGAGTCGTGACACGATGCAAGTGATACCACTAACACGTTGATGATTGGTGGCAAGGCACACTATCATGGGGAGATCCATCGAGAGGGGAGAATCTCCGGAGAACAAGAAAACTCTCACGCTGTCAGACTTTGAGCGTCTCTCTTTGTGTTTCAGCTTCTTGATCTTTCTGTGTCTCTCCTCCAGTGAGGCTAGGATCGGTCACTCGTCCAGGCTCACGCAGCAACCGGTCATCTTTCTTACCTGGAGTTTTCTCAGTCTTGTGAGACCGCTTCTTCGAGTTGAGTTCATGGAGATGCTGCTAGGAATGTACTGGAGCTATTCAAGCTAAAGTAAGTACTTGCTGTTGGCCGTACAATGAGTCTTATGGAGCTATTATGGATGTCCGTTTTGATAAGAAGACTTCAAGCAAGAAAGATGACCTATTGCACTAGCTTACTTGAGCCACCAGAGGGGAGACAAGACAGTTAAGTACAAAGGCACTCAGTGGTATTCCTAGGGGCAGCGCTTCCTCTAACTTTTGCATAGATAAGTTACAAAGTGCAAAACGGGCAGCTTGTCCTCCTCTCGGTGTAGCTATTCTCAGCAAGCCGGAGATCAAAAGTATGCGAGGCAAGCTGTATAACACTGTCGGCAAGCTAAAGCACAGATTGCGTTCCCTATCACCGCAGAAAAGATCATCGACGCTGCAATGTATTAAGGATGACGTGCGGACAATGAAACTTCTTGTTTCATTTTGATTCGTCCGATATCGCTTCCTCAACTTAAAAGTACTTAGCCAGCACGTTCCTTGAGCTATTGCGAGCAGTCCTGTGGAAAGACGGACATTGTAGACTTTTTGGGTTTAGTTTCCAATGCAATCAGGCAGGTGTCAGACAAGAACATAGTGAGGTAAATCTCGGTCCCAGGGTTTTCTTGGGAAGAACTTACTAATCCAGGACAAACTTTCGAAGCACCGACATTGGAGAGCTAGTCTGCAAGTAATTTTAGCAGAAACAGATCTTGATACGGCTAACACGTCGACGATAGGTTGTAATGTAAACTATCACGAGGAAGAATAGGGCGAGGAGGAAGCCTGCCCTGAGGTGGCCAAGTGCAGGAGATGAGGCCTTGGGGTGGATGGGACTTCGAAAGTGAGATGAAGCTCGAAGCACTTCTCATTGTCCCACACCAATACCTCACAATCAAGCAGCAATCCTAGTTTTGCTTGATCGTCATTAAAACCGACATTCCATCGAGCTTATTGTACGGCCAACTTCAAACATTTAGGCTTGAAGGAAACTCCTTAGTATATTCCTCCCACTTTCTCGATGAAAATGTTACCCACAGAAACAAAGAAGCGATCCCACGAGTCTGAAAAGACTCCAAGTAAGAAAGATGGCCTGTCGCTGCACGAGTGAAGCTTACACGAGCGACTGATCCTAGACTTACTGGAGAAGAAAGACGAAAGAAGATGAAGACCTGAAGCACGAAGACCATACAGATCAAGGGATACGTCGACGATTGGTGATGATATATACTATCACGAGCAAGAACGTAGAGAGGGAAAAGTCCAGAGACTTGTCGGACATTTTTGCTCCGTCGGACATTGCTTCGCGGGTAAAGAGCTGAACAAGTCCAAGGGGCAAGTCTTCTTTAAAAGTGAATAATTCTCGGAAACTCAAGAGTGCTGCTGAGAATTTCAGTCATCCGAACGTGCTCGGAAAAGTGGGACAACCATCACATTCCGGGATAGGGAAGCAGGACAGACAATCGGGAACGGAAAATCATTGCTTCAAATCCATGTATTCATCATTCTTTATCATGCCATGCCAAGTCATCGATCATATGTACGCTCCATTGTCCCATCATCAACCCATCCATGCACCCCTTTTCAGTTCCCATCCCATGCCCCGCAAAAATGCTCACTTCCCCTCAGCAATCCCTCACAATTTCCTCTTCTCAAGCAACAACTTCCCAACCGGTAATCCCTGCTTCCCCACAAACCCACCATTCGGCCCATCTCTCTGGAAAACCCTCTGTCCCCTAACCCAAGTCTCCCTCACCTGCCCCGTCATCGTCCGCCCTTGATACGGACTCACCTTATTCCTAAACAACATCTGTTCCCTCCCCACCACCCACTCGGCCTCATCATCAAACACGCACATATCGGCATCCATACCCGGTCTCAGCGCTCCTTTCTTATGACTCAACCCTACCTGTTTCGAGGTATTGACCGCGCAGAGCCTCACAACATCTAAGATGGAAAGCGGTTTCGACTCCCCAGCACGAGACCGAGCCGTCACTTCAGTCCACAGAATAGGTAGGCCCAGACCAACAGACGAAATCCCACCCCAACTCGCGAAGAAATCACCACGTTCCTTCTCCTCTGCCTCCTCAGCGCTCATAATCTCACCATTAACACCTTTCGTGCCTGCACAACAGCCATGGCCTAGATGTTCAGGTAACAGCTTCAGTTCCGGTGTGCAGGGACTGTGATCCGAGACGATAGTCTGGATGACCGATTCCGGGTGCGCGAGTTCGGACCACAGCCCATCGCGGTTGACGGAGCTACGAATAGGAGGACAGCACTTATGTCTCGTGTCGCCGTCAGCTACTTCCTCGGAGGCGAGGGCCAGGTAGTGATAGCATGTTTCGGCTGTGATTTTGATTCCGCGTTCTTTGGCTTCGCGTAGTAGGGGAATGGCTTCGATGGCGGAGAGGTGGACGATGTGGAGTTGCAGGTCGGGTGCTAGGGGCGCGAGAGAGAGGATTTCTTCGATGGCGTAGGTTTCGAAGGCGGGGGGGCGGGAGTCCAGGAATGTGTTGTAGGATGTTAGAGGGCCTTTTGGGGCTAGTGGTGGGAGGGAGGTTTGGACGTCGTCGCCGACGGAGTCGGTGATGGGTGGGATCATCTCGGCGTGGAACATGAGGGTAGTTGGTGTTTTCGAGAGGGTGGTCATGGCCAGAGCAACGTCTTCTGAGGAGACGGCTGGGAATTCGTCGACCTACATCCGATTAGTTTTGACTTGGTAGATTGAGCAATTGGAACCTACACCACTCTCAATCAAGAAGCCTTTGAATCCTCGAACTCCTGCTTCTACAAGCGGTAGAAGTTCCTCAGCGTTACCTGGTATGATACCACCATAAAATCCAACGTCCACCCAGCATTGTCCTTGTGCAGCCTTGACTTTCTCCTTCAGCCCTTGGACAGTTGTAGTGGGTGGGATGGCATTCAATGGCATATCAATGACCGTTGTAACACCCCCAGATGCAGCCGCTCTTGTCCCGGTATTGAAACCCTCCCATTCTGTTCTGCCAGGCTCGTTCAAGTGTACATGCGCATCCACTAGTCCTGGAAGGAGTAGCTTGGGCGAATGGTCGATGTAGGTAGTGTTCGCTGGGAAGCTCGAAGGAGGAAGAACGGTAGGGAGGATCGAGATGATGGTTCCGGTCTGAGGTGATATGGTCAAAGTTGCGGGGGAGACGACCAGATTGTTCTCTTGATCGTATATGACTGCCCTTGAGGAAACAAGAACCGTAAGTGGGATGTTGGAGTCGTTGGGTGGGGTGTATGGGTAGGAGATGGGCTCGGGGGAGTTGGAGAAGGACATTGTGAACGTTGCCGCGGGTCGAATTCGAAAAAGAAAATTCTTGTATGTAATGCGGGGTGGTTCTGCGCTTTTCTGGACCGCAAACGGGCAGTTTTGGGGGTGGAATGTGCTTATCGAGTTGTTGGGGAGGTGGAATGGTATGAAATCTAGCCTCGAAGCCAAGGCTGATGAAGAGATGCAAAACCACAACACAAAGTTTTGATTGAAATTGAAGAGGAATTGAAATGAAAATAAGAAAGATGAAGAGGGAAAGACGGTCAGATGAAAAGAGACAGTCGTCAATCGACGGCCAGGGTTTTGTGGGGTGCAGCGCAGGGTATCCACCGTCTCCCAACAGCCCACTAAGATGCTTATCTCCTATCTCTTGAAGCCTCCCGAGATGACGGTGCAGTACAGGACTCACTACTTTGGTCTCTCCACGACCAGGAACCAATGCACGTCCATCCTTAGACCATCAAAAGGGTCAAAGGGAGATCCTATGGCAGGTTTCCATCGAGTAAATATATATCTAGCTTGCGGGCTAGGGAAGAGCGCATTTTGTGAGGTAGCGTTGTAGACCCGGAATCCGGGACCATGGCTTCGGACAGATTCGGCTTCAGGTCTATTGCTGGGAAAGAGACGTCGACTTGCAGATACTGTACGTAAAAGGTACTTTGCTGGGCGGCAGTTTCACATGTTGTCAGAACTGGTTGTGAGATGTTCATCCGCACGTCGCTGTGTTGGGATGGAATTTCACTGCTGCGTGTTTCTGGTGTTGGTGTTGTCGTCCACGAGCGAATGGCAAGCAGGCGAACTCCGACGAATCGTTGTCCCTTGCTAGCGCCTCCGATAGAGTTCGAGATTCAGCCGTGCAGCCGAAGTTTACTCGATATTTACTCGATAATTACTCGATCAAAACTCGATCAAAACTTGGGCCCATCCAAAACGTGTTTAGCCGTTCTCAAGTTGGAGGAAGGATTCGTGTCCCGGAACATTTCTGAGCAGGTTTGTGGATAATGAACAATAGCCTCGTATTCAGGTCTACACGTAGTAGATGTGAGAGAACCTCTTGGAATATCCGAAAACTACCGGTTTGGTGGTATCACGTGATGAGTACAGCCTCGCCTTGGCGATTTACCCCTTTTTCCATCTTGGCATCATCTGTCTTCCAACCCTCAAAGAATGTCCGTGCTAGACCTCGAGCCTCACTCCCAAAAATACTCACAGTGACATCTGAACGTTCCTGGATTCGAGCTTGAGGATCGAAATCTGAGGTGAGACAGCTGCGGCTGGAAACGCCACATCGCTGATTCCGTGCAAAGGCCACCATCACATTTCCAAAAGAAATATGAAATTTCTCTCCAGGAGATGAATGCCGCAACGACACTTTTCAAAGATGTCAGGTAACCATTATGGTACTGAGTATCCGAATTTACAGACCTTCGGGAGGCAATGAGCCTGCCTTCATCGTTGACCCTGCAAGTGTAGACAGCGTCACTCGTGATGAGGTTCCGATGCACGGTTCAGGGGCTGGAGACCACTTCGAAGATGACTCGACGTATGATGATGGACTTGGACTGAATGGACGTATGGATGCACCCAAACCAAGAAAAATGTCTCCTCGAGAAGAAAGGATGAAATGGTGGAGGATATATGCAATGCATTTTCTGTTCAGCTGGAACTCGAGGACGTTTGAATACGTCTCGGTAAGAAAATCTCGCTCCTGACTCTGGTTGTGCTTATTGATTCTCTAGATCTTTCTTGTTGCTCTTGCATTTCCTAAGGGCTTGTTTGCAACTTCCATAAAGTGAGTTGGTCTTCAATTATGGACCTCATGTACTTACATGACAGGGGGATAACGTCCACGGTATCGGCCTTGCTCTGCTCTTCTGCTGTAGGCAATTGGATTGATCGTTCTCCGTCACGATTACCTACTCTTCTAATCACCATCTCTATAAACCATGCGGCAATTGTTGCCTCGTACGCTTGCTGGCTCTACTGGCCTGTCATTGCTGGGTACGGAGATGAAATGACTGGACAAAGCAGCAGTCCTTTCTCAAGCCTCTCAACGGGATGTTTGTATGGACTCATCCTTCTTCTTGATGTGATCCATGATCTTAGCGCCATAGGGAACCGACTTTCACTGGAGAGAGACTGGGTCCCGGTTCTTGTTGGACCAATCACCCCTGAAACTACCTACGGACTCACTCAAGTCAACTCGGTCATGGTCAGGTTGGAATTGCTGGTGAAACTCATTGCTCCTTCGCTCCTCCCAATAATCATGTCGACCTTCAAGTCCCGAGAAGGATGGATCTTGTTGTTGGTAGCAATCACCTTAGGCATGTGGGCGACTGAAGTTGGGTGCGCTCGTCTCGTCGCAAGAGAGAATCCAGAACTCCAGGAACCGAAGAAGATATCTGCCGACCCTGCCACTATGGAAGATCTTGAGATTGAAGACCAATTTGTGCATTTGAAACCTGGAATTTCATCGCTACCAAAGAAGATATACTTTGTCCTATACCAAGACCCAGCTGTCCGACTGAGACATTTCTTTTCGGTCTCGATGTGGCCGGCTTCCATCTCGCTGGCACTTCTGCAGGTTACTGTGTTAGCATATTCTGCTACCATGATCACTTATCTTTTGCAGACTGGATTTTCGATCTCGATCATCACTGTTGCACGAGCATCAGGTGCTATCACTGGCTTGTCTAGCACAGTCATAACACCATGGCTCGTTGGAATGTTGAGGAGTCGCTACATTCATCGAGAAAACACCAACGAAGATGGAGAGGATGATGCGGCTGAAGGGAAGGTTGTCAGAACGGTCGGGCTGTGGGGAATCATGTTCCAATTTCTATGTCTGGTGAGTGATGCTATTTGAAGACCATGAATCGTGCTCACCCTGCGCAGATTCCTGTTGTCCTCGTCCTTTGGAGCTTGTCAGCCGCCTTGCCTTCAGAGATGTTGTCACGACAGACTGACAATTCTACATCCTCACCTCAAATATTGGTTCCGATCATCTTCTTCGCCTTTCTCTCATTGTCCCGAATCGGACATTACATGAACTCCCTTATGGTTCAAGAGCTTGGTCAAGTAGAAATCCCCGTATCACAAAGAAGCACGTTCGCCGGTACAGAGCAATCATTTAGGTCACTCGGCGAACTCGGACATTGGGCGGCAACTGTTGTTTGGAGTGATCCAAGCCAATTCAAATGGCTGGCGATGGGAAGCTTGCTGCTTGTGGGATCGAGTCTTGTGATCTTCGGAAGCTGGGCGAGGAAGTCGTCGAGCAAAAGGAGGGCGTATGAGAGTGTTCCGCTGAACGACTTCGAAGGGGAAATCACCCTCTAATAGATGTATATATATCATGTATAAAATTTTAACTTCACGTTCTTGAAGCGGGGAACTCCTATCATGCACACGTGATCTCTCTCGGAAGTGGCCCTTTCCCTTATCGGAATTCTGCCGCTGCAAGCCGTATTACAAACTTCCCCCACTAACGTTTCTGTGATCTCCGTCATACCAATTGCCATGTTTCTTTTGCCAACATACAAATCCCGGTGTTGCACTGCGGCAGGATGGAATGGTATCCTACATAAGACTCATCTGTGTCTGAAAGCTCTCTTTACTATGGCATTTCTGGGAGGAAGAGGTCGGATATCTGCCCTCAGTGGCAAACAGCCTTTGCTTCTTGCAGGACAGAGGGGAATTGCTTCTGCAGCACCAGCGATACAAGAATTTCCTCGACACGATATCCCTCCAGCACCTCCAGCCTCGAGCCGGCGAGAGAAGATCAAGAACGCGAAGCCCTTCTCGTCCTTCCTCACCGACACCTACCAGCGACAACACGACTACCTCCGAATATCCATCACCGAGAAGTGCAATCTGCGATGCCTATACTGTATGCCGGAAGAGGGCGTACCTCAGTCACCAGCTCCAGATCTGCTCACGACCCCTGAGATATTCATGCTCTCGTCTGTGTTTGTCAATCAGGGAGTCACGAAGATACGGTTGACTGGCGGAGAGCCTACCGTGCGGAGGGACATACTTCCATTGATGCACCAGATTGGATCTCTCCGTTCTCGGGGTCTGCGAGAGCTCTGCCTCACTACCAATGGCGTCACCCTTCATCGAAAGCTTGACGGCATGGTGGAAGCGGGCTTGACAGGCGTCAACCTGAGTCTGGACACTCTAGACCCATGGCAATTCCAGATCATGACTCGGCGGAAAGGATTCGAAGCAGTAATGAAAAGCATAAACCGGATTTTGGAGATGAACAAGTTGGGAGCAGGCATAAAGCTGAAGATCAATTGCGTGGTCATGCGAGGCATCAATGAGCGCGAAATTCTCCCATTTGTCGAACTGGGGCGAGAACAAGATCTGGAGGTACGATTTATCGAGTACATGCCTTTCGATGGCAACAAGTGGAGCCAAGGGAAGATGCTGAGCTACCAGGAAATGTTGGATATGATTCGAGCCAAATACCCTACGTTGAGAAAAGTCCAGGATCACAAGAACGATACGAGCAAGACATACGAGATCCCAGGATTTGTTGGAAGAATGGGTTTCATCACAAGCATGACACATAATTTCTGCGGGACATGCAACAGGCTGAGGATCACAAGTGATGGTAATTTGAAAGTTTGTCTTTTTGGCAATGCAGAAGTTTCGCTGCGAGATATCCTCCGGAAGACAAATAATGGCGACCCGATTGATGAGCAGGCTTTCGAAGCCATGAAGCAAATTGAGATGAATCGACGACAGGGACTTTCGACTGCTGGAGCTCCTCTCGGTTGGACAGAATACGAACAAGAATTGCTAGAAGTCATTGGATTGGCAGTCAGCAGGAAAAAGGAAAAGCATGCTGGAATGGGAGAATTGGAGAATATGAAAAACAGGCCGATGATCTTGATAGGTGGGTAGGTTTTCAATCTTCTCTTTACATATATTGGCATATGGTTGGTACATTGCATTGCATGGGTGGAGTTCCCTTGATCATATACCCATATGTATGTAGGCTTTGTATAGCTACATGTAGAATGAATGATGAGAGATGATTATTGAACATTTTGTTTGATGCTGATTGTGCTCAGATGATTTTCCTTTCAGCAAACCATTTCCTGTCTCTGGCGCATCAAAACGTTTACTTCTTTCTCGACCCAATCCCTGGAGCCAGATTGCCATACACACGGCGCCTGGATTCCACTCTCTCAACAGCATTCGTCTCTACTCCTCTACTACCAAGCCTCCTTCAGCCATCACCACCGAACCAAAGCTAACCCACCTATCCTCCACCGGAGATGCTCACATGGTATCTATCTCCTCCAAATCTCCGACATCCCGCCTCGCAACAGCTGTTTGCAGCGTCCATTTCTCAAACCCCACTCCTCTGCCACTCATCCGCTCGAACAGCATGAAGAAAGGAGACGTCCTTTCCGTTGCCAGGATAGCAGGCATCATGGCTGCGAAGAAGACTAGCGAGCTTGTGCCGCTGTGCCATCCGATCGCTATCGAGAGTGTGAGTGTCGAGTTAGTTCTAGCAGGCGATCAAGACGAACAAGACCTTGGGGAAAAGACGAGTGTACCGTGGAAAGGAACAGGACAAGGTGATGCTTATCCTTTCCACACTGCAGCACCGGAGAAGAGTACGAGCTTTGGACGGATAGATATCACGGCGATAGTAGCATGCGATGGGAAGACGGGGGTGGAGATGGAGGCGTTGACTGCGGCGAGTGTTGCTGCGTTGACGGTGTATGATATGTGTAAAGCTGTCGATAAGGGGATGAGGGTTGAGGGGCTGAGGGTGGTGAGGAAGGAAGGTGGGAAGAGTGGGACTTGGGTCGAGGGATGGTCTGTGGCGAGTGATTAGTAAGTTGATGATTATACCTATATAACGTGTGAAATTTCTTGCTATCATACACAGTAGCCAGGATAAGTTCCTTGTTCCACCAAGTGGCAATTATGAATGCACCAATGCGCGTATATTTGGAAGTCTCCTCTGTGGTCCCATGTATTTCTGAAGAGTCCTTTTTCGCAAATTTCAGTTTTTGTGCAATTACTATTACTTATTACCCGTTCTATATACTCGAAAACAGAGTTCTACTACAGTGCAGTACAAGACGTCTTTCCGATTTCAAGCAAAACTCAAAACAAGCAGCACTCAACGATCTAAACTTTTACACTCCACAACTCAAACCTCCTCCAAGCTCTCCTCCCAGACCTCAATCTAATGATACTTCACCTCCGAAAGCGCAAGCGCATAATTCTGATTCGACTCAGCAACACAAGTCACATTCGACTTGCAAGCAGAAGTGGCATCCATATGCACCTTGCTCAGCCTTGCGACCTCGTTGATGTATGCTTTTTGGCCACGCCTCTCGGGCTGGGTTGTCTCTCCTCCATTGCTGGTCTCTTCTGGAGAAGTTGTCTTCTTGGCAGAGGCAGAGTCAGTGGAGGTTTGGCCGCCAAACTTGGGTCTGAGGAGTGAGGCGAGCTTTTTCTTGGCGTCGGTGGAGGGCTTTGGGGTTTGGATGGGGGTTTCTTCTTCGTTGGTGCTGGTGGCTGTGGGCTGGTTGTCGTTCTCCTGTTCCGAGGTGGAGGTGGAGGGTTGGGTAGTCTCCTTGGGGGAGTCGGTGGTGGTGTGGACGCTGATTGCTCGAAGGCGGGATGCGAGGACGGAAGCAAGTTTTTTATTGGCCTCTGCAGTTGCGTCTGGGGTAGAAGTTGTGACTGATGAGAAGGTCGTTGGGGAAGGAGTGGATGAGTGCTCCAAGCTGATGGAGGACTTGCTGAAAGACGTTGTACTGGCTTCATGCGTTATAGCAGGCTCAATGCTCGAGTGAACAGTTGGCGTAAGCTTGACGTCCAAGCTGGTGGCGACAGAGCTGTGCTCGATAGAGCTGAGCAACGATGACGAGCTTAGCGCTGGTGTCTCGTTGTAAGCCTTAGAGTTAACGCTGATTGGCACATGGCCGTCCATTTCAAGCTCCTCATGTCTGTTGACTGAAGTCACGTTGATAGAGCGATAGTTCGTGTCCGAAGACCCCGTTCCTTCCTTAGGATCAGTCTTGGTATACGTCTTCAGGGTGGTCTTTCCACCAGTGGTGTTGTTGAACGTGTTGGCGTTGCTAGCATTCATTTTTGCCAATTGGTCGAGGTAGTAGTCCACCAGCTGAGGTGGCAAGTCGACCATACCATTGATCTCATCGGACGCATCAGCCAGCGTCTTGTGCTTGTTAGACGTTTTGTCCGAGTGGACATTCGTGATCTCCGTCTTTGTCTTGGAGATGATGGAGCTAGCCTCCTTGGACGTCTTCTCGGCAGAAGTGATCTTGCAGTCGTCGACAATGGTGTGGTCTTGATCGTGGTTGTGGATAATTTTGCGTGCTTCGATTGCCTTCCTCATGCTGCAGTTTCCGGGTTGCGCGTCCTCGCTCGAGCTGATGAAGTACGACATGATGGCTTCGTCCTCGGTCTGAGGTGCTGCACTGGTGGTGTTCAAGGTAGCTGGGCTGGTAATGTTGGCTGGCTGGCTTCCATGGAGCACGTGGAGAGCTTTCAGCATTTCAACTACACTGAGATTTCCTTTCTTGAAGTCCGAGATGATCTTGTTCTTCCAGTTCTCTATATGCGCATGTTGCTTTTCGAGTGTAGTGTTGTGCTTGGCTACTGGGTGAGAGTGCATTCCGAGGGTGAAGTTATGCTTGGCTCCGTGATGAGATTGCTTTCCAATTGTAGTATTGTGCTTTGCTGCTGGGTGAGAATGCATTCCATGAGAAGCATTATGTTTCGCAACTGGGTGTGGAGGTAGCATGACAGGACCGTAACCACCATGTCCCATTGGCCTAAAGATTGGACGGTAATGATTAATTGTGCTGTTCTTGCCATGCTTGTGGTCAAGGGCCCTGGCATCAAGATGATGCTCCTTGCTCAATGTTTCGTTCTTGTGATCTTTTCCATGATGAGGATGAACGACTGGACCATGACCACCGGGACGATAACCGGGACGATAGCCAGATCTGTGAGTGCCATTCTTGTGGTGGTTCAGAGAGAAGTCTTCGCGAATGGTGGGGAAATCCTCGAGATTTCCAGGGTTCTTGGATGCTGTGTTCGAACTTCCTGGAGTTTTTGATTTGATGGCTCCATCTGGAAAAACGAAGAGCGAGACTGGTTCTGAAGGAAGAGAAGCTGATGTCATTGTGCTGGTCGGGTTTGGGCTGGCAGCAGCAGCAGCAGCAGCGCAGTAGGCCAAGATGGCCGCTGCGATACAGCAATTGATCTTCATTGTAATTTGAATTAACGATGGACTTGAATGTATGATTTTAAGCGAATGTCGAGGAGGTGAAAAGTTTATGAGGTGTTTGCGAGAAGAAGAATTTTTGGATGGGAAGACGCTACGTTTTAGTCTGTGGGCAGTAGCTTTTCGAGTTCGTCGCACTGCCAAAAGAGATTGTTCGCTCAAAGCCAATTTATTGGCCCATCGCAGACTTTGATGTTCTCATAGGTGCATGAGTTTGACAGGTCTCCACTGTCTCTCTCGGTCCCAAAGTTCGAAGAGGTCTACCATGGTATGACAGCTCGCTAAAGTTCGCTTACCCCTAAAAGAGGCAAACCGTACCCACTTTTACCACAAAACTGCACCATCGAGTGAAGTCATGATGAAACTTAAGCTGGTACGTAGACGTTACCACAGGTTTTTAGATTTTGTTATCGAAGGCATGTCACGTTTATGGGTCTTCTGGCAAAAGTCTGCTTTTTTGAGCTCATGTCACCAGTATTTCAGGAGGCCTTGATTAAGTTTGAAATCAAAGGCATTGAATAAACCACATACTTCAACACAAAACGAAACTTATGGATGACCCGTTCCAACCTTCCATGACAAAGCAAAGTTGAATCCCAATCCAGTACACGAAGCTTTCGATCTAAATGCGGTTAGCAAATTCCAAAATAACAGAGAGCTTTTTAAGTACCGATCTAAACCCTCAATACCAACACGCAACCAAGTGAATCCCGATCTGGTACGCGAAATCTTCGATCTAAATGCGGTTAGCAAACTCCGATACAAAGGAGACCTTTTGAATCACCCGATATTAACCCTCCATGACAAGGCACAAGTGAAGCTCAATCCAGCACGCAAAACTTCCGATCAAAATTGCGGTTAGCAGACTCCAATACAAAGCAAAACCTTAGGGGTGCTCGGATCTGAACCATCCATGATAGCCCAAGTGAAGCTCTTCGAATCTAAGGTTGTTGTTAGCAATCTCCAACACAAAACAGAGCTTTTGGATCGCCGATCTAAACCCTCGATGACAACGCACTAGTATCTCTCAATCCAGCAAGCAAACCTTTCAATCTAGAACTTATTATTAGCAGACTCCGATTCAAAACAGGACTTTGGGATCACCCGATCTAGATCCCAAATAACAACGCACCTGTGAAACTCAATCCAGCACGCAAAACTCTCGATCTAAAATTGTGGTCAGCAAACTTCGATACAAAACAGAAATTGTTAGATGACTCTCCATGATAACGCACAAGTAAATCTCGATCCGGCACGCAAAAATTTGCGATCTATATTTGTTGTTAGCAATCTTTCCCCAGCTTGTATCATGTTGCTGCTTACCTCCTTCTCTTGTTGCGGTTGCCTACTCGGTCTTCAACCACCACCAAAATTCTTCCCGACTTGAACCACCTGGGGCAGGGGCGCCTTCGATTTCCTTGGCCTTGGAAAGAATCTCCTTTACGCTCTTCACGCTTTTCCACACGCCCTCTGTCCATTCTTCAATCATTCCAGCAAGTGCGTTCGTCTTCATGAGTCCTCCAGGTACTCTCGGAGAATAGCAGTAGACAGTAGCTTGATCGGCGGAGCATTGCCAGTTTTAGTTGCTACCATCTTGATCTTCTTAGAACTTGAGGAAAGGCTTTGATCAGCTGGAGTATTGCGCAAAATTTCGTACTGCGTTGCTACCAGGCCAAGATCCGAGAGATGGCCAGGCTCGTGCACTGCAGCCCAGGGAGGAGACAGGGCTGATAGATTAGCATATCTCTGGGGTACTGGTGGAGCTCGAGCTGGGGGCGCTGAGGTGGCTGCTTTTTTCTGATTGTCACCGACAATGGTTGCTGGACTTCCCTCCAATCTGCCTAGAGACTTTCCTGGAAGAGGGTTTCGAGCTGTTGAACTTTCTGCTTCGTCATCTCCCACGACGGTTGCTGGACTTGCCTCTGATCTGCTTGAGAACGCTCCTTGAGGAGCTGTAGCAGATGATTCTTGGGTCCTCTCTTTCAGGGGAGAATCCGGGAGCCGTGTCCTCCTCAAGGACTCTGTTGGAGTAGCTTCCTGAGCTGTTGAAGCTTCTGCTTCTATCTGGCCGTAACCCAGAATGGTTGGTAGACTTGTTTTGGGTCTGCTTGAAGACTCTCCAAGAGAGACTGCTGCTGATGCTTCTTGACCCTTTCCTCTTAGTGGAGAATCCGGGAGCCGTGTCTTAGTCCTTGCTCGACTCGCCTCTGGCCTGTTTGAAAATTCTCCCAGAGGAGCTGTAGCAAATGCTTCTAGAGCTCCTTGTCCCAATGCAGAGTTCGACAACCATGCACTGATCATTGCTTGAAGTGTCTCCGGTGTGCTTGAAGATTCTCCCAGAGGAGCTATATCAGATGTTTTTTGAGCTGTTCCTCCCGATCTAAAATCCGAGAGCCACTTCGGTCTCATTGCGAAGAATTCTCCTGGATTTGGAGTACCAAATGTTTCTTGAGTTCTTTCTCTCAGTGTAGAGCTCGTCAGCCTTGTCCGCCTCCTTTTTGAGGGTTCTCCCGAACTTGATGCAAAAGACGATCCCTGACCTCTTCCTCTCGATCGAGAACTTGGGCGCCCCGTCCTGTTTCGTGTGGACATGCGCCTTGTTGGACTGACCGATGATCTGCTCGCCATTACTCCTGAAATAGCTCTAGCAGCTGATGCTCGACCCCCTCGTCTCGATGGAGAACCTCTTGGTGGTGGAGCCGCTCGTGGCCTTTGCGGTCGAGCTTCTTCGTCGTGTGCCTTGTAGGAAGCAATAACCCGACGTTCATGCGCTACCATTGTAGTACGCTTTGGGAACGCCATCGAAATGTCGAATAAGCCATATGGGCAGTCAGAAGATGGCAGTTTACCCCGGGGCGTCATTGGTTTGTACACGACATGAGGTTCGTCCCATAGATATGGGATTGGCTGGCGATCGCCCAAGTCGGCTGAACCGATATCGCCCATGAAGGGTTGCGACTCTCGACTATTGAGTTTGATTTGAGTATGTATCAAGTTGTATATGCTCGGATTGAGGCAAATAACAAAGAAGCTTTGAGTTGTTGGGTGTATCGGAGAAGGTTGTGATGTGGAAAGGTGCAAGAGAGGAACCTTTATCCGAGAAACTTGACTTTCTCTCTTGTAGCTCAAATTTTATGTCCAAATCACAATCCGTACAGCTAGAACAGATTCAGTAAGTCGTGGTGCTGTTGCAATATGGACTGGCTACTTTGACAATGTTTGAGCGCTCTTTGCCACTCTCGGAACAGTTCCTATCCATATCTGAACGGCAACCGTGGAGTACCACACGAGAAACTCTTAATTTCCGAGTACTAAGGACCTCATGATACCATTATGGTACACTATGAATGGCATATTTTCGCTGGTAAAAGTCGGTTCCACAGTTGAACGTCTCGCATAAGTAGCATCAAAGCGACTAATTATGGCCCAGGACGGACAATTGAAAGTCAGAATATGGGCATCTATGTCTGACTATCCAACATCAATGTCTGTCAATTTAATGGAACACTTCAGAGCATGATCAATATGGTGATCCATGAATATATTTGTGCAAAAGATCTTCGACTCCCAAGGAAGTAGCCTGGGGTAGGAAAATTGAAACCTCTCGATCACCAAGAAATACATGCTGTGAATATTAAATGAAAGCGGCCGAGGAACACCAAAAGGACTCGGGAAGCACTGTCTTGCTATGCCTTCTAAGTTGCAGTTAGAGCACGTGTTCGATCCGAAGTCAATTCGCAAGTGGAAGGACATTTTGCCCCTGGTGTTTACCATGCCAAGATGAATTCAAATTCTAACTACGACTCTGTCTGCTTACAATAAATACATGCCGGCCAAGACCCGACTTCCAAACATCTTCTCCCGGACTTTCGGACGATTGACAATTTTCCTCATCTTCAGGAACATTTACTCACCGCTGACCAACCTTACCACAAAATCAAAAACATTCCACCACCCACCATCTAACACCCCAAGGACGCAGGTTATCCAAAAAGCGCCGATGACACCTAAATGAGGTTGGACTTAGACAGCTTAGCCGAGAGTCTTGCTTGCCTTCGATGTCATCTCTAGTGCTAGTCATTTTCAGCTTTCGGTAGGTTGGGTTTGCGACCACCCGAGGCCTTCTCGTACTCTTTCCCTTCGTGAGCAATCAACCACCAACACCTTCCTGTTTCAGCTGGCTCCCAATAAAACTCGGGTTTCCGTGTGAGAGCGGCACTGCAAGTCTGAAATGTGGTATTGGTACATCCTATGCCCTCCCATTCCTGCACCATCCTGTGAAGAACCTTTATCTTCATGCGGTTTCCTGGAACCCTTTTGAGCAAAACGTACAGTCTTTGACGCCAACTTGTTGCTTGAACTATACGTTGATTCGTGGTGAGAAAGGGCGACTTCAAGTATGTTGGTTCAATCAACTTCTGGTAGTCAAAGCCAAAATCTCCAACTTTCAGACCAAGATCCGCTAGATGGCCAGGTTCATATACTTCAGCCCAGCGAGGAGAGTCCATCTTTGCGAGGTCATCGTAAGTTCGTTCCATGTATCGTGAGATAGCGATTGGCACTGGTGCTGATCGTGCTGGCTTGATCTTGCCATTGTGTGACTTGTCCTGGGACTTTTTGAGGGCTTGCTTTCCCTGTCGTTTTGACGAGGGTGCCTTCTGAATCTTGCCATTGTGTGGCTTGCTCTGGGCCTTTTGGAGGACTTTCTTGGCCGGCGATTGCTTCGACGAAGGTGCCTTTGAAGGTAGGGGAATGGACAGGAGTACCTCCGAAGGGTAGAGTTGCAATTGCCCCGCAACCCACATTTCAGTTGCGAAATTTCTCAAATTCCTCCGATTCAAATCCCCTCTTGCTTTGGCATGGGGGTCCATCTCAATCATCTTAGTGATCTCAGCCTCCTCTCCGATTTTCTGCTTGAGGAAGCGGTCGCGACCATATCTCTGCTCAGCTCGCGCCTCTGCATGGGTAAGCCAAGCGAAGTCTCTTTCCAGCTGAGCTAGAACTGCTGCGACTTGTCTGATAGAATGAGGAGCACTTTCCAGGCCAAGAACTTGAAGCAGAACGCCCTCCCTACCAGAAGCGACATTTTTAACATCATCCATGAGGATACCTCCAAGCCTATGCAAATCCTTTTGACAAAGCGAAGGCGCTAGTTTCCCGCAGTAGCCTCTTGACATTTGGATACCCCAGTATGCGAGCATTTTCCAAAACTCTGTGATGCGCCAATAGCTGTTGAGGGGAATTCGATGGTAGAGATGGTTCAAAGCAAGGCCAACAACACCAAATGGAGTCGAGAAGTTAGAGGTACAACCACCCCAGCAGATTGCGTAGTGGCAGCTACAGAGGGTTTTGTGGCCTGAGAATAGCATGCGTGTCTGCTGCTCAATTCTTTGCGCCACTATTCCATCCTTTCTAAGCGCTACCATCGATCAATATATGCACTCAGAATTCGAATGGAAGCTCACCATCTTCTTTGGTCTCCTCTCTTACATATATTTTCCCCTCTGGCGCCTCCATGATCAGTACGGCGTTAGAGTTAAGTAGCAACTGTCTTCGGTTAAGAGGATTAGTTTCCTCGCCTGTTCTCGTATCAAGGTATCCGAGTTTCCATGGAACCACACCTGTGTTTACTTAGTGTCTCTTTCTCAATGTCCTAGCTAGCTCGAACACCGAGCTTGACTTACCAGGAATATATTCTCTCGGCTCAGTGTCAGATGCCGTGTCAGAGCTGTTATCGTCCTCATCTTCGCCCTGCTCCATGACAGAGCTTCGAGAAAGGTTGTCAGTCATGTCTGCAAGATTGGATTGTGCTGAAGTACTGCGCGCCACAGCTATCGAGCCCTCCGATTCAGAATGGCCTGAAAGAGACAATGCGGCGCCGTCAGAATTCTCCATTGTAAGGACTTGTTGTAGACGTCGACAATGTGTTGGAAGCAGATTTGGAAATGGGTTTGGAAGATTGTCGAATGGAGTAAGGAAGTGTGAAAAGTATGTGGTAAAGGGAAATTTCGAAGGCGCAAACGAAGCCATACACCTAGAGCATTGCCAGTCCAAATCGAAATCAAAATAGCTAAAAGAAATTGGTCTAGTGTACATTTGAAAATGGAACATGTGATTTGAGCGAAGTTTGGAAGTCTTTTTGCTACTGGGGGTTAGCGCTTGGAAGTTCTCTATTTACATCTCGACTACCACCATGCGCACCACTTGAGCACAGTTGCGACAGAAACCCACATCGAAAACCAAAAGCTTGACGTGATCCCATCTTCTGGATGATAGTGTCACGATGTAATGCATTGAAGAAGTGCGGTAATCGAATCAGCATTGTCTGTCTATCCTTTGCTACGATGTGCCTCCTCAGGTTGTTGAATTGAAACAGTGAATGCAAAGCAGAAAATCACAGAAACAATAATCCCTTGCCCTCTGCCATCGATCAGTCAATATTCCTGGACAGAGATTCTCGTAACGAGAATGTTCGTCGCCTTCGGGAACATTCACCATTTGGGTCTTGAACACAGTAGGCATAGGCTCATAGGGTAATATATGACTGTACCTGAAATTGTTCTATGCATCTAGGTAGGGAGCTTTCTGCACGCCATAACGGCACGAAAACCTTATGAAAGAGATGAAAACCGAATTGAGTGTTTGAAGCAGTGGCGGCGTACAGTACTTACCTATATAGGCTCGATCCTGTCAGGTCCTCATTCCTAACCGAAGACTAATCTCCCCCGAAATATTTGAAAATTCAAGGCTTTCTCAGACCAAATCCTTGCATACGTGACGCGATTTGTATGTGTTCAGGCATTCCAAAAGTCTTGTCTTCTGCAAGGAATGAAGATCTGTTGCATTGTTGTACTGTATTTACCTCAACACGAGCGACACGCGACTTGATTCTCGGTTGAAGCTCGGCAGCTCGGACCGTCAAAGGCGGTCTGCGGCGGCAAATACAGGCATCCCACCCGATCCGATATCGTCGAGCTTCTTGAATCATCATTGATAATGACTCCATAAACATTGCTTCCGTCTGCGACGTTGGTAGACGTTTTACTTTCTTCTTTTCGCTGGACGTTCCATTCCCTCAGACATAATGGCATTACAACACGGAAAACCCGCCAACCTCCTTCCGGTCCACTGGAAATCCCAAATCACAGAATGGTTCGCAGAAGATACCCCATCTTTTGACTACGGCGGCTTCGTGGTGGGGGATGATGAGCGGACGGCTACATTATTTGGCAAATCGAGAGGTGTATTGGCTGGTGTACCATTCTTCGACGAGATCTTTAGCCAAGCGGGATGTACAGTTAAATGGCATATGGAAGAAGGATCTTGGGTCGAGCCAGGAGCCAAGGGCAAGTTTGCAGTTGCCACCGTTACTGGGCCTGTTCGAAAGCTGCTGTTAGGAGAGAGAGTGGCGTTGAACACGCTGGCCAGATGTTCCGGGGTGGCGACAAAGTCTAGAACGATGGAGGAGTTGGTGCGGAAGGCGGGGTATACTGGCATTCTCGCAGGCACGAGGAAGACTACACCGGGCTTTAGGTTGGTTGAGAAATACGGTATGATTGTCGGAGGTGTGGATGGACATCGGCATGATCTTTCGAGTATGATCATGTTGAAGGACAATCACATCTGGGCAAAAGGGAGCATTACAGAAGCTGTGAAGACAGCGAAATCTGTGGGAGGATTTGCCCTAAAGGTCGAGGTGGAAGTTGATAATGAGAAGGATGCCGATGAAGCTATTGCCGCCGGTGCGGACATCATAATGCTGGACAACTTTGATGGCGATGGCTTGAAGGTTGCCGCACAAAATATCAAGCAGAGATGGGCCGGCAAACGAGAGTTTCTGCTCGAGTGCAGCGGCGGTTTGACATCCGAAAACGTTGGGACGTATATCAATAATGGTATGGTGTTATTTTGTCCACAGATTACCAAACTAATAAATGGTAGATATCGACATCATCTCCACGAGCTCGATACATCAAGGAGTACCCCACGTTGACTTCTCTTTGAAAATCGATCACAATTAATTGACTTTCAAGAGACCAATACTCGAAACTTTTGGCGGACTCTCGGTGATGGCTTTATGGCCTATAGTGAGTTCATGTTGACGGCTTGCTTCAGCACTTCAGATTGCCTTGGAAGCACAAGCCAATTTCCACATAGTCAGTTCTTGCAGACCTTCCTTTTCTGTTGCTCCAACGTTTCCAAAACGTTGCTGTTTGTACAAGAAGTCTGCCACAATGTCTAAGTCCGCGTTGTCAATTGAATGATTCTTGTCTTTCATTCCTGTCTTGCTAAGTTTTCCAATGAGCTCTAGGTAGCTTCCTGCCATGACTACCATCAGAATTATGCTTTTTCATTTAATCAAGAAGTGGGAGCTCAAACGAAAAGTTCCACGAGTAGTCGCTTCAGGCTTGACAATCATGCACTCACAACCCGTGAGCCAAGCAGTTAACCCCCGTTGATCATCTACCCTGGCACCGGTACATCCTAGCCTTCCTCAAAAGGTTGTCATCAATCGTATCGAGTCAACAGTATTCTCAACCATTCGTAGAGTTAAGACCATGAAGGATCTTATCACTTACGCTGCAAGTAACCGTTATTGAACTTCGTAATGTAGTCTCCTTGAATCTCCAGAAAAACTTTTAGCTTCTTTTCTTCCAAACCTCCACCCAATTTCGTTGCTCGCTGTCAGCATTGTACAGTCATCTTTGGGTCTTCATTGTGTCCACTCTCTTGTTCTCCACCAGCAAACAGTGCAAGTCACTCTGCTCGAGATCAGACTTTCGCGACAGGTCAATCTCCAGCTGGATATCAGCATTTGACTCCAAATTCGAGTGCTAAATCTGCGTCTGGACATTTAGCCTATATTCGACCAAGATGTCAAACGGAAGAAGTTTCTAGACCAAATAGAAAATGTCCTGCGTCCGGATTGTGTGACACTTCGCGAGCTAATAACACTTTCGCCCTCAGTAACACATGCTTTCTGCACTCCAGAACTGAGGAAACTGAGATGAAAGGTGCATGCGACATTCGGGAAACTGCGGCATCGTTGTGCCTAAATGCTGCTTGGGAGATTGTTTTCACGATCTGCAACGCATCGAAAACAAGGGTCGACGTCTAAATATATATGGGAATTCTCCGTGTACCTAGCAGAAGTGTAATTCTAGAATCAAGGAAGTTCGTCATGACTGGTGATGTGTCAGGGTCCGCGAAGAAGCTGCAATGATATGGCATGACGAGAAGGAATTGACAATGCCTTTTTTGTGCCACCACCCCTGCGTTCTTACATCCGCGCAAATAGAGAGATAGCGTTGCATTTGTGTTCCCTCACCTTTCTTTTGATGTCCATATCCCCAGGTGATTCCTCGAATTCAAGCATCACGTGGTGTCGGTTTGGGGCGGCTTGACCAATTGAGGACAGTGATTGGAGCGGGTAAAGTTGGATAAATGGGATTCGTTACCAAAGCTCTGGCGGGGTTGTTTCTTCGTGGGGGCAACTCTTCCGAACGCTATCAAGACTCGAGGAGTTCCGTCAACGGAATGTCTGTCTGTCTGCCAGTTTCCTCACTTAAATACGGACGCATTTTGGATCCGGGCTGAGAGTCTAAGACAATACACTTCACGCAAATCACATCAAAATTACAAGGAAATCAAAGAATGGCAGAAAGCGTACACCATCCCCGTCCTCTTTCGCAGAAGCCCCTCCAAGGTCGAGATGTAGCTGACACCACCTCAACAGAATCTCTCATTCATTCTCAACAAGCCTCTCTCGTTGTCATTCGAAGAACGCCCCAAGCCTACCCTCAAGTCCCCTCAAGATGTCCTCATTGCGATAAACTACACCGGTATCTGTGGCAGCGATGTCCACTACTGGCAACACGGCGCCATTGGGCCCTTCGTTGTGAAGGACCCCATGGTCCTTGGACACGAGTCCGCAGGTACCGTCGTCGAGGTTGGTCCCGCTGTCAAAACCTTGAAGGTTGGAGACAGAATCGCTATTGAACCAGGAACGCCCTGTAGGCACTGTACACCATGTTTGGCTGGACATTACAACCTGTGTGACGATATGCGATTCGCAGCAACTCCTCCTTATGATGGCACACTGGCAGGCTTCTACACCGCTCCCGCAGACTTCTGCTATAAACTCCCCGAACATGTCTCCCTACAAGAAGGTGCTCTTGTTGAGCCTCTCGCCGTCGGTGTCCATATCGTCAAGCAGGCAGAGATCAAGCCTGGTGCAAGTGTTGTGGTTATGGGTGCTGGACCTGTTGGTCTGCTGTGCTGTGCAGTCGCAAAGGCATTCGGTGCCTCCACCATCGTTGCTGTCGATATTCAACCTGCACGACTTGAATTCGCCGCTTCATTCGCCGCCACACATACCTTCATGCCCGAGCGTGTTTCTGCAGAAGTGAACGCAGCAAGACTGTTGAAGGAATCAGGGCTCATCGGAGGAGCAGACGCGATCATCGATGCCTCCGGAGCTGAGCCATCTATCCAAACATCTATTCACGCTCTTCGCAGAGGCGGTGTATACGTCCAGGGCGGTATGGGAAAGCCAGATATCAACTTCCCCATCATGGCACTCTGCACCAAAGAGATCACTGCCAAGGGAAGCTTCCGTTACGGCAGCGGAGACTACAAGCTCGCTGTAGAGCTTGTTGCCACCGGAAAGGTCGACGTTAAGAAGCTCATCACCGGAACCGTAAAATTCGAAGATGCCGAGAAGGCATTCCAGGATGTTAAGGCCGGGAAGGGCATCAAAGTGCTGATTGCGGGACCAAATGAGAAGTAAGTGAGCAGTCAATTAGTGGTGCGTGGTCTGGTGGGACTGGGAGTTGGGGAAGAAAGAGAAATGTCGGCAACGAAATAGTACTGTAATAATCAATGCAGAGAGAGGTGTGGCATTATGCTTCCTCGCTGACTTTTTGTGTTTCCAAAGGACTTACGATAGTGTGTTGTTTAATTCCGCTCGTTCTAAGCTTTGATTGCGGTCTGGAATACTTGCTGCTTTCGAATGTTTGAATTGATTCCAGACAATGGATTCTTCGCAGTCGAAAACAAAAGTCTAGGAAAGGGCGTGAGATTTTGGACTAGAGATTTCACAGCCCTCTTACAAATTATCCACGATGCAAAATGCAGCGCCTCAACAGGAAACAGCCGAAACGTCGTACGGTGGCTTGGTCGTACCTTGCGCTGTCCGGATGACAGATAATAGAACTCGACGAATTCACTTGCGCGTTTGATGACGTCGGAAATGCCTCATGTCTGCCTACCCTAAGGTTATTAATTTATATCTCCTCTGCGAAGCCAAAAAAAACACACATGCCAAGACCCTAATTGCCGCCCATTTTCCACTTTCTCTCTACCAACAATTGTAAGTCTCCAATTCTGTTCCTCTTGTGGTTCTTGTTGGCGTTCGGCGTCAGCCTACAGTGTCTCATCAGGCGCCACACACGGCTTGTATTACCCCACATGTCTAGGATGGACCCCGACATTGACTGTTTCGCCCATGGCAACTTCGTACATTCCATTCACGCGCACCGAGTCCGGTCTTGTCTGGGACAGACAGACATTCATATAAAATGGTCCGGCTGACACGAGAACGTGCTCTGTCGAACGGAAGCGTCATGCTGCCTCCTTTGTTCTCATCTCCTCTGCTGCAGATGCATATTCAAGATGCTCAACTTACTTCGGCAAGCGCTTACCTCCAGAACAGTGACATACCGGCTCGATTCCGAAGATCTTCAGCTCCCTCCTCCTCCGACGGTTCGAGGCAAGAAGAGAACGAGGTCAAATTTCCACGTCGTCATGAACGCACACGTGCAGGAACCGACGAAGAAAGATGCAGCTGTTGCTAACAAGCATACCGGATTTCCCGAACCCTTCAGTGAAGGTAAGTCGGTCAAGAAGAACACACCTAGTTGGAGGTTTCTGATAAATCACGCAGACCGAAATACCACGCTCCCGCATCCAGAGGCAGATACATCTCCAAATGCCACGATTGAAGCTCCAGATGTCGACTTGACACGAACACACTCCCGCAGCTCGTTCCTCCACCGCAAACATCACTCGCATCACCTATGGAATTCTCATGATACGCCTGAGAAGATGGGTCTTTACGACAACATCACATACGCAGACGATGACACTGAAACTCTTGCCCCCGAACATATCGAGAAGGCGAACGGTGTTGATGGTATACACGAAGAGGTCGAGCAGAAGAAAGGTCTTTTGAAGAAGTTGGTTATGCATAAGGCGTGAGAAAATTCATGGTCTGTAAAAGTGTTTCGGTCTGTTTGAGCGCGGTGTTGCATGGGTTGCGTCGGATGGTTTGGGCATTCGTTATTCATACTCCCGTTCTGCTGAGCAGTGGACAAATATAATTCGTGATTCTGATTTGTTGTTGGTTTTGTGTTGTACGTCTGTGAGGGCCTGGGCCTCCTTCACTGAAACGGTTGGTTCTCGCCGCAGGTACTGTAGAAAAAACTGGACTGAACGTTGGAACTGACAAATTGTTAAACATATACTTACAACTTTCGCTATGAACACACAACACTGAGAATATATCTTCCAATAACATACACGAGTAGAAGAAGTGAAAATAAACAATAGATTCCCCATCAAACAAAGTTCACTCATTCAGGGTCCCGCTGATCTTAAAGCCTTGGCAACCCCAGCTCCCGGCACCAACTCGGGACGATCAAGACCTCGGCCCAACCTTATCCATCTTATCCCATCTTATCAAACCTCAGTCTCTCACTCTCGAGTCTCCTTCACATCACATCACCAACCACCATGGAGCGACGAAACCTCCGCTCAGAACCCGACCCCAAAATCAAAGCCCAATTCAAAGACACACCCTGGGCAATCTCCCTCTTCAACGACCCAATTCTCATACCCTTCACCAACGACTCCCGCGTCCCCAAATCACATACAGGCGATTCCTTCTGCGCCCAAACCCTCAACACGCCCACCACCATCTCGGCCTGGCAATCATTTCACCGGCTCCCTTCTTCTTCCTCCCCTTCTGCTTCAAATCAATCCACCGAGACCCTAACAGTGATGAAACTCGGCTCAGCTCTAAACGGCCACCCGGATATCTGTCACGGGGGTTTTGTTTCGTTGTTATTGGATGAGGTGATCGGGTCCGCGGTCGAGGAGCGCAGGCCCAGGGATAAGAGTATGATGACGGCGTTCTTGAAGGTTGATTATAAGAAACCGGTGAAAACGCCAGCGACGGTGCTGTGTAGGGCGTGGTGCGAGAGGGGGGAGGGGAGGAAGATGTGGGGAAGGGGGAGCGTGGAGGATGGGATGGGGGGTGTGTTTGCGGTGGGGGAGGCGCTGTTTTTGGTTGTTGAGAAGTTGGGTGGTGCGAAGTTGTGAGTTTGTAGTGTGAAAAGAGAAGAGTGGTTGTGGAAGTGTAAGAGGTGGCTAGGCTGTGAAACTATGGCTGGCAGCCTCGACCACACATGTGGGGTAAGTACCTGGGAGATTGAAGCGTGAACCTGCAGCTGCTTTAACGATAGACTTTATGCTCCTCACGATAGACGAATGCTTGTTGAAGATTGTATATATATATTCTAGATATAGATGGCAGTCATACATTACGAGAGCCGGTAGGCACTGTTTGTTTCAGCAAAGAACATCAGTCAGAATAAAATCACTTACTCATAAATTACTTCGGCTCCTTTCCTCATCCCACTACCAATCCACATCCCACAATTAATCTTATCCCTATACCTCTCATCTCCTGTCTCCATATCTATAAACAGTCTCATCTTGTAGCTATGTGGATCAACATTATCCGCTAACTTAGGATCGGCAAGCCGAGCCAGAACTTCAGGAGGTCCTGTCCTCCAGCCATGCGTTTTGATGACGATATGAGCCGGTGGTTGATCATAGGTCTGAAGTATGTAATTCGTTTCGAGCCGGGCAGAGCCGTCGCTCGTGATGATCTGGCTATCTTGACCTCCAGGCTGTACGTGTGAGAAATGCAAGCGAGAAAAAGGGGGGCACTTGGATGCATACTAAGACTATCCCAGAACCCCAAGAGCCTGACCAGGTGCCTCCAGTGAATGATATCCAATTGCGATGGCCGAAAGGGGTAGCACCCACGGATATCTTTGGGTTTAATGTGACGGACATTCGAAAGTCGAGATTGAATGATGGATGGGGTAAAGAAAGGTCGGGGTGGGGATAGTGAGATGTGTGATCTGAGGCTTTTGGGGTGCTTGTGACCATTCAGCAAATATTCGATGGAGACTAAAGAGAGGAAACTAAAATGGTTTTTGTAACCCAATCATATCTCAACGAAACACTCAACTTACGCTTCATCAATAGCCATATCGCCCCACAGAAAAGGTTGCTGCTGAGTCGTTGACATCCATGGCCCTTCTGCTGGTCCTGGTTCTGCACTCTTCATGGCCTCAGCATCGTCTGCCTTCCATCCTACCGACATACGAGGATCGCTCGGGCTTAAGTCCTTCATCTGATCCATGTTCCCTCGCAGCACATTCGGACTGTAGACGGTCCAATCCGTGCCCGGCGGGGATTTTCGGGCCGAAGGATCTCCGACTCGTTCAAGGTCCTCTTTGGTGACTTCTGGTATGGGCGGAGGCTTCACTAGAAAGTCGTTCATTTGCCTGTAGAATCCGGGATCCATCGTTTTTGTATAAATGAAGAATGAAGAAGGAAAATGCTGTTGCTGCGAGCGTAAGTACGGCGCGACCATTTGCCGACTTCTAGGCCGAAAGATCTGGAGCCAGCACCCTTGGTGCACGTGCTCGTTAGATCTTCGGAAATAAATTCAATCTTTGTAAAACAATGACAACGCGTACAATGCACTATGAGAGGTACAGGTTATACTGGTCGTATCAGAGCAGCATCAAACTTGATGCTTCCTTCAAAGAGATGGAGCAGAGAACAAACTTCCGAGTCTGATCTCAGAAGTGAAGCGCGTGTCAATTCGCTTATAATAAGGTTACGTTAAGCGCACTCGCTTGCTGGGATTGAATGTTCTGCTGAAGCAAGTACATTCAATACTGGTCAATCACCCACGGTACCACGATCTTCGAGTGTGAATTTCTCAGACCAACTGTATCCAAACACCAAGACGACTTCGGCTTCAAGCGAACAATCACCACATTGTGCTTTGTTGCACTCGGTGGCTCCAGGTCTCTGGACGGGGAGGGTTGTTGGTGGGCAATACGCTCTCTGTTTGTATGACCATCTTTTACCCCTCACTTGAGAAGGTCTAATCAGAATACCAGTCTCCAGTCGCAGTTACCTATGCAATCCTATTCGTGAGACAGTGCGGCCCCTCCGACGTTCAAAATGCCTGCTATGCTCGATGACCCTTCCAGCCCCGCCATCTACCGTACCTCAGGCTCCGCACCCTTCCCAGACCCTCACGACGAACATCCTCCTTTTCCTCCCGATATATATCCTCGACAAGTTACGCTCCGTGATCGGGTTACTGTTGCAACAATCATACCGTTCTCCTCTCCGAACCAAGTCCCTCCGTCCCTCCTCGCATACCTCAGCGATCAACTCAACACCGAGATTGACAATGGAGATACATACCCTTTCATCGATACTATGCCGGCGGACAAGTTCTCGTCCTACTGGTTTCAGAACTTTGGAGCTATCATGTTACTGGGAAATATCGAAAGTGTAGAAGATGTTCTCGAAGGCAAGAATTGGGCTGCAGAATGCTTGGGGAGTTACTATATCAAACCAAATTACCCTGGACGAAGCAGTCATATCTGCAATGCTGGATTTCTTGTGACAAATGCGGTCCGCAATAAGGGTGTGGGAAGGCTTATGGGAGAGAGCTATCTGGAATGGGCTCCCAAGCTTGGCTATACTTATTCGGTCTTCAACCTTGTCTATGAGACGAATGTAGCGTCATGTCGGATCTGGGATGCGTTGGGATTCAAACGCATTGGACGAGTCAAAGGTGCTGGTAACTTGAAAAGTTATCCTGGGCAATTGATCGATGCTATCATTTATGGACGAGACCTCGGGCCCGAGGGAGAGGATTTCGTAAGTGAAGAACGCTTCGACAAAATCAAATTCTACTTAAAGTACGGAAAATACCCAGCTGGGGCGGATCGCGCAGAGAAGAGTAGACTTCGAAGTGCAGCAACGCATTACAAGCTTCTTCCAGAATCTGACAAGCTGATGCTCAAAGACAAAGAAGTTATCTCGGATCCACAAAAGCAGTACGAGATTGCTAGGAATGTGCATGTTCTCCAACATGGCGGGATCAACAAGACAACAGCAACCATTGCCGAGAGGTACCACTGGGTTCGGATCAAAGAGACGGTCAGTCTTGTGATCAGGAATTGTACGCAATGTAAAGAGCTAGGAAAGGCCCCCATTGTACGCCCAGATGGTGTAATTCGACCAGCACCACGGGTACCACCGCCAAACGGTCAAGGTGGCGTGAGTGCTGCTGGAAGAGCTCTCAGCCTGTCTCAGCAGGACCACTCTCATGACGGCTTTTCAGGCCAAGCTGGTCAGGGATCTGTGTCTCCGCAGGTGCTCAATCGAACACTTCCCGGACAACACTCTCAAGAACCTAATTTCCAGTCGCAACCACCGCAGCAGACAGCACCAATAGCGCGAATGCAAGCGGAGTATCTACCTCTAGATCCACAGATCATGGAAGATGTGCGGAATCATCTAGGAGGATACAACCATGAACCCCTCTCCAGTCCTGATGCTGAAGCACATGACCACTTCCACGATGGTCATGACCATGATAATGATCAGCATGACTCTGATTCCTTTCAAGCAATGCTTGGTCGTGGACACGGTCGAGATGGGGATGGGAATGAGGACATGGATATGCTAATTGATGCTACGGAAGATGGAGAACACGAGCAAGAGCATGAAGACGAAGATGGAGCCATCATTCAACTACAAGCTGAAGCTGCTGCAAGGGCAGCAGAAGAGGCATTGAAAACTGTGGGCAGGGAGTACGGTGGAGGTTGATGAAGACACTTGAGCTTTTGTGTCAATGAAGGACCGGATGAGCGTTATCCAGAGCTGGAGTAATTGCTTTAGAGGCCTCCTGGTGTTAGAGACGATTGCTTCTGCATGCAAGACCGAGAATCATCGGTGCATGAGGCTTCGAGATAGCTCAGAGCTTATATCATAATTCCAACAGAAGTTCCAACAGTCAAGATACACGATTGGCAATATTATGATACTCAAAAGCTTGTGATACCTAAGTTTGAGATTTGGTCTTCTGGATCAACAATCGAATCGGTAATTGTCAGTCCAGCCATAAGCGAGCCTGCTAGTACGCTTGTCTAGCCTTGTATCTAAGATTTAAACTCACGAAAGTCCGTCCGTTTCTTGGACCTCCAACACGCAAAGTACGGAATGCATCTGTACATCTTTCTCTTTGATCTCCAACACTAACCGAGTCCGACATTCCAACACACAAAATCTACAGAATTCGTTCTAAATACTTCAGACAAGACCCGCCGAACGCTCTTTCTCACAATAAGCTTCAATGTCAACAAACCAGACACGGACAATGACGCTGCCCTCCCTGCTGAGTTTGACCGTCATGGCGTAACGGCTCCGAGACCATGAAGAGGGACGTCTAGTGAAAATGAAGCAGGAAGATGATATCATCGAACTCAACGAATTCTCCGAACTACGAAGGGAGTTACCGAATATGATCTGGGAGACAACACTTCCTAAAAGAAAACAATTGTGCATTCATTTCCCGTTATTTCTTGAACGCCGCCTCATCCTTCACTGGGTACTACTCACCTCACTCTTCACCTATTAACTCAAATAATCCCTGGCCTTAGATTGTTCGGCCACTAAAGAACCGTCTTGTGGTGGCTCATCTGCAGCCTCACAGAAACAATGTGACGGCGTTCCGCAAGGCTCTCAGCCACCAGCCAAACCGAGCGCAAACAAGATCGGAGCCCGAACCTGTGAATTTCGATGAAAAAGTTTTCTTAAATCTCCAAACGACAATACAGGTTGGTATTACGCAGACATGGACCCTCTCACGGCATTGTCCGTCGCTAGGACAATAGTTCAATTTGCCGACTTTGGTACTAAATTGTTCTCGGAAGGCTATGAGATGTACAAGGCAACTACAGGGGCCCTGACCGCCAATGACCAGCTTGCGCTCATTACTGTTGATCTTCGTGTTCTGATTGAGAAGCTTCAACAGTTCCACTGGGAATTTGTCGGGGAATCTGTGGCCAAATCACCATCAGCCGATGAACAATACCACCATGAGATCGTTGAAAAGATATGCGGAGATGCGGTGGAGCTAGCTGATCATATTTTGAATCGTGTTGATGGTTTGAAGGTCAACGGAAAGAAGCACCGGAAATGGAACAGCTTCACGCAAGCCATCAAAAGTTTATGGTCGAGGGAAGAGATAGCTGGATTGGTTAAGAGACTTAGCAACCTCAAAGATGCTCTCCTAACGAGGGTCATTTACTCCATCTGGTTGGACGGTACCAACCCCACGGTCTTGGTCTGTTGCTAACTGCATTGATTCAGGTCCAATCTCCGTGCTCAGTCAATCAGCAACTCCTCAACCTTCGACCGGCTCGATCAGCAGACCCAGCATATTATTACCAAACTACTCGAGAGCACCAATCAAGTGGAAGAAACGCAAGGAGAGCTGAAAGAATTCCGTAACCAACTCGCATTTTTGGCAAACTACTTGGCTCGTATTGAAGCCGCAAATGTGGATGAACATCGTCAAACACGGGATGCCATTTTGAACTGCGAACGAACGTATAGAGGTCAAAAGTTGGACCACGTCATAAGCAAATTGCAGATGCTAAGTGCTACCCAAGCTGATGAAGCTAAGTTGAGAAAAAGTGTGAATGCAATCTTGCTTGGAAGTCTACATTATCCCACCATGACAAGTCGATATGAAGCAGTTCTAGAAGCATACCCGCAAACATTTGAGTGGGCCTTCCAGACTTCAGGGAATGGGCAAGCGACTTGGACCAATCTTTCCGAATGGTTAAAATCTGGAAATGGCCTCTATTGGATTCAGGGCAAAGCGGGCTCCGGCAAGTCGACGTTGATGAAACATTTGTTCGAAGATCCTCGAACCCGGAGTTATCTTGAGAACTGGGCGCATGACTCAGCTTCTGATGGTACAGAGCCAACAACTCTCTGTGTTGCTTCCTTCTTCTTCTGGAACAGTGGAAGCTTGGAACAGAAATCGCAGACTGGACTGCTCCGAAGACTTCTTCATCAGATTCTTCTCGCGATACCCGACCTAATTCCTATCACATTTCCTGAACAATACGCACAGATATATTCGAAACAAGCGCACAATGAGTTGTACCCTACAATTTCGTGGTCTCGGAGCGAACTCACGAGAGGTTTCGGTAGTATAACCAAGCAGAAATTGATATCCTGCAAGCTATGCTTGATCGTCGATGGTCTTGACGAATTCGATGGTGATCACGAAGATATGGCGAAGCTCTTCAAAATGGCCGCACTATCACCAACTGTGAAGATATGTGTGTCAAGTCGGCCATGGCAGGTCTTCAAGGACAGTTTTCATAACCGTCCAAATCTGCAACTGCAGGATCTCACATACAACGATATCCGAAAGTACGTCAGTAGCAAGTTCGACCAAAGTGCGGCCTTTGAAAGGCTCGCAGAAGAGGACTCGTCTTCAGCTCACTTGCTAGTTCAAGAAATTGTCGACAAAGCAGCAGGTGTGTTTCTGTGGGTTGCAATCGTTGTGAAGTCTCTCATCCAAGGTATAAATAACCGTGATAATGTGAGCATTCTGCAGCAGAGATTGTGGCGTTTTCCAAGTGAGCTGAAACCTCTCTACGATCACATATTCAACAACCACATCGACGACCTTTACAAGCCATGGGCGTCAAGAGCATTTCAGATACTCCGAGCTTCACGAGCAGTCTTTGCCCATGATGCGCCTAGTTCCACGGAAAATCATCTCACCCTCCTAGACTTGATGTATTCCATGGAAGATGAACTCGACGTGCAGTCTTTCAGACCACTCGACAAAAAGTCACTAACTCAAAAATGCCACAGTGTTGCCATTCAGCTAAATACACGGTGTGCCGGCTTGCTGGAAGTACGTCAGGAACCCGAGATTTACTCACGGGTTGAGTATATGCACCGGACTGTTCGAGACTTCCTCGAAAAGGAAGAGTGTTGGGCTCAGCTTTTGAGTTACACAGCCCGAACAATGTTTAACAGCTATCTTTGTTTATTCAGAAATTGCGTTCTATACATTAAGTATAGGCACCAGATCAATTCCTCTCAGAGGCTGGTCGGAAGAGCTTCTACAGCAATGCTGTTTGCTTATTATGCAGACTTGCATCTCGAGACTCATGAGGCACAGATAGCTTTGCTGGACGACCTCGATCGACTTACAGTCAAACAGAGAAAAGTGCGGACGCGGGAAATAGCTATGAATGAGAGTTTCCTACATCAGGCCTTGCGCTATTGTCTAACTGGATACATCCAAGACAAACTAGACAAGCTCGAGCCGAATGCTGCTAAAGTCCGTGCCTCTTCTCTTCTCAAACTTTTACCGACGCGCCGATATTTGATTGGGACGAACGAAATCGCCGTTACTGGCGCAGATTGGCCCAAAGGTATACCGGTTTTCCGACCCATGATAAGACCTGGGTCTTCGAGAGTTTATGATATGACCGCCATCGACGCAGAATGGAACAGGGAATTGCCACCTTTCCGGGAGGATGTTAGAGTTCTGTTATTGAGTTATGCTACCAAAGAAACTGGAGGTTGTCTTCTACCTAAGCAACAATCGCCGGCATGGCTAGAAGTGGAATGTGACACCAGTGACTCGGATACGTCATATTCCTGAGAACTCTTCGATTGGGTTATCATTTATGGATTAACTTTCTGCGAGTGGAACTGTCGGATGAATCTAACGGCATATAGAGTAGCACCAGGAACAGCTGTTGTTGAATAAACCAGTGTTAGCCGTACTTTTGGGATCAGCTTTTGCTATAACTCTTTGTACTTAGGTAGTAGAATTAGGCCTGCTTTGTAGGTCAGATTAGACAATATTATCAGTCATTTCGGCCCCCAATCCATTCGACAGGAATGTTTGGGATCTGGCGTTTTGCTTCAGTTATCTCAAGTATTGGGCGCTTCCCTTTCGACAGCTGCCATGAGATTTAATATCTCTAAGCAAATTTCTTTGTCCTCGTAGGTCATTCTGGCTGACGGAGGTGCAGCAAGAAGTTTTGTCTTCCCATCTTCCCAAAGATCATTGTTTCGCAGAAAAAGCTCTTTCCCAGCCAAACTCAGCCATTGAGACATCCATACCACTTCGCCGTTAGCATACTCGCGATGAGATCTGCCCGATGCACGATTTAAAATCCAAGACATGTACAAAGAGAAGTTGTAGACCGATTCACGGGTCAAGCGTGCGAGGAAGGCATGAAAGTTGAGCTCCTCAGCCTTCTCTTGATCACCATACTCGTAGTGGTCTGCGCAAAGTCAGCATATGTTTCTTGTGACTCTCTTGGATCTATCCTACCGGAATCATGTGCACAATAGCCAAATGTTGGCAAGACGTCGTGATCATCCATGTTTTGGACATATTTTATCAACTCCACCAATTTGTCCTGGCTTTCTTCGTCCTCAGCAGAGATCTGTTTCGCGATGTGGAACGATGAGAAAAGTAACCCGTAGTAGAAAGCTTCTTGAGTTCTATCTTCTGTAGAAAATGGGACTTCGGAGCCGGGCGGACGCATAAGCATGATCGATTCCGCGGCTGCTTGTGGGCTCCTATAAAGTGGATCATCAGGCTGCATAAGCATGGCATCGAGGATTCGGAAGCATTCTTGACTGTCTCCACCACTGAGCGCAAAGCGAGGGGCGTCGAAGTGGAACTGTCTTTGGATGGCTTCTTCAGCAGGATCAAGGCGGGCCCTTTCGGCTTCGACGGCAGCATTCCACAATCGTGGATCGAGATTGTCGTAAGGACTTTCGTACTCATCCGCTATATATTGTGGAAGCTTATCCATTATGAAATGACTTTCGTGAGTGTGTTCTTGCAGTTGATGATCAAATTAAGGAGTGGCTTGTGCTCCCAGACTTGAAAGTCCGTACAGAAATCAAAGATTGTAGTGTTTGTGGTAATGTGGTGCGAGAATGGGGAAGTTGGTGTCTTTTGTGTTTCCAAATCTCTCTCGGAATTTCGGATTTCAATCTAGACTGAAGTGATGGTGGAGTCTGAACTCGTCCGGCAACTAAGATTTGTTGCTAGCTTTACTCTACCGCGGTTACCTATCTACTTGTTGTATTTTTAAGCGAGCCCCTTTTTCCTAAAACCAAAAGTATTCCCGAAAATAATATGACTTCATGAACCTTTCCATCTCGAGGCTTTGCTTGCCATTGTTCCTAAAGTCTTCAATTACATGTGCACCATGTGTCTCTTTGATCCACGATAATGTTCACCGCGCAGACGAGCATTATGAGATAACTAAATACCGAATCCAATACCAGCAAGGACAACAAAAGCCAACAACCCCAAATTAACAACCGACTCCCTTGCCCCCATACTCGGCTTCCCCGTCCCACTCGTACCACCACTCGCCGCAGCCGTACCCCCCACATCTCGACTCCCCTTCGAAATTGTCTGATTCCTTGGAATACACATCAACCTCGTATCTGCCCATGCTCCTCCACCACTAGTCCCCGCATTCCGGTCAAACAACCAAGCAGTAACCAACAACGGCAACGGCGTCTCTAAATCCGTATCATAAGTCTCGAAATTATCTTTCCCCTGCACTATATCGCCGAGAGTGAAAAAGGCGCCAGAAGTAGCGTTCGAGTTTCCGGGGTCGATGATGGGACAGCTTGTTTGGCTTTCTGCTGCAGTTACGTTTGGGACCGTTAATCCGGATGAGCCACCGCCGGCTATGAGGCCTTTACAGGTGCTGGTAGAGTCTTGGGAGAGCGAAGAGATTTGCGAGAGGAGGGCGCTGCATTGGGTGTCTGCCGAAGTCGATGTCCCGGAGATGGAGGAGGAAGAGGAATTTGCTTTCGCGATAATTTCGGCAACGCAAGCAGCGGTGAAGGCTGCTGTGCAGTCACCGTTGTCATAGACTGAGGTCTTGAGTGAAGTAGAAGAGAGCTGGAGGGCGACGACGCAGCCTTGATATGGGAGGGAGGGGTCGGTGAGGTTTTGTAAGGGTCTTCTTGAATGTCAGTGGATGTATTGGTAACTGAGAAAAGGGAAGCTTACGACGTAGATAGACCAAAGCCAGTATTCACAGTGGTGGTATTATCGTCATCAGTGAATGTTGTTCCGACGTAGGCTGACCAGGTCCAGGTTGAGGCGGGGTACGAGGAATTTACTTGGAAACCTGGAACGGAATGTGATCCTGTTGCGTTCACTCCATTGGGAAAAGGATTGTCTGCTCGCTGTAGGTGCTTGATTAACTGAAGCTCATGAGTCAAAGTACCTCCCGGATTGTACTTACACAGCTACTATTCGTTCCGTTTTGCGCGTATGAAGCAGGAATGCAAGTCGCTCCCGCTAGTATTGATAATCTTTTGAAGTTGACCATGGTTCTGTCTTTGTGATAAGGTAAGCGTCTAGATGCTAATATTTAGTGGTTTATCGAACAAGCACTGGCATTGTCTGTCGAGTGTGGAGACATTGCTAAACTTTATACACAGACCAGTAAGGCTGATTTGAGGGAGCGCCAAGGCGCACGCCGCTCGGCCGACAAGAAGCTGAGAACCTCAAGACAACCAATACACTCTCGGTAGAATAGGCTCCAAGAGCAAAAGAATGCCCATCCTGCTTTTCATTACTCGCGAGTGGCCGGCATTTACGAATGTTGGAGTTAAGCGAGGAGGAAGTGGCGCAAGCCCCTGAGCCATGCGACATCACGTCAGGACCAGCGGCTGACAGTGGTGTAGAGCTTGAAAGTTCACCTTCACATTGTTATCGAATATAGATTAACTACGAACTTTCTGGTCAGGTGTAGGAGTTGTGTTGGTTGCTCGGCAAGACAGATGTCCCGGATTGGGGACTCGCAACCACTGTAGCTTCCGACCGTTCCAAATCCACCTGCGATGAAGCATTGTTCTAGAATAAGAAGCTCGGAATAATAGTGTTGGTTGTTCCAAACGGCAAAGCATAAGAGGATGCGCAGAAACAACAAGAAGTATATGATGTTTGGAATGAGCGGTTGATGAGCCTCACTTAGCAATGCACTGAGGATATGCGCAGTTTCGGCAGCTCATGGTAATCTCAACTGGCTGTTCCCCAAAGTATTTCATACTAGAGAAATATTCGAAAACTCAACACCGCGGGTTGTGAGGCGATGTTAAGGTTCTGCCATCCCAACTGATGTCACTTACGCTTCAGACTAGTTAAGCGAGACGATTAAGGGGGGTAAATCTAGCCAGGACTCAGGAAAGGCAAGCGAGCTTCAATGTCTACACAAGACCTTGGATATCATTGGATATATAAGTACACTGGAGATCTTAGTGAAGATCTCTATTCAATTTCCATTCATCTTCCACTAGAATCATATTCATCACATTCAAAGCGTTGTCGGGCACAACTTCATCATCTCTTAATCTCAACGCTATTTTTAAATAAGAATCGGCATTCAAAATCAACCAATATACGCTCTCGTTAATCACTCTCCTCGCCACTCTCATGGCAAGTTCGGTACTCGCTGGTAAACATTTACCCCTCAACTTCCACCCTATAATCCAAACTGACTCCATCTCCTGCAACCCTAAAATCAGGAAGAAAGAAGAATGCTTCAGGTTCCTCACCACCAGCTAAGAGCGTCACCCGCGTCTTAGGTCGTGATGTTCATGAGCTGGTTAAAAATGGCGACCTCATCGAAGCATGTCTTGTTGTCTCTCGAGAACACAGCTCGAGTTCTTTCCTTGCCGACAACAACACCAACCCCATCAATGAGTTTGCTCTCGTTGCTAGCTCAGAATGTGCTTGGTTTGAAAGCGTTTGAATGGTTGCAGTGCCATCGGCATGTATTGTACATAAGACCAAAGTTGATTGTTAGATTGCTATGTTGGGATAAACTCTTTTACCGTTCCTCAGATCCTGCTGGACAAAGGATTTGTGACATACATTGTTCAGTAGTTCCAGACTTCACTCAAGTGAGATGTACGGAGTAAGTTAATGTTCACGTATACGTAACTCGGGTCTAAATATCAAGGCAGTTAGAGGTTCGAGTGTCGGTGGTGGGAATCATAGACAAAGTCCCAACTTGAATGACGAACATCACCAGAGTATCCGCTACTGTCGGCTCGAGAACTGCACGTAGCTATGATGATGCCACTGGCCTTGCATTCATTACCATAATTCGAAATTTCACTTCCCTGGCGGAATAAGCTCACAGTGGATTAACTATAACCCACGGCGAAACGTAGCTTCAAAGGCAACACTGATTCTTCACTTAGATACCTAGGTACACATCTTCTATTCACCACAGCCAGATAATTTCTCCAAACATTGGCTAAATCTCAGCTCATAAAGCCTTCCACTAAAGGAAGAACAAAAATCCTAATGCCCAGCGCAGGGATCTAAGTCAGGTGCTGAAGAAATTAGCAAGCATACCAGATATATTATCTCAACATTCACGTATCCCAGCTCAATGAGAGTCCGGAACCTCTTCCATGCACCCGTCTTCTGAACATCAACTCTTCACACATCATCATCCCCGTCGTTAGAAGTGTCACCCTCCGCAGCCCCTTTAATTCCTCTTCTTCATCCATTATCAGCCCCCTCGATCTACTTGCTGCTCTTTTATTATCGTCCAATACTTTTAGGATAGATAGTTCTCGAGAAAAGAAGAGACGAAAAGGAAATTCCTCTGACACAACTATGGCCCTTGAAATCTTGGTCCAAAGTTGGGAGTTTGAATGTGTAGTTTTGTTCCAACATCTTATCCATTAAAATCTTGAGTTCAAAGTTGGGACTTTGAGCAGTTATATTGTCCCATGGATTTGGAAAATAATATTATCTTATTCAGGCAGCGCAAAAATGACGAGTAGGAAGTTCAGCTAGAAATTTCCCACTATGAAAAGAGGAGCAAAAGAATCTGGTTATTGATTCACTTTGCAAACACCTCATTCATTCAAGGTCGGACGCACACTTGAAGTCACCAGAATATCTCAGAATCGTAGGGACTTTCATGATCTGCACATTCATCATCGTCCAATCCTCACAAATCAGGAACAGAAAACACCAAAACAAGACAAGAAGCATCACGGCCTCAGCCTGGTGGTGGTATTGATACAGAAATTATACCCACGCTAATGTAGTCCCCACCACCAACGCCATAACCAAATCCTCATAATCATCGCCAAATTACAACACCTCACACTCAATCCCAATCATGCTCCACCCTCCACGCATCCTCCGGCACCAACCCCTTCGCCACAATATCACAATCCCGATGTCCCCACTTATCCGCAAACACCCTCCTGCCATGCTCGATCGTCATCTGAATCCCCTGGTCGAAACCCTCGCTGTCCCGGTAGAACGGGTCGCCTTGTCCGCCCACCTGCCGCGATTGCCATGTGTTTCTGCCGCGTGTATTTTCGTGCTTCGAGCCTTGCATGCGGTCGAGGACTTGCATTAGTTTTTGGAAGGCGGGCGAGAAGATGGTGTCTTCTGTCCATTCTCCGCTTGATTCGGGGGTTGGCGTTGCGGTTGCGGGGGAGATGGTGGAGGTTGATGTCGAGGTGGATGTAGTGCTCCCTGCGCCTCCTGGTGGTTTCTGTCCTTCTGCGAATTTCTCCCACGCTTTCTCGGCTTGGATGTCGCTTTCCGTCTTATCTTCATCCCTCTTCTCCGTCTTCTTCACCTCCTCATTATTCTCCCCCAACCCAGCCTTACTAGCAGCAGCCTCACTCTCAGCAATAGCCTTCAATTCCTCCTCAATCGCATTCGGGTCCTTGAAACTCGCCTCCGGCGTCTCCGGCCCCGTCTTGCGGTACAGCACGATCAGATCATCCAGCGAACTCGCTACATCGTATATCAGTCCCGCGGGCACTTCCTTGATGTCGAAATGCGCCATCTCGAGCCGGGCGTGCATATCGCAGTCCGTCATGTAGAACGGGATCAGGGTGTCCCAGCCGCCGACCTCGACGAAGGACGCGACGTTGACGAGGGCCAGGCGGTCGTAGGAGAAGAAGCGCATGGCCCAGCGGGACAGTTTGCCGGTTGCGGGGTCCGGGGCCGTGACATTGCGGAGGGCGTCGAGACATTTTGTGTAAACGGATTCGTAGTCGGAGTAATCGTGTTTGGAGTCGGACGAGGGCAGGATGGGGGTTGTGGTTGTTTGTTTGAAGGCGTAGTATTGGTCTTCGAAGGAGACGGAGACTACGTCCATGTGGGACCTGGGTGCGAGGTTGATATTAGCTTCGTTCATGTGGATAGCAGAGCCGCATGTTTTGGGCTAAGGCAGGCGGATATGCAAGAGGACTTCCAGACTACCAAATTGCGGAATGGAGGACTTACCAAAAGTACGTACTCCAATCCTGGGAGATGGAGTGGAACATGTAGAAAGATTGAAGTTGAGCGAAAGTGAGCAGCGTAGGTGTGACCAAAACATTGACACCCAGCATCTCCAGACGCGTATGATTGAGAAAGAAGGGATTCTGAAGAGACAGCCGCCCTTGCTTATTAGAATCCATCACGCCCGTGTTCTCCACGACGTAAATATCCTCTGGCGGCCATCCTGATGTGATGTACGAGACCACAACTTGTTGAAGCAGGCGCCAATTCCTCGTGAAGCCGATGAATAGAGGGGTCTTTTCGAGGACATGAGGAGTGGGAGGATTATTCCATGATGGAATTGGAGGGAGGTCGGCAGCTGCATGCGCGGCGAGGGCATGTGGGAAGTTATCAACGATGGGTAAACTCCTGGCTGGAGGGGTGGGTTTGTATTTCGGGTACGGAGCCGTGGTTGTTGGCCCGATTAGATTGTCATGGATCTCCTCGAAGATGGGCGTCGAGACGTCTGAGATGTCATTCCGCCAGTAGTAGCTGGTGAGGAAGATGAATAGGAGGGAGATGGTGGTGAAGAAGATGTATCGATCTCGTAAACTCCTCCCCATCTTGACGAAACTGCGACTGCGACAGTTGCGCTCAGGAAAGAAAGAGATCAAGTAAGGTTCCGCGCGCAAGAGAAAAAAGGAGGGTGAAAGCAAGGATGAAACGTATGACAGCACGAGGGAAAAAAATAAGGGTTGTGACAAGTGGCAGCCAGTTACCAAGAGAAAGCAGGCTGTGGCAAACGAAAATGGAACTGTGCCGTAGACGTTGAAAGCAGCAGCACCTCCACAGCCACACCTTATTCACCTTCAAATCCAGGTACAAGAAATAAAAATGGCGAGTATGCTGTGCCTCTTCTCTCTTACCTTATCAAATCGGAGAAGACTGGCCGATCTTATGGAGGGGTAGTGGGGATGAAAGAAAGTTTGCTGGTGGTGCATCCAACGTACAAAGTAAAATCCCAACACGAGATCCGGGCACTTGCGGCGAATTGACCTCCATAGCTCTCCCACCAGCCACTTGTGCGGCTCAGTGTGACAAGAAGTGGAAGAAGTCAACGAATAGCAGACCCGATGATGGAGATGAAACTGGGCTACTGGTTGCACTACAGCTCACAGACTTGACGCGAACCTCGCCCGACATCCAATTAAAATTGCATGTCGGGAACAACGTCCCAAAGCTAGGCAGAAGCATTACCGCATCCGGGTCGAATTGACGTACTGAATTCGTAAAAATCGATGGGTAGAGAGGAGCACCACGATGCATTTAGGCAGACGTTGATTCAGGATGCCTCTCGCTTCATGCGGGTAATGTCCATGGTCTGATATTGAACGACGAGGGAACACGTATTGGCTAAGGGCATTCGAGCCCTTGCACTGGTGTGGCTGGTGACGCTGTTCTGACCTGCTTGTTGTCATCAGCCTCTCAAGTTTGGTACTGGATGCGAAAGGTTGGAGGTGAAGGGTTGTGTGGTTGGTGGGAGGAGTGCGAGGTACCGCATCGTCATGATGGATATGCTTTAAGCTTGTTTGGACGGAACGGGATCGACGACAGTAACCCATTGCAGCTTGGTGCGTGCAATTCAAGGCATATGGAGTTAATTCTGTTGAGTGAGGTGTATGTAATCTTACGAAGCTAGAGAAGCAGGATCCCGAGGCGCATATTTTCTCGTCCTCCTCTTCACTCTTCGTCTATAGTTGGGAATGCAATCAATCCGCGACGAGGAAGACATATTCTCAAAAGGGATGCGGATGCGGACTAGTAAAGGGAAACAATGCGTTTCGTGTTCATCCAACCAATAGAATCCAAGTCGTGCGGTTAACGTCCAAGCGAGCGGTGGCAGGGTGAGACAGGGGGAGGCGCGGCACTTGTGGAGAGAGATGCGAATTCAACATATGCATCCGGCATTTCGATGAGGAAAACAAATCTTTATCTGCAATAGTATTCTCGATTCGGATGTGCATTTGTAACTATTTGGATTCTACAAATTTTATACCAGAATTATCATCACTTGAATTTAAACTAGAAGAATGTCGATTCCTCATTTGCACATTTCAAGCTCTGTCATCCTCTTATCCCTCCTTCTCAATTCAGGACCAGCATGTGAGTCAATGCATCGTATTGTAATTAATTCTGTACATAAATTCAGACACTAGCTACCTCAGCAAAAATAACGCCATAACCAACCGCCGACCCGCTGTGCTTGAGAAACTCCTGCGCTCATGACTTCGTGATCTCTACAAACCGTCTTGCGTTCATAATAAGTGACGCGAAATGTCTACGTATTGTCTTGTCTTCCGTTGCATGTATCGAAAATACTATTCAATGGGAGCAAAGAATCGACTGGCTTCGATAATTTGCTCATCACCATTAGCAAAATCCCACCCAACAATGATACTAGTCTGACTGCAGCAGATGATCCGGCGAGCATCGAACTGTAACTTGAACACTCGAGCCATATTCGTTGGGAGGTGGTGATGGTGATGAGTGTGGCTTGGCTGAGGAGCAGGCGCGGGCATTGCAGCTTGGATGACAGCAGGTGGGGGTGCAACGGCGGCTGGTGGAGCTTGCACTGCGGCTCCTTGAGAAACAGTTTGCGTAGCAGCTGTCTGCGACGCAGGGACTGGTCCACTCGAAGCGCTGGGTACAGTTGTTGGGAACGGAATCAGAGGCTGTATACCACTTGAAGACGATGATCCACTTCCTGCCATCCCATGGGTTTGACGAGCTGCACCAACGATGGTATTCATGATCTGTTGTGTCGTTGCAGGCATCGTAGCAATGAGATGATCCAAGTAATCATGTTGCATGATCTGAGGATGACGTTGCAAAGCCTGCCGTAGAGCAGCTGGTGACTGAGTAACGGCAATAGCAATCGTATAACGATACCACGCATCGCTACCAGGAGCAAAAGGGACCGTTAGTGCATCAAGATCTGGGTGTGGTGCTTGCATTGTATGTGGGAGGGCTTGAGTCGTGGAGGTCGATGCCTGAGGAGCTTGAGGAGTTGGTAATGGCTGTGATTGCAGAGGTTGTGATGGTTGTGAAAGTTGTGACGTTTGACTCGTGATGCTATCGTTGCTTCGTCTAGGCTCATGGATCATTCGTGACGCTGCTTGCGCAGCTTCTTCTTGTCGTAACGTGTGTTGGGCTCTCCAGACACCTTCTTTATCCCGTCTCCAGATAATGATCGTTTCATCGTAAGATCCCGACACAATTCGTCCAAACTTACCACCGCCACCTCCGGGTGGTAGCTTGGCACCATATGCAGTAATGTCTTCTGGTTTTCTCGAACCGGCATTTCGAGGTCGGCCCCGTTGTTGATAAGCTGCTCTAGAGATAGCTCCAGAATCGACAGCTCTAAAGTACTCATGATCAATTGCCTTCGCGTCCTCTTTATCCTCTTCTGCACTGAATGGCAAATCTCCGAATCCAGCTTGTACCGTACGAACAAGGTTTGCATGAGCACGAAGACTGGCCACTTCAAGACCAGACTCCTTGTCGAAGACCTTGACTTCATTGTCACTACTTCCACTCACAATTCGCCGTCCGTCGTATTGAACACAAGCTATGCCTTTGGAATGGCCAATCAAAGTGCGTATGCAGGTCTGCTCAGGCCAATCCCACACTTTTACAGTGCGATCCCCTGATGCAGAAACGACCTCATTGTTGTAAATCTGAACAGCATTCACAGCAGCGCCATGTCCCTCCAGGCAGCCAATCATAGAGTACGGCGGCTTCACAGGAAGTCCGGCAGTGGGCGGCGGGTTGAATCCGTAATTATTGAGATAAGTCGGCACGGGATTGACACCAGCTGAAAGGCCAGGATAACCGAGTTCCCCAGCAGACAAAGGCTTTCGGTTGAAGATCTTGATGGTCTTATCTTTCGAGCAAGTCACTAGGACACGCTTATCAAATCTAACATTCAAGACAGATTCTCGATGAGCTTTCCTAAGCCTCTGAATGATTTGACCTGTAGAAAATCTCCAGAGAACCACGGTTGCATCACTGCTCCCAGAAACGATCAGGTCTTCTTCCGGATCAGCATCGAATTGGAGGCACAATACAGAACCTGAGTGTGCTCGTAGAGGTGGTCGTACAAGCCGGCGTGTGTCAAGATCCCAGATGCGTAAAGTTTTGTCTCTGCTTCCACTGACAAGATATTTACCTGAATGCTGAATAGTGTATATGCACTCCTCATGTGCCTCTTCAGGATATGCGGGGTGCGGCAGCTGGAAGTTAGTATACCTCTCAGCTTCCCAATTAGCCTCCAAGCGCCGTCGCTGGGAGTATAGATACTGCCAATTGAGCTTTTTCTTGTTGTCAGAGCGGTCTATGACGACTAAGGAGGAAATGCTCGAGAGCGCGGCTGAAGGGTGAGAAAGGGTTGATCCTGAGGATGTACGGCTGGAACGACCTTGGAATGAGTTCGCAAGCCTTGTGGGATACTGTGTGGATTTCATGGATGAGAGGTGCGAGGGGGACATCATGGGAGTATCCAAGTCGAATCTCGTTGACACTGGCTCCTTGGTAATCTTTCCTCCGAATATAGACATCTGCTTAATTCCAGAAACATCGACGTCCATCATGTCAGAGTCGTCTGTGAGGAAGGAAGGCTGCATCCTTTGGGAAGTTGCTCGTCTCTTGCTCGCATGTTCGTCGCTACTGTCACCGCTTGGCCTTGACCGGTCAAGATTCAGAGACTCTTCGAAGCTCTGTACCTCTGACTTGATGACGCGGAAACCTTCCAGTATATACAGTTGTTCCCACAACTTCCGATCGAGGGCTAGGAGCATCCATTCTCGGGAACCGCGCGCAGTATTGATCAAGGAAACTGGGTCTAGGAAACCGAGAATCTTGAGACAGACCTCGGGAGGGAGCTTCTTAAAGAAATTGATGTAGAGTCTAGGACGGAGTCTGCGAACGATTTCGGCAACTTCAGAGGTAGGTAGGTGGGCAATGACGCTCATAACATACTCTGCGATATGTTAGATCTCAAGTTCAATGACTTGAATTGCTGAATATCCCACTGACCTGTACGTTCCGGCACCGTCATTGAGGCCATCCATGGAGGAAGAGCTCCGGAAGGGCTCACGGTCAAAGGATCCTCGCTGTAGCCTTCATCTGGAGGGGATCCTTCGTAAGACGTCATGGCCGCCACAGAACCACCAGCAGGTGTAGACGTCTATTTTCAACGGAATCGTAGAATGGTAACAATCCTAAAGGAATGGCAAGGAAGACACCCTTCACCAAATCCGTGTCGCAGAGGATATCGAGACGCGTATGGATGTGTGTTGATGTTGTGTTGGAAGGTGAAGTGAACGAGGCTGACGTTTGGCGGGTTGAATCAGGCACCGCTTGGTGGTATCGCCAATGGCCGGCTCGAGAATGTGCCAAAGATTCTGGAACAATTGTCGCGGGATGTGGGAGGTGTCGCGCAGAGATGGACGAACAACAACTCAACTCTGCGGTCTGCTGCAGGTCGTCGAAGAATGGAATAACGAGGACTCAAGGTTGCGATGCGACCGTACGTGAATGCTTGTATGTTTGCCTGCGTGGGCACGAACAGGAATGAATGGGAATGGCAGTTGGCTGGTCATGCTTACCTTGGATCCGCCCCTGTTGAGGTGCCTCACAACTAAGGCATCAAGGCCGCTGCCGCCGCCATCCTGAGACAGAGACATTACAACGACCCACCAAGACAGTGGAATAAGGAACGACTTCCCCTCGACTTCAATCTCCATCACTCTCTCCCAACTTTTCGAACCTTGAATGCCGAATCTCTCTACTCTGGATCTACATTCATGTCATCTGGCGGCGTTGCCACGCATATGGCTCATGGGCCCCTTTCGAGGACGAACACCGCGCCTCTCTTTCAGACCAGAAGCGCCGGCTTGAGCCAGACAATGAGCCATAGTTCGCGATCCTCACAGCTGTCCGGCTCAACAGCGTTCACCTCTTCGTCGTCAACTTCCTTGTCGTCGATGACCAGCTCTGCAACCCTTGTGCCGCAGATCCCAATGTCCGCAAATGGTAGCCCAAATGGCAGTGGCCCCGTTGTCGCGACAAATAATATCATCAACCAGAGAGCGGATGCGTCGAGGTCACTGTACCAAATCTGCGTCAATCTACGGCAACGACTCGCCCAAGTTCCCAACTTTGACACCCATCTCAATGACTCCGATGACGAAGATGAGGGGGAGGATATGGACCCAGTCTCTTCTCTGTGGAGATGTCTACGGAAAGGAACACCTCTGATGACGATATACAACTCTCTTCAACCTCCCGAACCCCTGCAAATTGACGATAAGATCCAAGAACCAAAGCGGCCAAAGATAGCAGCATTCAAGTTTGTGGAAGCATGCTTGAAGGGGGACTTGAAGTTACCTCCTGGGGAGTGCTTCTCTCTACAAGATCTCTTTGGTGACGATACGACCGGTTTCGTCAAGGTGCGTCTTTTCCTAGTCTCGCAAAGATCGCTTGATTCCCCCTTGCATGACAATAATTCACCCATCCAAGTAGCGTGAGTGACTGACAAGATCGAAATAGGTCACTCAAGTCATAAATATTGTCCTCGACGTAGCAAAGCAACGCGGGCTCCTCCTAACCTCGGAGAAAGAAGACGAAGCTCCATCAGCAGCCGCACCTGGAGTGAAAATGACTTATAGGGACCATGTTGTGAAGGAGCTTGTGGACACCGAGCGCAAATATGTACAGGACTTGGAAAACTTGCACGAGTTGAAGAAAAAGATAGAACAGAAAGGCGTCATCCCCGGGGATGTTGTGCACGATATCTTTCTCAACCTGAACGCCATCTTGGACTTCCAAAGGAGGTTCCTCATCAAGATTGAAACCACAAATTCCTTGCCAGATGACAAGCAGGAATGGGGCTTACCCTTCACCAATTATGAGGAGGCTTTTGGTATCTACCAACCCTTCATTGCGAATCAACGGAAAGCAGCAGCGATTGCAAAACGAGAATTCGACAAGATCGCCCTGGCAGAACATGCGGTCGTGGTTGACTTCAACACATTAGATGGATTCCTTCTCAAGCCGATGCAGCGTTTGGTCAAATATCCGCTACTGCTAAAGGTACACAGGAAAAAAAACTTTTACGTACGATTTGCTAACTCCATGTAGGACATGCGCGACAAGACACAGGCCGACGAGGAAACAAAAGCAGACTTGACTGCTGGCATCGAGGCCTCTAATCGCGTTCTCAGCCAAGCTAACGCCGCAGTTGACCGAGAGCTCAGAGCCGAAGCCCTTGAAGATTTGTGTGCACGTGTCGATGATTGGAAAAACCATCGGGTAGACCATTTTGGAGAATTGCTTCTCCACGGTCAGTTTCCTGTGGTTACAGGCAAAAGCGATGTCCAGAAAGAAGTACGACCCCCCAGCGTCAGATATCCTTCATCAGTTGCAGATTTCAAGTCAGCCGTCGACCACAAGCGCAAGGCGCTTTTGTCATCTTTTCGACGTTCCACCCCTACCCACACTCAAAGTCTGCCAGAAGACATCGCCTCCTCATGGGATCAAGCTTCAGCGACAGAGTCAGAAGCAACATTCGCTGAATCACGCCGATGGAGTACCATCGGCGATACAGATCGCTTCTTAAGCAACATGCTCTTTCATCATTTTGAGGGCTCTCACCCCGTCACAGGAGATCCAATTCTTGCAGAAAAGTACGCTAACAGTTTGGGCATCAATTGCCCGCAGTACGAACAGTACACTATATATCTCTTTGAACGCATCTTGCTTTGCTGCAAGGAACTCAACCCGAACAAATCGAAAGATAAGCTCATGGGCGCCCAGAAAGACAAAAAAGACAAGAAAGATAAGAACAGAAACAAGGAACCCAACAAGAACGCCAAGCTTCAGCTCAAGGGAAGAATCTTTATGACCAATGTCACGGAAGTTCTCTCATTGGCAAAGCAAGGTAACGCGAACAGGAATACTTTTGGAATAATGCTGACATATCATAGGTTCATACACTGTTCAGATATTCTGGAAGGGAGACCCAGGTGTTGAGAACTTTATCATCAGGTTTTCAAACGAAGAGACGATGAAGAAATGGTATGAAGGTGTCGACGGTCAACGGAAACAACATGCCAGTTCAATCCAAACCGGGAGCAGTCCAGACGCAGGACCTGCTGACTTTGCTTGGATGAGAGACCAAACCGGACTAGCGAATCCATATGCTCAGCAAGACGACGATGACGATGATGATGAATATAGTACACCAGCATCGGCTCCTATACCGAATTCGACGTACCCTGGACCTGCTGGAATCCCCCGAAATGCTTCCAGCACGAGTCTCCGGTCGAGATCTACAACAGGTGACAGCGGGCAATCAATGGCAAGCATCGTTCGTGGGCCTGTGCCTCCAAGGCAATTTCCTATGAATATCTCAGCTCCGCCCTTGAGTCTACAGACTCAAATAGCGTCACAGATGCCATCCCCTGGTCAGCGTAACGGGGATTCATACTTCTCTCCAGTTGCCGAATCGCCTGCATCTTCAAGAACAAGTACAGCGTCTTCGATGTTCCCTTTCCCTCGCCAAGGAACGCCACAAGGAGGTTGGGGAGAGGATCACAACCGTTATACTGCACCTGCAATGCCTCGCGCACCATCACGCGGCAGTCAGAACCCTGCCGATGCATATATGAATGGAAGAGGACCACAAAGACCTTCTCTTCCAGCCATGGCATCACAAAACCAGGCGAGTGTAGCACAGCAGCGAAGTCGATCTTATAGCACTCCTGACATTAATGCTCAGAATGGAGGACGACGTCTTCCAAATGGTGCCGCAAGCGGTCAACAGGTGCCAGCAGTACCAGGCATTCCGTCTCACCTGCAAGGACACCCCGCTTATGATGCAGGCATTCCGCGATCACAAAACAGCTCTCCGAATGGCTTGCCGATGCGGTCTAATACTCAATCTCCTGGAACTCAACGGGATCGCATGACACAGCAGTCAGCCTACCCTGCAGTGCCTCAATACAACAGGAGCAACACAACTCAGATTCCAATGACGAATGCTGATAGTCGAACCATGTCCCCACCACTGGGCAGCGCAAATTCTACAAGCGGCGAACCTGAGTTGCCAAATCAGCTCAAGGTTAAGGTCAACTGCAATGGGAATTATGTTACTCTTGTGGCAGGCTACAATATCAAGTATCAGGTTCTTGTTGACCGTATTGATGCCAAGGTTGGCCGTTTTTCAAACAATGCCATCAGCCAAGGCACGATGCGCTTAAGATATCGAGATGAAGATGGAGATCTGGTGACCATTGAATCGGACGATGATGTTCGGATTGCATTCCAAGAGTGGCGCGAAGCACAGAAATACCAATATCAAGCTGGGCAGCTGGGGGAGATTGAGCTTTTCTGCTTGACTATGGATAACTAGCATTTTCGGGAGAGCCTGTTTGAGACTTTTTGCATGGCAGGAGCATGGCTGGGTTTGATGTTTTGCTTTCTTAAGACAACCTACATTCCCTAGATGGAGGATTACGATATGCACGTTGAGATGAATGGGATGGGACGAACATGGATCTTGCGTTGTTTTTTATTCTCAGAGGGGCGTTATTAGGCGTCATCTCATTCTGCGAAGATGGCGCAGCCACATTTGGGGTCAGGACGGACGGCGTATTGCCTTGATGAGCATTGGGTTCATGGTTTACGAGCGACACAAGATAGCTTTCCTGATAGCAGCAACAATGCAAGGTAGCTTCCAAGTACTGAATCGATTCCTTGCCTTCTATGTGAACCTGTGATACGCCCAATTCTGCAATGCATCTCTACCAAGACATTTATTTCAGTTGTACAGAAATCTAATGGAATGGCTCGAGTCTTGGGATTTGCTTCCTGTACGCCCACATATGCTCCCATATATCGCACCACGCGATGCTGTGTTGTACAAGGATTGATCCCTTACGCCTTCGAAATCATGGAATTGTGTCCCATTACAATATTTTCATACATCTGCATCCGCTTCACTTCCTCTTCCGCGGTCCAACAATATTCGGGTACATGCGTGATAAGTGGTAGTTGATAGTGTTCTTCTTTTGATTTTTCGGTCTCTGTTCAAAGGCATATTAGCTACCACTCTTTTGTGGCCCATTTGTAGCAGTTGTCCCATACCGGCATGTCCATACAAGTTCGTAGTTGAGTTTCTAGCGCTTGACAGCCAGCTACATTGTATCCTGCCGATGCCCAGCATGCTAGTTCCCAGTCAGCGAACTTCCGAAGATCGTACATTTCTCAAATACGCACTGAGAACAGAACTCATGAGTGCCAAACACGGATTCGCATCTGCTTGATTTGGTCGTCGTACTCGGAGTTTGGGTAGAGGTGGCAGGCGCATCGGCTGCAATTTCGTTGCCGCTCCTTTGGGAGGCATCTCGAGTCGTATCAGCAGACAGTGCGGGCTCGAAAGATCTTTACTCGATATGCTTGGTGGGCAGAGAGGGGAATTAGATCAATTCGTTGATGGCTTTCAAAATCGTGAAGCTTGTCCGAACTATCTTGACAATTTATCCGCTAGAGCTAATCGGGCCTAGCCACGGCTCATGGCACGGTCACTAAAAGTAAACAAAAACAGCTCCGGGTCGTGTGCGATGCTTCATATCCACAATCAAAGAGCTCTCATCCTTACAAGCAGCTTCAGACGTACAGAGTCTTACTCTCCTAATTCATGTTTATAATTCAAAGATAACGAGAGATCCTTGTGTCATAATTAAACGGCGTTGCCTCGAATTATTGCGCGTTGTTGATTACCCATGGACAGCAACCATACAACAGCTCCCCAGAGCTCTACACTGTAAGTCCAAATTCCTTCAGTGGAACAACACTCACCGTTATTTAGGGAAATCTACAAGGATGCATTCGCTCCCCAACCGCGCCCAAGAACAAGAGCTTGGGAACGTTCCTCCGTCGAAGCTCGTGCCCCGCGACTTCAAGGCCAGAAGATATGGAAGAAGGCAGCCCATAAAGCTCCTCATGACGACAAGGAGAACTTCGAAGCTGCCTTGGTAGAGCTGGAGAAGGGAGGAGCAGGAATGAGGAAGAAGCAACGAATCATGGGCGCTAAGGAGAACATCAACGATGCACAGTGGCAGTTGATTCAGGAAGGAGCCAACGTCAAGGTCCTGCTGTCACCTAAGAAGAACGGACGACAATCTCTTGCAGCAGGCAATGCAGACGCCCTGCTTGTTCCTAGGAAGAGAACGAATGCGAACCATCTCATCACTCCTCGAAAGCCTCTACGAAAGGTACCAAATGGAATTCATCCAAGTACAGCTCCACTAGAACTTCCTGCCGAGCCAGCAATCATCATTTCTCTTAGCCTCGAGACTGGCACGAAACCATCGGAGACGAACCACTTGAACAACGAGATTGTAGACGATGCGAGTAGACTTCCTTCCCCTAGGACGGACAATAGAACAGCGGACACAGAGCATAGAACACCCGAGAAACCTGAGCGCCGCAGGAAGTCCTTACGCAAAAGTACACGGAGAATCACACAGAACGAAATATCAGAAGCCATGCCTTCGGTACCAATGAACGACAACTCATCCAATTCACTGTCGGTTGTAGTCTGGTCAGCTCCAGCTTTCAAAACCTTTCGAGCTACTGAAAGTATTTCTAAAATACCAAATCTGTCAATGGAGGAATCTATTTCGAGTCCTGCAGAGGAACTGGTTGCACAGGCTCGAGTTATTGAACTCGACCAGCACATTTCTGATGAGCGCAAAGTGTTGTCTCCTACTATTGTGCACAAATCTTTGGATGGAAGCCTCGAGCTTGACAATGATAATGCTAGTGGGAACGAGCATTCTGAGGAGCCGATAGATTCCCCACGACACCACCCGATCCTCAAGGAATCGTCTCCGGCACTCTCGCAAGATTCCAACCTCAACAACTCGACAAGTTCTGCTAAAGAAAACACAATTCTAACAACAAGCGCTGCCGACCTTGAATCAGTTACACTCGAGTCTATGGAAAATATAGCCTACAACTCTACTCGCGCAATTACCCCAAGATCCAACAAGAAGACCCCACAGCGGGGCTCACGGCGAAGTACACGGGTATCCCCCATCAAGTCAACGACGTCTTCTTCACAGAGCGCGGAAATGCAAGCTATTGTTGAGGCAAGATCTCTACAACAGACAGCTTCGTCTTCAGCGTCACACGAACTTGATTGCCTTATCACGGAGCCCGAGAATCTCACCATCTCGCAATCTTCTGACTCTATCCCAACTGAACTTCCTGATCTCCAGATCGCGCGGGATCTTATTGCCGCTTACGGCAATGAAGACTCTATTTACGGTGGTTGCGACCCCACGGAAGAAGAAAATACTTGCGACAGTGGAGTAGCAGATTCGCTACCTACGAGTTTAGAAGAGACCAGTCAGACGGAGAGTGACGACTCTATGGAGGAAGGAGATGTAGGAAATAGCAACAACCTAGACTCCTGCTTTGAAAATCCAGCAAATGAGACCATCGAGGAAGTGGAACAGATGCCGCCGACATCCGTTATCCAGGAGTCTCATTCCCATTCACAAGAGATTGAGTTTGAACATTCAAACCCCAATGATGAGATGGATGTTGACTCCACACTGATGGATATGGTCATAGAGGATAGTGAGTTGGCATCACCTGATGTCGCACAACTTGCCACGAACATGAACCAGCCTCTTGATTTATTCCCTTCCGTTGGGAAAATCAACACTGAGTCCAGTGCGTCCGAGCTTGTACGAGAGGAACTAGTCGACGAGACTGTTGAAGAACATGAAGTCCTTGAACTTATCTCGTTGACCACAGCAGAAGATAGAAAATCTCTTGAGCAAGAAGATTCCACTGAAGACGTTGATGCGACGATTTCGACTGCTTCAACATTGGCGCTTCTTGAAAAGAACCCTTCGGATAGCGAACCACGACCACTCGTTGACCACGATGACACAGACCTTTTAAGAGACTTTGTTACTCGAGTCAAGGCGAACAAAGCAGCAAAAGCCGCCACGGGTATCCCAAAGAGAAAGCGATCATTACCTCATTCGCCACTTCGACTGCCCTTAGGAAGTGAAGCCAATTCTTCACCATCAGCTTCAGACGCCAAGGATGATGAATTCGATGTCAGTGTCGAGTCTGAATCGTCGAAAAAACGCAGAAAGCACAACGATCATTCTCTAGATGAAGATGAACTAACACAACCACGATCTACACGACGAAGTGGTAGAACGAGACTTCCTATCAAGAGCCCTCTGGCTGCACCTAGTTTCATTCCGGTACGCAGACTTGGCCAAGACGGTGACAACACCGTGACTTTGAAGAGGAGCGAAGAAAAAGAACTAGCAGCGTTGACCAAAGTCAACACTCGGAAGAACAAGGGTACTGCTGTTCACCCAGCACAAGTCCTGGCTAAGAAAGCTGAAGAAAAGGATGATCCAGCAGCTCGTCAACGGGCACTGAAGGAAGTTTTTGACGAGAAGATTCAAAAGAAGAAGGAGACTAAGAAAAGCAAGACTGTAATTTGGGCAGAGCAGCTCGCCCAATTCCAGACAGATGATAAGAAAGTCACAGCTGAGGAGGAAGCAGACAAGGAACAGCCGGTGGTTGAGGAGAAGAAGACTGCAGTCAAAGTAGGGATGAGGAGTAAGATGTCTCTGGGCATGGCCGTCAATGGCACACCAGCTCCAAAGAGGAAAGTGAGGGGGCGTCCATGATCGAGTATGCAATGTGGGTTTTGGTGGCTTGTTTGGGATGAGGAGTATAATTCATGTGCATTGTAATGATTGAACGTTTCAAAACTCCGTGTGATCCGCCAGTACAAAACTCGTGGCATGATTGACTTCTTATATATAATCAGGTGCTTCTGACTTGTAAGTTTTGCTTTGTTTTGCGCTCCCTCCTCTTACTGGCGAAAAGTCGAATTTCAGTTTCCCCCACTTTTGATAATCGTAAGATCTTGTGCCCCTCGACAAATAAGCTTTGGAATCTAGATTTGAAGCAGACTCTCGCATTGGATTTCAATCACATGAGAAACCCGCCACCATACCGCATGCAAGAGCGTACAAATCAGGTCATTCATCTGAGAATTCCTCGTCATCACCTCATTCATTCAATGAGGAGGAAACACCCCAACCGGAACGAATCCACAACCTGTGAGTTGCTGGATATGGAGGAGGAGGATTCGATCGACCCGACAATGTGGAATAATACCGGTAGCTGCACCCCAGCGAGACAGACGGCGCTCACGGCGTCCGGATGCAAGAGGGGGCATCCGCGCTGCATGTACCTGTACGTACGGTTCGCGGGAGCCATCTCTGCAGCAGTTGCATTGACACAAGTGTGTGATTTATTATGCTCTTCGACAATAGTACTGTATCTGTGTGCCGGATGCTCTCCGAGGCGGAGGAGGCACAGCAGCTTCGTTCGATGTGGTGGGATGCATTGTATTTGAGTTCATGGAAAGAGGGGTGTGAAAGCGAGCAGGCGCTTGCTTCCGTCTGTGTGGCTTTCGGTATCTGCTGTGTTACATCCAATGCTTGCCCGCTGGGGTTGTTTTCTGTAAGGCGGGATTTGCTTGCGTAGCATTGCTGTGCTCTTCTTGAGGTATGTCTGCGGCGCTTTTGACTTGGATATCAGGTATACAATATGTATCTCGGGTAATCCTTTACGGACGAGAGCAATGGATTAGGAATTCGAAGATTGTGGCAGCAGGCATGTCGCTTGTGCAGCTTCTCCTTCTGGTATTAAAGGTCCGGTTTAAGTGTGGGAGTTTCTAGTTTCAACGTCCAGGTCTGTTTCGTCTTCTTCTTCCTTTTCTTTCCTTTCCCAAGCCACTATCTTTTTCCACCTTCTTAAAGTTAGATCTAGCCCTCTTGTGAGCACGTTTCTCGCGCAGTTGCTTTTGCTGGATTGTATGGTTATGGGTAGCGGCAGTCGATGGATAGTGATTGATCGACTGCATGCATGCTCATCCTTTGGAAACGTGGGGGTCCCTTTCTTCGGTTGCGGACTTCGTCTTCCAACTTTTCAAGCTTGCAAGTGTTGTTTGTTCGCGCCTCCATTTCTACTTTGGCCGTCGCGGGCAAAGGTTACGCTGCCATTGATCTACCAGGTCTTGGGACGCTGAATAGCATCTCCTGACGCCGTGGTAAGGGTCTGAATTTGTTGATGAAACTTTACCATCACTAGGTAGTTTTGAGCCCCCACGTCTCTGCAACGAGGACCAATTGGGTCTGGGCCTTCTTGGAAGTTGAGGCCATTGGTTTGGTTTCATTGTTGATGATGCTCCCGTCGCATTCGCAATTAAATATCACAGAAGAAGTCAATAATAGCGAGCAGATTGTCCACTCGTGATCAGCTCCGCTTCATCGGCACCTGATTGATCACACAATTGTTCGTGGGAACGGCTAGGGCTAGCCTTCTAGTCGAGGACGAGCTTGATTGGCGATCCAATGTTCAAATTTGAGTTTCTGTTTTAGTGGCGTTACTTCGTCGATATTAGCTCCCGCCCTAGGCTTCAGCTTTCAATTCTCCTCCAGAGTAACATGGTCCCACGGACGAAGCTCCGCTGAGGTTTCCCTCCAAACCAACCGGCAGTTGTAAAGTCGTTTTTGGGAGTTGGTTGGGGGATGGGATCTGGGCCAAATTGATTAAACGTTTCCAGAAATCTCCCAAAATCTTGCTCCGCGTATTTTCGTTCCTGGCTCGTGGATTTGAATACCGAAGCGTCGTTGTCCGCCGAGTACCAACCAGGGTGTGCTGCAATGTAATGTGAACCTCCACCAACTGTTACTGTTTGTTGGATCCTGAGGCTCGAGGAGGTCCACTGCACTTGATCACTAGTTCTATCATTCATTCTCTTTCCACTGCCACTATCCACCAGTCAGGGGCTTCAGCGCTCGTCACCGTCGCAATCTGCGACCCAACGATGTTACCGGCCCCAAGAGTAAAGGAACGGAAAGTTAACGGCCGTTAATAGCGCGGACATTATTTAGACGGCTCTTGTACGTTAGAGTTTAGTTTAGTCCATGGTGCTAGATCCTCAAGGAGCATCCTATTGCCTCCTCGTCCTTACAGAGGCAATCATTGCGACGAACTCGTGCAGATGATTCTCAAGGCTGAAAATAAGACCCCCTCCTGCCATGGCTTCCCCTTGTATTTCCCTCTTTTGGAGGAGCCCCTCAGCGCTGCCACAATGGCATTGCATAACGCCTCGCCCCATAAACAGAGCCCAAATCCGCGGTTATGGGCGTCCCACCGGATGCTATAGCGCGGATCATCCCTGAAAGCCCTCGGCTTGGCGAGACATTGTGAAGCTCACTGGTGGGCTTCCACGCAGAGAAGGGCTCCACGGCTGCTCTTCAGGGCTTCGGGGCTTGTTCGATTCCCCAAAGCGGTGCGTCCCCCGTCATCCACAATTCGTCATGGCCAGACAGAGCGGCCGGGGAACGCTCGGCCGCTGATATCGCGAGCCACCATTCGTATGGGAACGTTCAAGGGGTCCTGTCTTAATATTGTTATTGTGGTGGTGATATGATTACAGAGGGGTCATTGGTCCTTCAGCGCATGACGGAAAGGGGGTCGCTTAGAGACGATCAAAGGGTTCTGACGCTGGTTGCTGACCAACGTACTCAAGTACAGGACGTTCGCAATGATGTCGACGCGAGCGCGCACGGCCTGGGGACTTCCCTGATCACCGGCCGGCAGCTGGCTGTTCGTTCTCATTCTCTGTGTCTGTCTGGACACAGATGAACATGTAATTACAATATGTCGGCGAGTGAAGGAGTGAACCTCGGGAGGGGAGGTCACATCGTGGGGGGCAGCATTAGTCCATAGATATGACGATTAGGATCTGAGATCTGAACAGGATGCTTGCTGAAGAGAGAGCTACTTCGTCGATACGAGTACGGTTCTGAGAGCGCCTTTTAGAGTTCATGAGGAAACTAAGCAAAAGTTCCGCGACGACGACGACCACGAGGGCCAAGACATTTTTAGTCGCGGTTGTACTGTAACCAGCGTAGCTCCGGGGAGGTGCAGGCCAGCGAATCAAGTCTGAGGGTCCTGCCCAGATATGCTTGACACTGTTATAGACGCTCTTGGATCGTCAACGGCACTCATCTACAGTACATACATACCCTCACTGTGATCTATACAGCAGCTCATAAGTCCCGTACGCACGACATTCTCGAGCTATGCAGCTGTTTGCATGAATTCGCACATACACTCACCTCGTACACGGTCTGAGCATTTAAGCTTTCGGCCGGAGTCAGCTAGGGCACTGCAACAGATAACAAGCTTGCAGTGTAGCATATGCCATCGCCGGTACATGACATGATGCTACCCTACACGAAAAATGGAAGATGGAAGCTTGATATGCAGACTAGAGAGACAAGACATTCGAACCGTTTTTCATATTCCTCCCTCCTCTGCCACTTACTCATCGTGCTGCTGCGTGCAGGGGACGCCGGCTATTAAGACATGAAGACCTCGGCAGCAGCAGCAGCAGCAGCAGCAGTAGCAACACGACGCTGGAACCGATAACATGGTAATCCTCCGGTACATACTCCACATTTGGATCATCGCCCCCAGCAATGCCAGCATTCGTCGTGACTTTGGGCGTCACTCGAAAGGTGGGAACTGGGCAAGGAGAGCAGCTGGGCTGCAGTGGGCACCAGAGTTACATTTGGGTGGATCTAGTATTGACATGCAGGTCGTCTCCCTCGAAATAATATTGCCCGCTGTACGTACCAGTGTACAACAATCTCTCCGAATGCTCCCCTGCTGGACTGGAGGAGGGAGCGAACTCGAGGTACGGCCTCTGAGTGGTGGCTCTGGTGAGGGAACTAAGAGACCTTCCTAAACTTCCTAACCTTAATAGCTGGAGATCTGCTATCAGACGAGCGCTCGGGATGGCCATCAGGTCAATCAAGTCGGCGGGATCTATGGCAGTGTCCGCTCCGTCTTTCCATTTTGGCTGTGGTCCGCTTTGAAACCCTGGGGGGGTCAAGGGAAGGGAAGGGAGAAGGGAAGGCAAGAAGGAAGGAAGGGGATGCGGTCCTTCTGGAATGCCCATCTCCTCGAGCCCATGTACTGTAGGTATCACGTCGGGCATCGCTACCACGACACTGAGCCTCGTCCCCGTCCTCGTCTTCCACGAGTTGCCGTCCCTGACTCCCATCACGGCTCCCCTCGAGTCCTCCTCCCCCCTTTGTTTATGGACTCTGACTCTGAGACTGTGATGATCCATTGTGGGGCATACTTACCTCGGGAATTTCTTGTTGCTTGGCTTGGGATGCGCAAGCGTTGCGGTCCCGTATTTACAGTCCGCTACTACTACTACTCAACGGTCTGACGACTGACTCACGCTGCAAGCCTTTCCTTTCCTTTCAAAACGCTCGGAGAATTGCGCTTGTTCGTTCGTCGTTGTTGCTTGGTTCGCGCATTTTGACTTTTGACTCCATCGTCTTTTTACCTTTGACAGAGTCCCTGGTCCACGCCAAGAACGGCTCATCGTCAAAGACATCACACATCATACGATCGCTATTTGACGGCTTGACTGTTTTGGGCTGGGCTTGGAGATCGTGCAGTCTAGTGTCAACTACGTCCATTCTAGAATTGGGTGCTGATGGACTGGGACTGGGACTGGGAAGAAGAGAGAGAAGCGCATGGGGAGAGCAGCAGCATGGAACAGCAGCAGCAGCAGCAGCAGCACCTCCACCACCACTCCCACCACCGCCGTCAACACCAGACTAGGCCCAACAGCATGTTCCGAAGCCTTCGACATGGGGGCTGAACTCACTTGCTCAAGCCATTTCTTCAGGGATTCGCAGGGTAGGGTGAATCAGGTCAAGAGACGAACTTTAGCTTGCGAGTTTAGAGCGCGTTTAGTGCTCTTCCAGCGCTCTCTCCAGCAGCCCCCCAGCAAGCCCCCCGGCATTCCCACGGCTCACCAGGGCTGGCTTCCACGTGCGACCTTCCAGTGCAGTAGCCAGTCAAGCCTCTCCCTGCCCTTGTTCTTCCTGGTTCTTCCTTCAAGGTATGGGTATCCCACCCTTGAACCCTCTGGTGCAGCGCAGCCAGGCCAGCATTGTTCGCTAGGCTTTGGCTCCCCTGCTGGAGAGAATTAATTACGCAGGATAATTCAACCACCCCACCGCGCAATATTTCTTCCTGCTATCACATATAACTTACCCCGGAAAGGCAACTTGTCTGTCTGTGAGACCCGGATGGCCCGAAGCAACCGGGTCATGCCCTAAGGAAAATACGTCGAGGGGTACATGGTTGGTACATATGTATCTAGTCTCGACCGTCGACTTCTGGACTCTTGCTTATATGCATGCAAATCCCTCCTCCTCTTCCCAACCCCACATCACTACTACTACGACCCTTTAGTTTCTTCTGCTTCAACCTCACCTCGTCGTCAGACATACATACACCATTGAAGAGAGAGAAGATTGATCTCCCTGTTTATCAGAGCAACTCATCAAGTCTTCAGTCGCATCTCACTCTTTTGTTCAAAGACAAGACGACACCTTCTCTCCGGTAGAGAAAAAAAAAATCCCACCACCATCTGCCCCGCCGCGCCCTCGCAAACCCTACTTTTCTCCAACCTTTCGAAAATTTCCTCAATTCAACTCGATCTTGCCCTCACTCGTTCAGGCAAAGACTCCTTCCTTCCCTCCCTCCCTCTCTCCAGGAGTCATCATGTGTGACTACACTCAAGTCGAATTCCGCTGCGGCCACGTTCGTTATACCGTCAGAGCTTGGTGTACCAATTACGAGACGACACATAAACGGTGTCCGCCGTCAGTGGTAGCTATTGAATTCAGGTGAGTTGTCAAAAACCAAGACTTGATCTAGTGAACTTTAAATGAACGCATTGCTGACGATGGTCTACAGGCTCGATGAAAGATGTGGCGAGTACCATATCCCCACATTGTCTCGGACTAGCTAACCCTTCTCAGGAGATTGCCGAGTATCACCCACTGCTGTTGTAAGAAACCCTTCTTGATATTCTTCTCGTCAGAACTTCTTGTCTTCTGGTGGCAATTCACATGTTTCCTTCTTCTTTTACTTTTATGTTGTGGAAACAGTCCTAATGTGTTGCAGTGGATGAAACCAGCCAAGAACTCCCGAATCCAGGCTTAGATGGGCGGTAGCGAACATAGAGATTGAAGGCATTCCCTTCTGAACAGGGCAACCTAGGAGTGAGTAGTGGTGGAACGATCCACTTGGGGCCAACGGCGTTATTGAAATGTTCAACTACTACTACGGAGGGGGGGTGAGGATGGTGTTCAGGACTGACCAGTGCCGGTTTCGAAAGAAAGCACATGGGGAATTTTATTTCTTCTTCTGGAATCTGGGTGTGAAAGGAAAGGCAGGCGCATAAAAGGAAAGGAAAGGAAAGGAATGGAGAATGGGGGCTGGCTGGTTTGTAGGTACTCGGGTCATTGTACTATCATTTTACCTTCCAGTTCGTTGTTGTCCATCATGATGACGCTTTCCACCTATCATCCAGCGCGTGTGGCAGTACAAGGTCATACTGACAGGGCTCCCTTCCGATCGAAAGTCGGCCGAGTTGCGCAATGATGGCGCATTGCTCTCTCAAGTGGCCGCCTTGCCTGGACCCGGAGATCAGGAAACGGGTAGAATGGAAGGGAAGGGAACCCGCAGCAGCCAGAAATCGAGGCATCGAGACCCCAAGATACACAACATGCAGCAAGCCGCCTGCAGCAGCAGCAGCACCAAGGTTACAACAATCCCGAGAACCCGGGTAGGAAGATCGTCCATCTATCCATCACAAAAGCATAAAGTCATTCGCTTCTTGGGCACGCATACATTTATTGGAGGGGGAGATGGCGACTTTTTGTTGGTTCTTCTGCCCTCAAGTGCAGAGATTGGTCGCCTCTTGTACATACACATAATCGCGATTTTCACGGTGCCCAACATTGTGAAGCACATCGTGCACGGACGCTCGAACAATCATGCTTTTCGAAGAGTAACGCTTTTCCGGACCGACATTTTGAGACCAGAGATCTCAAAGAGTTAAGCCCAACTTCGACAATCTCACAATGTCCGACGCGAATGTCGACAGCACGAACAGAGATTCCAAGACAGACAGACAGCGAGCGAGCGAGCAAAGCAAACTTCCTGCCGCATGTGACGATGCTCCTGCTGAGGAATAACAATAGTCTTTCTTGAAAGGACCCGTCCGCAAGCCACACGGCTCACGCTGCTGCAGATGAAGACTGACAGACAGACAAACAAACAAACAAAACAGAGAGATAACCAATCAGCGGGTCAAAGCAAAAACGAACGGACGGACGAATACGGTCAAGAGGTGGAGCCATATAATCATAATAATCATAATAATCTCAAATCAAATCGATCTTCTCTGCTTGCGCCTCTCGGTCACTCAAATGAGTAACTGCTTGTTTGCTTGCTTAGGTGCGGCTCACTCACCGCATCCCATAAGACTGACTAACCACCGACGTCGTAGATTTGTAATTCATGGAATTCTTTCTTTCGGCACGCATGTACCTATGCATGGATGAGATGAGGTGGTGGTGTAAGTAAATGGATGGGACGGGGGGTTACACAACATAAATTTATCTCGACCAACGACCGAGTGCCCGGATTCGCACCTGAATTCGGCTTGGAATCCCGGTCGGGGGCCACCACCACCACCAACACCAAAGGCGCACAGGAAGTTGTGCCGCTGTCAAAGACAAACACCCGAGTATGATGTTGGAGGCGGCGATATTTCTTTTTTTTTTTGCTGCTCCTATTACTTCATTTTGCTTCTTACTTGCCTACCTGGCTGGCTCGTACGTCTCGGTCCTTTCAAGCATCAATACCAGATGCTCGACAGCATCATCATCATCATCATCATCATCGTTACGCGGAATCCGTTCGTATCGCATGAAGGTTGCGTGCTTTCGGAGGTCGAAGTCCATCTCATCGCATCCATCAATGATACCTACCTATCATCTACCTACCTATCGAGAAGCCGAGCCTGAGGCGAGGCAGTGAGATGCCATCCGGGGCCGACTGACAGGTAGTATCGGTCATTCATTCATGATGCCCCGTCTGTCGTGATGGAATACTGTGCTGTGCTGGGCACCACCACGCGCAAGCAAGAAAGAAGCAAATCTCGTCCTACCTCGCTTGGTGACCCTCGTCGAGATGCGAATCTGACATGTCTCCTTTTTCATATCGGGGTCTGGCCGAACGCAGGATATGGAGATAGGGACGAACCCGGAACGTGGGAAGGTCCATCAGCCTTATAAGATAGGACGGGAGAACGTGGTGAAGATCGCTGTGGAGATAGAGAGAGAGGGACAGTTTAGCTTGATGTTATTTTGATGTCGTATATCACTGGATAAGGATTGTAGATATAAATCTAAATATACTATTTGAGATAGGTAGATACCAGGCCAGATGCTCGGCCGTCACGGTTACACAACTTGCGCGTTTCTGCATGCAGTACGCACGCAGCTTGCCTGCTTGCTTGCTTCTAAAAAGTGTGCTGTGATGAGGTGAGGTATGTACTCGAGTATGCTGGAGTGTGGTGGGGGTTGCCCGGATAAATGCCCACGTTCATTTACCCTGCGCTTTCTGATTTGGTGTACAGTACAGTATGCGTGCAGCTGCGAGGTTCGAGTTGTGACTTCAACGGCTCCTCGACCTGGATTCCATCCTCCTGTATGTACACACACACATACATACATACAATATTGAATAACCTTACCTTGAACTCGGAATTGGGAAGGCAAGCACGCAAGCAATTGAGCGGCACCGAGCCGTCTTCTTCTTCTCCAATGCTCCGATTTAAGCATAACTCTGCGACGACAGATCGGAGAAGAAACCCTCCCTGCACATGAAATAATGCAAGAACTTCCCTCATCTCTCTCCATCTCTCTCTTCACGGGGACCGTGCCGAAAGGTCCGTCAATCAAGAGTTTGATCACCGCTGATGTGATTCTAGAAGTATGACTGACGGACATATATGACATTATGCATTTCTGGATTGGATGAACTGCTTTGAGCAATTTCGTGCTGGCTGGCTGGTCAGAGAGCTCCAGGCATCGTTACCAAACTTCCTACTGGCCGTGGCCACCCATCAACAATGCATTGCTTCGTGTCTGTGGGTAATCCTTCGCGAATAATATCCTCAATGTTATATTGATTCGCTTCGCTTCTCGTTATCATCATTGTATCCCAGGTATTTCGACTCGTGGCAGTCCGGCGATTAAAACCAAGGCCTGTTTTCTCACACCGCAAGAGCCAGAAAGATCCAACTTGTGGTTGCTTGCTTGCTCGTGCTCTACCACCGGTGCTGAATCGCTGGCACGCTCAGTCAGGGGTCTTCGCTCTGGGCCGATAACTGAAGCAAATCGAGTCATGTCAGTGTCCCGCACAGCTGGGAACACGCTATTCCTCTCGCCACGAAGGCAAAAAGAGGGTTCAAGCTCTTTGCACGGTGCCATGATTGCAACACGTTCTTGGAGTTCATTCTCCAGACGGAGTCCTCTGCCTCCTCGGAGTGTGGACTCCGCCAGAGAAAAACCGTTTCCATCACGATCTGGGGATGAGCTCTTTGGAAGAGTGATACGGATCAACGGTCTCGGCAGTCCTGCTCCATAAATTCTCCTTCACCACCCCAAACATAACCACTCGGCAAGGGATCTGACCTCGTCTCCGAACCTCAGCACGAGAGACTCTCAACGGTTGGATCCCAGTCGAGGACTGGCGATTGGGACGAGCTCGAGTGAGGCAATATCTTGGCTGTTTAGTGGTTATCCTGCGGACACCCGCGAAAGCGGACCAACAGAGATGTAGGAAACTGTTCTCATGATCGATCCCATGAAAAGATAGGAACGAGTCAGTTAGCAGTTCTCTTCTTCATTTGTTCGCAGGTTTGCAGATCCCTTCCGACGTGCGGTGGTTATCCAATAGTTGCAACAACCTGTCTCCAGCCCCGAGAGAATGGCTGGAAAGATACCCATGGCGTCCTGGCTATTCTGCACATGTCAGCCAGTAGGAGCATTCATACGGTTTGTTTTTCAATATCTCTTGAAGTGGCAATATGTTTTGTCCTGGGCCAGACTTCGGGAACCTCAGGACCGTCCCGGATGCACTGTAACCACCCCAACGCTCGCTGGCCCCATGGTCGCAAAGACTTGGTAAAGGCAAGGCATGACAAGCAGAACTCGGAAGCACCGAGCCCAGAGCGTGTAGTGCACGGCAGTGTTGATCAGGCATTGGAGAGGTCTTTCTACAAGCCGAAGATCGGGAAGTGAGCAGTTTTCAATCAAGAACCTGCTGAATCCTACTTCCGCATATTGAGCTTCGGCGGTCTCTCCGCAGAGCCTGAAGCTGTTCTGCCTGCCACAGCAAGCCGAGCTTACCCCTCGTACTGTCCGACCTTCGGCATTCCTTTCTCATCCATTTATTACTTCACTTCGTGGTATATAAGTCTACAAATATACCTCCCTGGTGCCAATGATGTGGCCTTCTGAACGAGTTCATCCCAAAGAACAGCAGGTTACATGATGATTCTCGCCACTTGGCTCAGAACGAGCACGGCATCACCAAAAAGAAAATAATATGGCAAGCAAAGCAGAAACTCCAGCTGAAATGGCTTGGTCACAGCAGGCAGAAGATGGCAACACCAAAGACACAATGATTTCACCAATTTGACTAAACAATCGCTCGACACAAAAAGCATCTCATGACAAACAATTTCAACCGCCAGCCAGCCCGCCCGTCCTACACGTACGTTGCACAATCAATTCGCAAACACTTCCAAATACTTCCATGAAAGCGTCAGCCAACATTACCCGCTCCAGACAAGACAAGACACGACTAAACTGTCTTAGCACGAGATATATACCCAAGACACACAACGTAGATTGATAAGTGAAACAAGTCCTGTCTTCTAGAAACAACAACGACAAGGACAAGGACAAGCCCTCTTCCTGCACGGCATCTCCCCTCCTTCTTGCTGGCGCCCCGATCAGATCAGAACCGGCTAGTTGCCGAACTGCCTCGTGTCAAACCAACCCTAACAAGAAGATGAATGAATGAATGAATGATGTTGCGCACACCCTTTTCTCCGAACAGCAGCAGCCAGTTATGCTAGTCATGCCATTGCCATGCCGCTCCCTCTCGGCCTCTCGTTCGTACACCTCTACACGGCACAGATCTTACCGTATGTACCTTGTTCCTTGTCAACCCGAACTGACAACGGCGATATATCTTCTTTCGTCCCTCTCCCATCATGGAAGCAGCACCACCGTCTCGCACCGTCTCGTCTCGCGAAGCCGACTTCCTTCCTTCCTTCCTTCCACTTCACTCCAGTCCCGAGAATAGGTTACCTTATTCTGCTACACTGGCTTCGACCCCGGACCGCTGCTGCTGCTATTACACCCCTCCCCTCCTAACTATAATCTAGCCAACGGACGACGACGACGGATTCGGTACTGCACTGCACTGCACTGTACCAACCCTCCCTCCCTCGGCGTACCCGCTCGTCAGTCCCTGAACGGACGGCTGGCTGACGCGGCGTAGCATGCGTGCGTGCCGTCCCGTCGTTCGTTCGTTCGTTCGTTCGTTCGTTCGTTCGTTATAGGATAAGATGGAGGGCATTATGTTAAGACAGACAGACGGACGGACGTATATGTATCGGTACTTATTGGGTTCATGGGTACGTGACTATGCCGAAGGGGAAAAAGCGGGCCGATTAGAGCGAAGGAAGGGAGGATGCGAAGGATGCGAAGGAGCGGCGAGCTGATGCTTTGCGGATATAGCCGTGAGTGAGGTGAAGGAAGGAAGTGAAGTGAGACTAGTGTTGCGCTGTGAAGAAGCTTGGACGAGGCATATATCCATGTTGTGCTGACAAAAGGGAACGGAGAGAGTAAAACGAAACAAATGGAACAATGCGGATTGGTTTGAGGTGGACCGTGTGGAGGAATGGATGTGGTGAAAGCTATTCAAGAGGTAAGATGTAGAAAGCTTGCACTTCAGCAAAACACGAAGAACATGATTCATTTTTAGGCTTGTTGGAAAATGTATTATGGAAGAGAGGCGCATCTATACACAACTCTGCAGAACATAAAGGTCATACGTCATACTTAAAGGGTGTTATTCCCCACCGTGTATCCCATGGCAATGCAAAACCCATGCTGCCATCCCTAAGAAGAACAAATAATTGGCTTGGCACCATTCTTCAACTCCAGAAGCAAAGACAGACAACACCAATAATGCCAATGCCCCTTCGCCGAGAATGCTGAATCTAACCAGAAATTATTCACAAATATACAACATCGCTCACGGTCTGGAGATTCCTTGCCGCGCCTACATTTACATGTTAGTGAATGACTTGAACATGTTCAAAAGAAAACTTTACCTTCATCTGCTCAATCTTTGCCTTCAACGCACTTGTGACTTCAGCCGCTCTCTTCCAACTCTCGACTCCTTGGGGATTGCCATCTTTCGTGCCATCATTACTCGTTTCTCTGCTCATCCTCGAGCTTTGATATGGTGGTGGAGCAGGACTGTTTCGACCAGCACTACCACTCGCGGCACTATTGCGGCCATTACGGCCGAGATCAGGACTTAGCTTGCTGCGGCCGTAACGAGCATCTAGAGCATCACTGGTGTTCTCCTTCTCTTCGCTCAGAGCAGAATTGAACGACATCCTAGCTCGGTTGTTGAAGGCTTGTCGGCCGTTGTCTTGTGCTCCACCGTACATTCCAGTATCGCGGTAGATGCCAGCCTCGTCCGTAGTGCCGTCACGACCTGGACTGGAAAGTGCTGGAGGGCTGTTGACTCTTTCAGCACTTGTAAGAGCACGCTTTAGCCTCTCCATTTCTCTTCGCAGCTGTCCACACATTGCTTCAGCAGCCTCGCAATCTGAACGCGCTCGAACAAGTTGAGTCTCTTTCGCCTTGATTGAAAGCACATCTCTTGTGTGATCTTCAATGAGCTGAGCATTCTGATTCTTCAACTCTTGCACTTCTGAGTTGAGCCTCGATCTCTCCTGGCGCAAGTCATCGGATTGTCGAAGTAGACGATCCTTGTCAAGGCGCAGTTCTTCGAGTTCCGCTCGTTCTACAGCAGTGAGACCAGAGCTGGGTGGTGGTGATACAGAGGTTGGGGCTGGAGCCGCGGGAGCTTTAGCAGCAAGAGAACGGCCAGCAAGGCCGCGTCCAAGACCAATTCGTGGAGGTGGAGCGGGTTCTTCTTCTGGTGGAGGTGCTTGTGATACGGGACGTCGCGGTGACGAAAGATTCGGGGGTGCAGCTCCTCCAGGTCCAGCTAGTGTTCTCTTTAGCGGAGCTTTCAATCCAGGTGTAGCAAGGCCAGATGGTTTTGGAGCGCCAAGCTTCGATCCTGGAATGCTTCTTGCGGTAGGTTGAGGTGCTAAAGGAGCTTCTTGAGCATAAGGACTTGGCGCTGGAGGGGGTTTCTTGACAGCTGGCTTCTTGCCAACAACCTTTCGGGGTGCAGCAGCAGCAGGAGCTGCACGAGGGGCGGCAGCTTGAGGAGGTGGCTTTGGCTTATCTTTTGCTTTGACTTCCGCCGTCTCAAAATACTCTCTGATCTTGGTCTTCCGGATTTCATCCAGACCTTCAAGATGAGGTCCCATGGCACGTTCACCCATGATCTTCATAACGGTACCAAGCACCTCTGCACCGCCAGATCGCAGTACCTCAACTGACTCTGACAGGAGCTTCTTCGCTGATTCTACGATGGAAGCTACCTCGGGTTTAGTTGGGGCTTCTCGGGTTGTCTTTAAACATCTGATCAAGAATTTCATGGTCCCTTCCTTGACTTGAGGGTTCTTGTGCTTTAAGAACTCGAGAATTTCCTCCAAACACTCGGTTAGACTGGTTGCTAAGAAAACCTGGTCCAGAGCTGCACCGAGGGCGTCTGACACCGATGCTTTTTTCTCCTTTAACCGCTCCAGGATAGGACTCATGATGACTGAACGATATTTCGAGAATGGCTTTCTCAGTCCCTTGGCTAGAACCTCGATACACTGGGCAGCCTGGGTAACAACCGCAATGTTGGCGTCCTTCATGCTTTTTGCAAGCCCACGAGCGATCTCGCCAAAGTCCCCGTCCTTGATTCGAGGAACATTGAGGACTCCATAAAGGGCTTCGAGGGCGTCTTTCCGCTCTTTCCATTTCGCTGACGCCAGTTGGTCACTGAAGTCTGCTGCAACTTTTGAGACCACGTCTTGCGGTTCGGCCAAATCGAAAGCGTCGACCTCCACGGCTTCCTCTTCCAATTCATCTTCCTCGACTGCCCCTCCAGCTCCTGGTGGGGGTGCACGGGCCATTGCGGCTTGCTGTGACCGTAATAATCGTTCTTGTTTTGGTGCTGGCTCTGACTTGACCATCTCAAACTGCGCCTCCATCTCAGCTTGCTGAGTAGGTTTCAACTCGCCCCAGAACATCGGCTTCATGGCTTCTCTGAGCCATCTGTAAAATTCGACGGCCAGCTTTGTAGCCTCAGCTCGTACATTCTTATCGGCATGCCCAAAAGGCTTTGGTAGAATTTTGAGTACAGGCTTAGGATCCGCAACCTTGCATCCGTAGTCGTGGTAAATAGCTGTTAAGGCAGCTAGTGTTGCCGCTACGATCTTGGGTTGTTTGTTGGACAGAACAGGTAGGAGTTCCTCGATAACAGGGCCTGCAGTATCCAACTCGATGTAAAGCAATATCGCTTCTTTTGCAGAGGCTTTTGTGGCAGCTCTCGTCGAGGAAAGACCCTTTTCGACTAGTAGGGTGAGGGTATGACTTCTAGTTCTGATTTATGTGTCAGTCAACGCTTTCAGCACTCCTGGTTTTACCCTCCATACCTTGTGCAGCCTTCTCTGCCGCCGAATTTGAGGAATGCACATAATGCCGCAATGCCTTCTTGCTGTGCTGCCACGTTTGAATCTGCCACTGCTCCCTTCCATAATCCTGGATCTTGTAAAAATGGTCGGAATGCAGGATCGTGCTCGTCAGGTGTAATCTCGAATTGTTTTGCAGCATCTTCGTATGCTGCCTTTCTCACTTTCCAAATCTATCGTGGGGATTCTGTCAGTTCGTTTGTGTGAGACATATGCGGGGTGGCTTCAAAACCTTATGTTGAAATCTGTCAGGCAGAGGCAATGCACTGAAGTCTTCCTCTTGTTCAGCCATGGCGACTGGGGTCTCTTTTGGAGGCGATTTTCCTTGTTTCCCAAGATCTGTGACGCCCCTGGTCAGTCTGCGCAATGATAAAGCGATATGATTCTCCATGGCCACATTCCCACGAATTCTGGATGATATATTGCGCCAATCTACAAACATATTCCATACTGATAAGAGGGAAGGAGCAGAGGGTGCTTACCTGGCAGGTTCGAGGTGGGCGCAAAGTCAGAGGTGTGTTCTTGCCTTCAAAGAGAGAACGTCTAGTATTTGGTCGCACAATATGTCAAAGACAGGATATTCGCGTCGGTTTCGTGGTATGCACTTGTGTAACAGGTGATTAGGTAGGATCCGCAGAGTTCGGAGGGATTTGTTGTTGTTGTTGTTCTGCAACTGTTGAAATCGTGCAGGGCGAAGGAATTGTGAAGTGATGTGTTGTTGATCGCCAAATATTGAATTTCGCTGCCGCTCGTCAGTCACTACGGCGACCCCCTGCATATCGGCGAAGCACGCGCCTCAGGGGGTCACAAATTAAGTCGCAACAAGGAAATTCATGAACCACTTTGATTTCTCCCCGCCATGGGCACTCGTCATCGCACACAGTATCAAGAAGTTCAACATTACATCTCGAGGTTCAGATATACCATCTTGTGCTCGCCTGATTAAATACTGGCTCTGTGCAACAAGGACAACAACCCTCTGACCGCAGTTTCTACTACTCAAGCATACAACTGCGGTTTCCAAGATCAATATCCGGAGGCAAACATCCAAGTCACCGCGGCCAGGCGCATTGCCTTGGGGCAAACAGACAAATAGATCACCTCGAGCTTCATGTATCGATTATCACCTTCGCCATGAGCCAGATCCTGACGTCGCGGCAGGCCGAGGAGCTGTAAGCAAATCTCCCAGATCCTGCGGCACCGACTGACCACGTCCAGACACAAGTCCATCATAGCATACCTCTCTTCGCAGAACCTTACGAGCAGTGCCGCGGCGTTACGAGAGGAACTCAGCATTGGCGACAGCTTCGATGCCGCCACTAGTAAGAGATATGAGGGGCTGCTGGAGAAAAAATGGACAAGTGTTGTGCGCCTACAGAAGAAGGTGATACACCAAACTCTGGCCCTGCACAAGTACTGATGATGTGGGCAGATAATGGATTTGGAGTCACGAAATACAACTTTACAGGCAGAAATCGATTCTGCAACACCCACATCCCTCTCACGGCGAAATCAAGACCCCACAGCCTGGCTCCCAAGATCGCCTGCTAGGCATACACTTGAATCGCATAGAGAGGCTATCACATGTGTTGCGTTCCACCCGATATTCTCATCACTGGCATCGGGATCTGAAGACTATACAATTAAAATCTGGGACTGGGAACTGGGAGAGCTAGAACGAACTGTGAAAGGCCACACAAAAGCGGTGCTGGATGTTGACTTCGGCGGCCCTCGCGGTGGTACTCTGCTGGCATCCTGCTCAAGTGATCTGACGATCAAATTGTGGGATCCGAGTGATGAGTACAAGAATATTCGAACGCTCCCAGGACATGACCATTCCGTTTCTGCTGTTCGCTTTATTCCCAGTGGGGCTGCTGGGTCCCCATCCTCTGGCAACCTCCTCGTTTCAGCAAGTCGAGACAAGTCACTACGTATCTGGGATGTGTCAACAGGATACTGTGTCAAAACTATTCGAGGACATGCAGATTGGGTGCGGGATGTCTCTCCCTCCTTCGATGGACGATTTTTACTTTCTGCTGGTGTGGATCAAACGGCGAGGATATGGGATGCCTCTTCTGGAGAACCAAAAGCGACATTGCTAGGCCACGAGCATGTTATCGAATGTTGTGTTTTTGCACCACCAGCTAGCTATGAGCACCTCACATCTATGGCGGGACTGAAAAAGCCTCCGCCGCCAAGCAGTTCCGCCGAATTTATTGCAACGGGATCGAGAGACAAGAGCATAAAGCTTTGGGATGCTCGAGGGACTCTTATCAAAACACTTGTAGGGCATGATAACTGGGTGAGGGGTCTTGTCTTCCATCCTGGAGGCAAATATCTTCTCAGTGTGGCGGACGACAAAACACTCAGATGCTGGGATTTGTCACAAGAAGGCAAGTTGGTCAAAACAATAGATGATGCGCACGGGCATTTCGTCAGCTGTATCCGGTGGGCACCAGGGGTGGTAAGAGATACGCCTCCTGTCAACGGTGTCAATGGGACTCCAAACGGAACTAGCAGAAGGGATGATCCCACTGGAAATGTCAGCATAAGATGCGTGATAGCAACAGGGAGTGTAGATAAAGTGGTTCGAGTCTTTGCATCATGATCATGAGAGACGGCTGGCTTTTTGTTGATGAGGAGTTGAGGAGTTGGGCTCGCATTGGCTCATATGGATGCTACGGATTGGCTACGAATATATCACGAACGTTATGCTTAGCATATGTACAGGACTCGTCCATCAAAATTCGAATGATGATAAACACGCCGATAGCGTTCAGTGTGCAAGTGAGCATCCTCGTTGATCGATTTATGGGACGAGTGACACATGTTTAAACTTCTCCAGGATCTGAACGGGCAACTCTATTGCTCAATGCTCAAGACATGCATTGAACTTGTTAGTTCCTCACCCCAGCGCTGTCGAACTTCATCTTTTTATCTTCCTCATGAACCTCGATTGTTTTATATACTTCAAGATGCAATCACTCGCATCCAATCGGGCACGATTTGGCCAACTTCCATTGTCTCGGCCGAATCTAGGGACTGCTAGGAAAGTTGCACCCGCGTTTGTGGGCACTATCCGTGGGCTGAACATCCTCCAGTAAGACCATCATTTATTTTTGCTGTGAAGAAGGTCATGGCCGGTGCTTGCTCGTCTGGACTGTCGCAACAATCCTTGATCGCAAGAGTAGCACTTTCTTTCAGCATCATAACAAGACTGAGAAAACATATTCTGGGATATTCCCACATCTTGCCTTCGTAGTTTCAGTATCTCACCTTTCCTCCACTCTATCACCCATATGCAGAGTTTCACGAACAAATAGCAATGTCCAAGAAAGGCCTCGACTATGACTAGGTGCTGGAGGTGCTGAGGCACCAGAGTGCTAGGGCTAAAATCAGAGCCTTATTCCCGGCCTGTTTATCAGTGGCGCTGTTCCCAAATGGCGGGCCCTGCCATTCATGAATAGCAAGTGTAGTTTATAAACTAGGGGTGCCATACATAAACACCCCGCCATTCATGAATGGCGGGGATAAAGTTTATAAACAGCAGGTGTTTACCTATGGGCTAGAACATATAGAATAAAAAAGTGATCTGAAAGCTCAGATCGCTAATTAATCCACAAGTTCATATATCAGATGTTCTTTCCTATATTACACTCATTGCGAATATTGCTTCAAAATGCTTTTATCATGTAGCTACGCGCAAGTGATCGGTGAGCAATTTGGAGTAGCATAGCATAATGGGAGCAGCTGTTCCCAGCAGCGTGAGTTTGACTCTATCTCCAAAAAAGCTCTAAAGGTAGCCAGATTCGCCTATATTAACAAAATTTTCTTCTAGTTTTTTATTAACTTTAAATAAACCGAGATGTGTAAAAGAAGTAACAAATAACCGTGTTAATGCATACGAGGCGCACTTCAAGAAGACCTCCGAAAAGGGGCGAGGCTGAGCTGTGGGGCCTTACACGTGAGACCGCGCTAGTCCAACTTTAAAATTTATTAGACATCAGCCTTCCTGCCTTCTGCCTTGTCAAGAGCAAACCATGTTCACAAACCGCCATTATGTCTTCCATGCATGCTTTCGCCCATGGATCTTCCTCGGAGTCTTCTGGCGACGAGGATGATTTCTTCCATCCTTCCACCGATCCCCATGCCGACGAATTCGCAGATTACAACCCTCGCAAGCGGCGGCGCACAGGTCGTGATGCGAAGGAGAGTGCTGCATTGGGTGTGTTTGGTTCAGAAAGCGAAGATGAAGTCGGTCCCGGTAAGCGGTGGAAGAAGAAGGACTTGAGGAGCAAGGGAATGTCCTTTGTTTCAACTGGACAGCACAAATTAGATAAGGATGAAGACGAGGACGAGGAAGATGATGAGCCCGCAGAGGAAGAGGATGTGAATATGGACGATGCAGAAGAAGAGGAAGAGACTGCCGCCCCGCGAGGCTTGGGATTTGGTGCGAAAGGACTCGGATTCCAAAGTCCTGCGGTTGGAAAGAAGATCAACAATGCGCCCAAGAATAGTACTCCATTGGGGAGAGGTTTCGTGCCATCTTCCGCTGCTGCGCCTATCTTATTGAACAACGGCGATGATGATGTCTCGACGCCTAGAATTGTGCGACCGAGTGCCTTTTCGACTCCTGTATCGACAAAGGGCAAGGGGACGAAGGGTGCTCCCTCTGGAGCCAATGCAGGATCATTTGCAGCCAGGATGATGGCCAAGATGGGCTACAAGGAGGGTGAAGGTCTTGGAAAAGAAGGCACGGGAAGAGCAAGTGTCATTGAGGTCACTCTACGGCCCCAGGGAGTTGGTTTGGGTGCAGTGAAAGAAAAGTCGAAACAGGAGATTGAAGAGGAGAAGCGTCAAGCAAAACTCCGTGGGGAGAAGTATGAAGATTCGGATGAAGAGAAGAAGAAGAAGCGCCGGAAAGCGAGGACGGCTGGAATTGAGAGTGGAAGTGGTAGTGGGATGAGCACACCACGGAAAGCCCAGAAGCCAAAATTCCGGACCTTGGAGGAAGTTCAAAGAGCAGCTCCCGGATTACAGATCCCTGAAGCTTTTGCTCCGATTCTGGATATGACTGCACCAGGCCAGCGGCTGCTGACTTCCACCTCGGGACTCCTTACCCCCACCACTGGAATCGAGAGCGTGGAGCAGATTGAGTCAAAGAAGTTGGCGAGACGGGCTCAAAATGACCTATCCGCCTATGTTGAGGAGTGGAAAAACCTGGAAGAACGCAAAGCGTATATCGAGATGACCATTGTTCAACAGCAACAAGAATTAGACGAAGAACAGCTCGAATTTGATAGGATGAAGTCTTTCGCGGATACTGTTCAATCGATCTCGCAAGCTGTGAAGGACTTTCAATGGGATCCGGTGATCGAAGCTCTCACCAGCGCAGATGTCTTGGTAGATCCCGGACCTTCCAAAACCAACGAAGAATTATCAAGCATTGCAGTCGCGGCAGTCCATCCATTTCTACGGCAAGCCACTGAAGGCTGGCAGCCTCTCGAAGATCCAAAACTCACAGGCATTGCACCACAACTGTTCAAGATCCGACACATACTAGGAGTAACATCCAGCAATGAGAAATCATTAGCTGATCAGTATCTCAGAAATGACGGATCTCATCGTATTCATTCAAAATCAACGAGCGCGTACGAAAGCATGATTTACAAAATCATATTTCCCAAGGTTGTGTCAGCCATCAATCAGAGCTGGGATGTCTACGACCCTACACCTCTTCAAGCACTCTTCGATGCCTGGGAGGGGTTGCTGCCATCATTCGTTCGATCGCAGATACTTGATCAGGCCGTGGTGGGCAAGCTTAATCAAGCAGTCTCATCGTGGAATCCCAAGAAAAAACGGACCCACGAGTTGCCACATCTATGGCTCTTCCCTTGGCTACAATATTTACCTGCTCACCATGCGGACCCTAAGAGCTCTACAGGTCTTGTCAGCGACGTCAAGAGGAAGTTTAGACAATTAGTGGATACTTGGGATTTCCGTAAAGGAGTTGTTCCAGGTTTGCAACAGTGGCGTGAGGTTTTATGTCCTAGTCCGAGTAACGACCAATGGACACCACTCATCATGAATCATGTCATTCCCAGTATGGCACGGTTCCTGAAGAACGAGAAGAATTTTATGGTTGATCCCAATGATCAGTCTCCATATGTGTCGAGCCTCCAAGGTGTCTTTGCCTGGAAAGACATTCTAAAGCCTCGCATCGTTGGTCAGGTGATTGCTGATACAGTCTTCCCCATGTGGCATAATGTTTTGCATCAATGGCTCACTGTGGTTGGACCAAACGAAGAGATTGGACAGTGGTTTGAATGGTGGAGGGACGAAGTATTTCCTGACGATATCAAGAATCTCAAATCCATTCGAGACGAGTTCGAAAAGGGCCATGAGATGATCAACCAAGCTCTGGATCTGGGGTCCAAAGCATCAACTATGCTACCAGCACCACCACAGACGCAACGCATTTCCATGTCTTCACCAGCTCCCATCACGCCAGCAAAACCTGCCGCGCCAGTTGTGGAGGAGACGACTTTTAGACACAGAGTCGAAGACTGGTGTATTGAGAACGATCTGCAATTCCTGCCTGAGAAGAAGGTGCTGCATTCCGCTGGTCCATTGTATAGAATCACAGCTGCTGGGAATGGGAAGAATGGAACTCTGGTGTACTTCAAGGGAGACAGCCTTCTGGCTATCTCGAAGAAAGGTGCGGAGCAGGTCGATATTCGGATTAACTGGGAGAACGCAGATGCCAGAGACGCTTTGCTGGAGATGGCATGGTATAATGTCAAGTAATGCATGGGTTGAAGGACTGGAAACATCCTCATAGATAATTCTGAGTGAGATCTCATCGCTGCGAAAGCGCACATACTGATCACTATTTCACACACTTCCTGCAAGTTCAGCGGAGGTGCGCTATCTCCAGATCTTTTCGTGTCAATCTCCATGATGAGCCTGATTCTTTCACTTGCATTGATGGACTTTCACCGGACATTGTTTTATCCCCGGATTGTGTATCAACAACCTCTCACTGCCTGAAATAATGTCGTTCTCATGTCATCTTCAAGTGCCCTTTTTTCCTAAACGAGGTACCGCAATATCTCCGAATCAGCCCCTTTTCCTGTCGGCATTAAGCGCTGACATCATCGCGGGGTACTGGAGCTGCATCAATCCGAGAAAACTCACTTCACCTACCGGAGCTGCAGCCAACGACCGGAGACTTTCTGGAGCTCGATGGCCCGCATCGGGAATGACCTCCGAGACACATGCTGGCACATTATGACATGATTCAGAAAAAGAGTTTATTTAAACATCCCACCTGCTGTTTGGGGACGAGATTTCCTCGAATGCATTGCCGAGACCCACCCCGCAGCTAACCCGCATCATTTCCTCTGTCGAGCTCCAGCTTCAACTAACTTCTACAAATATAAAGCCAAATACCTCTCCTCTGATTGACAATCGACACAAACAACATCACATCAATTGACTCCAATATCACAATGCCTTCTCAACCAAAAGTCCTCTTTGTGCTCACTTCCCACTCGAAGATGGGAGACACTGGCAAACCCACTGGCTGGTACTTGGTTTGTCTTGCCCATAATTCAATCTCTTCATCAAACACGAACTAATAATCGTCAGCCCGAGTTCGCACACCCATACGAAGTCCTCTCTCCTCACACGCAGATCACGGTCGCCTCTCCCTCTGGCGGCGAAGCACCGCTTGACCCCTCCTCCGTCGAAGCATTCAAAGCCGACGCCATCAGCACAAAGTTCCTCTCGCACCAAGAATCCCTCTGGAAGAACACACAGAAGCTTGAAAGCTTCCTCGGACATGCTGGAGAATACGAAGCTATTTTCTTCGTTGGCGGTCACGGCCGTATGTCTTCCATTCCATTGACATGAGATGATGGGCTGACAACTTTGCTCCAGCGATGTGGGACCTCGCGAACGATGAAACATCACATAAACTGATCAACGAATTCTACGCACATAACAAGATCGTCTCGGCCGTTTGTCATGGACCTGCGGCAATTGCTAACGTCAAGCTTCCTTCGGGGGAGTATCTCATTGCTGGACAAGCTGTGACGGGCTTCTCGAACTCGGAGGAAGATGCGGCGGGGTTGAGTCAGTATATGCCGTTTATGCTGGAGACTGCTTTGGATAAAGCGAGTGGGGGCAAGTTTGTTAAGGCTGATGATTGGGCGAAGAAAGTTGTGATTTCGAGAGGAGGGCGTCTGATTACTGGCCAAAATCCTGCGTCGGCGGAGGGTTGTGGTCAGGCTATTTATGATGCTATCTTTGGGGAATTGACGACGAAAGATGAGTTGTGAGTGTAATGGTGGACTCATGCGCAGGACATGCTAGTGTTTAATCAGCTAGCTACAAAGGTCTTCTACTAGGAAGTCTTGATTTAGTACTTTTCAAGAATTTGGCAACTCAAACTTTTATCTCTATGGTTGTGTGGACACTTCTTTCAAATCAGAACGCCAGCTACTGTTTCATTTGGATATTATTGCTCCTGTGCGACATAAGACTCAGTTCTCAGACTTGATCTCTGTTGTTTTTCTATGGCATTTATTGTTAAGATGCAGAACCCCGAAATTACTGCTCCAAGCTTCCAAACCACATCTCCCACCCACACGGATTTCCAAAGCACAGTATTGCGCTGTTCTCTCGACATGCCAAATGCTCTTCTTGAAGCTCCAGCAACCATAGAAACAGCGGCTTACTTGGTCTGCATGGAAGTTGCATAAAGAAAATCTAGACCAGTCAGCTTATGAATACTGGTAGCCAATCACAATATATCACGAATGTCTCCGCGTAAGACGATTGGACTTCCGGCTCTTACTATGCACAAATTGCAGTTGGGCAAGATGGGTATTACAAATACTCATCCCGAGATCTCATCGATCAACACTAATAGCGGTGACTAAGTCTACCCCGCCCCCACCTTTTCTACAAGAGGTATAGCTTACAATCTAAAGTTGACATTAAAGAACGCCTCCACCTCCAATAATGGTATGGGTCGCCCACCGGTTTCGATTTTATGTCTCGTTGTGGACGATCGGACGTATACGCAGACGTGAACTTCTAGACCTTACTAAGCTTATTTTGATGACGGATTCGAACCGGTCCAGCCCATCTCGGGCACCCGGAGGAGCGGGGTGTGATGTGGGGGATATATACAAGTAGCAGGAAGCCTTTGTTCGTTTTCTGATTAACAAGCAAGACTTCATATCTTGAATTAAACGGAAAGATTAAGATAAAGTGCGACATCGAAGATCAAACATCATGGGAAAGTACATCAAATGGTGAGTATGAATCTCAGCGACAAACGAGACGATACTAAGAAAGATAGGGATGCTCAGGGCGTGGAGGTCATCCAGCCTGGTGAGCGAGAGAAGATCAAAGAGGTCTCTGATCAATTCAATCGTTTCCAAATGATGAATTTCAACGAGCACCATCACTGTCTCCGCGGCACACATTTGAAAACACAAGGAGTATGTTCCACCTCCCAATGGTTGATCCCTGGCTAACAACCCAAAGTGCGTCATGGGCAAATTCACAGTCAAAGACGACCTCCCGCCTCATTTGGCACAAGGCATGTTCGCGAAACCAGGCCAATACGACATGATCATGCGCTACTCTTCCCTCACACCCAAGCTCGTGCCCGACAACGTCTCTGCGCCTCGAGGTATCGGCATGAAGATTTTCGGCGTAGAAGGCGAGAAGATCTGGGGCGAGGATAAGAAGACGCAGGACTGGACTTTCAACAATTATCCCATCCTCGAGCTGCGGGATCCGAAGACGACATATGAGATTGCAGACTGTTTGGAGAAGAATTGGAACGATATCCCCAAGTTTGCTGAAGAGCAGAGTAAGCGCGTAGATGCTGATGTGGCGACCATGGGCTCTCAACTTCCTCGTCAACATTGTGAGTTGGATACAACTTTGATCCCAAATCTAATTGCCGAGACTAACAACAACAGTGGTCGCCATGCCAGAATACTCCCAATCCGCCTACCGCTTCGGCGACTACGTCGCCAAATTCGGCGTCTTCCCCCAAGGAGAAGAACAAAAGAAACTGGAAAAATACTCCATCCCCGACGACGCACCAATAAACATCCTGTCCCAACACGCCCGGGATTTCCACATGAAGCACAAAGTGACTTATTCCTTCTGCGCGCAGCTGCTGCAGAATCTCGACGAGCAGCCCGTCGACGATCTAGGCGTTGTGTGGGACGAGAAGAAATACCCGTTTGAACAAATCGCTACTCTCGAGTTCGAGCCGCAGGATAGCTGGCTGCCCGAGTTCAGAGTTTGGTGGGATGATCGGATTACGGTTAACTCGTGGCATGGGCTGAAGGTGCATCAGCCGCTGGGGAGCACGAATCGCATGAGGCGGGTCGTGTATGCTGAGTCGAGGAAGTTGAGGTTGAGGGTTAATGGGTTTAAGGATTATGTTGAGCCGGCGAGCTTGTTGGAGGTGCCGGCACCGGTGGTGGCGCCGCAGTTTGAGTTGCCATTTCAACCTGCTGTGAAGAGTGTTGAGGTTGGTGTTTGAGGGTTGTTCTTTGAGAAGGGGGTTTGTTGAAGCGATGGGTGAAGGGGACCGTTGTATATGAATTGTCAGACTACTTGAAGAATGAAAGGATTCAACGATTGGTAATGGATAGAGATTGAGGACCTCCGTCTCTCATTACTCCTTCCAGCTTTAGAGGGCTTTCAGTGCAGGTAATCTTCGCCTCACTTCTGCACGCGGGCGGGCCTTCCCAATTCCTTTCCACTACATCCTGACTTCTCCTGTTTCATAATTGTACAGTCTCGAAGCCTCGATTAATTATCACAACCAGCTTTCATCGCCCCAGCTTCCAAGGAAACCTTTTTGGGCACCATCCTCGTTTGCGTAATACGTAGCTTTCTAACCATAGGCCCACTCGTATGCTGAATGAAATCCCATAGCTGCGATTTCGCTCTTTGATAAGAGGGGTCCAGACTCTGCTTTGGCAGGAACCCTATAAGGGAGCAGAAACGGCTTCCCGGACAGAGTTCGGCAATGAAACTACAGCTGAGGCATGCAGGAGGCCAAAATGGGCCCCAAATTATGGTGTAAGGCTAATTCAGAGCGTACTCGCTATACTCAAGCTTAGCTCAGGCTCTAATAAGGCGCACTCACCCCAGCTCAGGTAAAGCAGAAGCTGCTCACGTCCGGAGACTAAAACGGAATTAACGAGGATGAGATTGAATCTGACTTTCGTGGTAACCTAGATGGAATCTAAATCTTTGTGAGATGATTCAAAATATATTAATGTCGGCTGGGAAGCGACAGGTGAGTTGTGTAGCATTGTGATTTCACTGGACATTTTGAGCTGCGGTAGAATTTAGCTTACAACAGGTCCACGAGCTTTGGATTTGGAAGATCAGTAGATCTTCCCTTCAAAAGATCTTCCTTTGGGAAAGACGTCAAGCTCATCATGCACCAGTAACAGAGGGATATTGGTGAAGATATCTCTATTCCCTGCAGCGATTTCATGTACTGTACTAAGTCGATAGATCACTGCGACAGATTAGCACAGCAGCTCCTCCGCACGCAACGTTCCCCTTAATTTTCGTCAAAAGATAAAGAACCGATAGGCCGAATTGCGGACGTACCTGCAGTCACATCAGGTACAAAGATGGAGAAATCCCACTCCCGCCAGCAACCCCTCCGGTTACTTCCCCGCTCCACCCCACTCCGACAATCACCCGAAGAACCTCACATTCATCCCATCCCATCTTCGGCAACGACATGAACCTGCACATTCGTGCCTTGGCACCTCTTGGCCGATGTACAAATTGACTTTGAGCCATGGGCAAACTGACTCGGGCCACTGGGGTCCGCGAGGAGAATGGGAGGGATAAATACTTTTGGTATGCCCGACAATGAACTTAATGAGACAGGGTCGAATTTACTGATCATTTTGATAGGATGAAGGTATTTTTATCTGTAATTGCGGTAGTGTCGCTACTTTCGAGACATTCGATTGCGGGTTATACGAATGTCAGTGAAGTGCAGTTATACGGACTCAGCCCGCCCGTGTACCCAACCCGTAAGTCCACCTTCTTCCCGGAGTCATTACAGCATCATTAATAAAATCTAAAGCTGAGGGCCAAGGAACAAGCTCCCCAGAATGGACAGCAGCATATACCAAAGCCCGAGCATTCATCGCCCAACTCACATTTGACGAAAAATTGAACCTGACCAGAGGATTCACCGGTAGTTGCGTAGGCAACACAGGATCCGTCCCTCGTCTCGGCTTCAAAGGTCTCTATTTCGAGGATGCACCAGCTGGGATCCGTGGGCCGGATTTTGTGTCTGCGTTTCCGGCTGGATCGCATCTGGCGCAGACGTGGGATAGGGAGTATATGTATGCGTACGGAAAAGCACTCGGAGAAGAGTATTATGGGAAAGGTGTCAATGTGGCGCTTGGCCCTGTTGGTGGACCGCTTGGTAGAGTTGCGAGAGCGGGGAGGAATTGGGAGGGGCCGGGTCCAGATCCGTACGTGACTGGTGTGCAGATGGAGGAAGTTGTGAAGGGGATGCAAGGTGCTGGTGTGATTGCTTGCTCGAAGGTATGTTCTTGAATGGACTCATGACTTCATACTGACGTACGGCAGCACTTTCTTTTCAACGAACAAGAATACCGTCGGCTTCCTAACGAACTCGGAGAGTCCATGTCTTCCAACGTTGATGACTTGACTCTTCATGAACTGTATGCATGGCCATTCATGAACGCATTGAAAGCCGGTACCGGTGCAGTGATGTGCTCATACCAACGAGCCAATAATTCGTACTCTTGTCAGAACTCCAAACTTCTCAATGGCATCTTGAAGACAGAATTCGGGTTTGAAGGATTCGTCGTCAGCGACTGGCAAGCACAACAATCAGGAGTCAGTACTGCCAATGCAGGGCTCGACATAGTCATGCCAGATGGTGGATTCTGGGGTAAAAATCTGAGTGAAGCTGTTACCAATGGTTCGGTCTCCATTGAACGACTAAACGACATGGTGACTCGAACAATGGCCTCATTCTACTTCCTCAATCAGAACGACAGCTATCCCGAGGCACAGATATTCTCGCCAACAGTACAGCACCCGATACTAGACGTTCGAAGCGACCATGATAAAGTCATCCGTGAGATTGGAGCAGCCGGACATGTTCTAGTCAAGAATGTCAACAAGACGCTGCCACTCAAGAAACCTCGATATGTCAGTATCTTCGGTTACGATGCAGAGGTCAAGGCCGTACCATGGACAAATCCTCTTCGATATGGCGGTGGGTATGAGGTGAACTTTGGCTGGAATACCTTCAATGGCACCTTGATCGTTGGTGGCGGTTCAGGTAGCAACACGCCTCCATATGTCATCTCACCCTTCAAAGCAATTCAAGACCGAGTCATTGCCGATCGTGGTCTGTTGCGGTGGGACTTCTTCTCCCGAGGATCCTGTACCAGAAGCGAATTCCGAGGTTTGCCTTGTGTTCATCAACGCTTACGCATCCGAATCTTTCGACCGCACATCGTTGTCCGACAAGTTTTCAGACAATCTCGTTCTCAACGTTGCTGGACAATGCTCGAACACTGTGGTCGTTCTCCATTCAGCCGGCCCAAGAGTCGTCGATGCTTGGATTGAGCATGAGAATGTGACTGCAGTCATCTTCGGTGGTCTTCCAGGCCAAGAATCAGGCCATGCTCTTGTGGATGTCCTATATGGAGACGTAAATCCTAGTGGTAAGCTGGTCCACACAATCGCGAAGAAAGACGAAGATTATGGTGATCTTCTGAACTCGACCATCGACTTCTCAGCTTTTCCGCAGCAAAACTTCAGTGAAGGTGTTTACATTGACTACCGAGCCTTTGATCGGAATGCCATCGAGCCACGCTTTGAATTTGGATACGGGCTTTCGTATACCGAGTTTGCGTATTCGAATCTCACCATCGTCAAGACTGGTGCTAATACTGCTGAATATCCGTCTGCAGATGTCTCCATTGTCCAAGGAGGCCACCCAGAGCTCTGGGACATTCTGTTCAATGTTACAGCAGCCATCACCAACATTGGAGACGTTGCAGGTGCTGAAATTGCACAATTGTACCTTGGAGTACCAGGCGCTCCCATTCGTCAATTGAGAGGCTTCGACAAAGTTATGGTGCAGCGAAATTCAACAGCGCATGTCATATTTCCATTGACTCGTAGAGATCTGAGTGTTTGGGACGTGGTAGCACAGAAATGGAGACTTCAGACAGCAGAGTATAACATTACTGTGGGGGCCAGTAGTAGAGATCTGAGATTGAACGCTACTTTGCAACTATAGGTAATCATTGGGACGTGCAGACTATAGAGCTTAAGACAGATAATGAGATACTGACGTAACAACATAACTGAGAAAAACGGGAAAGTGTTTTGGAAGTTGACGAAGCTAGTAACCATGTCCCACTTAGAAAGCGTGAATTCTTCTCTGGGGCTGACGAACTTTCATGGAGAATGATGGTCCCCATATATCCTGTTCCTTCCAAATTATCGTCGACGACGTGTGATTGTCCAAGGTTGTATCTCTCCTCAGCATGACAAGCCTTGTCTAACACGAAAGCCATGAGACCGACTGCCAAATGATCTAGTCAACGGAATCCACAGAGCGTCTACTGTAATCACTTCGACATCCGATCCGATTGCCATGATGGCTGAGCTTGTCCATCAACGTGAAGGGCACGAAGCGTTTGCAGACTTACCGGCTTTCGCAGGCCGACGTGAGGCTCGAGGAGGCGTGTACGGTACTTGCAGATCGTTGGGTATGTGCTAAGTGAAGTGTCAGTAACAACTACAAAGGACTTGGCAATGACTTACGTATGGTCTTAGTCCAGCCCAGTCATCCCGAGGAATATTGGTGATCCGCTTTTCAGCAAGAATATTGACTTGTGGAATACTGCCCCAAGTTTCACGTTCACTAGCCGTCTCCGCATAGAAACGTGCCCGAGATCCCTTCGCATGTGCCTGAATCTGTTCGTTTTGGTATGATTTAGGTTCCTCTAAGATAATATGACCCGGTGTAAAGGAGGAGAGTTCAGGGTGATCATTGACGATGAGTATCAGCTCTCTCAATGCGGCGAAGGACGTAAGACTGCGTCGAAGTTCCGGGCCAGAATCGACTATGTGCCCTCCTACGCCCCCGATAGTAAGGGACGGCCCAGATACGAGAAGCAACGGCAAGCCGTTGGACCACTTTCAAATCTGCGGTAATGGTATCCGAGAAGCTTAATGCTGGCTTCCATCGCTCGCCATGATATATGTTGAGTACTCCTGGATTCGCGATGCATTTGAAGACGTCATGTCCTTCACGGAGGACAAATGTGCGAAAATCTCTCCAACGCGACCCGAAATAGAGGACGTCTCTAGCCAAATCTGCGTATATGTTCGTGGTTCCGAAGCAGAGACGGTATCTCAGAAGGGCAACATGCCTCGATTCTCGACACACTGAGAGTGCGACAGGATTTGGCGGACTATCGTGCTTGCGAAAGCGAAGTCTGCCAGGCTCGCAGTGATCGCTGACTGATAAGATCCGTGGGCCAGGCAGCGCCAGCTCCCAGACGATCATACGAAGTTCCTTGGGAAGAGATTTGAAGCGTTCGAAAGGAACAATTTCGGGTGCCGTTCTTCGTCTCTCAGCCTCGAGATCTGCAAGCTGTCGATTGTAGATGGCGATTCTTCCTTCTTTTGTATTTCCCCATTTGTCGTTGGCTGCTATTCTTTCCTTGAGTTCTATTTTAGAGCCATCCTGAGCGAGGCCTCTACGCATCAATTCTGCTCTGAGTTTTGGACCTGAGGCGCCCCAATGCCAGTATTCCCTTTGAGGGTCCGTCTGCAATAAGTAGTGACTCGCAAGAGCAGGAAATGGTGAATCTTCTCGTTGTGACATGTTCAGGTCGTGAGTCTATGGAGTAGGTAGGATTGTTACTTCATCGCAGGGTCCGAGAAGGTCCTATTTGAACTGTAGCTTCTAACCTGTTGGGGACTAGCGTTGTATATCTCCTATTGATCAACGATTTTCCGTTCTAACATTCTCATCCCTTTTTACTTGATGCCTTCATCCTTTTATATTCATTTTTAAGTAGTCTGATATTTGCGAGTTCTTGGCACCCGCCTCACTGGAAATGTATTGCTCCATGCTCGTACATGCTTCAAGTGAAGGAAGAAATGCTACGTCGATGCCGGTGGCACATTGATTGACGACAACGTATTGCTGGAAATGCCACACAAGTTCTCGTTTGGTTCAGCTCGTGTGTTGAGCGTCTTTCAGTACCAAAGCAACGATGCTGCCAAGTGACATGTACATGCCGGCTTCGGGAACGCAACCATTTCTTCAATCTGTTTTTGTTGGATCTCAGTACTCCCCTAGCGTCCAAGTCATGATTGTAAAGACTTTGAACTGCAACAAGCTTGTGTATGGCCTATAAAGATATGTTACTTCAATTCTCTGGTCAGTAGCTATAGTCTATTTAGCGTTTTGATGATCAACAGAAAGATGTTGGTGCCATCTTGAGCTAAAGGATGGTGAGCTCACACGTGACTATGGCGAATACCACGTCCTTATCTCTGGAGTGGGAGGTCTAGTTAAGAGATAGACATTGAGATTTATTAACCTGTACTCTTGTTTTATTTCTGGGCTCGATCGTACGTATAATATGAAGGAGGAAGGACGGATCAAATCAGTTGCGATTATCGGTGCTGGCGCCGCGGGTAACATTGCTAAGCTTACTTTCATGCCGAGTAATCAACTGCTAACCAAACATGCAGGAGCAATAACGGCTGCCGCTTTCCAAGCAGAGAACTACTTTGACAAAATCCGGGTTTTTGAAAGGAGAGAAACTCCTGGTGGAACATGGTCAATAGCCCTTCCCAAACTAACTTGCAAGCATCAATTGCCTAACAAAGTGTAGGATATATGATCCAGACCCAAAGCCCGATCTACCAATCACTCCAGGCAGCTTACCACCAGATGTTGACCCTCGACTGGAAATCCCAAGCAGTCTTCCGAGAATTACGGCCCCGAATCAGCAGGAGCGATATGCCCAGACTCCAATATATGATTCTCTCACGTTAGCCTCACAGTCAATGAATTTGTGAGAGAAAACTGATGAAGAGAACAGTACCAATGTTCCAGATATAGCAATGTGCTTTTCTGATCAACGCTTTGCCTATGGACTTTTTGTGCCTCATCACATTCCTCGCCAGTACATAGAAAATTACTTCTCTGCACACAAACTCGACGATTTCCTGGTGCTCAACACAACCGTTGAAGATTTGTCAAAGATCTCTTCATCGTCTCCCAAGTCAGGAGAAAGGTGGAAATTGACGTTGCGAAAATATGATTGCTTTCGACACGCTGACGTTTGGTGGGAGGAGGAATTTGATGTTGTGATTCTGGCTAATGGTCATTATTCGGTTCCATTTGTAAGTCCGATGCTATTTCCTCTTAAATTTAGTCATGGATGTTGGATCTGATATAAGCAGATTCCAGAAGTCAAGGGATTGAAAGAGTATAGTGAGAAGTATCCTGGTCGAGTGATGCATTCCAAGTACTATCGCTCGCCTCTCCCGTACACATCACAGAAAGTTCTTGTCATCGGAAACTCAGCATCAGGCCACGACGTGACAACCGAACTAGTCTCTTCAGTACATCATCCCGTCTACCAATCCCGAAGATCGAAGTCAAGATGGGATGACGTCGATCCTCCCTTCGGCATTGCCTGGAAATCAGTGATCTCAAAATATCTTCCTGATGGTAGAATTGTCTTTGAAGACGGCACTTGCCTAGACAACATTGATAAGATCATCTATTGTACAGGCTACAAAGCATCCTTCCCATTCTGGAACGAGAAAGCTAACGGCCGTCCAATGTGGGACTACGAAGCTAACAAAATCATCAAGGGTTACTGGCACACTTTCTTCCAAGATTTCGAGAATCTGGCGATTGTGGGACTTCCACGAGTTTTGACATTCCGAAGCTTTGAGTACCAAGCTATTGCGCTAGCAAGGCTTTACTCGGGTCGAAATGCTGCTTCGCTTCCATCAGTAGAAGTGATGAAAAGGTGGGAAACAGAGACTGAAGAAAACCACAAGACTGAGAATAGGAAGTTCCATGATGTAGAGTGGGAAACTGGGGAGACTAAGGAGTGGCTTCAGAGATTCTTTGCGATTGCGGGGTTGGGAACTTTGACTGGAGAGGGAAGAATCCCGCCGGTGCTGGACAAGGATTTAGTTTGGGCGATTGAGCATTTGAGGAAATATCCGGAGCCGGGAAAGGGTGATTTGATTATGATGACTAGAAAAGCTTCTAGTTCTTGTGATATCCGTATTAGGGAGGAGGATGTGGATGACTGGGAGATAGTGGAACATGTGCAGAATCTGTGAAAACAGCAATATCACATAAGGGGTGGAGCATATTTCAGAGTCGACTGAAAGTATTTCTAACTACATTATGGTGCTTGACTTTTCATGAAGTGACTTTGTTCAGTATTTTCTTCGGGCGGGATGTTACAAGCCTTTGTGCAGTTCATTCGGCGTCGGAACGGAACTGTCATTTCCTCCATCCCAACGACTTTTGACGGTCTCGCTTCGGTACTGCTGTGAGTCAGCTTCATTATCCTCGAATTATCGGCACGAGGGTAGTTATTACTCTGATACGTGAGCTTTTGCCGAATAAAACAAGTGGAAGTTCCACATTTTGTCAAATCAAGACAGACGATCTGTACGTCCTTTTTCTCAACCTCCAGTCGGAAGACCCAGCCATGGATCTTGCAAAAGTTCCTTGGCAGACTTTCTATGCTCCGGTACCCATTGAAGCATATTCTTGACAAAGTTGAGGAAGAGCTGTTTCTCATCACCTTGAAATGCAGCAACTGTTCCTTCTAACGTGACATTCTTTGGTATCAGATCCTCGTACAAGAACTTGCCTGTATCCACTGATCAGTAGTTTTGGCGCTCATTGTTACTGAGGATATCTTACCACCATCATCAAAAAAGGTCCCCCAAAGTACTGGCGAGCAGTTGGACAAGGCTTGCCGTCTCGACCGAGGACACCATCCCACTTGACACTGCCCCAAGCTCTTTCACGGTCAAGAAGCTCTTTTGGTGGAGGTCCCAATAATGCGATCATTTCCCCAAGATGCCGTCGAGTATCGTAATCTCCTTGATCGGTTCGGAAGTTCTGAAACAAATCTTTGCCCTCCATCATGTTCCAGACCTATGCATATGTTAGCTGACTACAGATCCAGCCCTCCCAAAGAGGGGCAACATACCAAAACGCCGAGATTCTAGATATCGGCACTGTATGACTAGCCAATACCGAATATGACCTCTGGGGCATGGTACATAGGTGGCTGAATAGGAAATCTCAGAGTCTCCCAAGTGTCCCCTGGTTGTGCTAGCCCGAGGTCTGTGATCTTTGGCAACAAGCGAAATGACTGTAACAGCCCAAAGTCGTTGTGGGATAAGTATATCGTTCTTCCATCGATGACCTTCCGCGGCATAGGATTCGCAGCTTGCTGATTAACATATTCCTCAAGCACAGATGGGTTCTCGAAGCTCATTAAAATGTTGTCCATCTTGAGATCTGTCGAAGAGTTATCGTCGTGTTATATACAATGAAATTTGAGAAATAATACTGACCAGTGTGAATAATTTCACATTCGGAATGGAGGTAGTCGAGGGCCTCGAGGAGAAGTTGTATGAACACTTGAAGTGCAGCGGGAGAAACTTTTCCATCCGCGAACCGGCGTTGAAAGATGTTCAATGGCTCGCGCATCGGCTCATAGACCAAGCATGTGTGACTGCCATACGGCCCTGCCAGTTTGAAACTGTCTTGTACTACCCTCACAAAATTGAATCCGAAATGCGACGGATTTGCCCCAAGATATCGGGATAGATTTCGCTCATGTGTTGCAGCATCTTCATCCATATGGCCACAGACGCCCACCTTCACAGCCACGTACCGTTTCGACTCCCAAAGTGCCCTTCTATCTTATTAAGAAGACAGAATGAAAGGTGAATAGAATGCGTACCGTGTGTTGTCCTGAGCTAGCCACACAGTCGAGGACGTGCCCCAGCCTAGCTTTGATATCATTTTATACCTCTTATTGAAGACGTCCCCTGGATTCACAGGATAGAAGTTTTTGTAGTTATAGCCAGGCAGCCTCTCTTCTTCTAATAGTACATCTGAAGAAAGTTTCGCGGGGGAGCGGCTTGTGGACGGGGACGTGGCAATACCTCTTCGCAGAGAGAGCCATCCAGCTCAGAAACATGACCGAAGATGGCGTAGCAACATTGATGTTCGGGGGACTGACTGACAAAGAAGTCTCGCTTAGATGTTGGACCGTCGTAAGAAAACAAAAACCTGGGTTGAAATCTGAATTCTAATATGAGGCCACTAGGGCGGTTCGCTAGATAGCGTTAGACCATTTTACCTTTAGCATATCATTCTGTTGAAAAACTATCACGTTGAAGTATTGATTCAATAGTCAGAATATTTTGAGAGTTGGGACGTCAGTTACGAAATGGCAAGCCCTGAATGTCTAGGCGCGGGTTGGTGGCTAAAAACACGAAAACGGCCATCAGCGCACAGAGCACGACCATGAAATGGATTATTTGGCAAGGAACACCATTGCAATGCATACTTTGGAATGGCACATTCAGAAGTAGTAAATCACAGAAGGTATTTGGATGTCTCTCGAGATCCCTGAGAGTTTGATTGATAGCTTGCTGCACCTAAAAGGGGCTCGCTTAAACTATCTACCTACTCGAAAGCCCACACTTCACCTCGATACAAAGTCTTCTCGCCGAGCACTCGTCGTAGTAAACACCAACTTACTAGCGACAATTCTCTTACACACCCACAGGCTTCATGAGTTTCTGCGAAGCATGAAGTCTCTCTGCATTAGTACGTCGTCGACGGGGAGGGTATCTGGGTACGATGCGATGAAGTTCTTCAAGATAAGTTGGTATGTGTCAACCTTATCGAGCTCAGCATCAGAAGAGAATCCGAATACGATGATGTCGTAGTTCCCCAAGCCTACGATCTGTATCCATTACCATCCCTGCCGCTTGCAAGTGACTCCAACAGTACCCCAACAGTGGTTATACAAAAATCAGACTAACCCCCGATAATTCTGGGTGGCCCTCCCAGATACATGGTCTGAAACCCATCATTAGTGTATGTACGAACCTTATCATTTCCAAAGTCGCATCGCCAGTGGCCTGGGAAGCGACTGGACTCCTGCCATATGGGTGTGAAGCCTGGAGTGGGCGGTGGTTGGCCGACAGGTGTGAACGGTGGTGTGACGACCCATCCAGCAGGTATTTCAAGCCTTGGTGGCATCATATGGCTTTGCAAACGACTCTCAAGTGGCTTCTCTGTTGAGTCTTCCGTGAAGAGAGCAGCAGCGTAACGCTCGTACTCATATGATACCTCGAGCTTTGCTAACTTCCGTCGCTTGGGGCCTGGTGCCTGGTCGACTTCGTGTTCCGCCTCAGAGTCCTCGTCAAGTTGGCGTTTAGCAGCTTTCTTGGCTGCACTACGGTCGTTGCGACGCTTCAGACCTCGCTTTGCCATTTCTGCTGATGCCCATTCTTTCCAGTTCGTGATCTCGTCCAGTGGGTGTTTGTCATCACCACCACGAACAATGATACTTATGAGGTGCTTGTTGATTGACTGAAGACCACCTGAATAAGGTCCTTGGTCGCAGAACGGACAGCTGTCTGACTCATCATCCTCCCGAGCTTCTCGCACGAAAGCAGCCTTCTCCGCTGGTGTTGGTGGTAGACTTATTGCATCAAAGTTGGCCAAATCCTTTTGTGTAATATGCACAACACTAAATCTCTGACCAGTGACTGGGCGGCTTGTGTAATGCATGATTTCTTGGGAAAGCATCCACACGAGGGAGTCGGTATACATAGCATACATTCTGTTGGTTATTGGGATGACAAAATGTCCTCCTTCTTTGTTATCGAAGTCCCCCCAAACTTGGAGCGCTGTCATTGTACCCTCGGCATCAGTAGCGTCCCAATGTGGATCTGAGACCGTATTGGAATTGAGGACAGTTGTGGTGGTGACCTCCCGATCGGTAACTATGGTCTTGAATTCTGACTGTTGCTCCCAATGTTGTACCACAGCTCGAGCCCTTTTGTACTGCTCAGGGAATATTACCGCCTCTGCCATACCGATTATTTGTATCATCCAGGTCACTTCCTGCATGTATCGAACTATGGCTGAGAATTTGTGGCGGCTAGCAATCGTTTCGTTCGTGAACGCAGGCTCTTGATTTCTTTGGCCGGTTTCGCTGTTCTTGGTCAGTACAGTCTGATGGATAGCTCGTAAACACTTACCGTCTGAAGGAAATATGGTTAGTGCTATATAGATACCCTAACTGCTCAGCCCTAGCTTTATCTGCTTCACAATTCAATCTGAATCGTTTCTCTCCTACCTCTGGTGGGGTAGGAGGAACATGAGCATTGAATTGATCCGTGGCAGTGATAAGTCTGGCCATGTATCCGTCCCACTTTTCCCTGCCCAAGATTATCGATCCGATATGTGCAAGATACACAGTCAGCTCTCTCCCAGCTGGGTTTGCGACAACCTCATTATCATCTCTGACAATGTTGCCGTTCTCCTTGTGCCATCGGATTTGCTCATCTTGTATATCGAGGTTCCTGGCTCTCTCTCTCTCCTCATCTGACAACTCAAATGGAACCTTGGTTGCCTTGTCATATGCCTCCCGTACTTTTATCGACCATCCTTCAGGTTCCTGAAACTCGTATCTTCGGGTAGGTCCCCTGCGCTCTACTGCTTCCGTTCTACCCTCGTATTCCAAGATCTTCGCTCGCTCGGCGTCGAAATCGTAAGAAGCCATAGTTGATGGGGTACTATGAGGTCTTGTGTGGAAGTATGACTGGAAGTTGTGGCTCGGAATGGTTTCGTTTGGATTGCAGGCGCAAAAGTGCTGACTCGTTCCTGTATATGATAGAATTCTTCGATTAAGCGCCTTCAAAGTCGCTGATTAGTAGAGTAGAATTGCTAGCAAGTCGAATTGGACGTTTTTAGATGGATGTAGAGGGACAATGGAGTTCTTGTAAGACAACTTTGGGAAGGATGTGCGACTGTGTCTTTTCCAGCGGTGCCATTGTGACTTAAAGCTTAAAAAGTAACGTAGACGCGAAATCTATGATATAGCGGGTTTTGGCAACATTAGGACCCTTTTTGGGACTCTTAAATGGTACACCGCCTTCCTTCTCATCTGTAAATACATTACTGATTGCTATCCTATCTTTCAAGCATCAAAAATATTTCTACACGATCCCTCCTGGATTCTATCGCTGGAAAATGTACTAAGAGAGCCCAATATTCCTCCTCACTACCGTGCTGACAAGATTCCATAATCTAGAATCCCTACCGAGCTCCTTAACTACACACAAATTTAGGCCCCTGCTTATATCCAGAATGTCGACCGTATTTATACTCCTACCCATAACGTTGCTCTCTGTAATCCCTTAGGCGCTTGAACTGCAAAATGGTCTTGGCTGGAGGCACCAGCACGTATTAGGGAAGTCAAGGACGACACAAGTAGCGAAAGAAGCACAAGGACCGCTAGGAGTGTTGAAATTGTCAGAGACCACAGGTTGACTGAGAGTTGAAGAGCTGGGAGCCTGAGAGCTGGATAGACCTCGTTGCTGTTACCTATACTGAGACTAGAGATGAATTGATCTTACTGGAGACCTTGGGTCTGGGCGAATGTAAGCCCGCGAGAAGCATCGATTGGATCTGTACCCCTTTTGAAGTGGCCAAGCTTATCATAATTTAGGCCTTGCATACGACCACAACAGATCCGATGTATCAATCGCAGACTTCTCAGGGCTGTGATGGATGCTGATGGAAGTTCATACCAGCGCTACCGAGTTCTGCCACCTTTTGCTCATCGATCCTCAGCACATTACACTGGCATTGTGTTAGGATGATTGCACTACCACCATTGTGGCCTCGGTCGAAGGGGCTACGCAAACCTCAGGATAAGAGTGGAAAGTAAGAACGGAGAAATCTGCTTCTGGACACGCCGGACATGGAGCTTTGATGAACGCACAGCTTATTATAATGATTGTCGGCTCTACTCAGAAAGTCGTTCACTGGATGGGCAACGAAAAGCATACATTGTTTTATATTCATATCCGATATCATCGATCACATACTTCTCTGGGCGGTGCGGAAGCTTGGTGGCTGGCACTGGTGAACTTATAGTCGTTTGATACGTGATATCATGGTTTGGTTACGGCATCTTACACCTGTTTGGAGTTTGACCGAGAGTCAATGATCATGCTGAGACTAACATTCAACTATCTTTCATGACAATGACCACCAAAGTGTAGGCTGATAGGCTGTTACGTGTGTTTGGCGTAGATTTGATTCACATCAGAAGCTCAAACATCGAAAATTGACCATTTTGGTTTTCAAACTTGATTTATAGTGACAATACTGGAAAGTTTGGAGCAATGAAAGAGTAAGGGGCACTTTGAACAATCATTTATTGCAAGTGTCCACGCAGAAGACGTTTGAATTAGGATGAGAAGCCAAAAAGAGTGATGGGTTGTGTACTCATATCCGACTCGCTAGAGAGCGTCCAGGTTATGTTGTTTGCCAGCAGCCAACTGGTAGACAGATTCAACCAATAAATGGAAATTGACGCCGTAAAATCCAAAAGTCGGTCGAACCTCATCGTGGGGCCAATCCTACTCGTCCCAGTCGAAGCAAATCAGCATTGGTCAGCGGTTCCTTCTTGAACCCGCGTATGACCTGACCCAACATTGCCGTTGCAAGTTCCGTCCTACTGATATTGGGGATTGCCCGAGTGAATATGTTTGTGAAGCCAAATAAGATTGCTTGTGCTGTCCTCCAGAACGTCACAGAAGATGTAACCATTCCCGGCTGAGCAACGCAAACCTCGACTCCATCGTGGTCTGCACTAAAAGCAAGCATCATGTTTTCCGTCTCGCCCTGCGTGAAGTAAATTCCATATCAGTCTATGAGACAATCAAGCTAGGAGGAATTTTTCACTTACACGCATGAGCTGATATTCTCCCATGAAGAGCGGCTTTTTTGTCAAATCCCGAGGCGTTCCTTCAGCACTTATGTAAAGGAAGCGAAATGGTTTGGATGGCCCGGCTTCAACCATTGTTTTGAATCCAGCTAGAGCACAGGTCTGACATATACGCTTGACTTCTGCAAAGTCAACACCTCTAGACCTCATTGGGGTTACAGCAACAGTCCTGCGTGAAATGTTAGCATGTCTTCCGAAATCCATTCTTGTCATTTCGGACCAAATACACGCATCTGCTCCAGCAAACTCAGCTTTGACCTGATCTGGGTACTTTTCGTAATCATCGATGATGACGGTTTTCAGTTTCGATGTGTCGATGTTGTTGAGCTGCACTGGTTTCCTCGCCAGCGCTATGACTGAAGTGATCTCACTCATCTGCAAAGCTTGTCTGATGACCTCTGTCGCCACCAACCCAGTCCCACCAGCAACAATGAGTTTCATGTTCTTTGTGTGTGTGCTTCAATTCCAGTTTCGACTGATCTGGTGATGCTCCAGCGCTGTTTAGCTGTTTGATTGCCTCGCTTCACTTACTGCCAAAGTCTCATTGAAAGGAACACTGCGATTGTCGCACAGGAAAGACATGTAGAATTGAGTGCTTGTTTTATTTTAAAGGAAGAAGTAGTAGAACAATGTAATCTCTCATCCACTGATGGGTTTCGGAGTAATTTACTGTTTGGCTTAGTGAAAAGGGGTTAGGCTACGGATTTCGGACGCGAATCCCGCTCTTACTGTAGCGACTAACCTTCATTCGTATACATTTTCGTTTTAGACTTCTCTTGCGATGCCCCGTAATCTGATGCGTTTTAAATGGAAGCTCCGAAAATCCAGTAATAATGATATAAATATTTGGGCACTCACTGATCCCGAAGAGATTCCTGATACAATACGAAAGTACCGTGGCGGGGTAGAACAGCAAACAAAGTTGGTCTGTGCGCTGGCACAGATTGACCCCACCTTACCAACCTTTGAGTTGAATACAAGTTGATAGAAATCGAAGGGTTCTGTTTCATAGCCCAGACCTTCAAATTGTATGCATCGACCTATTGCCAAGTAGCAGAAGAAGCTTGGTAATGAAATCACTGATCAGTATTCTGAGCTTCAAAAGCCGCTGAAACTCGTTATTTGAGATCATCGACATGAATAATTTTTGATATATCTTCTTCAAGATTAGTTACTTATACCTCAATCCATCTTGCCATCCAAGTATCGACAATCTCCTTCGCTTCATCCACAAGTCCCATATCCAACAGAAGCTGCGTCGTTCCTCTTACTGCACTTTCTAAAGCACTCCAGATCCATGCATGGGTGTAAGTGGTATGCTCACCCACAAAGATGGTCTTGAATTCCGTTTTGAAGTAAGCGGGTAGGTAAAGTTCCTGTTGTCCGGCCGCAGGAGCAGCCCAGTCTCCAGCCTGGAACTGGTCATTCTGCCAGCACTTTCTGTTGTAGGACCCTGTGAATTGCTCCTCGGCAATACTACCATGAATCTCGACCATAGCACGTTGTACGAGACCCACGTGTTCGGCATCGGTAAGAGCACCTGTGGACTGGCACATGGTTCCACTCGAATAGCTTGCGAGGAGGACACCAGGACCAGAACCATTGATATTGTATGAAGGGTAGCAAATAGATCCAATAGACGGAATATCAGTACTGCCACAGCCACCGAAGATAGGTTTGTCAAGGTGCTCCCAGAAGCGAGTTTCGTATTTCAATGCAACCTTGCAGGCAGTCTCGTACTGCAAAGTGTTGATTGCGCGCTGAAGAAGGGAAGAATACTCAGGCAAGCGCCACAGGCGGACTTTAGTGAAAGGAACAGCGGTGATGACATAGTCGAAGTCCATGGTTTCTGGAGCAATCTGGAAAGGATCTGCCCGATATCCAACGGAGACTTTGTCTGTGGTAGCGGTGTAGGAGATCTCTTGGATGGCAGTCCCGAACATGGTTCGGTTCTGTACAAGAGGGGTGAAAGCGAGGGGTAATCGGTTCAGGCCTTGATCAATCGTCTTCCAACTGCTGGCATCGAAATAAACGCTGTCATAGTACCAGGAGTCGTAATTGTCCGATAAAGTGTCGATCTCGTCTGTGATGTTGTTGCTTGCGCCAAGAACGTACTTGATGTAGCCTGATTCGGAAAAGTCGAGGTAACCGGAATCAACGGCTTGTCGATGAGCTGTGAATACGTTCTTCGCGGCTGCTGCTAATTTGTCGTCCGTGAGATTCAGCCAATCTTCATATGCATCTTCGGCAGCAAGGTCTGCTGTCACATTCGAATATGTTGCCGTTGCGTTAGTTTTATCCTTCGGTGCATTGGAGTTACTCTGAATCCATCTGATGTTTGATGAGCAACTAAACACAAACCGAAGATTTTCAAACTTACTGGATGAAATTCACTAAATACTCGGAAGAGTTTCCGTTCAGATTATTGAGGACATCAGCGAGTTGGAAGACCATTTTGTGATCGTTGATCTCAACTGTTGCGTTGTCCAAGGTTAGACTGACAGGGAATCTCATAGGGCCCATTTCTTGGTATTGGTAATCAGCTCCAGTCGTGTTGTCAAGGTAGGCCGTGTGAACTCTGCCTCCCAGCCTGTTGTTAGCTTCAATGATTTTCCAATCATTCAAGCCAACAGACTCTAGGAGCAACTAAGATGCATCAGTTGAATTCGAAGAAAACTCCTGATGCGAGACTCACAGAACTCATCAGCCCTGACATTCCAGCTCCCAGGATGCCAATAGACTTCGTCTTCGATTGGGCAACGAAAGTCTCATTTGGCTCTTTTGCGGAGAGATACTCAACGCCGTCGAACCAAGGCCCCTTAGCATCACCAATATCTCCGAGGACAATTCCTCTGCGACTTGGTTTCCTTGCCACGGTCAAAGCCTCGGATCTTCCCACGAGATCAGCTCCTGAGTAAGCAAACAAGCAGCCACCATCTCGGGCATCTTCGGGAACTCTCCAGACAAATCTTTCGGGGCGATTGTCTTCCCAGTCGATGTGTCTCTTTGCAAAGGGATGATCGCCTACGACTGTTGCTCCAATTTGGTGGTGATGAGATTCTTTCGGGTGAGAGAGAGAAACATCACATGCTCCGTAGTGGATCGAAAGTTCACCCTTTAGAGGAAGATTGTAACTGATATGGATATTCGCAATGCCATTTGATTCAACAGTCAGTGGTCCTCTGAAGTAGAGGCTGTCATGGCGGGGAATTATTGAAGTGCTAGTGCAAGGCAGAAGCAAGGAAGCGCATGAGAGCAGACCAGAGACACTGGCACGAGCGAAGCCCATCTTGATTGACTGGATGAAGGGGCGTCAAAGGTAAGAGTAGAAAAAACTCGAAGGGGAATTGAGGACAAGCTGGAGAATCTACTTCCACGTCTCTGACTTTAGTCGTGGCAGATATCTAGATATACTTGAACCGTATAAAACACCCACTTTGCCAACACCTAGAGTCATGCGGCCCAAAGTTATCCCATGAGGTTTAGAGCAATCGAAAATTTTCATTCTTACGCTTTTTGAATTTTGTGCCCCTCTTCGTGCCCCTCTTCTCGTCTTCGTCACGCCCTTTCCCTTCCGTCGGCCGCGCGCATCTTGTATCTAAGGTTTCTCATTACAAAGCCATTTTCATGGCCAACCTTGTATCGAAATAGGAAGGTCAGTAGATCCGTTCCCTTACGATTGAGATCCGAACTTTCGGACTTCACCCAGTCTTGAGGCATTGGATGATAAGAAATAGATCTCATCGCCAAGAGTGGGTTGCCAAGACGCAGCCAAGGCTTACGGAACGGGCAAAGATAACGCTGCATAAGTACCAGTACCATGGTATGAGCATGTTATTCGTAATGGAAGTAATCAAACGTTACAAAGTCGTCCGGGTTCGGGCACTCGGGCATATGATAATGTCATTACCGGTCGGAAGATACGGGTCGGTACCTGCATCGGCCCACCCCACCACAATCGTGGATTTCACGAACGCCTTTGCCCGTGGCGCTCCCACTCCTGTCAAAATTGTGTGTCCTGTGGCGATGTCCTGAGGTTGGCTAAGTTGCGCCACTTTCCTCGACGTTAACCTCAACTTTGACATGAACATCTCTGAGATCTGCGAGAGATGTTGGCTGAAATTCCTCCTCCAACCTTCGTCTTTTCTTGCGTCTCGGTGGCATCAACCCTCCCACCAATGTCAACAGCTTCCAGATAAGCTCTCGCGGCCAAATTGGTAAATTGCGCCTAGTCCACAAAGGCTGCTTCCCAGAATATTCTGGTCTGGAGTGTATATCCTCTTCGCTTTTCCAGGTGGATTCGCTGGTTCCTTTCTTTTCACTTCTTTGCGGACGGGACGGTCGATGTACTGAAGATGGCTTACGTGGGCGTTTAAAGCACGACGCAATATTCTCGAGGTTAAAAGCCACAACATACGTCATTATTCCTAAAATAGGAGTAACAATTGCGAACGCTGTCATGCTGAAGATTGAGTTGTTGACACTCCAGATGGACTGCAAATATTGCAGACACACTTAGCGAGGCTTTTCGATGACTGATGGGATGGCAGGAGAGCTACTTACAGCGCAGAATGAGAGAGGAAGGAAGAAGATGCTCACAAGTGTGAGGAGCTTCACGTTTTGTCCGAGCTGATAGGAAGCCCGGCTGTCCATCACCGCGCTGGCGCTGAATAACTGCAATCGTTAGTGCGTTGAGTTCATGTCTTGAGAATAAAAACTTACCCCATCCCTCAAAGCAGCAGCCTCTTCCTTCTTTAGTTTCAGCCGAGTCTCCAAGGTCTCCAATTTCTGGATAGTAAGGTAGTGCCTTTTGAGTTTTAGAAAGAACTCGTTTTCTGCTTTTTTGGTCCCAGGAGGATTCGATTCCAGAAACTCCAGAAAGTGTTTTATCTGCTGGATATTGTCGGATATACTGTTGCAGGCTTCTTTGAGAAACTCGATAGCCCAGAAGTACTTTTTCGATCTTGAGAAGTTATCATCGTCAGTCAGCAAGCTATCATGATAATCGGGACGTAACAGATCTCTTTTCTCTGTGAGGAGCTCGTCAAAATAGCGTGCGATCTCATTCCAGCGGGACAGCACCGTCACCAGGCTGTTATGGACGAGATCGCCCATATCATCTATCATCTCGTTTGTGCGGCGTCTTGCAACCTCATCTCCTTGCTCAGAATAGTACAAGTGAGGAAATTGACTGGGCCGTAGACATATCATCGTCCAGAAGATGGCTCTAGCTTTCGAACCTGACATCTCTCGACATGGTACAGCAACGATCTATTTCGCATCAGAAACTCTTCGAGACAACGGACATCGAAGTCTTACTGTCAAAGCAGCTTCACGGATCTGACGAGATCCTTTTGGATGTTGCTGTTTGTCACCATACAGGTCTCCAGACGGCCACAATTCCGTTACTTTGCTTGTAGAGTTCCGTTGGATTATTTCATAGAATGTTATGTGAAACAGAGCACAGTCTTTGGTTTTCAACTCATCGTGGTAAGTGCTAGAGACACGGAGACAACGCAGATGACACCTAATTGCTTGCTCAATCATATTATCAACAGGTCGCTGGAAAATTGAATTCTCAGAATTCGTAATAAGGAAGGGGCAAAGATCGCTGTCTGTAAGCTTTCGACTCATGACGCTGTCGCAATTCTCTATTGTTGTGAGGCCTTTGAGGTTTCTTGCAGGTCAGCTGTGCCCAGGACGACAGGGCCCATCAAAACCTACATAATTCTTCGCCATGGAGCGATCAGATGGGATAGCTCATTGCTTGTTCTTAAATTGGTGGACTTTGCGCCCGTCTCCAAGACCGGTTTCGCTGCATGTGGCATGCTTGACGTCGTCTTACCCGGGAACCAATATGAAGAAATGCCTGTGTCAAACCAATCCCAAACATTGAAATTCTCCCCATTCCTTTCCGACTTATGGAAATGGAATAAGAAGTTTCGGACCTGGACCAACGTTTGCGGATCAGACCAAGGAGCGAGAAAGCAGAAGCTTACTCGGTTATCATTGGGAATCTTCCAAATGATACCAGTGATTGAAGTCCATTCATCAGCACGTATGAAGGCTTCCACGTCACCTCTAGTCTCCTCACTGGCCAAGTTCGCTCCGTACAATGTACTCCAGAAGGGTACTGAATCGGATTGGTACCGTTTGAGAGCTTCCTGCAGCATCGGCCCAATTCGAATTGTCATCGATGGAGGCTGATTGGACTTGATAACATTCAAGGTTTCGGGACCAGCGCTATTGGTCTTCTGTTGAATAAGTAAGTATCTGAACTTGTGAAAGTAAACACTTCTATGCTGCATACCAATCTAGTATCCATACTTGTGCCATGCTTCCTGAGGTCCTCAATTAGTTGGTCTTGCCTAGCGAGTTGACCTTTGATGCCTTTCAACTCCTCCAAGATGGATTTGAGGATCAAATTGGTGTCCTCTGCTGCCAAATCCAGACTCGCGACTGTTGTCATGGTAATTGCTAAGGCAAGTAGATGATAGGTCACGTGAAGATGTGACGCTTTCCAATTGTGCTGCTTCTTTTATGAGAGTCTCCTGGTACCGAATACTTACCGTTGATCACATTCCGAGTTATTTGGGGAATGGAGCAAGAAGCACGGGACTCGGAGAAAAGAACCTAAGCTGGAGGTGTGGGCTTCCTTGGTAGAATGGCCTAGTCGTTCTGCGGAACTCCACTTCCGCAAGACTGCGACTTTGATGCTTTTCAACTGGGATGGACAATGATAATTGAGATGAACTTGCGCTTTTTACAACAGTTCATTGTCCGTCCAGTGATCGCTGAATGAGATTTTCAGCCGCAGGATTTGTCGGTGTAGTCGGAGTATCATTTGCCCGCTTCTCCATATTGATTACGCTCGGTCCTCTTAAAGACTCATCAGTTCAATTTGTTCGAATGTTACGACATCTGTGATGGACACTGGAAAGTACCAAATAGTTCCCGCGAATGGTTGGAATTGGAATCAGAGTCCATTAGGTACCATGTGGTCACATCCAACTGAAAACTGGGAAGTACCTAGGTACAATTGGCCGTCCTGTTCCATGCACTCTTTTCGTGAAATCCTTGCATCTCTATTTATGGATATGTCATTGCATCCCCAGCTCTATACTTTTGATCATAATCCATTATTCGTTACATTTTTCAGACGTTCCTGCATGTGTTGACTTTGCTTGTATCGTTGATTCATGGCGTATCTTCCTCTATAGCGACTACAAATTTGTCAGCGAGCCTTTGTGAAGCTGAGAGATACATGATGCTTACAATCTTGTGGCATTTTGCAAGCTGTGAATATCTCATAAAATCTGGATTGCATAAGCCAGTCTGGGTCAGCAAGTGCATTCGAACAATGAATCGTGTGCTCGTATCCGCCGATATGACTATCGATCAGCACGTGTCGCAAGACGGCGCGATGAAATTTCTTCCATGTGTAGGCACAGTGTTGCCTGTGGTATTCCATCGACACGTAGATTGGGCTCGGTCCTCCAGTCTCTTTGATGTACTCGGAAGTAAGCTCATGTTGGCTTTCGTTGTCTGCAAACCACTGCCATTGTTGCAAGCCCAAGAACTCTTCCTCCAACTCTGCGTCATAACACGCTGGGGGAACCCTAAGAAACAAGGGAGTTAGCACTTTCCATCTTTGTTGTTTAAGAAAAGGATGAGAGAATGCCTCGGGAAAGGAAGTGGAAAATGGGGCTTCCCTAATACCTACATGCGCCTGGTATGAAGTCGAGAACACAGCCGTTCGCTCGGGCTTCGGTCGGCGTGTCGCCGCAGTAATTCCAGTCTGGGTGTTGCAAAGTCATTGCAAATGCAGCTCTGCTATTAATGTATAGCGCAAATTCGCCCAACGTTGTTGCGATCAGTAGCACCAACAAAAAGAGCAAAAGCCATCGAGATGATTTTCTGATCTTTTTGTTGACATTCCATGCCTTTACATCATCCGCAGCCTCATCGGAGACGTCCTGAAGAGAGTCGAAAGCTTCATGATCGAAACTTGTCTTTTGATGTTGAAGTAAATGTCCTTTGGCCTCTTCCATAGTCGAGACAGATCTATCCACAGAGATATAGCTCATCCTGAACTTGAGAGAAAGGTATCGGGCGATTTAGTCTTGAAATGATTCTCGGGGAGTAGCTGAACCGTCGGAAAACTATGATATGGGCCAAATCTTCCTCTCTCGTATGTTGGCGAATGAAGTGTACGACTGGGAAATACGTTTTTAGTTGAGCTTGGGTAAGGTTTCAAGGAGCGACAGGGTCAGAAGTGGAGTGAATGATTAGGAAATTGGCTTATTGTCCGAATACGAGTTTTTGTTGCTCCAGACTTAGCGGTCTCCTAAAAGGCCGCTTCTCGCTCAAGTACCCAGCGGTACCATACGAGCCAAGGCTTCAGGCGATGAAATTTCTAGATATGCATGGTGCATGATGTGATACAATCCTCTGGGACTATTGAAAGTAAAATTTGAGGATTAATTCACGTTTAATGTTCACTCAAACCTAACCCAAAGAGAGCTATATTTATACTTGCTTCTGTTATGCCTGTAGTTCCCTGCGCGGCCTTTATGTTCAGATTAATCTTGCGCAACAGTGCATGGGATAAATCGGAAACTTTGGCATCGCAGACCAGCAGGGCCCCTCAAACAAGCGGCACGTTGAATTCAATGCGAAAGTCGCAATGTACCGCTATTGTCACAAGCAGGTCCGGGGTAGAACGGAGTGGGAGGTCATAGCTATGCCTAAAGTCGTGAGGGTGCAAGAGGCGAAGCTAACGCCGATAATCCCAGGTCTGAGCATGCGAAGTGGTTCATGTGGTATTGGTTCAGTATCGTGCTGCTCGTTTCAAGTGACCAGCTCACTTTTACTTTTGGCATTCTCGATCGGAGTACTCGTTTCTCTTCCAAATCTGACAGCCACAGGGAATTGGAGAGAAGCAACAAATTATTCATGGTACAAGGCAAAATTACTTCAAAATAAAATTCCATACGTGAGATTACAAAGAAATTACTGGAAATGCCAAGATACCCACAGGGTTCTCCCCAAGCAGCGCCACGCTTTACGGTACCGTAAAGTTTCCGTGTCGTTCAGTGTAATAAGACGACCCATTGAAAGATTGGTACGCGTTTGACAGACTAAAAAGTTTAGGAAGACACTCCTCCAAGATCGATCATGAAAGTATTTCTTTTGACAAAAGCGCTGGAATCGACGTACTGGTCCCAGATCGCGAATTTTGAGATTAATGAAGAGTCGTAATAGCATTCCGGTGCTTGCCAAGCAAATGATATGAGATCAAACAAGCAACCTCGCTGATGAGCACTCTCTGGAGTGCTACCACAGTGTTTCAAAGACTAGGCCTGATTCTGATGTGCCAAAGTGAGGGCGTATCATTCATAATTGAGGATAGATCCAACAGATTGAGCATTTTCCTCTTGGTTGGCGTTTTCAGTTTGGTGGTTCCGGCATCAACGTACCATACCTCTGCTCATCTATAGACCAGTAATTCTCGAAGTTGTTTGTGGCAATCATCATCTCAATCGCTTTTAATGTCGTAGTCTTAGGTAGTCTTTGCTCTTGGCAGTTGGTCACCGCAAGACGATTTACCACGCTGTCCATATTTCACAATTCTTTTCAAACGGATTTTGTGAAGCCGTACTGAGTTGAATAAGAGTCATCAGTCTTGATACTCAAGGGACACGAGGTGTGCTGATGACCTTCTAGAGACTTGAACCGTAGTTGTAGTACTATTTGCTTCGTGGTTACATGGTGTCACGGCAAGGTTTTTGTTGTACAAACCAACCGTGGGCGGCTAGATGTCCAAGCTATTCGTTTCACAAGCTACGCGTTAGTCTGGAACAAGTTTCATTCAAGATGGTAGAAATTATGCTCCATTTATAAGTGACATCCTAAATTCACTCGCAATTCGTTTGCTCTGTAAAAATAAGGAGCGGATCAAGTTGCAAGTGCCTCGCAAAATCCGCGGAAAGGCTCTGATGACTTTGTGCGCAATGTTCACCGCTCTGGTCTTATTGTGCTACATTGAAAACACATCGGGCGCCCCGAAGTAGGACGTGTTAGAGAAACAGAGAAAGTATAGATTGCGACAACTAGACATTCGATGCATTTGCATATAAATACCATGTTTGCAACAGAATGATCCCTTCTCTTCACATATCAATACTCCTTCCAAATCTCATCAATGGCTTCAATTTCCGTGAAGTCACTATGCTGGGCAATTTTTGTATCGACCTTGTTCGTGACTGGTGATGCATCGCCAGCTCCTAGCAATCAGTACAAAGAGAAAGCTCTTGCTAAAAGAGCCGCGCTCGACATCAAAGCAACGACCATCAACGGAGACCGTAAGATCCACTGGATCTCGAAGGACTCCCAAGGCTCAATTGCTCAGGAGCCCCCCACTCCTCCACCAAGACACAAAAGCTCAAACAATGCCACTGCCATCCCTGAACTCAAGCAACACGGAGCTCAGAGGGGGCCTCCTGGCACAGTACCTATAGCACTCTCGAATCTCGACTATTTGGATCATCCCGGCTCTCGCAAACAAGCTCCAAACTCGACTACCTTTGAGTCCAAACGACAGTATTCAGGCGATCATTGGTATTCGTCCTCAACGCAATATGTCTCTAATCTCGGAGGCTCGGCCGATTTCAGTCTCTTCAGTCCGTATGTAGCGAATACAAACGACTTCTCCCTTCTTCAAACTCTGGTCGGTCGAACCACTGATGTCCCAAAGTGGCACACTCTCGAGGCAGGATGGATAAATTATCCCATTCAAATCGCCGAGGCGCACTTATTCACTTACTTCACGACATGCCAATACACATGCTACGGCGACTATCTCGGAGGGTACAACACAGACGTGAAAGGATGGGTCCAAACTTCAGACACCATCTTCCCTGGAACAGTTTTCACGCCTAGCGTGGATGGTGGTACACAGTACGAGCTCGAAATCCTTACCTACCTGTATCAAGACAACTGGTGGGTTTGGGTTCAGGATGGCTACATTGGATACTACCCAGCATCGATATGGAGCAACGCCAACAATGGAGCCAATGGCACACTTGCCGATGGAGCTGATTCCATTTTCTATTATGGAGAAGTCTACCAAAGCGAGGATGCACTGACTACCACAGATATGGGCAACGGAGAGTTCGGTGCTTCGAATGGGTTTGGCAAAGCCGCGTATATTCACAATATGCAGTACTTTGACACCAATTCTGTTGCTCAGGACTACACTGCTGGTTTCTGGGATTCTGATGATTCGAGATACAATTTCCAGAATACAGTGTCTAGTGGGGGGAGTTGGGGTAGCTATGTGTACCTTGGCGGACCAGGTGCTGAAGGAATTGTCGGAGGATAGCGGGCATATGGCGCAGGATGGTAGGCAGGTTAGAGCATTTTGTTGAACTTGGACCTCGAGTGAAGATCTGTTTTGAGTCTGAAAACCGTCTGTTCTGCTTTTTCTATTCGTCCGAGTCTTGTCAAGCTCTGCTGGACGTCTTCGTCTTTTGCAATGTTGCTTCTTTAATGTGTCAAGTATTTAAGTTCCTTAGAACTCGCATAATGGAATACCAAATTGACTTGCTACCTTCCAGGTTCACGGTCAGGTGAAGCTGAATATCTGTGCCTCGTCAACACTTCAAAACAACTCATTATCAACTAGTCCTGATATCCTTCATCTTAGCACAATTCGAGAACAGGGATTGAACTCTGTATCCTCTGCTTATAATGAGTGAAATGACGAGAGTTAAATGAATTGTGGGTCATTTCCGGCAGTGCTGCTAGTGATGCAAGATTTAATCGAGGGTGGTCGAGGGGGAGCGCAGAGCTCGATACTAGGCAGCGCCGTCCAGAAAGTCGCTAGAAACGAAACTAGATGGAAAAACTCTTGCAACTCTTGTGATGTACAAGAGAAGGCGCATGGATTCACAAGCTTCTCTAGGATGTGTTGCAGAGAACGTCTTTGAACACAATGTGATACAAAGAACATGAACCCAAAATCTCTCGCAGTCTATGTTCCTGTTACATACGGCAAAGGAAACCTTGACAGCCCTGTCATAGTCTTTTACCTTGGTCTATCCTCTGCTATCGATCATAACGCATGAACACCAGACCGCGAGGTGAACGCGTCCAGGCCTTTCAACCCCTTTTCTAGGATGTCCAGCTTCTTCTGCAACTCGGCACGCTCGGCTACAGTACTAGCATCTTCAGAGCCAAGATTCTCCACTTGCTCGTCTGACAAATCCCATACAACATTTGGTGAGAACCTGGGAATTAGGTTAGTAAGTTACCGACATCGATTGAAATACCTGACGCCGAGCATTTGAATAGGGCGAACTTACACTTTTGGGAGATGCTGGACGAGACATGCCTCAACAGCATTCACACTGACATCGTCGATGAACTTCTTGAGTGCAACCTGGAAAATTCAGTCTGGCTCATCATCTGATAGGAAGCAGCTTGTGGGTTTCTTACCTTGTAATAAGCGGCAGCCACATCAGCGGCAAGCGAAACGGAATATTCCTTCACGTCCGGCCGGGTTCCGTTCTTAAGATTCGTGAGCAATTTGAACAGCGGTACAGTTTCCGAGTTTCTTGCGGTCGACGTAGTAACCCCACAGCCGGCTAAAGACAAAGCGTCAAAGGCTCTGTCATGCCTATCTCCTTGAATCTTCTGCACATTTTCGGTGAGGTAATAATTGTAGGTAATTGGATGAATGGATAGATGTGGCCGGAGCAATTCGTCTATTTTGTTCTTCAATGCTTTTCGAAGTTCATGTAATGAAGGCTGAATAATACCCTGCATTAGACGAAGTCTGGTGTTTTCATCACAGATTTCGGACAGCATCTTGTTGAAGGTCATCGCCGCAGCTTCGTGAACTTCCTCGGCCAAATTTTGAGTGATAGCTTCCCATGGTTTACACTGTCGGCTGAATAGGTCTCCAACCACCAGGGGATTGAAAGTTCCAGGCAACTCACGGCCCCTGCACTCGACCATGAGTTCTTCGACCACTTCCAAATATGAGCTTCTCATAATGTAATCAGAGGGTGAAGTGCGTATTGGCTCTTGGTCGTCCTCTACTATCTCTAGAGCATGGCCACGAATGCACATCTTTCCAGCATAGATAGTGAGAATTTTCTGCATATTTGCGCGAAGCCGCCTTTCGAACGCATCTTGCTGGCCAGGGAATGATGCAAAGAATGGATCGGCGTAGACTCCATCGATTGCTGCCTGAATCATGAAAGATAAGTTGCCACTGATCTTGTGGAGATAGCTGTGCTTTTCCATCTTGGAACTGCGTGATTTGCCAAGCTGCAGCAATTTAGTGCTGCAGTCTTTGATGCCTGATTGGACGTCGGACTTGACACCAGGGAGTCCATCGTTGATTTGTTTCCATAGCGTGCTACGCAAGCGCTCTCTCAGAGCTACGACACCAAGCTGTTCTGGTTGGAGTGCATTTCCCCAGCTGGATTCCGAGAAGAATTCCGCTTCTCTGGCTTCTCGTTGTTCAATGGTGTCATCCGCTGTCGAATCTCCCTTGTTGCGGAGGACATGCCATCCCAGTTTAAGCGGTACATTGCGATTCTGTGCCATGTCAACTAGAATTGAGGTCAGTATACCAGATTTCGTGCTACCGCCAACGAGCATGCACACAGGGCGAGACACAGAGATGAGACTGCCAGGACAGTTCATCCGAATATCCGCATGAGCAAGGAAAACGTAGAACGAGAAGAAAAGTTTGAACTTAGATACGTACCGTAGTATTTCTCGCTCTCTGAGCCTCTGCTGATCTTGTCCGGCTTAGTGATCAATCCAAGTGTTCTAGCTCCCAGAGCATCAATGTCTCGAGCAAACTTAGTGACTGGTTGATTTGGAAAAGGTTGGTCTGCCGAGACAACTGCCAGGATGATGCTTCGTTTTTGCTTCATGTAAGATACTACTAAATTCTGTACTAGAGCTGCATCGTCATCCGACCTGGAATAGCAGAGGTAAACTTCTCTACTCTCAAGGAACGACAATACCACACGTGAAGTATAGATAAAGCGCAATCAACTGATATGCTTACTGGTTCTTATCTGAAGCACCAAACAACCCGGGCAAATCGACGAGTGTCAAGTTGGGTGCCATTGGTGAGGTGCTTTCAATTCGCAACACATCGGTGCTAAAAACTTTGGCGTCGGGACCGGCCCCGGAGAGTCCCAGTTCAATCTTCGCCGCTTCGATGATCTTTCCGAAAGTTTTTTGATCCGTTGTTCGCTCGGAAAACTTCAGCAGTTTAGCCTTTTCCTGCTCACTCCTGCTGGCCGAAGGTTGAATGTGAACCTTGAACTCGGACTTTTTGCCTCGTCGGAGGATCTACTCTGTAGCAAAGCGGGTACAAAGTCCTTCAGCAGTTGGAAACGCAATGTCCGAGATTGCTTCAAGAGTGGAACTCTTTCCGGCCGATTGACTGCCACATACAATGATCTGAGGTAGGTCAACACTGGGGAATCGAATAGTTAGCATAGCACACCAGCGATCATTCGACACCAACACTTTGAGCACCTCGACAACATACTAATGATCAACTCCATTGGAACGTAGCAAATCGATGATGTCGAGAAGATCTCGGTGCTTGTCGGACTGAATGAGGCCAGACGTCTTTTGGGAGATCTGCTCCACGAGATTGAGTCCCTTGCTGGGAGGACCTTCCTTCGCTATTGAACCCATTTTGCTGCTGACACGTGTGTCTCCCTTCATTCAGCCAGTGGAAAGGAGATTTCGTTTAAGTAATTCGCTGAGGAAGACTCTCTGCAGAGGTATATGTAGCAGAGCTTGGACTTTGACTACAAAGGACCTGAACAGACTCTCAATTTGTGAACTTCAGTGATATGAGACTTCCCTTGTGCTCTGAGCCATCTTTGTAGCTTGAATAACACGTGTTGGTGTGCATGAAATTAATCAAACGATGGTAAGTGCGGCAGCGCATTGGCCACCGCGTCTGATGTCCGCCACGTTTGTGGACGCGACTACGCGACGGAAAGTGGTGGAAACTCATCGCTCAACAAAAGGTGATCTGCAGGAGACTTCTGCTTTTGATTCATCAAAAATTTCTTCTCTGCTACTACTCGAGTCAATTCCTTGTTGATGTTGTTTCTTCTCAACATAAATGCAATTGCCTTTGTGTGCCTTGAGCAAATAAATGAAATTCACAATGTTTACCCCCCTTCTCTTCTGCTGTGCTCAGACTATCTTCTATCTGCTTAATTTCTACTTTATTCACTAGAGCAGAGTAATACTGAGAAGAGGTTTCTTCACCTATGATGGTAGCACGTGACCTAACAGAGCCTTTGCTATACCTAGAATGCTCGAATGTCGGCATGGAAAATTTAAATCTTGTCAAAGCAAGACGAAAGATTGCAGAGATGCTACTCGAACTCAAGCTGAGGAAGTGGTTTTCAAAGAAAAGATCGCGCGCAGCGATTGAATAGGTCTCGCTTAAGAAAAGGGACAAGTACGGTGAAATTCGTGGCCGATTTTGCGATAGGGCCCAAATTCACATAATGTAGAGTATTGCGCATAACAAATTAAGTTTATACTTGATATTTTTTAATAAGAATGTAAAATAGTTCTTTAATAAGTCAAAACTTAAGTCTAATTAAAAACAAACTATATAGTGGTGTGTAATGTTGGAGTTAGTTTAAGATATTTTAATATTCTCGAGTATCAAAATCGGCTAGGAATTTCATAGATGGAGAGAGGTACATAACTGGCAAACTTACCAGGGATACGCTGTAGGCCGAGATCGCTCTATGTTTGGGGTGTATTGCGTGATCAGATCAAAGAGAAGAAAATGTTGGCTGTGACCTACCATCTCCGGCGTCCAGTTCCATCTTTGACTGGCAGGTTGGGCAAGTCCGAGAGCATTGCTCGAGATCATTTGGCCAAGTTGAGTTGGCCCGTATCCATAGCGCTCGATAAATTCTTGAGAACACCAAGTGAGATCAATCTGGATGTGCTTTTGTGAGTCAAAGAGATGGCATGGGATGTTGGGGTACGGATCACTTCACAAATTCATACTTAGATAGGTCAAAGTTCACAGGCCTTTGTCTCGGGCTCAAAGTTTTGAAGGGGGACACATTGATCAAATGATTGTATTTTGTTTGTTCTATTTCGTCTCTGAACCCATGGAACCAGTCCAGAGAAAGCCGCAACATGTGGATTACTTATTACTTTCGGTCGAGGAGTAGGATGGTAACTTTGTTTAACACTATTGAGTACAAGTCAGCAAGAAAGTAGAGGATCATTTAATTACCGTCTTGAGGTCCCAGCGCTTCAGCGATACCTGCAATCTTCTTGATTATCTCATCGACATCTGGTGTATTCCTGATCACCAGGATCACGAGGGCGATGACGAGGCAGCTTATCCCGGCAGCAAGAATTGCACAGAACGAATTTTTGAGGATCAGACTGATGCTGAGACACGTGTCCATGTTACACTTTCTTCTTTCGGTGCTGCTTTCTCTATTGTTGGACAAGCAGCAGAAGGTCAAGAGCTTGGAAACTGAACGGGATGTCTTAGGCATTTGACGCTGGCTTTCGAGGTCGTGAGAAGGTGTGTTTGACGTTCGCGAATGCTTACTCGATTGACTCTCAAGTTCAATACTATCGAAATCTTGCAAGACGTCGCCGAAGTCGTCGGGGTCTCGCAAAGGGCTGAACATAGTCATAGTAGTTATACGGCGAGGGTTGCGAGGGAGAGGTTGAGAGACAATAAGCTGCGAAGGCTCAACAGCTATCCCCACTCCGGAAGTTTGAGAATTCTGGATGTGTTCCATACTGGACGGCTTGATTTTCGACTTATATAGTGGTTATTGAAACGATTTCGGTCCAGGAGTAGTAAGTTGATGATGTGCTATAGAACCAGAAACGGCGCACAGCACAAGACACCAGGTTCAAATGAAAGTTCTCTCGGTACTGTTCAAGATGGATGTCTCAAGTTACAATGCCATTGTGACTCGAGTATCGAGTCAATCCTTTGTATTGAGAACAGAGGAGCAATTTCTATGTTTAGTGACACCATTTCTATTCATGAAGAGCTTCGTACCGGACAAAGAGGGAACAAAAAAGGTCTTTTCATAAGCGAGGAAACTCTCAATCGAATCTCTTTGTGAGTGCCCAAGCTTTTCGACAACGGTAACGTTGGCGGATGGGTTTTCCACAACAAGTAACCGAGGTATCGGGATATGTATGACGGACATCGACAGCTTGGAGCAGACTGCGCACTTCTGATTCGACCTTTCGAGCTGAATTTCGTTTTATGAACGCATGATGGGAGCAATGGTCGACAATAGAAGCTGAGCAAAGGCGGGATCATTCGTAGTTATTTCTTGCGAACAAGGACGCTGGGACGTTGTGTTGGACTGTCAACTTCTGAGGATGTCTTCCACATTGGAATTCGAAGCGAACGGACTTGGACGCCATGATGGAGGTTGAAGAGTGCTGGGCGCTCAAACCGCTGCCGGTGATGAGAAATCGACTTAGTAGAACGATGAGAGCAAGGTAGACGGCTTCTAAAGATGGGAGACGAATTGTTTTGACCTTTGACCTTTGGTAAATAGGAGCAAAACGCAAACCTAAACTCTTGAAACGCGAAGTCATGTGATTCATTAGTGTGACGCTAATCCTTTGAAAGGATTATCCTTTCCTACAACCTCCCTTCGTGTACTTTCATCCACTTGCTGCTTGATATTACCTCTCTGCATATATTCAATTCTATATGTCTTTCAATTGTTAACCATCTCAATCATCTTCAACGAATCCTCCCAGAGCCGCATCGCTGCCTTTTCATCATACGCATACGGAGCATACCCAGAAGCGTACGCGGGATTCCCAGCACCCTCTGCATCAAAAGCTTTACCCTCGCTGACGTCCTCGAGGTATCTCCCACCTCTACCCTCCCACTCCTTCCCGACAGCAGCCCACACAGTCGTTGCAGCGCCTTGTTCGGGAGATTTCCAAATATGTAGAGCTTCCGGGTTCTCGATAAACTGCTTGCCCTCTGGTACCTTCTCGACATGTCGCACGAGAGGTGTACGAATGAAGCCAGGATGTATAGGGAGCCCGTGGATACCATCTCTGCCATATCGTCGCTCGATCTCAGTAGCGAGGTATATATCAGCGGTCTTGGCTTGGCTATACGCAGTCCCCGCATTGTAAGGCTCCTTCTTGAAGTTGTAATCGGAGAATCGAACTCCGCCGCCTCTATGGGCACAACTAGACAGCGTCACCACACGCGAAGCAAAACTCGGAGAACTCGAACTTTTCAGAGCATTTCTCAGGAGCTGGAACAACAAGAAATGTCCCAGATAGTTAACACCGAATTGGGTCTCGAATCCGTCCTTCGTCATGCCTTCGGGGCAAGCCATAACGCCAGCGGTGCAAGTGAGCACATTGAGGGTTGAGGACCTTGATAGGAAATTGGCAGCACCGGTCTTGATGGATTCAAATGAATCCAGCTCCATCTCGATCATTTCGACGGGCGATGACCCTGGCTTGCTCAGGGATTTGGCAACTTCTGTGCCTTTGTTGAGCTGCCGTCCTGCGATGAAGACCTTTGCTCCGGTGGCAACCGTTGTCGGAATCTGTCAGTCGGTTTCAAATGATAGATATGAAGACATACAGTGCTCGAGCAGTCTCATAACCAAGACCACTGGTAGCTCCAGTAATCAAGATTGTTTTATCAGCAAGTCCTCCCACCAGGTTCTCATCTCGGATGATATCTAAAGCTGTGGGCCGAGTATCGCCTGGTCCTGCAGGCTTTCGGTGGACTTCTTCGTATGGCATGGTGAAAGAAATTTTTCTTAAAGATTGGAGATTAGAGATTGAAGATTGAAGATTGAAGATTGAATGGGTTTCGAGATCATTCACACGAGCAAGTGCATCTTATATACCAATGGACAAATGTTGTGAAGCTCTATGGGGTCAATGTAAAGCTGCTGTGCCATGGAACGACAATATCATTAGTCGCTAGGAGTCATTATTCACATAACTCCGAAGGGGAGCAGCTACCACATGAGGTATAAATATGATAGTCTCATCCCGCTAGCCATAGGGCATTTCCATAACGAGAGCATAACTATAGCCTGTGGAGTCTGGTACATCGCAAGCGCACGAGGAGACCTGATGCACTAAACCATCAGCATTGTCGTCATTTTCCCGTATTTCAGGTTTTAAGTGGATTTGAGGCAGGCTGGAAGATAGTATCGTGAGCTATGCTTCAACTCCTCCTCGAAAGTCTCCGCGAATCGGTGCGGAGTCAAACTTAGAGCTTAATTTAGCGTCTGAGGCAGCTACCACTTCAAGCCTAGTGCCGACCCAACACCATCCCCACGTCAAACATCCTCTGCGCCTCTTTCTTGGACAAGTAACTCTGCAACAGACATGCAAGAATTTCCCGCCTTTGCGCTTCATAGAGCAATGACACCATGAGTCGCCTATAGTAGCCTCCGCGTACTGCATATTGCCACATCTTTGTGCGTCGGCGTTAAGATTAGCCTCACAAAGTGCTCGGATGACATTACAACCACCCAACACGGGTACTGTTCCGCAGAGCCTGAGTCTTGATCGCCATGCCGACCCAATATCTATGGGTTGTGAAGAACTCCAGGTCGAAGCGTCTGTCGCGGAGCTCCAGATCTGAAGAGTCGCAGATACGTCACCATGTCCAACGACAACGCTTGATAGCCATTCAAGAGAGAAGGAAGACTTCTACAGATGAACAGCTGCAAAGACAATCCCACGAGGAGATTCCAGGTCGATTTTCGCTTAATCTGTGTTACCCAGACCTAACAGGTAGTGAGAAACGGGGTCTGAACCACTTCATCAATCGAACAGCGCGTGAATGGTCAGGTTGGCAAGATAGTGTTTTCTGGAATAGCCTGGCACTCCAGACCTGCCATCAGGAGCGCTCGATTGCTCATGGACTGATTGCTATTGGAGCATGGCACGAATATTGCGGATTACCATCCCAGAACGCCAACCGGGCCTACCTTTGTCAGTTCGCCTTGGCACAATCCGTTAAAGCGTTCGCACAAGGACGCATTTCGAACCATTCAACATTGTTGATCACACTAATATCCTGCATCATCTTGTCGACTTTGCAAAATTTTCGAGACTACCAAGCATATCGTCTACTGCGCTCGGCAAATGCCATGCTCAAAAGGCTTGATGATCCGGATGCCGCCTATGACGCCGAACTTGAGGGCATGAATCGCGATCTGGTTGAGAGGGAGGTCCGTCCACTTATCAATCGAATGGAAGCTCGACGTTGCGTTATGTGCGACCAGCCGGCAGCTCTAATGTACTCGATCCAACAATCTCAACCTCAAATTCAGTCAGTTTGTCAGCTGCCTGTCGTTCCTCAAGCTTTCACCACTCTACGCTCTGCTCGCGACAGCCTCGAATCTATCTTAAATTGGGGCCATGACCACGTTCCGGACTTCTCTTGTCGCGCCAATAGCAAGGAAATCTTCGGTGCTATTCTTCGTGATCGGATTGGCCAATGGCAAGCTGCTCTTGATCACTGCCAGGATCCTGGAACGTCCCATATCCTCCTTCAGATCGCCTCGCTGAACAGACTCATCCTTCTTTGCACTGTCGAGTCTCGGTCGGAGACTGATTTTGACGTCTATAATCCGGTCTTCCAAAGAATCGTGGATCTTGTGACCTGTCTGCCCCGGCCCAGCTATGCACACACATATGTCTCATTTGGTATCGACTGCGGCCTCATCGACATTGTTGCATTAGTTGGAAGTCGTTGCCATGATCCAGTCATTCGACGGACGGCACTAACATGGCTCCTCAATACCGAACGATTCGAGGGCGACCGTCTCAGTTCCGATAGCGGCTATATCATTCGTGCTTGGATGACACTTGAGGAAGGAGATGGTCCGATCTCTTCCGCTGCGGATATTCCAGAATGTGTCCGTCGCAGGCTGGTACTTGGAGAGCGCTATCACGCTCAAAGGCGGTTGAAGCTGACATTTGCGCGGAGTCCATACGAGTCTTCCACAGGAACGAACACAGACGTTATCTGGCTGGAGGACACCAACCCTGCCAACCTCAAAGCAATAGCCAATACTCATGGAGAGGAGATGCCAGATGTAATCTTTAGTCCATGCCATGCCGCATTTCTGGACGACGAGAAAGGCACGTACCATCATATCCATACGACAAAATTCTACTTTCCCATTTCGAAAGCTTGACATTCGGAATGCGAGGTAGTATTGAGAGCTTATTAATAGATCCCTTCTCCCTGTCTAGCATAGTCTGGAGATATCGACTTCAATCACATTGCATCACCTTTTGGATTTGGCTGCAAAGGAATGTGCTGGATGCGCTGGATGCGCTGATAGCGTTCAATCCAACTGATGCACTGGGCACATACCGGATTCCAGTCTTTCGATCACCCTGATACCGACTGTCATTTTCAACCATGGCACATCTATGCAACACGTTTATGTAATACGAATTGGTGGCAGTGGTTTCGAAAAAACCTCAACAGGGGCCGTGTCGGCCGTGAATAAATTACTTTTTGTAATGTACACAACGTATGCATCGACGACTACGTCTGAGATTCTTGTACGGTGCAAAGCTCGCTAAGAACACCCTCGGCCATAGTAGTCCTGTGTTTACTGGCAGTAAGAAAAACCCAGTTCGATGCTTCGACTAATCCGCTTATCAAGCTTGTTTTGTCGAAGCATTCTCGATTTCTTCAACGTCCTATTTATCTTCTACTTTGCTCCACCAGAACAGAATAAGTCAGCAAGGCTCCTTGTCGGTGGTTGCGTTGTCACAGATGATGTTACTCAATAAGCTTCGGATCTGAAAGTTCATCAATTCGAGGAACTAAGGATACATGTAAAGTCAGGCTTACATATCCACCAAGAAAGGGCGTTTCCACTCTCACACCTCTCCCTTTTTCATTCCCCCTCCCTTTAACCCCCTGGTGGTTTCAAATAGTAGTAAGACAAGTAAAGTCAGGCTCGCACGTCTTAAAAAACAATCTTTCTCTCGCCCCTTTCCGCCCTCTCAATATGAGCACCATCCTTCCCATGTGCATCAATCCAATCCACCATCGCCCCTCTCACAAATTTCGGGGAAGTCTGCTCGCTAGAGCCCATCCTCATCCAAATCTTGCAAACCGCAAGGGCTGAAGATAGGTGGTCTTGGGCGACCGGCGTACCTGACCTCAGGTGGCATTTCATAAGCTCGGCCATTTTGAAGCAAACCATTGCCAGCTGCACTCGCACCGTAAGCACCACGATACAGCTCCACTTGTGGAACAGCTCGTCTTGGGCGAATTGGGCTGCCCCAGGCACCGTTAGCTTGTTGCATGTATGCATTGGGAGCCGCACCCCAGCCGCCGAAAGGTCCTTGCCACATGTTGGTTTTGGTAGTGTTGGTTGTTTGGTGTTTTTGAAGGTGTTTGAAGTTCTTGGAGTTTGGATTGTCTGTAAGCTCTTGAGATGAAGTTGTTTGTTGATGAAGGAAGAAGAAAAAGTTTGGAGAGGGAGAAGTGGGCCTTCTTTTATAGACTTTGGACTCGGCCTTTCTTGGTTCAAGTTGTTCTTAATCAAGATCAGGGGAGAGATTACGTTTCGAGTACATCATCAGAATCGTCACATTTCCTTCAAACCCGTGTCTGATTATTGTTTATCATCTACTGGAAAAGACGTCATCTAGCACCAAGTATGGTCTACGGCGAAAGTTCGAGTCTGAATGAATTTCATCAGCTTGATGTCAACAGTGTGGTATTCAGAGCTCATATTCCCGCATTGGACCACGACATCAACGTTATTGCATGTTATACACAAACTTACGATAATATCCTGAAAGTCTGAGGACCACAGAAATTGCACCGCGTTTACCCCTATCGAGACAGAGGGGGGTTTCACACTAGGTGAGCCGATGATACATTTACCAAGGCTGACGCATCTTACGAGATTGATGCCACAGGTTCGCCTTGTAACAACTATAAGAATTCAAGTTACTATGATTACAGTTTATCTAAAGTGAAATTTGAGCGAGTCGGTGCAATCGTCTATCAAGTATCGCCTTGCTCTTGGACTGTCACCTGTATCTTCATGTACTGAGACTTAGCAGAGGCCCACAACATTTCTTGCACTTACTGGGATCGATGACGTGTTCTTAGTTGGTCTCTGAAGTTCGAACTTTGAATGTTTTGGCGAGCAGTGCAGAGCCTCACGGTTTCTGAGGTATGAGGTGGTAATTCGGAATGTACGAATGCATGATGCAAACTTTGAAGCTTTTGACGTAGTTCTGTGCAGAGACTTGAACATTCAAATAGAACCTGTATCTCACCTGAACTCGATTTGCTACAGCCGTCGGGAATCTTGGCACAGGGCTAGATAAGTAGCTCTTCTATGGGAGATGTGTTCGAATCACAATGATCTCGAACCTAGAGATCTCCTGCATTAAGTTTTGCAATACGTTGAAACTCTCCTTTAGTATGTCCCCAAACCTCCTCCACCATTCCCTTCTCCCTCAATCCAGCTAACAGCTCTACCACCTCACTCGACGCACTCTCACACGTTTGTCCCACCGAATAAATACCAGTACCAATCTTCCCCGTCGTCCCCGCCGCCACTTCGATACCGTCGCTCAGCCTCACTGCCGTGCTCTCCCCTTCTCTAGGTGGAAATCTGGCACTCGTAGTCAAGTAAAAATGTCTTTCGCCACATTCCTCGATCGGCACACTGAGCGACGTGTCAAAAGGAGGAGCATCCATATCGCGATATAGCCCCGTGTACACAGTTCCGGGATAATTATGGATAAAACTGACAGTAGGGGCTGTCTTTGCTACAGCCTCGATACCGAAAGTTACCAAAGTGATGAGGTGGCCGCGGAGTTCAGGCACCGGGACACGCAAGGCAGGAAAGTCGGTGACATCGAGAGGACCTTCCAATCCGCCGCCTCCTACGTTCACGACGCGGCGGAGCGTAGGGGCATTTTGGAGGAGTGGGAGGAGGTTGGTGATGAAGCGGATGCGGGAGTAATAGTTCAATGCGGCCAAGAGATGGACATGCTCAGATGTTTCTATCACAATTAGCAGCGCTCTGGAGATTACTGAAGCACTGTGAATTGGATGTGATGTCATACTACTACGATCCATACTCATGACACCTTGGCTCATGAACAGAAGATTCAAGACTTTCTCCTTCGCCTTGATCTCCTCGCACACTTCATCCACAACACGGATCAAGCTCACATCCGCTTTTACGAAGATGAACTCGCCGCCCGGATTGAGCGTCTTGCACTCGGCTACAATGCGCTCGGCAGCATCTTGAGAGCGGCCAACGAAGTATGCACGAGGTTGATTCGTGTACTGCGCGAATCTTTTCAATGTGACCTCGCCAATTCCACTCGTGCCTCCTACGAAGAGGGCCACGAGCCGCTTAGGGAAAATGGAGGAAATGAGGGCGTTGGAAGCCTGGACTTGAGAAAGGGAAACCATGATTGCTGGTTGAATGATATTCTCGGCGACATCTTCATTTTCAATTTTAAGAAGGGGAGGATTGTATATGAAAGCAAATCTTTGTGAGATTTAGATCCGTGATGGTCTTGCAGTGCAAGGTCAAGCATGCAGGTGCGGTGGTGCTGCCCCACTTCAAAACGCCGATCGTACATGATTCGCGCAGAAGAACACCGACTGTGCATTAGCTTTGCTTACACATGTTCTCATTGAGCCTCTTCATCGTCCTCTTCTCTTCTCAAACCGGCCTCGATATCATAACTCTTCTGTTAAGAATGAATATCTTCACGGACCCACCTGCAGCTTCGGCATCGGGATCAGGAACTTCTTCCGAGACACCCAGAGCTGAATCCAGTCTCAAAACTCCGAGGAAGAGTCGTTCGGCTTGTAACCGCTGTCACGCGCAGAAGCTCAAGTGTGTCAGGGGAGTAGGACGTGACAGCAGTTGCGAACGATGTCTCAGGCTGAAAACGTCATGTCGATTTAGTCCTCGTGCAGCTCGATCCTCGTTGAAGCTTCCCGAGCATCTAGATGCAGAGAGTACCTTGGAGAGTCCTCTTCCCGTACCTGCATCTATGCTTATGCCGGACCCACGTCTGGATGCATCCATTGATGGTGTAAATGAGTTCGACTGGCTTTCCGCTCCGGATGCGAGCACGAATCAAGATGCAGCAGGTGGTCAGTTGTCCCGTATACTGCGAATCTGTATCACCCAATGATTAACTTGTTACTATAGTTGAACCAGCAAATATATGCAATCCTATGTTAGATTATGGCAATGAGGGAGGTTCATGCTGGGCAACATCTTTCGAAATGGAGGGCGGCGTCAACCGTCCACTAGCTATTGAAGACTCTGCCAATTCGGATCTTCTACCTGACTATGACATCGCTGCAACCCTGGACAGATTGAATTCGTGTGTAACGCTAGAGCAATGCACGCGAATCGACGACCCCTTGGCCCCCACTCCTCCATCTATGGTGCAGCTGTTAGCCAACCTCGACGTTGCGCTTTATGAATGTAGCCTTAGACTTCCATCTCCCTTAAAACCAGGAATCAATTCTGTAGGAGTTGGTATGGGAAAATCAAAGATGTTTGCACTGGAAGAGCTTTTTCGCCTGACCACCGACTTTCTCGCCGTTTTGACAAGTCTTGCTCATGAGGGAGACGAGCTCAACGTATCGACTTCATCAACAACTCAAACAGAATCAAATGCAGACTCGATGCTTCCATTCTTCGCCTATAGCCAACGTTTCTCAAAGATAACTAACTCTGCTGGAATGGAAGAATCCACCAGACACTTATCATCCCTGGATGAACCAATGATATTCATGCTTATGTCTTGTCATTCCCGCCTCACAGAAATCTACGCATCTCTTTTCCAGATGATGCGAGCCTGTATCGAGCATTCAATTACCCCTCGGAGGGATAAAGACTGGGCCGTTATCCTCCCGCAATTACAAGTAGGATCTATTGCCTCGCCACCAGTGCAAGTTGATATCGATAACCCGGTAACACCAGCGACCTCATCGATGTATATGCTGATGATCACGATGCTTTCGTCACAGGTTTGGCATCAACTTGCAAACAAAATGAGAGTGAGCGACGGCATTTTTGCGACACTGCGCTCCGGGTCTGTATTGACTGAAGCAGTGTGGTACAAGATAATGGATAAGAACGACCGCATGTTGCAGACTATCGACGAGACCAGACATCTCTTGCAGTAACATTGTGTTGTTGTACTCCATTGGCAATAAATCAACCATTCTTCAAGGTCTCAATCACTGGAGTTTTTACACAAAGATCAACCAAGGAGCAGGGTCAAAAATTGACAGGCAATGACGACCACGCACATAGATGCCATTCCACATTGCTAGGCTAGTACCACAGCTTCTTGTTCGGAGTAATGCCATGCTTCTCGCAATGCTCCAGGTACATCCTCCAGAAGCTGAAGCCATCCATGATCTCGCGCAGCGAATCATCATCATTGAAAAACTCAATCGAACCAAACACCATGAAGACGACCTCGGAGCCTGCCCCCATGTACAATGTGTGAATCGTGCCCGGATTCTCGACAATATAGTCACCAGCCTTGGCCGTCCAATCATATCTGGCATAGCATTAATATTCATCTTTTGCTTCCAAGTCAAGCAGCAGTATCACTCACTCTTGATAGCCCCATGGCCCCGAGACAGTATAGGCCTGAACCTCTCCTCGATGGCGATGCTTGCCAAGGTCTGCATGAGGCTCCGTCTTCAAGACAATGACATATTTTCCGCTTTTGGCCTCGAAACGCAGCGGCTTCCTATAAATGCTACCGACCCAGTGGTACCATAGCGTATCCTTCTCGGCATCCAAATAGCTGTCTGGAGCTCCGTACTCGTCTGCGAGCTTCAATTCGATCTTCTCGTTCTCCTTTACTTGTTCGGTTACGCCACCCTTCCCGTTCAGCGGCAACACGGAATCAGAATGAACGGTATTTTCGAGGGAAGTAGGAGCCATTATGAACAGTCAGACTTGTATGACTTCTAAGCAAAGTTTTATCTATAGGCGTGTTCAATTTCAATCGTAGGGCTGTTGATGGTGCTGGTGGATGTCGAAGGGCTTTCAATTGAGAAGGAACCCTGACAAGTCGTATTCAGAGAATATATATACAGCAATGCCGCATACTTAGCACCGCAGCCGCTCTTGTAAGAGCCCAAACTCTTGTGTTCCCGTAACGTTCTCGAACTGAGGGGCATTCAGCTACCAATAATGAACGAGAGAATAAGCACTGCGCTCATTCCAAGATATCCTGTTCCAGATGAGCGAGGAACACCAGGTGGCCAAAAGCAGGGTAAAAAGGTTCATCGTTCCAATCCAAAGTGAGATTCTCGTGCGCCTTGTAGATAAGCGGAGGGCTGCAGCATACGAGGCGGGCCGCCACAGGCACTGAAATGAGCGGTCGCATGGTCTCACCACAGTGCTACGGCAACTATGGAGAGAACTTGTATAGTACAATTTACACTTTCTCAGAAGTGCGGGGTAGGGATCGCCAAAGACCTCTTCCAAAAAAAAAACCCCCCCCTTACCTCCATAGACCCCAGGAACAAAAAACAAACTCCCGCGGGAGAACCAAACTACCGGTTAAGGTTTTTGGATTTTTCGAAAAACAAACTCCCACTGGAGAACCAGAACCCATTACAGGTTTTTGGATTTTTATCAGTGTGTCGTATGTCTGCGGGCCGCTGTTTTTGTATTTGTTAGTGTTTTGAAGGCTTGTGTTTTTTATAAGAAGTGGATGGATTTAACTTACGCGTTTAGGCTGCGAGTTGCGATGGCCGGTTTTGGTGTATTTAGGGTTATTAAAGAGGATGGGCGCGCGGGACAAGGCTGGGTGGTTTGTAAGAAGGGAATGACGAAGCCATCGCAGCCTTCCAACTTGGAAGATCTTTTGGGTTCTTTCGAGTCACGTGGAAGCCCCTTCTCTCGCTCTCCACACATCAGAGGGTTATTCCCGACCATTGCATACCTAGGTAAGATTGGTCGCTTGCTTCTTGACAAAGGTTGCCTGCTACATTTGTGTTGGAGTCCGGTGCAGTGGTGCAATCCACCTTTTGGCTCTTAGTCAACCCTATTTGGCAAAGTCTGCCAAGTTGCCACTATGAGATCACCTCTCAACTCTCCGGCGAAAACTCTCCGGCAACAACTCCACACGACCCGACGCACTCCTCATAAACCTTTGAAATAGGAACAACTACCTCACGAGTTGCCTTGATCTCTTCATCAATCACTTCCTATTATCTCGTTTAGAAGTTTGTAGCTGGAATTTATCTCAACATGTCCACTCGCCCAGCTATCGTGCAGCGCAACAACGCGCTTGTGAGAGAATCCCTTCCAATGCCAAAACTTGAAGAGAGGCAAGTCCTAGTGAAAGTTTTCAATTCGTCTTTGAATCCTACTGATGGTGCGTGTTGCCATTCCTCTTACATACTGTGGAACAGATAGCTGAATGTTGCCGCAGTTCAATCTTTTGATGGAGACGCTTTTGGAGATGGGGCGGTCTTGGGATGTGATTTCGCTGGAGTTGTGGAAGAAGTTGGTCCTTCCGTCACGCAATTGAAGGTTGGAGATAAGATCGCAGCCTTGATTTGGGGAGGTAAGCGACCATGTATTCCAGTCTTCGAGCTTCCTAGTCTAACCTTAGGCTATAGGCGAAATTGAAGGACTTGGTGCGTACTCGTATGTGAACCGCTCCATCCCATCTTGACTTTTTTTGCTTACAGTAGGAATCAAGTACGTATTGCGTAGCAGATGAACGCATCGCCTTCAAGATTCCTTCCGGGCTAGATTATGCGTCGGCTTCTACAGTACCATTGGCTGCAAACACTGCTTAGCTTGCTCTCTTTTCCAAGGACTGTCTCAATATCCCCAGAACAGCCAATTCTGGAACATCCCTCTTGGTCTGGGGCGGTAGTTGTATGCTCTTAGCCGTACAATTTCTTGCTTATAATTGCTCATTGGATACACAGCAACTGTTGGTGCTTACACCATCCAAATAGCAGCAATGCACGGCTTCAACATCGTCACAACTTGCAGCACCCGTAACTTCGACGTTGTAAAGAAGCATGGAGCGAAGCATGTATTCGACTACAATGATCCAGATGTGGTAGCAAAGATCGCGGAAGCTGCCCCAGATCTTGCATACGCCTTCGACTGTATTGGAAATTCAATTTCCTCGGTCATGTCAGCAAGAGCCATGGGCGATAAGAAGGGTGGCGTGATTTGCACAGTGCGTCCTGGGAAAGCGTTCACTGAGGACGTTCCGTCCAACGTTACGGTCACGGATGTGCTGGTTTTTACGGCCTTTTTGAAACCTCATACTTATAAGAAAATTTATCACTGGCCGGTAAGTTACAATCACATGCTCTATGTAAGCTTGGGAAGATGCTGAAAATTATATAGACTCATCAAGAGGATCACGAGCTATCTCGGGAAATGTATTCCAAGATTAGAGGTTGGATTCAGGAAGGCAAACTGACTCCTCAGAAGCCACGAGATATGGGAACGTTGAGTGTTGAGACTCTTCAACGTGGTATGGATTTGAACCGCAAAGGAGAGGTGTCAAATGAGAAACTTTGCTTCCAAGTGAGCAGCATGTAAATAGCCTGCCAGCAATAACCTGGCTTTAATTACTTCACGATAGAAAGCAAAGGCCTGTGGTCAAAACTTATTTACATTGAAAGACCGACACTTCTACGTTCTTGTACTGTAAAAGATATATACTTTACTGACAATTTACACCTCTGCAAAAAGACCAACTAGAAGAATGCAATGGTCCGGATCTCAATACTCTCACGCATAGGCGCATCTGGCAGCGAAGTCGGATCCTCAAAAGCAGTATGCCCAACAAACCTCGCACGACCATCAGTCTCAGACTCATACGTCTTCAACACAATAGCCTGATCTGGCGTCATCTTCGGAAAGTACCACCACTTATGCTGAGCCGAGTAGCGCATGACATAATTCTCGCCATTCCGGTCCCGGTATCTGAGATGAAGCTTGAAAAAGTCGTCCTGCGGTGCAGATGTCACGTCACACATTGCCAATGGGCGCTCTTCGACAACGCGATTGATGGGTTTCCAGACGTTGAAGAAGGCGACTCGACGGGATAGCAGGTCTTCGGCTTCGTCTTTGAGGAGTTGGCGGACTCGTACTGGGCCTGATTCGGAGGTGTAATCGCAGTGTACTAACATGACAGGGGCGCGCTGTGAGGTGTTCGTTTCTTGGGTGAGCTTCTTGGCTTCGTTGGTTTTGGAGCGGATTGTGTGGTCAAACACAAGCACGCGTTTAGCTCCAGTGGACTTCCTCAAAAATTCGACGACCTCGGGGTAGAATGAACCGCGCACGCTCTCATCGTTTTGCCACTTGTCGTATCTGGTCTTGAAATCGTGGACAGAAAATCCATGCGTATCCGTCGAGAAAGATTTCACTCGGTGCCAGCCATCGGTAACAGCCACTTGATGGGGATCGTCGCCGGGCTCGTGAATGTCCTTGGCGGCATCACACTCGTAAAAGTACAATTCCGTGAGTTTCTCGACGTTTTTGGTGTATTTGAAAGTGGCGTGGACTTGAGAATTCGCTTCATGTGAACCATTGGTGGTGGCACGGTCTGCTCAAAGAGAAGAAATCATCAATTTAGCTATCTCAATGACTTTACAACAAAACCATATCAGGCAGCCGAACCTGGTAATAATGCTTTATCAACCGCGCCTTGAGTCTTCTGCCAACATGGGAGCTTCTCAATACCATCCACCAGCCAGCGTTTGAGGTTCGGGTATTTGTCGAGTGGGAGACGCTGTGCTGCATGTAGGTGCATGGGAGAAGCGACAGCCAAATCGGCGATGGTGACTTCATCACCAGTCAACCATTTCGTCTTGGCAAGCTGAGCATCAAGAATGCTGGCGAGTTGGTTCCAACGAGGTGCTTGTTCTTCGATGATAGACTCGTCGGGGTCGGTCTTAAGGAGAGGCTTGACGACATATTCGACGAGATAGACATAGCAGCTTTGAAACCAGACGGAACCCTCCCACAGTAGCCAGCGATTGACATCAGCGCGCTTCTTCAGATTTTTCGGGTAATGGCGATCATCTGCTCCAAGGTCTGCTGCGTACTGCAGTATGGCGTTCGATTCCGTGATGGTGCAGTGGTCGTCGGTTGCACATGGGACTGTGCAATGAGGGTTCAGCTTCTTGTAGTCCTCACTCTTGTGTGCACCAGCAAAGTAGTCCACGTAATTGAAGTGGTATTGAGTTCCTAACAAGTCGAGCCCGGCCAACACCTTTCGGCTATTGACGGTGCAGGGATCGAGGTAAACTTCAAGCATTGTTATTTGGGACTGAAGACAATTGTACAGATAAATTCAAGGATGAGAAACAGAAGATGCGGGGCTGGGAGTTCTACATATAGCTGAGAAAGTGAGTGTTCATTCAACAACCCCGCATTCGGCACTCGACACGGTGTAACGGAAGGAGACAGAAGTTCTGAGCTAAAGAAGCCGAATCTAACTATCATTTTTGACCGCGGCTGCATCTTGGCCCGCTTGGTACGATCTTCCTAACCCCATTGCTCGCTTAGACCAAGGCTTGTCATTTATGAAACCTGATCGATCAGAAACGTAACAGATCACCAGGGAAATGTTGAACGATCATTTGAGTTTTTCTTTAGGGCAGTAATTCACCTCAAACATCTGGTTTACACGGAGCGGGATTAGAAGTTCACTGAGATCTCTCGTACTCCGACTAGCTCAATGCAGAAATGCGGGGTATCAATCTCAAAAACTGATCCGCGCGTGCGGCTGAGGTGCAGTAGTCCTCCTCAATAGCTTTGGAACGGGTAGCTTTTGAGCCAACAGCTGACTCCACTGCTTTAACGTAGTCAGAAATAGTCAACCAAATTTGAGCATATGATACCGGTGGTTTGATAGAATTACGTGCCGTGCTCCGTACTTGCCACGTGGACCTATATCTCTTCTAGTATCTTGGGGTTGATCCTCAAATCGCTGCAAATTCCATGGATTTGACTCGAACTATACTCAAGAATTTTTCTTTCTGTCTTATTCAAGCATAAAATCTCAGGGCAAGCAGTGCTGCCGACTCGTCACGTGAATTTATCTTGAACTTACCGAGCCCCTGAGTTTCGCGAGACGGATTGATTTGTGGCGACTTCGAACTCCGAAGAAGACTCCTGGGGACGAGATACTCGCGTACAATGATGCCTTTCTTCACCTAGTAGCTTTCCTCGACACTAAGCTAGAAGATGGCAAGCCCACAGCTGTTGTTAGCTTGAGTGTCGTGTAATAAGAAGAGTGCTGAGAGTGTTTCCGCTTTCCGCGAATTGAACACATGTATAATGGTACACTATCAATCTTTCAACTTCCAATCGCAATATCTCATCATAAATCACGCTCAACGGTTCTATTGTAACGGCCCGAGGCTGTGTTATTATGGCGGAAGGATCAAGTTTCCGAGATCCACATACCCACTGTGCTTATTTCCGGGAGCATTCAACCTCAACATCACCAATGGAGCTGGCCTGTCATCTTTTAAGGTGATCTTAAGCCCTATAGCACGGCTAGCTCGAGCCGGTCGATCGTGAAACAACTCCACACTTGCTGCTGACATTGAAAATCATAACCATAAACAAATTTAACGAATGAAGTCATCTCCGCGTTCCCTGTCAGATCCTCATCGCACGGTGACAGCACGCACCATTTTCCCCTGTAACCCCACATGTAACAACGTTTATTTTTACGTTTATTTTAGGCGCGTGCCTGTGAAAGGCTGATGGTAATGGCTAGGTACCGTAACCTTCAGGGTTCGCATGTTCAGATCCCGGCAGGATGACAGCAGACCGATTAACCTCCACAAAAGGATCACTACCCTGCATAGCAAAGGAAGACTGGAGGATTGGAGAGAGTGAGCTGATCTGCAAGTACATAAGAAAGAGCCCTCGGTTTGTTCCAGGCGTTTTCTTTCCCCCCGGCTTATTCATGATGCATTCTTTCGATGTTTTATTTTCCACGCTGGCGGCTTTGGCTGCAAGTGTCGGCGCGACACCTTTGAACTCTCGTCAAGCAGCTTCATGGCCCGATCCCGAAGCTTGTACGGGCAATTGTACCTATGTCCACGATCCTAGCGTCATCAGAAGATCGGACGGAACATGGTTTCGGTTCTCAACTTTAGGTAATATCGCGATTGCAACGGCTCCATCTCTTACCGGACCATGGACTTATGAGGGAGCAATGTTGCCAGATGGAAGCTCCATCGATGTCATTGCGGGCCAGGGACTCTGGGTACATAATTCCGTTCTTCTCGCGTTAAACGGATACTAACCAGTGCAAGGCCCCTGATGTAAGCCTCCTAGACGGCACTTACTATGCATACTATGCAGTGTCCTCCAGCGGAATTCAAACGTCAGACATCGGGGTCGCAACCTCCTCTTCAGCAGATGTCGGTACCTGGACCGACCATGGCAGCATAGGAATCCCCAAGTCATCAGCGTATAACCTCATCGACCCAAATTTCTTCCAACAATGCGATACCTGCCAGAACTACTTTTCCTTCGGGTCTGCATGGCAGATGATCTATCAAACGGAGCTGAATACGGACTGGACATCTTGGTCTGGCGAGACACCTAGCCAGTTGGCGTACAATGGAAGCGGAAGCACGTTTGAAGAAGGCAGTTTCCAGTTCTGGTGGCCGGTCGATGGTACGGACTATTATTACTTGTTTTTCTCGAGTGGAGCTTGCTGCAACACGCCACCGAATCTTGCGCCGGCGGGAGATGAGTACAAGATCATGGTGTGCCGATCTACCTCACCAACGGGCCCGTTCACGGATGAGGCGGGGAATAACTGCCAGACTGGGAATGGGGGGACTCTTGTTCTTGGGAGCCATGGTAGTAATGTATACGCACCGGGTGGTCAAGGTGTAATCGTTGACCCGGATTCTGGTCTGATCGCATTGTATTATCACTATGGTAAGTCATTACTGTGAAGTATTCTCTGACGAAAGGTGCACGGTCTAACGTGGTGTAGTGAATCCGACAATTGGCTACAATTTCGATCAATTCCTCTTTGGGTTCAATTACCTCGACTTCTCGTCTGGGTGGCCAGTCGTTACCTCCTGAGTATTCGGAAATGAGTCACTGTACATATGGATCTTAACTTTAAAGATCATGCCTACTCCATGGTAAAACTGAGCCAATCGAAAGCGGAGCTTGTATTGCACCTGAATACGGTTCTTGTAACACTACAATGACCTGACCCAGCTTGAACATATAAGAATAGAGCATTCAGAAACTCCTTTACTTGCTTGCGGACTTTGATGTCCAAATTATTGATCAGTATTAAGCCTTGTTTAGTGTTGGTTCGGGATTGCCGTACCTTCCTCATTTCTCATTTCTCATCTCAGGCCCGTCAGTCGTGCATATCGAACTTTTCCTCCAAGTAATACTGCCTTCAACTCATAGTAACCTATCTTTTTACGGCATATGAGGACACTCAAGGCCACTAAAACATACTTAATAACGTCTAGGGTATCTGGTTAATCGCCTTGCTCACAGGAACATCAAAGAGTACTAGCTTTCTATGCTCTGTGACTGGAAACTACTGCCATATAAAGTATGACTTATCGTTACTGGAGCAAACGCTAGCGTGACACTTCCACTGTGTGTTTTCCGGAAGCGCAGGACAATCCGACCCGTCGCATAAATTCACCTGTTGCTCTTAGCCGGTAGACGATGAACAATAAGCGACGTGCAGGTAGGTAACAAGCTGGATAAGCCATCATGATTATACATTAGACAGGGAACTCCTGAGGACTTTGAACTATTCCAATACATAAACATTGAAACAAAATGTGCCATAAAATCCAAAGACTCCTGAACGCCAACCAGCAAACCCAATTGACTAACGACGCGCCGTGCCAGATAGGAAAAGCTATGCACCCATACTTTTACAAGACTTCCGCAGCTGTGATACCCTTTCGATCATACTGCGCTATGATTCACTAAGCCATCGTGTTAGCCTGGAATCTTGAAAATAGAATGAAATCTGCACACAGAAGAAATACTAGGTATGACCGCGAATGCGATCCAATTTATACACGCCAGCCCAGTAGCAGCTTTCAATCCTTTGATCGCACTTTTGAGGTTTGATGCCGAGACGTAAGTAACGAGTTGTTGCTCCCCGCTGTCTCCTGGGACAGCGAAAGTTTGATCGCCGTCCATACATTCCCAGACCAGGAGGGAGAAGGTAGAGAGCCAGAAAATCAAGGTGATGATTTCGAGGACACCAGTAAAGTTTGTCAGTATTGGATGGGGGACCCGCGAGAAGGTTACAAACCGATGGCACCAATTAAAGTTGGATTTGGGAAACCAACGAGATCTAATGAAGATCTATTGAAGTCGTTAACAGAGTGTGCGAGAGATTAAGAAGGATAGTTTCATGCCGTGATAAAGAACAGCAGAGTCTATATGAAGCTAATGAAGCTCAATCCTGATCCCGTATTAGAACATATGAATTCTATTTATGAGCAGAGTACAGACCAAATGTGTGAAACTAAAACGCTAATATCAGAATGACTCGCCTCCTCTTTATGGGACATTCAACTTACAAAATCGCCTTGGAAAACCGATGCGCCAACTCCTGTCAGGAAAAGTATATTAAGTCCCAAAGTCTGAGGGAAGATTAGCAATTAGAGGTATGAGTATCGGGAATTTGCGCACAAGCTGGACGGTCCGAAGAATAGCGACCAAGATGGTCAGTTTTAGAGCGCGTGAACGAGCATCTGCCATGGTTTCTGGGACTAGACCACTCTCCTGATCATTAACTACCCTCATTTCGACTGATATATTGACATGTATTTCGTTCCAGAATGGTTGAACAATATTTTAATGATATGTTCATGAATTGATAGTGCTTTCCTAACATCAAAAGGTCGGAGTCGCACAGCTGATGGCAAATCTTGGCATATTCATCATTTTTCATTCCTCCATCACTCACCAAAAGCAGTTAATAGGAATCAAGATCGATTTACGCTGCTGCACAATTTTCAATGCCATGATCCTCCCATTCTCAGATTCTCTTCGACTGCCGTAGATTGTGCTTAGGAGCTTAGGTTTGAAGTAACCACCGAAACGATTTTCTGGATGACGCGCACAGTAGTGGTTTGGAAATCCTCGAGAAGAATATTTCGATGCTGTGATAGGAGCGCCTGTACGTGTATCCTTATTCAAAAATTGCGCAGGAAAAGTCTGTGCGATGCTACCGTACCTGTGCATTGCGGGGAAACCGGCTAGCGGCTAGCGTGTTCCACGATCATGTTCGAGATTAGGGAGTAGGTTTCCAGATGTCAGATCGGATGGATAATGAGACGAACTATAGCCAGTCGGCCTACAGAGTCGCGGAGATCAAACTTAATCAGTTTTCAGGTAAAAGAGTTGCATGAATTCACGACCGTCGAGGCCTAGAAGTAATGTACATACATTTCAATGTTCACAGCCGAACTACATGTTTATATACGTGGCATTCCTCCGTAAGCAATGTACCTAGAAAGAGACTCCATCCATCAAGGTACAAGAGCTCTTGATAGCCCGAGGTCCGGCTCTCAGTGAACTGGTACCTAAGATGTGATTCCGAAAAAATTCAAAATCAAAGGCTCGTTTACAGGAGCAAAGTGTCCAACACCCGTCACAAACATCCCCTGAAGCTTTGTGCCATCACCATAGATCTCCTGTGTGTAGGCTGCGGATGGCACGCCCGTAATGTTCTTAGTCGCAGTGACACCGAGTACGGTTGACCACTGCTTCAGTGCCTCGATAGCACACTGGGGTCTGACCAGAGTGTCTGCCAGGCCATGCACGATCATCATACGTGTTCGACGTCCTGTATAGCCTGGATAGGAATTGTGGACGAAGGCTGCCCATTCTTCGGGTGTGTGCTTGAGACCTTGAGCGCAAGTCTGATTAGAGGACAGAGGAGTTGCGCTTGGAGCGCCCGCAAAGCAGGCATGAGCAACTCCTGAGAAAGCTGCACCAGCTTCGAAAACGTCTGGGTAAGAGCCGGCCATCACATTGGTCATCATTGCGCCGGAAGAGGCACCCATTGCGTAAACTCTGGCTGGATTGGCGTTATACTTGGTGAGTGTGTAGTTGACCATGTTAACAATGCCAACTGCATCTCCGCCTTGCCCATGGGTCAGACTCCCAGCACTATTCACATCCCAGTAATTGTTCATGTTTGGTGTTCCTGGGTAGATGAGGATGAAGCCGTTTGTATCTGCATAAGAAGGGAGCTTGGTGCCGCTGTACCACTCGGTTGCGCTTCCACCACATGGGTGCATCTACTTGTTGTCAGCACTGGAAGTATAATTTCATGGGCAGGGCAGATTTAGGATACTCACTACCACAATTACAACTGGCTTTGTGGCAAGCTTGTCCGGAACGTAGATGTACATGTAGATTTTGGTAGGATTAGCACCGAAGTCCTTGACTTGGACCAGTGACGCCGCGAAACTCAGAGCCGTCATGGCCGCAAGCAGGAGGATGGATGAATTAAGAGAGAGCATGATGTTTAACAATCAGCACTTGATGAGATGGAATGGAAGATGATGTCTTGTCTTTCATTCGGGTCAACATGATGATGTTTTATACCTTTCAGTGGCCGTGCCAACGCGGGGTGAGTTTCTGATGCTATCCAGAGATGATGAGCAAACTTTCAAGAAAACAAACCTCCATAATGTCACCCGCTCAAGGCAATTACATTCGGCATTCGAAAGAATATCGACGGTCTCGGTATCATTGGGGCGCTTAGAAAAACTCCGTTTTGGACCACGGCGAGAAGACTAAGTCGGGTCACGGCTCCCGGCTAAATCAACGACACTTTGGGAGAATTTGTCTTTGACGTTGCGACACCGAGCATCCGAGATGGACAATGAGATTTTCCGGCCCGGCAGCTGAGGTCGGCATCGCGATAATGCTCCTAGGGTTAGCTGGATGTTTGGTATCTTCAACTTCTTCGGCGTCAAGCAATAACGTCCCGCCGAAAAGGCAAAAGGGATGACGTTTGAATGAAATGGCCAAAGTGCTGGAAAGCAATGACTGGTAAGTGCTCAGGCTCAATGAGGATAAAAGGCTTTCCTGCAACGTCTTTCCGTGGCCAGCTTGAAGTCGCAGCGAGGAAAAGATTGATTTGAATCTTGTCGTTTGAATTTGGTGGGTTACGTGATGTGGGCAGGAGATGCAGTCAAAATATATAGGTATGCTAGGAAGAAGACCTTTGGATATTGTTACCGGCCTTAGTTAGCACATTTGATACCTTTAGTATCTTTAGTACTTTCAATACTTTTGATAACTTTAAGTGTTTTAGGTGTGGTCACTTATAATTTCAAATAACGAGGGGCTTTACTAGTCAAGCGTCCCAAAATTTATGTTCACTTTTGATCAAAGTTATTTCACAGTGTTGTATATCGACCCAGCGGCCTACATAGACAAGTGACTCCCGTGGTTATACAATCAGAAATATGATTGTTGTAATGAGTTTTCTTTTTGATAAAGCCTCACAACTAATCCGCAATAGACGACGGACAGCATACGGAGTGCGCTCTATCTAACACAGATGCTAACGTTTTCTTTCAATAATTTGAATTCGTCAAAGAAATTAAGACCATTCCACTCAAGGACCAAATCACCTCCAACCCCGCTCTCAATACACTGATGTTTCATCCCGTAAATTGTGTTCAAATAGATGACCGACAACTCCCCAGAACCGATAGCATATAACCATCCTGAGTGGCAGAAGGGGAAGTTCTTCAGAGAATTAAATTTGGTTCTGGGCCAAGCGATTGGGAATTTGCTTGTCGTTGTAGAACATGGTTAAGTTTATGTCTTACAGAGGTACGTTTATTTGACGAAAGCCTTCATCTTGTCCTCCAGGGGTGAGTCTGCTGGTGCCTGGCTTCAAGCTAGGCATAGCCGGGCAAACAAGGGGACTCGCTTACATTTGCGAGTTCCCCATAAATTCCCATCATTTCCGAGAAAAACACTTGTGACGGGCATATTCGCTTGACTGTATTCTTCTGGTTTCTTTCCTATGTTAATCTGCCTTGCTTCGTCTATCAATCGCTCGCAGGAAAATTCTATTTGTAGCGCAAGTAGAGCCGTATAAGTAATGAATGTGCTCGCTGACATCTCACCGCCTGTGGCCAAGGTGGTTATTGAACTATTTATAGTTATCTCTCGGTATCACTCGGACTATACTAACTGTATAACAAATTCGAAACATAAAGTAACATAGTATCTAAGCCCCCTGATTGAAGGAATCAACAAGACTTCTGGAGATCAAGACCAATTATATTCGACATTGATTGATTCACATGAGCTTGACGGAACTATTGAGCGACGTAATCTACTATGATATAATCACCGTAGCAGAAAGTCAAATAAGTTCCTACTTTCCTCTCAGTTCCCAAGGAAGGCTTCATTTTGGTCCAGTTGCTCGAATCACTCGAACACTCGAAATTGTGTATATAAACCCTACATTCTTCTTACTTTCTTTCCTTCATCCTTCCTTCACCCCAAACATAAAAATAAAGACAATCTCCGTCTCCCCAACAAAAATCAGCTTCAGCTCATTCTTCAACTCATATGTTCTAGTCCATACGCCAACAATTGCTGTTTATGAACAGGGCCCCCGCTATTCACGAATGGCATGTGCCATTCATGAATGGCGGGGTGTTTACGTATGGCACCCCCTGTTTATCGACTAGCCCTGCCATTCATAAACAATCAGAGCATATCGAGCTAGCCATGGCTAAACAGCGCCATTCATAAACCGCCCGGAAATAAGCCCCTGATCTAAGCTTAGCACTCTAGTACTTCAGCACTTTAGCACCTCAGCACTTCAGCACCTCAGTATTCTAAGTCTTTTGCACTAGAGGAGGTGCCAGAGGTGCCAGAAGCGCCATAAGTGCCATAAGTGCTGAGGTGCTGAGGTGCTGAGGTGCTGAGGTGCTGAGGTGCTGGAGTGCTGAAGTGCTGAAGTGCTGAAGGTGCTGAGACCAGGGCCTTATTCCCGAGTCGTTTATCAGTGGCGCTGTTTAACTATGGCTAGCTCGATATGCTCTGATTGTTTATGAATGGCAGGGCTAGTTGATAAACAGGGGGTGCCATACGTAAACACCCCGCCATTCATGAATGGCGGGGGGTCAGTTCATAAACAGCAGGTGTTCACGTATGGACTAGAACACATACTTTCGAATACATCAAGATGGCAGTAATTGACTCACCCTCCATGCCAGTCGACTGTTTCGGCAAAGACTGGGTTTGCTGCGTACCACACCCTATTCAGAACTCGTCTACAATTCACTGACTATGCTCAGGAGTGTGGATTTGAACCGAACCGAGGTCACTGGCCATCTTGTTTCCTGTGCGGTGACGTCGCGTGCAACTTTTGCGCCTAGTTGGTCTAGCGTCGTGGTTTGAAATTAGGTGAGGAGCTTGCAATTGCAGTTCCGAGGAGAGTCAGCAGGGAGAAAGGTTCGGCGACTTAGGATCGAAAGAAGACTAGGAAGGATGATCAGGGTCTTGAACATGGCTTTTACGCGTGACGTTACCAAGTTGGAAGGCAGTTGGAGGAAATTAAGGGGGCGACTAGAGTGATAGTCTGTAGTAAAGTGGGCCTGTGGTCTGGAAGAATATACGAGTACAAGTGTCGGTCACAAGAATGCAATTCAGATATTCATGCCTCATTAGAGAGTACTTTCGATTCAAGAGGCTTCGCTTATAGCAAAGGGGGGTAACCGAGAATCGGCTATTGGCTTTCGGCTTTTTGCGTCCTGGTCCTGACTCGTGTTTAGATTATCTAAATTAAGTTATGAGACAGTATAATTTTGTTTGTCCGCTTCTAATATCAACCCTTGATCTTTTCTTGCGATGAATCTTCGCTTCACAAGCGAGAATTTTCCCGCCCCCTTTCTGCACCCACTTCAATGCAGAACAATATACGCTCATGAAACGAGTACAATTCATCGCAGTTGATAGTAGCTGACCTGAATTCGACTACTACGATCTCAGAACCGTGGAGCTCCTGGTTTTGTTATTCTTGGAATGTGAAATGTGGTTTGACACTTAGCACGACGATTTCGTGCTTTGACGAACGTCCTGCCCACGGCACCGGCACCTCCAGCGATTGCTATTCTTGCCATTATCGTCTGGAATAAAGTTACTTGAATTTTAGTCATATTCGACACTTGAGAGCTTTGTAATAACGAAGGTATGAAATAATGTCGAACAACTTATGGGTTTCTGCTGGCATTATACACCTAGGCAAAGCCCGGAAGCCTCTTGGTTTTGCTTCATACTTTTGATTTCTAATTCTTTCCAAGAAGACGAAAAGTCAGATAATGGGTTGGCAATATGATTCGAATCACGTTCGCCCACGTTCACGAAGTCGATTCTTTCGTGCAATTAGGTGTTGGGTCAGCATCTTGGCGCCCGGGGCCATCATTTCAGCAATTATAAGTAGGCACGGCGTACGAAGATTCGATGGGAAGACAAACTCTCGTCACTATGAGTGGCTTATCCCTTGGCAATGAATAAGATTATATTATTTCGTCGCAAATCTATAGACAAGGCGGATTGGGGCATCTGGCGGAGTTTGCGGGGTCTCCCTAAGCAAATCGCTGACAAGCTTCTAGATGCCTTCTAGAATAGCTAAACTCCGTATTATTGGCAAGGAACAAGGATAGCTTGCATCTCCAAACTTTCTTGTGGCATGCGACCATGCTGGGGATGGGTTGATTGGACTTGAGATATCCAACATGCATAAATATTGCAGCAACACGAATTCATTTCACCTTCAAGAGCCGAAGCTCGAATTGCTGAACAAAAACTGCGGAAAAGAACTACCTGTGGAGTAAAGCATCCGACCAAATTGTACACCCAAGCCGTCAATGAAAAGTCCCTCAGGATCTAGCTCTTCTTCTCTTTCAATCATTCATTTCGTCCTTCCAGATCAATCAACTCAAGCACGTGGTTTTGGAAGTGTTGAAAATGGTGCGCTGACTGCGGGGACGTCCAAAGTGGGATGAACATGATGCCGTCATCATTCGGGTGTCCCGTCCCGAGTCCCAACTATCGACAGGCACCAAACCAATCGTATTCTAGACGACCCGCTACTTTGGGTACGAGTATATCCTATCTTATCCATCGCCGCGCACATGATGGAACTTGCAGGTGTGATTGGGGGATTGTATTTATGTTCCTGCGCCGCACCCCAAGTTACCATGGATCTGGCGGGGAGCTCTCCCAGAGCTCCCACAGCTATAAAACTTCTCGGTGCCCGCACAATTGTGCACCGGAAACATCAATTCGAGCTTCAAGATGCGTTCTAGGACGTTTCCGACCACTGCCGCCGTTCTGGTGCTCCTGGCCCAAGCTGGGTCGGCTCAGGTGGATGTTATTAATTCCAATACCACCCTCAAGGCGTCGAGCTTTGTCGGTACTTCTACTGCGAATACCTACCCTCCCGCCGGCAGTAAGTGTTGCTTCAACTTTTCCAATTTCTGCCATTGACCAATTTTTTCCATGATATCAAGGCGAGATCATTCATATTCAAATGCTGACTTCACTGGACAGCGACCGTCAACACATCATTGTTCCCACCCGAGTCTGTCGTCGGCTTCCCAGGTCCAACTCCCACAGGCGCAGAACCTGCAGCTGCCCAGACAGCCCCAATCTACCCATACAACAACGGACCCGCGAACCAGTTTCCTCTGGTCGCACCACAACCGTGGGGCAGCGGTGCGTTTGACCAGAAGTTTGACATCGCCAAGTACTGGGGTAATCTTTCGCCGTGGTACTCAGTATCTTCAGCTGATTATGGATTGCCCGATGCCAGCCCTCTCATTCCTGATGGGTGCAACATCGTTCAAATGCACCTTCTATACCGACACGGCGCTCGTTACCCAACCACTGGAGCTGCTCCGTCAACTTTCGCACAGAAGCTCTTGAATGCAACTGAGCTCAGTGGAGGCTTCAGTGTCACTGGCGAGCTGAGCTTCTTATCCAAATGGAATTACAAGCTCGGAGCAGAGTTGCTCACTCCCTTCGGACGTAGCCAGAATTTCAATCTCGGTGTTGCCTACCGCCAACTGTACGGCGAGCTGCTGAACAACTTCACAGCCGCTGGAACCATTCCGGTCTTCCGCACCGAGTCCCAAGATCGCATGGTCAAGACAGCCGAGAACTTCGCTGCGGGTTTCTTTGGTGTACCCGAGTATAAGGACCAAGTCAACATCGAGATTCTGGTTGAGACTCCCGGAGTCAACAATTCTGGTGCACCATACGAGGTCTGTACTAATTCCAACGTTGCTAGCCGTGGCAGCATTGGCTCCACTGCCGCAACGGCCTTTGCCAATACTGCTTTCAATGCTACTATTGCTCGTCTGCAGTCACAGGTAGGTCACATCCTTTAATCCAGTCCGCAAAGCTACAGCTAATGGTATCTTACCAGATCACCGGTGTCAACTTCACTGCCACAGATATCATTGCTATGCTTCAGCTATGCTCCTATGAGACCCATGCACTTGGCTATTCAGCATTCTGCCCACTCTTTAGCGAGGAGGATTTCTTGAACTATGAATACTACTATGATCTAGTAAGTCCCCCAAGAATTGCACATTTCCATAAGTTTTAGTATCCATCCCCAACAGTTTGATGTGATCTGTTATCCTAACCTCGTCTAGTCATTCTACTACAACAACGGCCCCGGAAGTCCCGTCTCAGCCGCTCAAGGAAAAGGCTTCCTCCAAGAATGGGTCGCCCGCTTCACCCACTCCTTCCCCACCGCACAATCAGCCCTGAACCTCACCTACGACAACACCTCGACCTATTTCCCCTTGAATCAATCCATCTACGCCGACGCTACCCACGAGGTCGTCGTCCTCGATACTCTCACCGCTTTCAATCTCACCGCACTCTTCAATGGGCCTCCGCTTAGCACTTCCGGGAACCAGAAACGCAACTCCTTTATAGCGAGCAAGGTTGTCCCTTTTGCGACACACTTTACTACCCAGATCTTGGAATGCCCTGCTTATAAACCTACGAGGCAGATGCGTTTCATTGTGTAAGTCACCTGATGGGTTTGGATTAAGCAAGATTCTAATAAATGCACAGAAATGATGCCGTCGTCCCAATTTCTGGTTCATACGCCGGCTGCCCGGAGGACCCCAACGGTCTCTGCTCTATGGATAATGTGGTGTCGGTCCTTCAGAAGCGAATTGCGGAGATCGATTTCAACTACGATTGTTTCGCGAATTATACTGCGAAGGTGGGGGTCAACTATAATGGTCGTGCACCTAAGTCATAGAGATGTGGTTGCGGCGAGGGAGGAAACTTTGGTTCGTATGAAATTTGGACGATGAATAAATGCTGCCATGATAGACACGATCTTTGATAATGTAATAGAGCAAAAGTCCTGCTTTGTATCCGAATAATCTCCACGTGGTTGTCTTCGAATGCCTTCGCGATAGTCTCTGATCCTTCAACTTCATCTTGGCCAGTCTCAAATCTTTCACCAATAATTTATATAAAGGAAGCTATTTTGCCAAAAATAATATGAAGAGTGACTCGTCTCTCATACATTGCTCTCAACTCGTAGGACTCAAATAGATCAACAACTTGAGTAAAGATATTATTTGGGAGAACTGACCCCGAACCAGAAGCCACCGACCTCGGCTATTAGCCGAATTTCAGGGGGGGCCAGGACAAGCAGATGCATGATCTCGAGTTTCGCAAGACTGATGTGGATATCAAGGTCAGGTATCAGCAGTCGAGTAATGTAAGTGGAGTCTTCACGGGAAACTACTTCAATCGCTATCGGCGGCCATCCCTTGAACCCAACTTCTTGTTCCTGCAGGATTGCCATCCGCAGCGGAATCGTTTGATCTCATAAGCTAGACCCCTTATACGGAATCTAGACCTCGAGGAAGATTGCCACTTCCATAACCCTCCTGCATATCTCCCATCCAGGAACAGCTTTCAACTGACTCCGTACCCTGCGATAGCAAAACCCCAAACCAGACCTCTTCCTAAGCACTTACAAAAGAAGCACATGCAGCATCACTCAACCGGACGAGATATCGTTTTGGAAGAAAGACATATATGATACGTTACATGTCCGTGATCCTTTACCAATAGCTGTCCCTGTCATCTGACCCCATCCGGCCACCTGCCCGTTTCGGTCGATTGTCGATCCTCGGCTATCGTTCAGGGTTGCGCTAGGTAGATGGGGTGAGTGTGTCCGGCATTCATCAGAATTGGTCGGGTCTCGTAGCAGCCAGTGCGTGACTTCTAGTCGCGTGCATCTTCTTTTCCATCTTTTGAGAGCTTTCTTCCTCGTGAAAATCTTGCTGCTTATCGACCTTTAGGCTTATCTGTAGTATGTGCGTGTAGCACTCCTACATTTATCTCAACATTTCTTATCGCAACTCAATGCAAAAACAACGAACATCACGTACACGCGATCAAGCTCAAGACGGGCCGATGGAGCAAGCAGCGGACCGAAGCGCCACACCCCCCCTCCCCTTAATTTTAGCGAGATTGCCGAACTTGAGTTCGCGGAGAAGCGCATTCATGACAGCCAGTCGATTCAGCCCCTCGCTAGAGCCAGACCACCCCAACCGGAGATGTCGCGCCTTATCAGCAAGCAAGCAAGCAAGCTCCCCCTGAGTTCATCCCAAGATCCCAAAATGTCTTTATCGAGGACTTGCTCCGAGGCTATGTATGGAAGGTTACCTCATTTTTTGATTCCTTCGAGTTGCGCGCCAGGAGATGTTTACTTTCTGGGTGCGCTTTACCAGTGCTGCACGTGTTGGAGATTGTGATAGCCAGGGCGCTATTGAATATTCAACGCGTCTGTCTGGTATGTCCATGCAACGTCTTCTTTCAGGATCCATGTTACCAGCAAGTGCATGTAAGTATATCGGATCACAGGATTGAGAGAGAGGGTCCCTATAGCCCCTGGTGGTGGCAGCCCTCTATTCCTTTCCTTCTCAACGAACCTCAAATACAACTCGTCTTCCCTTTCCATCTCTTCTCCTTTTCTTTCTCATCAGACCATTTCAGAGGCATCACATTCATTCATTCGCACGGGTCCTAGACGGATCCTTCCTCTCCCTTTCAATAGTGATCCTTTATTGTATATATTTGCCCGTATATTTTCATCCCTCACTGCCAACATGCATCTTCCCACTACCTTTATCGCTTTTAGCTTGATGCTCAGCAAAGTATTGGCAGCTCCCTCCCGTTTCTCAAAGCGTGCGGCCAGTGGCCAAAATGTCGTCTACTGGGGTCAAAATGGAGGTGGCATTGTGGAAGACAACGATCTTTCTAGCTATTGCACCGCGGATTCCGGTATCGATATCATTGTCTTGGCTTTCTTGTACTCCTTTGGAAATGGAAACAACATTCCATCCGGCACTATTGGACAGTCTTGTTTTATCAGTACTTCCGGCGAAGGTCAAGATTGTGACAACGTAGCTTCATCTATTGCCGAATGTCAAGCAGCTGGCATCAAAGTCATTCTCTCCATAGGCGGTGCATCAGGCTCCTACTCCCTGCAATCCGCATCAGAAGCCGAGACCATCGGCCAATACCTCTGGGAATCCTACGGCAACTCAGGCAACACGGCCGTCCAACGCCCCTTCGGCGCCAGCTTCGTCAACGGCTTCGATTTCGACATCGAGCTCAACGACGGCTACAGCCAATACTACCAATACATGATCTCCACCCTGCGCTCAAACTTCGCTTCCGACCCCGACAACAAATACTACATCACCGGCGCCCCTCAATGCCCCATCCCCGAGCCTAACATGGGGACCATCATCAGCAATTCTCAGTTCGATTACCTCTGGGTCCAATGGTACAACAACAACAACTACTCCGCGGACCCCTGCTCCCTGGGCTTCAACGACAACGCGCCCCTCAACTACAACCAATGGGTCACCTTCCTCTCCAGCACGCCTTCCTCCGCCGCTAAAATCTTCTTCGGCGTCCCCGCCGCTCCTCTAGCCGCGAACGGGGCGCCCAGCGGGGAGACGTACTACATCTCGCCGCAAGACCTCGCGACGCTTGTAGGGGAATACAAGAGCAGTGGGTCGTTTGGAGGGGTGATGATGTGGAATGCGGGGTTTTCGGACTCGAATGTGAATGCGGGGTGCACGTATGCGCAGGAGGCGAAGAATATTTTGGTCGAGGGAATGGCGTGTACGGCGGGTCCGACGTTTCCGACGACGACGGCGACGCCGGTGGGGGGGCATACGTCGACGTATACTAGTACGGGGGCGACGTCGACGGCGACGGGGACGGTGGGGCAGTATGATCAGGTTCGTTTTGGTGTTTTTTCTTGAGTTCTTATGGAATTTGTTGTTTTGTTATGGGCTTGCTGTTCATAGTCGAATATTTTACTGACTTGATGCAGTGTGGTGGTGAAGGGTATACGGGACCGACCCAGTGCGAGTCTCCCTATACATGTGTTGAGAACTCGGTGTGGTATTCGCAGTGCGAATGAGCGTTTAAGTTGGCATTCGTCTTCTACGGTATTTATATTACTATCTTTAAAGAGGTTGAAAGAGGTTTGGCGAGACTGTAAATAGCTTTTATCCACTTGCCTTTCTATATATGTTGTAATGAGGTTATGTCAAACGCTGAATATTATGCCAGCGAGGAGGCAATTTACTGGGGAGATTCAAAAGAACATTCTCTCAATCACATCCTCGACCAATAAATTCTTTGCCTAGCTTCGGGTGTCACTTGATCGAAAACCATAAACTGTAATGAAAAGAGCAAGGAATGTGGAGTTTCGTTGAGCTACAACAAGTTTAAGATTTCTCCGCTCACTAGCTTGAATCATTCTTTTGAACATCCTCTTCTCAAAAATTGCTTCAAGCTAGTGGCATTCCAATATCACCAACTCAGTCCTCTCACAATAGACTCAATCATATCCCCGCAACTAGCTCGTCCCCGAGCATCCAACAAAGTCATTCCCACTAGCACCAGTGTGTGTTATCGCGCCAGCATAGTCTCCGTTGGTATTGATGACGCAGCGGTCTGCTCCTGGTGATCCTATAAGACGGCTTCATTAGCACTGGGAAGTCTTCCTCCAGTTGCCACTTTCGTCTCTATTCTCATCAGAGTATGTTTGAGAAGGGACTAACCACCATCATAGGCGCTACCGGATTCAAGTGGGAATTCCAGGTAGGGTCCATCAACAGGGAAGCTGAAACCCTCGTAGTTGTTATATGTGTGTGGATAGGTGGAGCCTCCTGCGGTGCTGTCTTCGCTGTCTATGTATTGTGTCAGTCGGAGTATTTTGGATGTTGCTTTACAGAGCAGAGTGTAGCATTATGAGATCTTATAAACAGATTTTAGGAAGGACAGATAATATTGAGAAGAGAAAAAAAGGAAAGAATAATAGCCGAACAAGTCTTACAGTAGGAATACGCAGCATTCGCGCATGTTGAGACATCGTCAGAGCTGTATACTGTATCGCCACAGGTTGTGGCTGATTGCCGGACACTCAGAGACACGGGAGATGCGAGGGCGCTGGTTATCAGGACCGCCAACGGGAGTAGAGCCTGTGAGTGTGGTGTCAATACGATTCTGGAGTACACGATACAGTTTCATAGGAAGCGGGGTCATACTTTGAGGTTGAAGGCCACCATTCTTACAGATTGCAACGAGCGTTTGAGGATGCCAAGCTAACGAATGGAGGATTCGGGGAGTCGTTTGCAGTGGGCTTGTGAGAAGAGGGAAAGCACACAGTACAAGATATGATAAGGTGGGACATTGTAAGCTTTAAATCCTCGAACTTTCAGAGCGGCACCTCAAAGTGACAGGACGGAGGTTTCGAAAGCCTCACGCTTATTCAAGCACGCTGATCATAGTTTAAAGTCTATCTTCTCCAATCTTTGATGCACTTGCCATCGAGTAGGAAGGTGCTTGGAGGCCAACCAATAATGTATCCCGAACAATAAGCACATCACTTTTAGACCTAACAATTCGAGTATATCCTCCGTTCCCCATCACGTTTCGAAGCTTACTGCCCCTTCTCGGCATGCACTCCTGAGTCCGGCTTTCGTAGATCCTCAGTAAGCTTATCTCGAACTACCGAATCGCCATTAGTATGCGGAGACCGTGGTCTTTCTATGCAGTTGACGTGCAGCAGGCATTCCTTTGAGAACAAGCGGCCTATCCTCCGGTGCAAATCTTGGGTCAGTGGAGAGCTCTGAGTGGCTCGGAGGAATACAGGGGATGAAGTGTGGTGGCGGCATTGGTCCTGCAGACTAACCGCTTTCGGCAGGTCCTGTCTTAGTCCCGGCTCCTGCAAAAACCTTGGGAGACTTCAAGTTGCGGTGTTCATTTTCATCAGCATTTCTATCATTTCGGCCGTATGGGATTCGTTGCACGTTTTATATGTTCACATTCCATAGGTTGGGAGCTGTCGGATTTCGCGTAGTTAAATGCCTCAGACGGTCACGCGGATCTTACAGCAGGAGTAGATCCAAGCGAGGCTCCTACACTTACGCCGCCAACAAAGTTGAGGACCGCGCGAAGTTCCATGTCGGTCGGGAACTCAGACATTATCATTTCTTCTTTAGACATTACAACATGTCTTCTTCGGAGAAAGCATACAACCAGCCATTTAGGGACGCATTCACCAGCAAGCTTACTTCCAGCTCTGATTTGGTACAGCATTTCCTAAAGCCAATAAACGCCACACTCAACAAGAGCGAAGAAGAATTCGAAGATTCCCTCTGGTATTCCTGGCAAGATGTAACGTCCCTGGCATGTCAAACACTGCATGATCAACAAGAAGGTTTGGTGAGCTTCGTGAGCGAATTGAGAAATCAGCCTGGACCGCTGAAAGAAAATGGAGAGAAGGGAACGATCAGAGGAGAGGAAGTGGAATGGAAACAATTGCCTATGCTCGGCATGGAATTGAGGTCATGTTGGAACACTTGTAAGTCCCCTTCCCGATCTCACGCTGCTCTGATGAAGCTGAACAAAATATAGCACCACAAGGCAAAGGCCAATCAGACGAAAGCTGGGTCAATCTCAATGCATTTGCCGCACGACTTACAGCACTATCTTTTACAGGGGACTGTCTTGATTTCTCACTATACGCAATCTGGACATTTCGAGAAGCGTTTGAAGACTCTGATCTGATGGGAAAACTTCCAAATGCAAGTTTTCTCCAAGCCGCAGCTGTGTGGATGATTTATGCGAGTGGTGTATTGAAGGAGCGAGCCGAATCGAATCGGTGCTTCGATGGAAAGAAAGCGAGAGAGGGAAAAGCGCTAGAGGGAAAAGGATGGAGTGGATTCTCAGTGGCGAGATGGCAGTTATGGGTTGAGAGGCTTGGACTGGTGAAGGAGAGGTGCCAAGATGAAAAGACGGGAGAACTTCTCGTGGCAGCTGCTTCTACGGACAGTTTGAGGAAATAGAAATCAAAGCCTGATTCTGAATCTCCAGCAGTACTGTACGACTTTTCAGAAGGGAGGTCTCATCACGGCGGTGAGTTATCATGTTCTCAACGCAGAACACCATTCATTCAACATTTTCAGATACGCTACCTCCAGCCTTCCAAACGGACCATGCTCGCGCTATTCTCCAGACACGATCAAAACAGTGACATGTAGAAAACAATACTTTTTCGTGCCGCATAATCAACCAGTTAACCACGTGCCGTAACTTGTACCTCCTCTGCAAACATTCAAGTCAAAGATATCTCGTCCTCCAAATGACACAAATGGTCAAACATTGCCTGAAGTGCTCAGAGAACTTGGATCATGAAAGCCCATAGCTGGCCTTCAAGAGCTTGGCCTTGGCAGAACCAAATTCACCTGGCAAGTAGTCCAGATCCAATTCCTCTCCCTTCTTGATATCCCGTATACTAGTAAATACCATCTTCTCAGTTGAGCTATCCCATCGTCGAACCACGTTGGGACTGTTCGAGTGGTTGAAAAGTGAACCAGTCAGGAGTAGGATGCCTAGGCTACCACAAGGAGTGTTGGGATCGGTAAAAGAGTTGGTCCCCAAGATCCCCGACAAACAATCCATGAGACGATGAATTGGAATATCCATGAAGGTGCTATACTGCTTGACATCTGGTTTCTCGTTGTGCAGAAGTAAGATAGCCTCCAATGCCTTCTGAGGTAGAGTCAAAAAGAGAAGCACATTTGCAGCCCCAGGAGGTAACACTAAGACAGGTGTGTCTTGTAGGATAGTATCTCCAGCTCTGATATCTCTGCTAGAAATGATACCACGTCCCTTCCCCTCAACAGTGGATATCTCATAGGGAGCACCGAGTCCTCATCTTCCCAGATATTGTATTCGACCTCCTCCCAGACGCGAAGCTGCTCCAAGAAATGTGTGTTTGGACAGATCTCTCTTCTCTTCAACACTTCCTTTCCAGCCTCTCTCCAGCTGCGACGATGCCTACGCATGACGTAGGCAATGACCATAGATGCAGAGCGGGACCATCCCTTCACACAGTGGACAACAACTCCACCGGGAGAGGACATGTATTGATCAATGAGATCGCAACATGGTGACATCAGCTTCAAGATGTCTTGGCCACCGTAGCCAAAACATTCGAAGTAGCTGTGCTGTGGAATTTGCTGCGCGAACTCCGGTGTGGACCAGACCTTGAGAGGGTAACCGATCAATGAGATGCCAGCCTTGATGTTGTGGTTGCGCACCGTTTGGGGATCGAGGATGGAGGAAAGATTCCCAAGGAATAGGCGGGGTCGGATCTCAGAGATCGATGCGGGCTCATATGGTTCTGGCAAATAGTCAGAGATGTGTCTAGAAGGCGTGGCGGTAGACATTGCTGTAGGATGTTTCTGGGGTTGAAGGTGTTGAGGAGATGCTGGGCGCAAATGCTTGTGGGATCTTGGTATCAAAAGTTGCACTTTCAAAGCGGAAGTGCAAAAATTCGGATCGTATGAGTAAAGAATTTGCTTTGAAGTAGAAGCAACCTATTGAGGGCTATTTAGATAGGATCAAAGAGTCAGGTAGAAAGTGATTGTATTCTTAAGAAGTCTATGAACCAAAAGTTCAGAGCTTTTATCAGAGCGAATGTGCGGTAGTGCGCACGAGACAAATATCAAAGGTTTGGCTCGTGAGGTCATATGACTAGGTACCTGGCAACCTTTAAGATAAAATGCTGAGCTTTGCACCTGAGGTAAGGCTAATAGCGGGCTAGTGTTCCAGTACGCACTAAGACCACTTTTCTAAAAGGGAGTCGCAAGTTGGTGATATCCGTCGAATAAAGAGTTTTCGCGTGGAACAAGTCTGGAAATGATGAGATGTGAGTCGAGAGTGACAGGAGCAATCATCAAGATTAGATTAATTAGGCTGAAGCTCGCCTCTTTTCTTTGAATAGAGTTTATTCATATATCAGCACAAATAACTGACATAATACCAGATAAGTCATAGCACATGTCAGGGAACTATGTCAATAGGGCTCATGTCACATTTCATAGTAATTGCACAGATGCTGAGATCTCATGGTTTATGGGTTGCCAAGCTAAGTAAAGAAGCACGCCGGTAGGTTACTGAGTCCTGTTCAACCGTCCCGATTTCGCCAAGAATTCTTCGCATCTACCCACTGCCAAATGTCAGTCTATCACTGAACCTTCTTGGCGATCTTGCGGCGGGCTCTCTTTGCTTCTGCAATTCTGCCCAAGACCTGCTGGTAAGCTGCCTTGGGTTTGGTCTTCTCCCGGTCCTGCCAAATCTCATACTTCAACTCTCCCCATACTCGAAGCTGACACTCGAAGTACTGATTTGGTTCAATCTGAGGTCTCTTACTCCTGACTACCCTGATTGCCTCTTCCACGGTTTGACCATATTTGCGCATGAGAAAGGCAATGACAATGGAAGCAGAACGTGATATGCCCATGACACAGTGTATTGCAATCCCACCAGCGGTTCGAAGTTGCTCATGGATGAAATCGCAACAGACAGGCATGAATTTCAGGATGTCTTGTTCTCCATTGTCCTTGCACAGCAGAGGTAAATGATGTGGTATCTGCTCTCTGAACTGTGGGTTCAGCCACGAAGTGATGGGCCAAGATATAAGAGATATCCCGGCTTTGATATTGTTCTCTTGCACAGTCTTGGAGTCGATAATGCAAGATATGTTGCCCAGGAAGAGGCGAGGTCTAATCTCTGAGATTGATGGGGCGTCGTGCTGCCTTCTTGGATGCCGAGTAGTCTGATTCGGGAATAGTGAATGGAGTTTCCATTGTGTCGGGAAGATATGGGACAGGGCGGGGTAAGGACGCAAAGGATGGTACGATTTTGCAGTAAGCTGTTACGCTTTGAGAATGGTGTAGTGAGATGCAGTCTTGCGCAACTTTGGTGGTTTGCGGTGTGTGGAGTATTGTTTGAGGTAGCAAGAGGCAAGGAAGAGCTGCAGTTAAGGTATCGTATGATCAAGGTCGATATATTTGTATGTGGTCAGGATGATCTATGAATAGGAAAGACAGAATCCGCGGCAAAGTCTTAGTGTTATGAATGACTCCTCAACATGTGACTTACTAGCGCTCTCTAGCAGAAATACAATCGAAGTTTGGCTCAGTTTGACACATGACCTCTCAAAGTTCCTAGCTGTACAAGTGTCCACTAAGCCAGATGCTAAACACGGTGCTCCTTCTACCACATAGAACCTGACATTCATACCTGCATATCTGCAAATCCATTTGAAACATGAGCTAGAAACAAATTGCATCTGTATGCAGGCCTGAATTGTCTTTTGTTGTCTAGATTGCATAACAAGAGAAGCCTTCTTTAATGCTTATATGCTAAATGCCTTTATAAGTTGTTCACAATTGTGCATCTTGAATTTCAGCAAATAGAATGTTATCGACATCCTGTCTTTACAACATATGAACTTAGAAAACTGCCAAACAAGAAAGGAAACAGATATGCGACTCCATAGCACCTAAGTCTGCTGATGTCACTTATGGAGGTTAGAGGTGGTTGCGCCGGACGAGCTCCAGAATGAGCAAAATGAGATCAGTCCTTATTGAAGGATAAGTTTGAAAATATCTGGTTTATTGTCAATGATTGTCATTTATCAAATTGTGCAAGCCTTGGCCGGACCCAAGGTACTTCAAACTATATTCGATTTGCGAAGCACTTATAGTAGTGTTCGACGAGTACAAGTCCGTGGCCGCTGAGAAGCACGCAGATGGCTTCCGTCACTACGACGACGTTGCCCAGAACCAGAGCATCATATTAGCCCGAACAGGTCACGAAAATGGACTTAACGCACCTATTAGCTTCGGGTCTTTGAAGGATAAAGCCTTACCTCTCGCAAGAAGTGAAGACATGGGAACCATTGATGTTATTCGAATCCCTTTGCACGTTGGCGTCCATTTTGTGGCTAACCTTCTATTACGTGAAGAAGCCGCATTTCCGGAATCCGTTGTGGCAGCACCTCATATATCGAGGGAAGCAGACCATCCGTTTATGAAGTGGGAGAGAGAGGCGCAGGATTATGGAGAAGAACGATTGGCGCATGCACAGGCACAAGACAAGATCGAACCATTTACAACAGTAGCAGCTGTGAAGAAGGCCGTGCTGCACCACAGGGTTGACATATATCCCCTAGAAAACTATGCTCCGTATCCTTTTAAGCTTGGTTGGATCTGAGATTCATGCCACCCTGACTGCATCCTATCCGCAGTCTAAAGTCGTATGCGACAAATATTGCTTTATCTCGCCACGTCTACCTCCAAGCAATGTCCAGCAAGAGTGCCCGAGATAGGGCAAGGAGATTGGTTTTGAGAGCAATGACTGGGATACACAAGACATTGTGGCCGTTTGTTGTTGCCATTGAGGCAGAAATACTTATTGTAAGATTGTAATAGCCTGACTCTTCAGTTACTTTTCAGCTAACGTGCCCACGAGTCAATAGCTTTAGTGCCGAATGCTCGGGTTTTGATGGGCTATCATGGCGGACCGGTACAACTCACCCATACCAAATGAACTTATTCATGCTAAGCCGTGGTGATGTACTGTAGAGGTGAGGCTGGATGTGTAGGATGGCTTTTTCTGGGATGCGTTTCGGTGCTTTCGGGCTACTACTTGGAGGGTTTAGGTCTTTGCAGCGTGAGACTTCTGAAACAAATCATCTTTGTATTTTACCCGCCCAGACCGGCTCGCAAGAGCCAGCTGCGTTACTATGAAGTTTTCTCGGCAAGGCCTGCAGATAGCAGAGTAGAATCGAATCATGTTTGAGATTTCCCCGACATTCAGGAGCAAACCTTAATGCAAATCCCTCCCTCACCGCAACTCCGCCACTGAATAAATCATATCAGTCGTAGTATCGGCTCTACTCTGCATAAATTTCCCAACTATCCAGGGCAGGCAAAAGTTGTATCATCCTTTCCGGGCGTAACTTCGTCTGCATGAATTTCAAATGGTCAGGAACTATGTCAATTCTGGGACTCTCCATTAGTACAGCCTGTTGCCTGTATAAATCTGCCTCGTATTACTTGCGTAAATCTCCTGCTGAATCTAACCGTAACCACTCCCTTGGCCCAGTTTTACAGCTGTATGAATCCTATAACAAGTAGTTCGATATCGGAATCTCGACATGAGCAATTTCCATTTCCGTCTTTGGACCTGAGCCGTTGCTGCTATAGCCTAAGCTGTGGGTAAGCCAAGCTAAGCAGAAAGTGAGCCGTAGTAAGTGGATAGGGGCTTGTTTGGGCCCCTCGGCTACGACTGCCGCCGGCTAAAATTGGAAAAAACAAGTCAAGGATGCTTTTTGGGGCCAATTCTGGATCCCTGTTCGAAAGAGCCGCGCCAAACGACAAGCGGAGCCTCACTTACCGAATTTCGCAAATTCAACTTCATTATATACAAACACATACCAATATATTAAATACTCGTTTAACTCCTCTCTACCACAAGAAGTCGTACTCACAACACACAACACTACTCCGTAATAGCAGTCGGTCGACGATCTATATAATATCAAATAGCCTAAAGGATGACGACACAAATCCTGGGAGTCAACGTTTGGTGCTCCTCATAAACATGCTACCCATCATACAACGCCACTAAATCCTTCCCCTAAGCAAAACATTTTTCATGTAAAACCGCGCAAAAAAAGTGGTACGGCAGTTGTACTGAAGGTTACGACAACTGGTTCACTAGGCTTGCTGCAGCTAAAAGCATTAACGTGAAAACCAGTTTAAAGCCAGAACCCTCGATCTGCCACTCTAGATTCGATCCTTTTGACTGTCGCGACGGCGATCGTTTCTCTAAAAGGCATCGCATTGACTGAGATACGAACATGAGCTTAGCTTACCTCCCTCTTCTCGCCGTCGCACTATTACGATTCTCACGGCAATGCTCCTCGGTAAATGCAACAATAGAGGCCTGCCCTTAGCATTCTTTTCATGCGATATAACTTGGCTAATGGAAGTAACGCCTCACGACGACATAGCCAGCTTCTGCCTGGCTACGCCGTGGCATTACCTGTCGAGGGAAGGATCTCGGTGAGCTCCCTTGAGACCGTGGAGACGACGACATGCGCTGTATGCCTGGATCTGGATGATCTGGGCTGATCTGGGCTAATCTGTGACGAGAAGGATCTCGGTGAGCTCCCTTAGGACGGTGAAGACGACGACATGCGCTGATGCTTTGATCTAGACTTATTTGTGACGAGTAGGACCGATTTTTGTCTAATATAGCTATAGCAGGTGGCAATCTGCATGGTAATGGCATCATCGAAGCTTTTGCTAATCTATTTTATAAACCGAATACGAAACGCCGGTAGTGAGAGAATAGGTCACAAGTAAGTAAACTAACGTGAAAGATAGCATAAAGGCATGTTATACTACTTCGGGAGGAGCTCGATTGGCGGTCGTTGTATATTGGAATGACGGATTTGTGATTAAAAGCTGTTTCGAGGATCGTTGGCTTCAGGGAGCTGCCCTAGCAGGACTACAATCGCCACGAGAATTAGCACAACATAATCTACACCCACGGAGTCTTAATTCTGCAAAAAGAAAGTCGATTTGGGCTTAGCTCCGCAAAAATAACCACAAAGTCCACGAAATAGATGTCGTGGATTAGATTTCGAGCAAGATTGAACTAATTATAAGCCGATTTCTCGATAATCGGTGAAGCCGAGGAAGACTAAGGATTTGTATAATAAATAAGTCTTGGCGGAAGCCTGGAGGGGTTAAAAGTTTATGCGTAAGACCGGATTATTTAGTTTCAAGATAGCTTACGACAGTTGCAAACGGCAAAGCTAATGTATGGACGAGAACAACCTAGTTCCGACGAATAGGCGCTTACGCGTTACACTTAAGCCGCTCAATTCCTCTTCGCTGGATATCCTATATATGCTCAAACTAGGTTTTTCCTCTGCCCACTTTGTTTCGAGATAGCTACTCTTGAGAGTACGCAATTTGTTTAATTTGCATTTCTTTTATTAAACTAACTATTCTACAACAGAAAACGTTTTAGTCTTCTGAACCCAACCATTCAATCCCTTCACTCAACGCTAGCGACAGCCAAAAAATATATAAGCATACGGTCACTTTTTCCCGTTCTAGATATTAAATTAAAGCGAAGAGAAATACGGCAGTGAGAGCTAAAAATACGTGGATAAGCTACACCAAAAGTAAATTCGTTCTGTGCGTTTTTGCTGACTACGATGATGAATCAAACGATAATTTTCTATTTCCCGAGGAGCAGTCTCGGCTAATTCCGCGTCTAAAGATCTTAACTAACGAAGTAAGGCCTCGAACGCCAGATCCACCCTTCAGGTCTAGAACAGCCAGCTCTTTACTAAGCCGGACTACTATGCAACCAAACACAATCGAGGTCAAATAAATGTCAAGGTAGTAGTCGAGGCAAGTGCACCAACTATCCCTAATACTTAAAAGCGGTCTGCTAATTATATGCAGATCAACCAGTGACTCTCGATAATAACGACTCGAATGACGCTAGTGCTTAGGATAAAGCCAAAAGCGTTTCCGGCGATGTCGATACTAGGTTTATTAAACAAGACGCGACTCTGTAAAACGCCTTCGCAACCTTAAAACTCGACTCTGAGCCGCACGGCGTGCCTTCTGCTTCGGCACAAGCCCAACCATAGACCCTCCCCAATCCTCCAAGCTACTGGAAGGTTAGACCAACCAGCAAAATATTGGTAGTATCACTCGGAACGCATCAGTAGATTCTGCGCCCTGCTACTTAAGCTTTCCGACAGCGGCGACAATAGATAAAATGAAGAGAACATGCTTGAATTGGAGAAGAATCTGGGATTGGCTTTGGGAGAGCAACAAGTGAAGTCATCATCGGCCGGCAATTTCCTCCCCAAGTCATCACTCGGTCAAGGAACTACACAACGAGATTCGGAGTCGAGGACATAGCGAAAATACCGGCAGCAGACCAAAAGTGATGCTTCTCGACATGGCACAGGTCAGGGTACTGAGGAGTTAAAGCGGAGGAAGACTGAGGTGGTGGAAGGTGGAGGCATAGCAATGCAGGAACAGCAAAAGTTTGCAGCACAGAAGGAAGAGTTCGGGCTGCCCGCTATAGGTGGAAATCTATTGGCTGGACCTGGTCTTTTGCGTCGCCGCCGACGACCCTAAAATAAGGAAGGCACCGAGGCTCTATTAGCCGCACAACCCCAGATCCTTAATAAGCTCTATCGCTGTTTGCGGGATACACATCCGGTCGCTTGCTGGACGCGAGACAATTACAACGCAATACTAAATCGTATTAGGGAGACATCCAAATAGGTCAGATACTTGGGTCAACGAAGACGACATGCGAATTTCAATGCTACGGCCGCTTTGCGAACGACATACTCAAGACTTAGTCCCACCGGTGGCAAGGGATGGCATTCGAGGTCACCGCATATGCTATAATAGCTGTAGCAGAGGCAAGAACAATTTCGAGTGCTAGGTTGATAAACGCCGGAGCTGGATCACTGAAGATTAATTGAAGATCTGGCTCAGCTCTATGGTACTCTTTAAGCTTAAAAGTAAGTAGCTGATTTATGAGAATCCTAGTTTGGAAGAAGTTGAGGAACATGTTAAAAAAACACGTCTCAAATAGCGCCTCCTCCCCACCCCTTAAGCCAAGCATAGTCTGAGGTCCATCTCAAGCATTCAGCGACTCCGGTTCACGACAAGCACCGCCGTACCCGGCACCGGGCGGCGAGCCCGAGTCGGGGAAACAGCGAGAGAAGCAGAGGCACCAGGACACGCATACAGAGATTAGTAGCGAAACCCACCATTGCATAAACACAAATGACACCTCAGATACAAGCGATGAGGACCCACGACCTACAATGCGACGAAAGCCACGCTCAGCGCCTACCGTAACTACACCTCCACGTCCGACGGTCTCGTCCCCTTGGGTCGCCCTCGACCACTAAGCTCGAGATTGACAGCAAGAACAGGAGGAGACGGCAGTAGATGAGATAAGGCAGGAGGTAGAGCAGGAACTGGAGGAGGCCGACGACGATGACGATAATGGGGAGCGCGAGCAGCGGGGAGAGAAGCGGCAGCACCAGAACGAAGGAATCAACAGCGGCATCCACCATTCCGCTAGCGCCTCCTGATATGCCTCCAACGCCTGTCCTTGAACAGAGCTTACCAAAGCCTTGCCTGGCACGGCCTTATAGCGCGGCGCCATCCTCAACCACGCAACTTGAGATCGGCGATGCGTAGTCCCAGACTGATCTTGCTCACCCGCCCACGTCTGTAAAGAACAACCACCACTACGCCCCACCAAGCTCTCGCAGTCCCTCAGATACGGAGGAGTCGGCACTAGTCGCGGAATATCAGGAATGGCCCTTCCAAGGTTTCCTGAAACGCGTTACGATTGGCAATCAGATGACATGCATTCTCGAATTTTCGTGGTCACATCCCTGAGCACTTGAACCTCTCACTTCATTCAGAATTAAGCACTAGCTCTAGGGAGTCGTCACTGGAGGCTGCAGTCTCTCGCCGGGCTGCCACTTCTCGCAAGCCGGGCAAGGAACTGACCAAGAATCAAGAGAGTCTGTTGGCTAAGATGGTCCACGAAGACAAAGACCTGGGCAGAGATAAGACGAAACTCTCCACGAAGCAAGGGGGGAAGCCTCAAAAGTGGGGCCGGAAGCCTCGCGTAAAAGCTGGCATGAAGGCTGGCGCTGTGTTGGAGAGAAGAGAATATAATTAATGCACGGTCCAGTATTGTGGCAGGGCTAGCTCTTTTTGGTCCTTTTGGCGCTGACCGGCACGTGTGGTTGAGGAGGAGGCCAGCCCGGGAACGCTAGTCTTCCCTAGCACTATACTCAACTTGGTCTAGTTTATCATGTGACGCTTCCCATATATTGTGGTCGCGCACTCTTAGAATAACAACAACTCTTCTCCCACTCTTAGTTTTTACAGTGATATGCTTTCGAATGCTTTTTATGATGTTTTAAACCTATTCTACTACTGCGAATAGTGGTCTGCTTCGCGCAGTGCCTACTTGTTGTTTGTGACAGACCAGATCAGGTTGAGATGCAAGAGGTGATCCATTCTTAGAATACTAAGGTGAAGAGCTGAGGACAGCTCTCAGGAGTGCTTATATACAGGATTCTGCCAGGCGGTGAGTTGTCACGTGATAGGACTGAAACCAGCACTGTGACATTGTTGTTTTGGTTGTTTTCGCGTACTGCTGGTTCATGTTCTTACTGTTACGACTACGTGCACGTGAGCTCGCTGAGTCATCTCGGTGAGCTCTGGGTCACGTGGAGGAGCACTGAGGAGTGTGACAGCACGGTTGGACTCAAGTACGTAGACGAGGAATCGATTAGGCTATCTCTTAGGATCTAAAGGTAAAGAGGAAAGAAAGGAAGGAAGCGCCGGAAGGCAGGGCATATATACAGGCGAGCGGTCACGTGAGTATTTCGTAGCGGGCACGTGACTCCATAACCGTGACATTACCCCCCCCTTCCGAAGAACGACGTCCTCGTCGTTGCATCCATCCAATTATCATTATCCAAGTGATCATAATTGTCAATTCCATCGTCGAATTGTTTCTTCCAAGCTGGAAGGGCCTCTGGGGGACCAGGCTTGCTTGGATTAGTCATGTGATACGCTATCAGC